TTCATTGCAAATGGCGGGCCAAGGGGTTCAACACTCGGGCACGTGAAAGCAGCACAACAGAAAAAGTCCCTCTTAAAAAAGCGACTAACAGCAACGGCATCGGATCAATGGGCCATTGAAGGAAGGAAGAGCAATCTTTGAGTAAAATCGATGCCGAGGAGAACCTCTCGGTTCATCTTCTCATCGGTTGTGAGCGTGGAGAGTGGGGGATAGTCGAGGAGTACAAGATTCTCGCTTCCGGCTTGAGGGTGTGCCATATTGCTCATTGCTGACCAGCCAATATTAAGACTGGGACCGCAAACAGACCTCCGCGCAGTGAAGGTCCACAACATGGGCTTCTTGACCACTCAACCAACATCTCCCACTTCCATCAAGGGGTATGTTTGTTTATTTTTCCCTGAAACCCCCTCGTGACCCATCTGGGCCGGCCGTAACAGCCTCAGCCTTTTCCCGGTGCGGTTTCTTTGATCTGTGGGGGACTGCTCTGTGGGAGTGACGAGGAGAGGCTGGGGCGAATCCGCCCTTCATCAAAAGAGGCGATGTAGCAACCGGCCCTTCGAACTCTACCATCCGTCGCTGACAGGGGACTTGTGTATTAGAACCAGTCGAGCATTTGACGCCTTACATCCTTGGATGTAAGTGCAATGATGCTGGTGTATGGACTCCACAACGTGCTCCAGGCACGTTTGTGCTTAACACGCCCTCATGCACCAAGACGCCGAATGCAGCTGCAGTCTACGGCAGGGCAAGGGCTAGAAAACGTGGCATACTATACATGTAAAGCGAGGTGGGGTGGTTGCATCCGTCGTCGAATTAATCATTTTGGAAGGGCAAAAACAGCATACAAACAACTCCGCTCGAAGGGTAAAGGGAAAACCAAATCAGAAGCAAACAGAACACGAGTGACCACCGCCATGTACAGGTTGCTGGCTAGCCATGCGACAAGCTACTCCCGGCATAACATCAGGAGGAAAAATATACCTGGGAATTTATGCAGGCGGTGACGACGGGGTGAGAAAAGAGGTCCTTCTACAAATTACCTCCCGACCTTTTTTATCTTTGTTTTTCTTGTCGACATGCCTCCCATACCCACCGGTCGCATTCTGAAATAACCATGCTCGCGCGACCGTGTCCGCCCGAGTCCAAAGCCGGCCTCAAGCCGGCGGGCCAGCTGGCCTGGGTGGTAATTTGCGGTCCTTTTGCGGGTCATAATTGCTCTGGCTGCCATGATAGCACCCCTCTTCCCGGGCCTAAGCCATCGAATCTGGCGATTCCTGCAGAGGAATGGTAACAGAGACGCAAAAAGAACGGGTCACTGCCCAGGGATGGATCGGGCCGGACCTATGCGGTTCGATTTGGGCTGACCTCTCTGTATGGTCTCCAGTGCGGGCAAAGCCGTGCTCTAGTTGGCGACCCAAGAATGGTGCCGTCTCCTCTGTCTGTCCTGCCGTTTGCTTTGTACTTGTATTGTCCCGCTCTTATCCCTGTCCCAAGTGCCCTTTTCCTTCTTCCCTCCTTTGTCCGCACACGCCCCCTTCCCATTCTCCTTGACATGATCTCCCTTCGTCGCTCGATCCCGTTTGATTTCTGCGTTGATGTCTTGCGTCTTGCGCAAGAGGTGTGGGCTCGTCTTTAAGCATGCAGAACACCGAAAGAGGCAATGGGGTACCTAGGGCAGCAGGGTACCTAGGGCAGCAAGGCCCGGGGTCCTGTGGACTATCTCTTGCCTTCTCGATGAGTTGTCCGATCATAACACTTTCTTTTATCCTTTGTGTTTTGATGGGCCATAAACGGGCTTCATAAGAGCACGCCGCTTGCCGTACTATCGAAGGATAAACATCGATGCGGTCATGGGGCCGATCAGCTAGACCAATCCCCTCCATACCCCACGACCCCCGCCTTGTCAAGTTCGGTATCAGAGAGCTGACTTCCCTGCTTTTGGTTTCTACTTTTCGGGCGCATTTCGCCGAATCGATAGTAGATCGCTTGGCTGAGGCTAGGTAATGCTCCCAGCGGGATTACCCAACGTGGCACGAACGCGGGGGCGATGAGACATGGGCCATTTGATGGTGACCGGGTCATGGGCGAAACCAGACGTGGGTTAGGGAATATCTGCAAGAGCGTACGCCTACGTAGAGCTTGGGCATGTAAGTGGTAAAGGGACTGCTCGGCCTAGAATCAGGTACGCCCCCGAACATGCTATGATTTGCCTTGCGCTGGTCACTTGTGGGCATATGGCTGACAACTGCAGGAGAAGTGAGTTCTCCGTGTAGCACGATATTGCATCCACTTGCACACGTTTGCGCCTTCAGCGAAACAGACGTTCAAGTTAAGGGAGGAACGCCCTCGAATGAGTGGTGAGCCAGCGTGGATCTTGTCAAACCTTGCCCTTGAACCATATAAGGAACCCGCGGGGGTGAATTCGAATGCCGAGGCTCTCAGCGTCTCGGAAGGGCAAATCGGCGCAAGACAGCCTGCGGTGGGCAGGTATTGCGTGGCATGACTAGTGCCTGCTCAGGGTCGTTTCCAAGATGAGTTCTGGCTGGAAGGAGTTTCAAAAGCTTGGTGAGGATAAGTCCCTTGTCCGGTTGCTATCACCGACGGTGAGGGCTCAGAACGCGCTTTTGGGTGGCCTTTGGGGCATAGCAAGGCCAAAGTACCGGACATCTTAGCAAAGTCGTGCCTCAGATCATAGCTACTATCCTAGACCGATGATCCTGTTAGTTTGGGAGGACATGAAATTCAGAAGGCCTGTCTCTGATGCCTCGCCTGAGCGGGTTAAGGCGATGCTCTGCAACTATAGTCACGGCAAACTTAGGGGTGGCGCATGCTGGTTACTCTCTGACTCCTCTATGGAGCCGGGCTGGTGAGAATCGCCGACGGATGGCCAGATCCGAATTCTTTAAAGATATCTCGAGAGTCACTGTTTATTCTCACAGAGAGAGATGACTTCGCGGCCATGGGATAGTAGGGAGGCCTTAGACGCACTACAGAAGCCCATAACCCAAGAAATAGGGCGTAGACGGCGGAGGAAAGACGGCCAACTAAACCAAGATACTGGAGAAACCATTCGCGGGAACTTCACGCATGGTTCACCTACCGCTGCTTCCCCTTTACCCTAGAACTAGGTACTATATCCAGAAAGGGCAAGTCAGCGAGAAGACGGAGGATAGATTCCCATGGAAGGTATGTGCCACCCCTTGCTCAATGAGAGGTTAGTCTGGAGCAAAGGACCTCAAGACTGGCCTTGTTGTAGCTAGCCTCTACTATTAAACCAACGAGAGTCGCACGGCTAAGTCTAGGAAAGCGGCGCATCGCCCCAGGGGCATGGAACCTTCATACTACATCAAAGTCCGGGATGGACGACAAAGTTTAATGCAAGCATAGCGTTTGCCGGCAACTCGGCGAAAGGTCGGGCGTGTAAGAAAAGGCTTCCTCCGGACCTGAGGAGCTTCCATACGCAGGCATCAACATGACGCAGGGGCTACCAGGACGGCACCAATGTTCTTGACTAATATTTCAGTGCAAGTTGGATGACGCATATGAGGGTATATGATAAGCCTGCAGCAGGCTTCGAGCTGTCAGATCTCTAGTTGGAAGCCCTGCACGGCTTGTGACCTACGTCGGGAACTCCCGTGCTCTGAAAGAGGTAATCTGCTATGAGACTTCCTTGGGCAGATGGGACAGAAATTGAAACCCCTAGAACCGAGAGGATGAGCAGGGCTTGCCCTCGTCCTCGCCAGCAGCAACAAGATAGTTTTGGCATGACGCACGTCATGGGTGGCAGCAGGATGCTTCAAAGAAAAGAGCAACTGGTTTTCCCTCTATTGAGCGGAATCAGATGCCCCTTCCGCGCCCGGTTGCGCAGTCAAGGGTTTTCAGTGTTGAAGCCGGAGCACAAGAGAGTTGGATAGTTCGACAGCGCGTATCACTCGATGCCAGGGAAAAAGTTGGCTTTGCCCCTCCTCTCTCCTCCATCACATCGCGCCGGTGATAGTTCTACGACGGCCAACATGGCACCTTCCGCTTTGTTGTCACACTATCACACTGTCACACTACATTACCTTGCTTGGTGTTTGGGAAGCCAGAAGATCGTTTTGTCTCCTAATTGGGAGAGGCGAGAACCAAGATCGAGCCTTCACCGCAAAAAAGCCCCCGCCTTGGGGCTGTCGCCCTCCCAGTGCACCCCTTTCATCAATGTACTTTTCTCTCCCAGGGAGCCGGGTTTCGTTTCAGTAGGTAGAAGGCATCACCACAGTGGCCGTCCCGTATGGCTGGGGTCACCCGAGGGGAGCTTCCGGGGTTTATATGGACTCGGTCAATCTGATGGCTTGCTTCGGACCAGGTACCCGGCGTTCAATAATATCACGCTATCCCTGATTTGACGGGTGGCGCTGAGTGAAGGAGACTGAACCACTGGCTCCGAAGCGCTGCAGGCGCGACAGCTCAGGTGCTGTGGCAGGGGTCGGTTAGAACCGTGCTCACCATCGATTGATGGCTGCTGAAATTGTCCAGGGCTCACGCGGGCTGGTGAAGAACCAATCACTCGGAGTTATCACTTGTTCTCGAAAATGCTCCCCTTTCACAATGACGAGCCAATGGGGGTGGAGGGGCGCGCATGCACAGTCATTCTTCAAATCCCTTGCCAATTTCAATGTTGGACGATCCAAAAGTCGGAGACGACGGTGACCTTTCTCTCTCACATAATACCCTTTTCCCACTCCTTCTCTTTCCGACCTCGCTTGCAGGTGTTCATGTTGGGGTAGATTATTTTAGTCCGGGCATCGCGCATCGGGCATTTTTGCTTCTTTTAATCCGGCCATGTCCTGACAAAAGAGGCCGAGAGACAAAGCATCCAAACAATCAAGAAGGGAAACAAGGCATTGTCGTTGCCATCACTAATTTCTGCCCATCGCCCGCTTTATCCGCTCCCCTCCCGCCTTTGCATTCCCACACAAAGTGCCACCGCCGACTGCCGACACGTCCGGAAGCCGTGCATCATGGCGTGGGGCATTCTAGAGTCCAAGTCCTTGGAAAAGGTCCCTGGTAAGTCTATTTTGTTCGCCTCTTCTTTTATTTTCCCTTGGGTCTCTCCGGATAGGGCTGGTGCACGGAAGAAGAATATCGAACCCTCCGCGCATCGCGATCCTAGCTTCTTGGGTTACCCTCTGCTAATGCTTGCATCCTCTCAACCCAGGGACCACGCGATATTTTGACGATCCCGACAGACCGCAGATCGCCACCGCGGCCCATACACATCTCAAATGCGACACATCGGGGCCCGAACCCATCGTTCTAGTACGCAACCCTCCCTACTGAGTGTACCCCGGCACCGAGCGTAGCCCTGCGGGCGGCAAGGAGAATCATGCCCCAAACGAATGTGAGATGGTACTATGTGATCACGATCTAACTATGGTTTTTCTCCCTTTCCCTTCTTTCTAGGTTCCCCAGCCATCCGATGATCCCGAAGATCCCCTCAACTGGCCGTTATGGAAGCGCGATGTCATCACCTTTGTGCTCTCTCTGAGCGCCATCTTCGCTACCTCGTTGGGCTCCATCCTCGCCGCTGACACGATGGTGATGGTGGTCATGTTTAGAACTACCTTTACGAAAGTTGCCCTGATGACGGGCTACTTCCTGCTCGGCGTCGGCGCCGCGGCCGTCTTCTTCGTCCCCTCGGCTCGAATCTGGGGCAAGCGCCACGCCTTCGTCGTCGGCCTCGTCCTTCTCATCGCGTCTTCCGCCTGGGGTGGTTCCGCGCGGCAATTCACCCCTCCTGGCTGGGGCAAGTACGGCTCCTTCATCGGCGCTAGAGTGGTCCAGGGCGTGGGGTGCGCGCCCTTTGAGACCTTGGTCAACGCCGCCGTCAGCGACCTCTACTTTGTCCACCAGCGCGGCATCCGTATGGCCTTCACCAACCTAGCCGTGTTTGGCGGTGCCTTCTTCACCCCCATCGTGGTTGGCAAGCTGACAAGAGAGATTGGCTGGTACTGGGCGTTTTACATCGTTGCCATTGCCTGCGCACTGTGCCTAGTGGCCGTCGTGCTGTTCTGCCCGGAGACGGCCTACCGCCGCGACGCCTCTCTTAACACCGACATGCAGGCTACGACTGAGGGCGCAGACGCAGCAGCCGCGGGCGAGTCGAGCCCTCACGCATCCTCTACCGTAGAGGTCGAGGCCGATGATTCCGCAGATCCCGAGAAGCTTGCGAACGAACCCGCGACCAGTGCGGGTCCGGTCCGGGACGCCGAGGCTGCCACGGTCCCCGCCAAATCCCCGAGCACGTTGAAGACTCTGGCGCTCTTCAACGGGCGCAAGACGGACGATGGCTACTGGAAGCTGCTCCTCCGGCCGTTCGCGCTCGCCCTCCACCCCGCCTTCCTGTGGGCATGCCTGGCGCAGGGCACCATGATTGGCTGGACCGTTTTCATCGGCGCCATCATCGCGTCCATCTTCATGGGCCCCCTTACGGGTGGTCCGAGGTCGAGAATGGCTACGCCTACACCGGGCCCTTTGTCGGTGCCCTGATCGGCTTCCTCCTAGCTGGCGCGCTCGCCGACTACTCGGTCAAGTGGCTGACGCGGAGGAACAAGGGCATCTACGAGCCCGAGTTCCGAATCTTCCTCATCTTCCCCTCTTTTGTCCTCGGCTGCGCCGGCTTGTACGGTTTCGGGCTGACGGCCGCCGAGATTATTGCGGAAAAGTATCACTGGAGCGTTCCCATCGGCTTCTTCTGTCTTCAAGTCGCGGGCATGGTCATTGGCACCGTCTCTAGCTCCCTCTACATTGTCGATGCTTACCGTACGTCGCCTTCTTTAAACCCCCTTCTTTTCCTACTCGGCGGAAACCGAAACTTTACTAACACTACCGTGTTTGATATTTCTTAGGTGATCTGGCGATCGAAGCGTTCACCATGATGATCATCTTCAAGAACTTCTTCAGCTTCGTTCTCACGTTCTACGCGTTTGACTGGATTACCAAAACCCTGCTGATCGAGCGCACAATCATCATCCTGGCATCTATTCAGGTGGTCGTTTGCCTCTCTAGCATACCCATGTGTAAGCGTTGTCAACCACGCCCCTCCCCTTTATCCCCGGCTGTTCAACAGTCCAACAAAATAAGGCCTCTGTTCATGCTGACGCGGCTTTTGCAGACATCTATGGAAAGCGCGTTCGTGCGTGGTCATACAAGCACGATCTTCTCGCCACCTTGCACTTGAGATGAGCCAGCGTGCCAAGTAGTCAGGTGTAAAGTGTCTCGCCTTTCGTCATCCTTATGAGCCCTCTGTTTTTTCGTCCAATTCTTTTTATGATCAAAGATCTGCCCTTGGCTCCTCTCATGTTTCTTCGTCCCGGCCAATTTTTCTGTCCTGCATGGTATCCACCTTTTTGTCATTTTTTTTTTTCAAAATTGTTCTAGGCCTTGTAGCGTACATGCATCTGAGCTCGTTGTCACGAAATCGCCTCGAACTCTGTCTAGCGCGGCATCTGCGTTTGTTTCCCCGTGGGCCTTGTCCACGTGGCTCAACCTTGCGGCCGCGCTCAGGCGTCACCTAATACTGATCCATAGATCCATCTTTTGACTTTGGAGGACCCTACATTTCCACGAGAAGAACTCGTCGGCGCTGCGAGTGTAATTAATACCCCCGGAGATAGTTTATACAGCGCCTTGAGGGTTTCCCTCTTTCTCAAAAGACTTCCAAGTTTACTCAACCATGCCCCCAGTGCCAGTGCCCCCTCCCATCAAATTCTAGCCCCCTTGCCTCAGCAGCAAAGGTGATACATGTCGTAGCACTACGTTGTCTTGCGCATAAAATGAGGAGGGGGAACAAAAGCTTTTTCTTATTTATCCCGTAGTATATATGTATGTCTGCGTGTGTGTGTGGTTGACTGTATGATAAGCCAGAACGATATCCCTTTTTTTTTTTTCTGTTTGCCAGGTTGTTGATTATGTTTGTTCCTAACAATCAATGTGAAGCCAGGTCTAGTAAGAAAAGCCAGAGACGATGTATTGGGGAAAGTGAGAACGATGAGAGAAAAGAAGAAGCAAGAGAGAGGGGATGGGCGTGATTCCGTCCCCGGGAATCATAAAACAATTGAATGGAGAGGATCGGAGTGGTGACAGACTAATCCCTGCGCAGCCCTCAACACGCTTGACTGTCAAGAGGAAAGGGAGAGGATGATGGGGGTCGATGACAGAGTAGGCGAAAGTGCAATCGGGATATTCCCGAGGAAGGGGAGGGGAAACCCCCGGAGAAAAAGAAGAAGCTTTGAACACCGAGAAGCAGAAACAGCAATGACCCGGGATGCGAGTTTACGCAGGAGCAGCGTCACCCCAGATGCCCACAACGGAGATGGCGAAACTCAAAGCAGCCAGACTCGTCTGTACCAGCCTCTCTTTGAGGAAGATTTCAATCTGGGCGGTAACTTCCTCGCCGTTTTGTTGCTGCTGTCGGGGAGTGGGGTGATCGTCTTCGACCTCCTCGCCGCTGGCGGAGGCAGTACCGTCGCTTTGAAGGTCGCCGAGGACGTCATAGCTCGCTTCCATGGGGCGCGGCTGCTGCCTCCTCCTAACCGGAGAGGCGGCGGCCGAGGAAGCCGGAGCGGGAGTGGTGGACGCGGGTCGGTGGGGAGGGCTGCCGAGAAGAATGGGGGCGAAACGAGGGGCGAGGGAGGAGGCGGCGGCGAGGAGCGAGGTGTAGAGAAGATAGGGGTGGCGGGCCGAGCGCGGGGAGAAGACAAAGGCGAGCGCGAGGGCGGAGGAGGAGACGGCGGAGAGGGCGGTGAGGTGCGTCGCGGCGGAGGCAGCGAGCGATGTGAGAGTCTGGGAGGCGGCGCTGGCGGATGGGAGGGTAAGGAGGGCGGGGGCGGCTAGGGCGGAGAGGGTGTAAGAGACGCCCTGTAGTAGAAGAAGACATTAGCAATCATAATCTGGATCAGATATATAATCCTTTTTTCATTGTTTCTTGAATTTTTCAACGCGGTTATCTCCAAAATCCACCCGTCTCTTCCGCGTTGGGTCATCGACGACGCAAAATGGCGAGGCGCAAAGGCGGGGAGTGGCAGCGGAGGCCCTGTGCGGGATGACGCAAATGGTCAAGGTTGGAGGGAATGACGTACCGTGAGAAGACCGACGGAGACGGTGCCCACGAATTTGAGGGCGGAAACTGTTCTGGAAGACATGATGTCGAGAGGTGAGGAATATGTGAGGAGAATGAAAAAAAAAAAAAAAGGAAAAATAGTCGAGAAAGGTGATGGCGACGAAGAAAGGAAGTCGAGAGGGAGAAAAGACGGGAGGGGGAAGAAACCGCGCGAGGGTTGGATGTTTTTTGGGGAAGAAGCAGGGGAGGGGGTTTTGATCACGACAATGGCAAGTGAACCCAAAACGGGAACAAGCGCTGAGGTTGCAGGTTTGGGCGCTGAGTATTACTAGCAAGCAACGAGTCCTGCTCTTATGGGGCAGGGAACATTGAACAGTCATACACGGCCAAGGCCTAAAAAGTGGATCATCGCCGCGCCAGGCGAAGGGAACATCAATGCTCCGTTGGCGAGACCGCCCAGTGCCCGGCGCCTAGTGGAGAGCAGCGCAAGCACCTGATGAGGGGGCAGCGCCTGATTATGTTTGAATGTCTCGTTGGCTGGGAGCCTGGCGCACGTAGCTTGAGCCACAACTTTGAACCTTGGTCTACTTGATATACTAGAGAAGATCCATAATTTTGGTCCATGAGACCTTTGTTCGCCGTTGGTGCCTTGCCCGCGTTTTGCCCCGCCGTTGCCTTCCTGTTGCCTTGCGGCAGTACCTGACCTTGCCTTGCGGCAGTACCTGACCTTGCCTTGCGTCCCTCCTCTTTCGGGAAGCAAAGTGCACAAAAGAATTGTTTCCTTTGGACTGTTTCAAGTTCCTTCTTCTTCTGCTTGCTCTCTATTTGACTTGTTCGTGCCTTGGGTATGTGTGTGTCTGCGTGGGTCTTTGGGTATGTTTGCGCGCCCATGTGTATGTGTGTGCGCCAGCAACCCTTTGGCACAGGGTATCAAAACGATCGACATCCTCAAGCTCGTGTGGCTGGGGACACTCCACGGCATTGATCAATGACCCGTCAAACCCTCGCGGAATGGGGGTTAAGGCAGGGGGTTGCCAGCAATTAGGGTGCGTGCCAGGAGCATTCAAGTTGGGCAAAAAGACCAGACCAGACCAACCATATCAATATAAGCCATCTTGAATCCACGACACCAATTGATGTATAATCTGCACTTTTGCCTTCTCCACACGCACGCACGCACTGTGCTTCTTCAAAAGGGCCTATAGCTGATGGCCTTTTACTAATAAGAGCTAGGCCCATGATGAGGCACTCGCAGACAATTGTTCGCCACGCCTTCGCCAGCAGGCCCCGCAAGCCCAAGTGGAAGCGTGCCACTGTCTGAGTGCGACGGCGGGGTTTTCTTTCGGGGAGCTGTGCTTCTTTTGAAGTGACCGGGAGGGGGCAAGGGGGTATTTGGCTCCATCCACGTGTCAGCACTAATTGGGGAAGAGGTTGCCTTGATCAATCCATCTCACCAAATGGACGGATCCATCCATTCAATCCCTCCATCGAATGCCGCATCGATTTCCGTGAGAGTATCACCATTCTAAAAGTAATATATCCATGTAGGAATAGCAAGGGTCCATCCCATGGCCTGCTGACCGGGACAAAATAAAAACTCCAACTGGAGGGTTATACGACAAACATGACAGATTGGAACGGCCCCCATTTCATTACATCATCGTAAAATAGAGACGAGCGGCCAGACGGCATAACAATCGCGCACTAGGTCCGCTTGGGTTTCTCGCCCGTGTCTCTTATTCAACCTCTTCTCTTGAATCTCCCCGTGTTTTTCTTTACGTTGAGACCAATCATGGTAGACCAGGGGCCGAGAGGTAAAGGGGTGGGGGCGGCGGCGATTTTCATGATTATGTCAAGCCGCTGGCCGAGCCGAGGCTCGAAAGAACACTAGCCATCCATAGATACTAGTTCCGCCCCGTCAACGGCGATTTGTAGCAATAAGCTTCGCTTACTCGGCTGCACCCGGGTGCTAGAACCAGGGGACTGGGAGTGTGGCCGCGGGCGTGGGAGTGGGCGTGGGCGTGGGCGTGGTGGGCATGGGAGAGCACTTGACAGTGGACAGGCATCACGAGGAATGGAGACACACACGTCCATCCGCCCCACGGCCCACTAAACCGCTTGTAGAATCTCACCCCGTTTCTCATCATTGATCTTTCTCCACACCCACGACCGAGCTGCTGTATTATATTCTCCGTTCCGCCTTTTCTCCAAGCTTCCCGAAAACCACTCCGCCTCGCTCTTCTCATCTCATTCTCTTCCAAACTTGAAGGCTAGCTGCCATATCATACGCTTGACGAGCATCCACCCTCATCCTCTTGCTGTCGACCTGAGGCCCACCTTCTCGCCCGCCCCCATCGTAGCTTTATCGTAGACTCTCGCCGCACAGCAAAGATGCCCATCCCCGAGTCCGAATATCTCAGCCCCGTCTGGAAGGACGGACTGTTCAGTGCGTTCCAGATGAACCCCCGCTTCATCCCTATTTCTACGGCTGATACTAACCGTCATTCGGCAGACAACCGCGTCGTCTTCGTCACCGGTGGCGCCGGCACGATATGCAGTGCCCAGACGAGAGCTCTCGTGCGCCTAGGCGCTGATGCCTGCATCATCGGCAGGAACGTCGAAAAGACGGAAAAGGCCGCCGCAGACATTGCCACGGCACGGAAGGGCGCTAGGGTTATCGGTATTGGCGGTTGCGACGTGCGAAGCGTAAGTGGCAACCAGCACCCTCCGCGTCACCCCTTAGTCCACTTTCTTGACAGCCCCTATTCTATCTGGAGATGTTTTCGTTTTGGCGGAAGGGCCGGCATTTTCTTCCTCTCCTTATCCCTTTCATCCGAGTATCCTTTTCGGATGTTTTCCCGCCCCCATTAGTCTTATGAGCCTTGGCTTGAGCTAACTAGGGCGTGGCTTTGGCGATTAGTACGAGAGTCTTGCTGGTGCGGTAGACCGCTGCGTCAAGGAGCTAGGAGGCATCGACTTTGTGATGTAAGTGTCTCTCGTCCATGCAACCACGAGCGGGAATTTACCAGATTCTTGGGTTCCGCTATCACCTTAACTCTCCAATGCTAATGTACCTTCGTCCAACAGTGCCGGAGCGGCCGGAAACTTTGTGGTACCCCTCGCGGGAATGAGCCCCAATGGTACGGTTACGTGAAGCGATTACCCTCCCTTTTCGGTTTCCTCGTTTTCTTTAAGGGCACCTCTTGCCTTGATCTCCTCTCCAGGCTCTCCTCCTACTATCCCATCTCCTCTCTCTCTCATGCACACCCACACGCACATGTATCCCCTGGGCCCCGTTGACTCGCTAACCATGACTCGTTCGCCTCGTGTCCTACAGCCTTCAAGGCCGTCATCGACATCGACGTAGTCGGCACCTTCAACACCGTCAAGGCCACCATCCCCCACCTCGTCGAGTCCGCTAAGCGCAACCCCCACCCCAGCAAGGACGCCACCACCGGCGGCCGCATCCTCGCCGTCTCCGCCACCTTCCACTACACCGGCATGCCGCTGCAGGCCCACGTCGCCGCCGCCAAGGCCGGCGTCGACTCCCTCATGACCTCGGTCGCCCTCGAGTACGGGCCCTTTGGCCTCACCAGCAACGTCATCGCGCCCGGCCCCATCGCCAACACCGAGGGCATGGCCCGCCTCAGCGGCGACTCCGAGGCCGCCATCGGCCGCCGCGTTCCTGCTGGCCGGCTCGGCACCGTTAGGGATATCGCCGACTCGACCGTCTACCTGTTTAGCGACGCTGGCTCCTACGTCAATGGCCATGTGCTCGTCGCCGATGGCGCGTCGTGGAGGATGGGCGGCTCCGTCGGCGTTGGCATCGAGAGCGGCATGCAGTACCCCGACTTCCTCTTCTCCGGCCAGATCGCCAAGGGTCTCGCCGGCAAAAGAAGGACTCTGGCTCTAAGCTGTAGGTAGATGCGTAGTAGCCAGGTCGTCTTGTCTTGGGCGGAGGCTCGGAAAGAGTTGGACGCGCCACGTTGTAAGATTTTTCTTTATTTATGATGTATCCTCCTTGTTTCTATTCACCCTTTCGTATAAACTACATATATGGCCGTACACATAGAGCACATCTTTCCTTTGACCTACCTCTTATGACCAATATATCTACGAATATCCTCGCGCCTTTGCACACTGTTCCTGGTGTATATCATGTCTGACTCCTTTACTGTATTACCTCATGCAAGGCGGGAAACCTGATAGCGAGAGGAAAGCGGGAAAGGTAAAAGGGATACAGGAGCTATCATATCAAGGCAGTCAAGAGTTAGCTGCTATAGTTATCGGCAGAACGCATCACATATTGCAGGTCGGAGTAAAATCACCCTTCCAGTCCCGAAGACCGCTCTTCTCCCACAGAGAGTTTGGGTCTTTTTTCTCGGGTCCCAAACCTCTACTCATAAGCTCGCAAACTCGCAAGCAAACGGCCCAGCTAGGCGCCAAGGGATTTGATTTTAGTACGCATGCCACGGCAGCCCTGAACTCATATTACTGATGAAAACGAGTTCAAGGAACCAAGAAGTCCCCATGTTCAAGGCTAACTCAGAAGAGTGACTCGACTAATCACGTAACCTAACCGACCTGTCGTACGTGGGTAGCAACCTCTGCCGAGAATGTCTCTCATATCGAGTCTTGCGGAGGGCTGCATGTCACCTAGCTTGCTTACTCAAGGTGAGCTGTCTGGATAGTTCGAGTCAGGGAGAGCGGGTAGAGGCGAAAGAGGGTCCGGCAAACGATACGCTTGTTTCGAAGAACGACAACAAGTCGGCGGGGCTCCGCTCGCAACCTAGTTGTTCCAGAAAGAAACATGAACAGCAAGAGGTTGAGCAATGAATGTTTAATTAGACCCAACTCGGACCCGGCCCACGGACTTGGCACAATTCTGGCAATCGTTGCCCTTCTCACCTTTTCCCCCATCTCTCCTTTATCTTCCTTCCTCTTTGCGCCGTCCCGTGCATTCTTCTTTATTCCGCCCATTCCCTAAGCAAGAGTAGTCTTCACGTGGTCCCATTCCCGGATCTGCACTCTGGGAGAACTTGGATCAAGTACGTCCAACGGAAACCCACACTCGATTACGTCGACTCTCCAGCTCCCGACTGCCACACATGTGCACATCATGTGCGGGTTCCGCTACGGACCGGGCTCGGTTCAAAAGGTGTTCGTGGGCCCCGGGGTCGCGCGGGGCGTTTCAGGTCTCAGGCGATGGAGCGCCTACTTCCGTGGAATTTTCCCAAATTCGAGGTGCCTGGTTTTGGACAGCTCCTAGAACCTTGATCCCTCCCCCTTTCTTTTTCTTCTTTTTTTCTTCCTATTTTTTCCGGCCCTGTTTACGAGCGGGATGGGCTGTCTCATAGTGTCAAGAGAAATGGCCAGCATAAAAACGGGGGAGTTTTTCTTTCTCTGAGGGGGAATGCACAGCGGAAAAAAAGAAAGGGTCTTATTAACACAAAGGTAAAAGACATCAAGCTGTCAAGGTTCCGCTTGGGGATGGTAAATGAGGCTGCTTCATGCCCTATGTCGAGACCGTTGGGGCATTGAGGAAAGATGGTGTCGATGGCGAAGCACTGGACCCAAAGTTTAAAGTTAGGTTTCGTTAACCCGATTCCTTCGCCTTCGCCCGCGTGGGCAGCGGTGATCAATTTGGTCAATGCCGGCATATCCATCAAATTCCCATGGAGCACGGAGATGAGGCCCCGCTTCCTATTCTCATGCTCGAGGGTATGTGGGCTTTTGGGAGCCCTCCAAAGAATGACTGGCCAAAAGCTGCTGGCAACCTTCACGACGACGAACCGGGTTCTTCATGACATCCATGTAGGCATGATGGAAAAAGCCGAATGCATCGACTGCCGGTGGCTTAGATGTCCTTGTAATGCGCGAAATGGGTCGGCAACCAAGGGAAAGGCTTCACGTCGATAGGCCAGCTTCGTTGTGATGAATTGGAACGGAATGCTATTACAACTGCGTCGTATTTGCCCTGCTCAACTGTTGATGACCAGCTCGATGGACGGCTCGCTGCTATTCCAGCTGATACACGGACCATTGATCCATGGGCCGGATGCGTGTCGAATGATACAAAGAAAGTTCCAAAGACAGTCATTGCTGCTCGCCGGCCGTCAGTGCTGTAGCCATGTTTACATCATCGATTGGTCTTTGGAGCCCCCAATTCACAAATCCCTAAAACACGCTACATGTACGGATCGCCGCTGGGACCGGCAGCACGGTTACGGGGCTCACGGAGTAGGGTGGGGGCCACTTGGAGATCCTGGAGGAAAAAAAAAGAAAAGAAAAAAAAGAAGAGGAAAACTTGAGAAAAGGATGTGTTTACGTTTACAGAAAGCGTGTTCTATTGCGAATAGGTGAACCAGAGAGCCCGAGGAACATCTCCGGCTGGGTTGAGGATCGTCACAAGCTATCTTGGTCGATGCTTTGCGTCGCTCGGTACTACTTCTTGATGGACGGACATCGGTCCACCCGGAAAACCGAACCTGCTACATCGCCGCCATCATTTACAGCGTTGGTTTTGTTAGGTTTTCTCGTCACACACACAAAAACGCCCAACCCGGTTCAGATGAGAGCATTTGTTGGTACCAAGCGCATAACCTTGCATCTCGTATTTAGCAGACAGAACCAAGGCAGTTGTTCCTTGCGATACATGTACGCGAAGGAGAGACCACCGAAAAACAGGTCGTCAAGTGAGCGGGTGACGGTCGAGCACGCATCGGAGAGGATGGGTCCATCCTTAGATCCATAGATGTGGTGTAAACGGAAGGACAGGCAACGCCTTGTTATGGGGAGAGACAAGGGAACAAGAGTGTAACATGAAAACAAGATAAGAAAAGGGAAAAAAAAAACTTCCCAAGGCGCGGTAACCGATACTCTTGTTCTTCGCTCTTTGTATTGAAGGTACTACTTGAGCTCTCCCCGAACTGAGCTCGCTCAATAAGGGGGCAAAACGCACAGCGAATGTACCATGGACTATTTCGAACTTGAAGTATTTGTTTTCCAAGTTGGGTGTGGTTCCTCAGGTGGTCAGCCGGCTGTCCCACCTGCCGCAAGGTTTCAAAAGCAGGTCAGCTTTGCCATCCACAAAGGGGACCACAACTTCAGCGAACCCTACGAAAGGGACATGGAAATAAAGATGGTGTTTACAAGTTTTCGATATCCATCTATGCTGCATGTGGATCTATGGATGTATTAGCTAGGGGACCGGTCTGAAGGGCGATCTCAACAAACAAACACATGTAAGTCGATGGGACACCAATCACCCATCACCTGTCGCCCGTCACCCAAGACGACCAAAGATACATTTGAAGTTCAGAGTGGAGGGGAACCATCCCATTTTCAGATACACGGAGCGTAAATCAATTCATGCTCAACTTCTCTTCGCTTGTTGATGTTAATACCAGTAACGCTGGAATTTGCCCTGACGCGTCGACGCGAGTACCGGCCCCAATCCGTGGAGATGTGATCCTCGGAACAATGTGACAAGTGCATTGACAAAACCCCAATAAACGGGCGGTTGACATGCCGTCGTCATCTACGTTCCGCCGGATGAAGGTTGCTCTGGGCCGCCCAATGGTTTGAGCATTGCGGCCGTAAACTACCTTTATATGCGAAAAAGCGACCCTAGGCCCTAAACAATAACAACCAGAGAACCGAAACGATGAGAAGAGCTAATAACCACGGCAAGGAGGCAAAGCCCATCCGAGCTCGCGTCAGTACGCCGGACTTTTGAAGTCGGGGGCGGGCGCAAAGGCTGAGATGTGGGTTGTGGCTCTTGTAGCCTCTCTTCCAACGCTGTCCCCCGTTGTTCCCTATCTAGATGTCTCTAGCTTATATCATTGAACAACGCCATGCTAGTCGCAGCGAGGAGCCTTCAGCGTGGATGGACCAGGAGATGGGCCAATTCACAATCCAGCCCTTTGCTGTCCAGACGTGCAGAAGCTGGCGAGTGTACATTGAGACACACGCAAACAAATAGCCGTCGGTACAGTTTAGCGACTCACTACTCAATCTTCTGCCGCCCTCTTCTGACACAAAGGGCTAGGGCATTATACGAAGTAGTTATGCCCGGTTGTCGAATCCTTTGATATACACGCTTGCTAAGGCCAAGGTTAATAATGTGAGCTTTTGCTCCCTTTTCGCTTTCCGCCTCCTCCCCGGGCCGATTTGCCACTCTTCTTGGGTCAACGAAGACGAAGGCGAAAGAAACGAGTTGCACCACTCGGCCTCATGCCATGGATGCCCCGAGAAGCCGAAAGCATTTTCCCAATCGGTCGTGTTTTCTTTTACTCGAGGCCAGAAAAAAAGAAGAAGAAGAAGAACGAAAAGAACATGGAAAGAAAGGATAAGGATATGCGGGTCGGCGTGAGGGAAGGAAAACGCCCCTTTGTCAAGTTCGCTGTCCTCAAGCCCCCTGCCCCTTTCCCATGCTTTGAGGGGATGAAGGCTTCTAGTGTATTCTAGACGCTTAGACAGATCAATTGGCCACGAATGGAGAAAAAAAGTATACTGAGTAAGGCGGACCCTGAGTGGGCCAGTGCTGCACGGAGGGACTGCGTTTGCTCATGCTGGCTGACCCTCCATTGAGCTTCAGTATTCACGACTAGTCAGAACTAGCTCGAATTGTATTGGGAAGGGGAGGCGAGCCTTGGTCAGCGAAGGCACCCAGGCGCCAGGTCAGCCCGGCAGCAGAGGGAAGGGGGCAAGCCATTGATGGCAGGGGTAGGGGCTGAAAAAGAAACGACTTGAATTTTGATTGATGAAGACAGCACTTGAGCTCGAGCCAAAGGCCAAACCCTCGCGCCAGAGTGGCCAGAAAGGCCAGAAAGCGGTGGGAGACTCAAAACAATCCGTCCACCAGTAGCCCAGAGGCTGTCGCCCAGTTCCCCAAGTGGAAGGAAATATGCACCAATCATCCAGCCCCGGAAGCAAGGGCTCTGCCTGGTACCTGACTGGTTTCTCCTGCAGCAAGAGGTCGGGAGCGCACAAGTGGGTGCAGCAAGGTGGGGTGGAGTCCCGCATACCATTCCTCAAATGTCAAAAGGGAGGGAAGGAGCGAAGGAGGGAAGGGGGAGGAAGCTCGATCGATTGCAGGTAGGGGGACCAAGGGGGATGCTCTTGCATCTTTTACAATCTTATCACCTCCGCTGCGTGCCATGTGCTCTTGCCAATAGTCAGCTGCTTGTTCGCCTCCATTTTCCTCTTCCACTCAATGGTTTTTCAAGCGCCAGTGCTTTGTTAAAAAGAGGCCACCGCAGTCTTTGTGCCCCGTATCGTATCGCAGTCGGCTAGTGGAGTCTTCCGGGAATGCAGCGCTCCAGAGCTCCACCTCTTCTTTTCTTTGGGAGCACCTATTTGCAGGCCGCCGTCCCCCTCCCGTCCAAGGGCAACGGCTAGCGCAAGCAATTAGAACTAAACCGGCACTATACATGCACTTGAGTCTGGAGTAATAGTGCTAAAATGAAGGCGATGAACTCGTGCTGATCCCATTCCGTAATACCCCAACTGCTTGGAGAGCCCCCTTTCTCTGCCCCGACGTCCAAGAGCTGGATCGGGAAGTTGATGCTACGAAGTAGTTCGAGGCCTATTTTCGAGAAATAGCCACCCGGCACTGGCTAGGTGCTCATTGATCGTTGTTCTCGACATGTAGTTCCTGTTGAGTGGACTAGAGACTTGGTCACCGACAAACATCAATTGCTGCATCATGCCCCGTACCGTACCATTGACTTTCCAACTACAGCGTCTTCTATCCTCTTTTCGCTTTCCCTTCGACTTCTTTTCTTCTTCTTTTTCTCAAATTGATCCTCGTCCCCTTCTCCAGGGGAAACCAACCCCCGACCTGTAGCTTATATCCTCGTACTCGCCATTGCCCCGGGGCAGGATTGATTAGACTAATTGCTCATCGCTCCCACGGGTTTTTGGTTCATCACCTGCCCCAGCCGCCCCCAAGACCCTTGCTCCATTTGGTCTGTCACCAAGTACATGTACCAGGCGCGTCAGGGCGCTCCTTGCGGGCTGCATCTCCCTGATACCTCGTACCTTCCGATAGCCAAGCACAACAACGTATACAAGATACTTCAACACACCCTCCTTTCTTCCTGAACGGCATAATATATGGGTGACTTATAAATGTACACTGCATCCCGTCAACCCCCTCACCTCACCCTTTGACATCTCATCTTTGCCGTTTTCAGCCTTCTTGTTGCCGTCGTCGTTCGCTACAACTCCTTCCGCAGGCTGGAGAGAAAAAGGTGTCTATTTTCCCTTTTTCCTTTTCCTCGTCTCTTCACGCCTTCTCTCCCTCCCCTACCCTCGTTCCGCGCTCACCCCCAACTTACGCCCGGCCTCGAGCACGACGATACAACCCCTGTTTCCGCTTTCCCAGGCCCCCTCCGCCAGCCTTACGCCTAGCACAGCACAGAGGCCACTGAAACCACAACATCGTCGATCGAACCCTTCCCCTCTTCCCCGAACAAACACAACGAGGCGACAAGCAACCAAGCCGACACTTTTTCTTCTTCTTCTCCGCACTCCGAAATCGTCGTAACCACCGCTACATGACGATATTTGCTTTGGTGTCGATTAAAAAGTAAAGTGCGCCCACTCTAGTCGCTCGAGATTCGCACCAAAAGCAAGCTCCGACAAAGAGTTCCACCCGAAACAGAACTTCTCCACTTCCTCGTCACCAGCATCATTAAACCCCGTTCGACGCGACTCAGACGGGGACGAGAGACAACTCACCTACGCCTTCGTTTTCGCCAATCAGACGACCTATACTCAAGTCATTCTCGACGGGCCATCTCGATTGTGTCAGCAGTCGATTTACTTCTCGCTTCACATCTCCACCTATATCATCACTATCCTTTGGTACAGGAATCTGAGATCATTACGCCCTTCTTTCCGTTCGCCCCCGTGCACCTATGATCTCTCTAGTCCTTTAGCAACTCGGCCTCCTCGACCGAGCCATCAGTACAGAAGAAGAAGAAGAAGAAGAAGAGTCAATCTTCTGGCAGGCAAGATCAATTCAACATGGAGCCAGTCCCCGAGACCGAGCGCATGGAGGAGTTTCGGCAGTCCCCACTGCCTACTCTACGCCTTCAAACCCCCATGACCGCGATCCATGGCGGCGATGGCGATGGTCTCACGAGGCTCCAGGCCCTTCGCCGGCTGACTGACCCTGCGCCCTCATCCCCCAAATCGCCCTCGTGGTACTCATCCTCCAACAGCGTCCCCTACCGTCCAAGGACAACCTCGCCTCTTTCGGGCGTAAGCTCTCACACAAGATCGCGCTCCATGGCCTCACCTCTGCCGCTTCCCCTATCCAGGACGCAGTCCTTGCCCGGAGTAAACGGCGCAGGCCACTTCCTCCTGTCTCCGCAGCTACGGCGCTCTGACAGCCCTTCTCGCTCGCCAAACTCGCCCAGCCGGATCCGTATCCCTCGCAAGATAGCCGACGAATCATTTCCCCCGTCTCACCCGTCCGCATGACCGTTCTCGAGCCGTCCGAGCGAAAGGTTCCGGAAAGAACCAGCTCTCCCGGTGGCCTAACCGCCACTCCCCTGCTCAGATCACCGTGTCTCGCCACCGCAGACCTGCCTCACCATTCCGGCACTTTACCACCAGCTCCATACCAACATCGTCCGGTTCTTATCCCGCCTCCGGCCAACCCGCTTTTACCGCTCGCCAGATTCGTTCCCCGGCGGATACACCTCGCTCGGCTCATTTGCACCTTCTTCGGTGCCCTCAACCCCACGTCTGCACGGTCTAGAAGCCCCAGTATCTCGAGTCTTGAGACGATTCCCGATTCCCCGACGCTGAGGAGGCTGCCGTAGAAGCTGAGCGGCTGGCACGGCTCAAGGCCGACGCAGAAGCTGCTGAGAGCTCCGACTCGTCTACTGAATCCAAATCCCGGTCTAGCCTTGATGTTCCCACTCGCGGGCGTACTCTGAGTTTCGGCTCCAGAGATAAGCGGAAGCGGTGGAGCGTTTGCGGAGCTGAACGGCGAGGTGATCTTGACCTTGAAACCATCTGGGAGGACTAGACGTGGAGTCTATCAATAACGCGCCGAGCACGGTGCTCAGTTGCCACAACCTCTCCCCCTCTCATTGGCGGAGTTCCCAGGCAACGTGCATCACCCCTGAAGCATTGTACGATTCTCATTATTCGCCCCCGCCCGTCGCTTGCACACATGTACTCTTTACTATACCATCTTCCCATCTCTTACCTCTTCCCTCGCCTATTGTCTCCTCCCTTGACAACACGAGCGGTTTCTTTACCTTGCAACTTCAGTCGACTCTCCTCACATCGCATGGTGTTTGGGTGCTCCGTCGCTCTAGACGGATACTCGGCACCGGCACCCTTTCCCTTTCTACACCTTCGTTCGGTTGTTTTTTTTTTTTTTTGTTGTTCCGCGCGCTGGTCATAATCTCTCGCGCCGGTTGTTCTAGTCGGATATTTTGATACCCTCCCAAGGATAAGGACATTCCTGTTTCTGCTTCGGTTTACCATCTAGGGCCAGCTCAGACAGTCCTCCTTGTGGAACCTTTATGGCCATCCGTTTCTTTTTTTCTTGCATTCCTTGTCTCACTCTTTCTATGGCATATCTAAGCATTCAAACGGTTCGGGTTGGGTTTTGTTATCGAGTATCCAGTATACTCTGGCTCATATGGGGAAACGGAAAAAATGTTAGGAGACTATGAGGCGGGTGTGAGAAAGGGTGCCCGGGCTTGAAATCCCCTTGCTCTATTCCCCTATCTTGCCATCACCCTCCTCATTCTTCTTCGCTCTTTTTAAAGCTTTCTCTTCACCACTTCTCTTCGTCTCCCACATCGGTTGGGCCCTTTTTTGCCAGGTTGCATTATTAGCCATGAGACTTGTAGTCTCCTCATAGGTTTGACCAGAATGGTCCAATACAAAGTGCTCCCGCCTGGTGCACTTTCCAAGCGTCTCACACAACTGTTTCTGAAGAACTGCCGACTTTTTCTGATATCCCGTATCTCTCGTGATGTGAATCGTGTTCATGGTATGAGGCGGATTACGTACGTGCACCGCTTACAGCTCTTGGCAAGTTTGGTCCAGGCAGACATGGCGCGACAATGTCAAGGACTCGGCACCCACTAGAAAACGCGAAGTGATCCGTGGCAAGCCTTGATGATTTCAAACGTGTTAATAGGGCCTCATAGTTTAGTGTCTTTCTCCCCTTCGCACATTCAAGGATGCGGCGTGAAAAAGGGGAACCAGGAAAGACTGGAAATAGAAAAAGATTTATCTTGTATTCATCATTATTCCGAGGGCATACCGTCGTGATTCGAGAAAGAAAACAGAATAAAAAGGCCCCCTTTCACCCCACGAAACGGGGGCCACCGGGGCCAGGAACTGGAGCCGGTAATACATGGTAGATGAGGGGAGAGGGAACACTTCCCAACAACCCCCTCAACACTCTCGCCCTTGTCCCCTTGCTCCTCCCCCATCTCATTCCTTATTACTTCTACTCACTCTCTCTCGTTAATGGCCATTCTATATAGCAGGGCCACTCGAGCACCAGTTCATTCCTATTCCAAACTCGGGGCGCTCGAGAGCCCATGGAAACCTAGCCCAAGAGAGGGGGTTTTGTGACCTGGGGCCACACCGCTAGGTACCCAAGACACCATCATCCAAGAGGAAGCGAACAAGAGCAAGAGAACAACAAACTTCCCTCTCCGGGGAGAAGGCGACGGGGAGAAAAATACATGAGGTGCCAACAATATGTAAAGAAAGCCGCCCCCAAAAATCAGACAAGCTCCTTCGATGCTATGTAAAGTGAGATAGGAAAGAAAGAAAGAAAGAAAAAAATGAAGTAACACGCTTTTTTGCGCCTTCTGATTCGCGTCTTTTATCGCCTTTGCCCCTATCCCAAGTTTCCGGTGCCGGCGTAGATATTATGCACTGGATTCGCGTATTCCAATATGGTGTTTCAGAGTATGGGGAGGATGGGAGTAGGGAGTAATAGTATAGTTGGAGTAAGAATAGCAGTTGTCGATGCCATGGTCTTTGTAGTAGTCGCGATTGGTAAAACCAGGTGCGTCTGGAAATAGAGCGGTTTAGGGCGGTTTAGGGCGACGGCTTTGCTCGCGATGTTGACGGCGGTGGTGGGACTGGCTACCTCCGTCCATCGGCCGAACCGCCCCGGCTGGAGGCATACTGGTCATCTACCAGCTCCGCGGAGCTCCCGAGAAGATCGATGTGATGCTTTTCGGGTTCGACCTTGCTGATGCTGTGCTGCGTTACGTGGCCGCTCGTAGGCTTGTCCCTACTGGTTTCCTCACGGTGCAGGTCGATGTGGGTAAAGTCGTCGCCGAGATCCATCGAAGAAACAGACGAGTTGTGTCTCATGGACCCGGTCCGCTCGAATGGCAGGCGGGACAGCATCGGGGCGCCGCTGCTCTGCTTCTCGTTGAAAGATGGATGCGAGGCGTGGCCGTTTCGTGGCGGCGAGATCGGATGGATCGGCGAGGTCGGTAGGCTCACGGGGCTCACAGGTGGGATCAGGTTAAACGACGGGGCCGCGCTATAGTCGATGATATCCGAATGCCGTTTGGAGCTCTTCCGGGGAATGCCAGGGGCTTCCAAGTCGTCCATCTCGGCACCCTCCACGTCCATGTCTTGAGGCTCACCTCGCTCATTGAGCAGGGTTGCGGGGCTCCGCGCCCGCTTGATTTTGGAGGCCCCGGCCACATCCGCTTCGTCATCCGACTCATTCGGGCCGTTTCTCAGATTGGACATTGCAACAGGCACGCCCTCGATAGCTGGGTCACCGTCAAGGCCAGCCTGCATCCGCATCGCCGGAGGCATCCGCGCACTCCGCACGACCTCGAACCCCTTGCCCTTATCCTTGGTTTTCCCACTCAAAAACGAGCGGAACCAGCTCTGAGCCGTCGCCACCGGTCCCGTTGGGTCCGCTGGTCCGGTTCCGAGTTTCCTTCCCGGCCTTTCCGAGTTCAGCGCTGGTCCTCTAACACCGTAATAAAAGTCGACCTCTCTCGTCGTGTAATCAGCTCTCGGCGCCAGGTTAATGGGCAGCGAGCCGTGCGGTGCCGGCGTGGCGCCACGGGAAAGAGCCGCATCTAGGTCGTTCGGGTCGCCCAGGATTGCGCCACCTTGGGCGTACTGCTTGGGTTCGACCAGCGACACACGGTTCAGATTGCTGCTGTTGATAGAATCGGTCAGAGTCTCTCGTCTCCTCCTCGGGGGCCGGTAGTAGTATGGCTCCATGGCGTTATCGGCCACGGCAGCCTGCGCCGGCCTACTGGCGACGCTCGGCGACGGAAGGAAGGAGAAGGGGTTCGCTTCGCCGGGGGTCGTAGGGGTGAAGGAGCTCGCAGGTGCACCCGAGTATACGTCGATGCTGTCGAGGGCGGACGAGGACCTGTGCTGCTTACTCATTAGACCACCAATGCTAGCTACAGATTCGCTTCTAAGCCTTCCTCCCGGCATCACGTAGCCAGTCTTGGAGTTGCGGTCAACGTCGAGCATAGCCGTCGTGGAAAGCTGGCTCTGGCGGGATACCCCGCCGTGGTGGCGCCGCGACATGCGTCTGGAGAGTTGCCGCATGCCGAAAATTTTGGATAGGCCACCTCGGGTGAGGCCCCGCATATCGTCTCCACCGGCACCTAGAAGACGAGCCACAACCTCTATCAAGGTCTGCAGCGCGTTGAGGAAGAAGCCGAAAACGAGAACGCCTCCATGCAGAACGAGGATGACATAGCCAACCCATCCCTTGGGGCCCTCGGTGACGCCGAGAGAAGGCGCAAAGGCAATCATCAACAGCGTGGTAATGAGACGCATGACGGAGAAGAGCGAGTGATAGGCGTTCATCGAGGTTTGTGAGTCAAATGGGCGGAAGTAGACGATGGTGAGAAGCTGCACCACCTCGACGCTTGCTAGGATGGCAATCTGAGCTATGCCCGAAGCCTGAAGGCCGCCAATGGCGATGCCCCTCAGGATACCGAGAAGGATGGGTACAAGAGCAAACCCAGCAGCCGCATCCGTATAAGTGTTGTAAAGTGGTCCGTAGAGCAAGACGGTGGGGAGATCGTCGAACAAGTCGGATCGGGGGCGAGCCCTGATGATGACGCGGAGCAACCACACGGTGAAGCCTATGATGGCGGCGAGGACGACCACGGAGAGGGCAACAACATAGGCGGGCGACTCTCCCGCAGCGACGAGCTGAAAGGTCGATAAAGCGACAATGGGTAGCAAAAGTAGTTGAGCGCAACACGCACAATGTTGCCCAAAGAAAAGGGTATGTTCTTAGACCGTAGGTCCTCCTCGGGGATGCTTCTAGCCAGGCGATACAGGCGGTGCACGATAAAACCTAGCTGTGTCAAGACAATGACACCTGCAGCAATTACAAGCAACCACACCATCATGCCGGCCCAGACGTCATTCGGTTGGCTCAAGCCAACGAGCTGGCTGTACCGAACGAGGCCACGAGTGCTATTTGTAACATAGATGCCATCCACCATGCTCTCGTACGCGGGGCCCTTGCTCACAAAGCTTTGGTTAAACATTAGTGAGGACCACGCAACTTGACTTGCCACTGGCTGGTAGAAGCCAGGATAGTTGAGGGACAATGCTCCCGTGAGGGCTGCAAACTGGATATATTGCAAACAGTCGCCAAAGCCTGGAGTGACGAGGCGCAAGAGGTCAACATCACGGCCGTGGTTCGAGGACCACATGAATATATCCGTCGTGCCCCAGGGGCTATAGATGGCAGCAAGGACGGTCGCAAAGCCGACAAACAGGAGGGCGGCGAAGGGAAGGAAAGTAAGCATCCATGTAAAGTTGCCGAGGTAGGGAGTGATGGGGACGGAAACGCATCCAATGTTGGTTTCGCTAGCATCGCCATAAATGATGAGGAAGGTAGCAGAGAAAGTGGCGAGTGAGTAGCTCGAAAAGAATTCGTGCGACATGCTCATGGCTGGAAGGCCAACAGGCAGGCTCCTAAAGACGAAAGAAGATTAGCAACCGAAAACAGAGGGGCACGGAATGGCGCCGCGAGCATAGTAGGCATGACGAGGAGAAACCAAAACCACAACAAGAGGTAATAGAAAGCCCTTGGAACGTTGTTTCGGGCTCTCGCGCCGAGTCGATGGCGAGGGGAGGAGGGCAAGGACGCTTACAACTGGGTTGTGTCGAATATGGGGGCAATGGGCAGGATCCATTGATAAGCCCATCCTTGCAGAAATCGACTTTGGTATTATAGGGTTCGTAGGTGAGAACATTGATCTTGGAGACTAGAGTGGTGGCTCGGCGAGAAGCCATGTTAGGTTCGGGCTCCTGCTGAATCTTGCCATGGATGTACTCGGTGTTGGACCACTCGGGGAGTCGGCGGCGGGCAGCTCGACGGTATCATACGACCCGGTAATGTTGCCCCAGGTCGTTACGGTAAGAGCATGGCTCTTGCTCTCGGTATCGAAGACGGCATCGACGTAGAGGGGGACCCATTGCAGTGGCGGAGGATCGCGATCTCTGTAGGTATTCGGGAGGCAGTTGTCAAAGGCAGCCAGCTGGACGGCGGCGGCTGGCGCGGATAGGAGGGTGAGGGCGAGGAGAAAGGTGAGGATGATGGATCGTGAGGGCGGTCGCAGTGTCGCCGTGCGGGCTCGTGAGGGCCGTGACGTCGTCTCCTGCCAGGCCTGTCGAGGCCCCGAGGGAAGGGCAGACATACTCGTCGTAGCGAAAGCGCAATTCGATGTGTGTTTTAGCTGCGGGCTTGGGAGGGCTGACAAGCCATGACGTCGGGGCTGGTCCTCGTTCTTGGGTCGACGGGAGCAGGGCGAGGCTTCACGAGGAAGCTCGTGCATTCGCATTCGCATGATCGAAAGGGCCAGGGGCCTCGTCCTCGGGTTAACTGACGACGAGCTGGGGCCGGGCACACAGGAGCATGTAAGTATGAAAAAGAAGGCACCGGGGTTTGAATCGATAAGTGGATCGAGGCAAGAGGCGTTATGCTACCCAGTTTAGCATTGTGAGTGTCCTCCAAGTGTCGTCGTCAAGCGGGAGAGAGGGTCGGGTTGGGTCGATGTGGAGAGATTGGTCGTGGTGAGAGGCGAGCGATATCGAGGCACCAACTAGAGGGAGGGAAAGCGAGCGAGCTGCACAGCACGGGCTGAGGTCGGAGGAATGGAATGGTCCACCTCAATTAAAGTTGGCAATAAAATAGTCAGGAGGCGGAAATAATGGTAGGGAGAGAGAGGGTCAGGAGAGAAAAGCGGAAAAAAGAACGAAAGAAAAGAAAAAGACGAAAAAAAAAGAAACCGAATCAAGAAGAAAGTGATGCACAAGAAAGAGAGGCAGGGAGGAAAATGGGGAGTTTGGAAAAGAAGGAAAAGCAGCGCGCAAAGCTGGGCTGTGAAAATGAAGCAGCACAAAGCCAGGTCGAGCCGGACTTGGACTGGGCTGAGCAGGTCAGATCAAGTCGTCTCGGGCCCTAGTGAACATTGATGGACAATGGGGATAATTCTCGGTCAGGGATGGGTAGAGGTTAATAATCGACCCTTCCCCCAAGTCAGGACTATAGTGTGCAAAGGGTATACTACTTTATTCTTGGTCCACTCCACAGCGAACATGTTGCAAAGTGGAAATGGTTCGGGGTACTAGTACACGGGAGGCCTGCATAATGTCGTGTTCAGAGTCGTGTACCCCATACAACAAGTGGAACTGCGAAGTATCCAGGTACGACCCATTTGCTCAGCATCGAATAAGTGGGATATGATGGGAGATCAATTGATGTGGTGCCTTTCTTCTGTCGACCGCGACTGACAGGCAGAACTGACCCACCCCAAAGATCCCTGGCTTGCCTAGCCCAAGCCCAAGCCCAAGCCCACGCCCAAGCCCAAACAAAAGGTACAACATCAAAATAATATGACACTTGACCCAAGTGTGAGGAAACACAGAAGAACAGAACAATTCCGTGCACGTTGGAAATAATAGGCATAATAAAACAAGTCGGCCCCGTCCCTCCTGAAGAAAACCGATGGGGCTGAACCCCCGAGTCCACATGAATTTCGAGGTACCTGATACACTCGAGCACCGCTTGACTAGCCACAGCCAGCCAAGCCAGGGCTGCGCGCTTCAGAGCTTTAATACGAGGTGGGATGTCAAAGGCCCGCCCTCACACACTCCCAAGTCGCATCTCTGCCGTATGTCGCGAGGGAAGAATACAAGTGAGGTACCCGATACTCAATACGCTCTCAGCTTGATTAGGCGAGGGCGAAGGCGGAGCTGGCGGGAAGGAAATTATTCTGTCTGCCCCAAGCGTCATTTGGCGAACGTTGCTGAGCACGTTGGGCGATGTGTCGGCGACACTGCCATCAATCATCAATCCTTCAGTACACTATTCCTCCCCTCGTCGTGAGGTCGTTTTGTAGTGTTCAATGTTTCTTCTGCCTAGCCGCCACCCTTTCCGATCAGTTGATGAGTACCACCTGCATCGACCTCATCAACACAGAGTGCACGTATCAATGGTTAGGCGAGGTGGGATGGCTGGCCAAGTCTGTCGCAGAGGGCAAAGGGCAAAGGGCCGTCAAGCTGCTTCTACCTATCAATCTGCACCAGGCAGGTGAGGTGGGCTCACAGTAATACCCATCCGCACAAGGCGAGGATGGCGCTATTTGTTCGATTGCCTTCCCTTCCCCAAGGCCTCTTTGACGATTTCCTTATTTTTCCCGTCTATTTTGGTCACTCTCCCCAAAGGAGATCCTTGGAGGAACACCCCGCCGCCTGTCCTACTACCTCTTGCTTGATCCCCCCCTTCCCCATTTCTCCTCCTTCTCGAGGTGTTATCGACATCAATGGATCTCTTCGACATGACTGGCTCGTGTAACTTGGCGTACATTGCATGGCCATGCGGTGTACTTGGAAAGACCGCATCCAGTTCTTTACCCAATGGCTGAATCTAAGCTGCCGAGTGCCATCACGTCCAATTCGTCCAGGAAACAAGGACGCTCCCGCACATAGGGTGCTTGTCGGCGCACAAGCCAACATTGAACACGATGAATCAATCCCAATCCCAGGACGGATTTTAGCCTACCTCCAACGCCAACTAGCGACGGCGTTCTGAGGGTGACGGCAACCAGAAAAGAAAAGAAAGAAAAAAACAGCGAAGCCATCCGCTCGCCTCCTTCCCGCTTCCTGCGATCCCTCCCAACTGTGCCCCAACAAACTGATCATCATTGGTCTTTCACTCATCAATCCTATCCCTTCCTCCGCAATTTCCTCTACTTGAAATAAATAGCGACCCTTCACTCCACAATTTCTGCCATCGCCACGCCGTGCAAAAATCCCCAATGTTGTCTCCCCGGTGTTTTTGTGTCTCCACCCAACCTAATATCAAGTCAGCTCCTTTCTCAAGCATAATATCATAATAATACTCCTTTCTAAGGTGACACTGGGGCAAGACACTGCCGCCTGGGTCGAGGCTGGCACCGGGGCTGGAAGGGGAAAGTGCGGTTCCAATGACGTGCCGACGAAGCATGGCAATGGCACTCCATGCAATGGGGCTGGTGGACATGGACAACCCATGCCATGACATGCCTTGTCCTTCCCCTGGCACGTCTTCCTCCAGGTCGCTACCCGTCAGCTCTACTCTCAATCTTATCTCTCTTGAAGGGTGAATTGTTTCAATGTTCGATGATCTTGGTGCTCCCCTTCCACCATGCCATACGCTCGCCGCTGGCCACTCCCTTGCATCCGCTCTCACGTTGACAGAAATGTAGGTTTCAGACAGCACCGCAGGCGCGGGTTCAGCCAGCGCTAACCAAGCGTGGGTCGAGGCACATTGAGGACTGAAGAAATGAAGGGTACGAAGCTTGATTCAATTGTAATCATTGAAACGCCACAGCCCCCAAATCAAAGTGTCGTATCGTGGAATACCTCAGGAGTGCCTCCTCCAGCCATTGTTTGAATATTGTTTGAACTTGCCAGTTCATCCAAGTATTACGTGAACATTGAAAAGTTGCATCGGTCTTCACAGTCACCTTGTAACCCAGTTTTGAGAGAGTGGAATTGAAAAAGGGTACGTACAAGTATAATCGGCGGGACGCAGTTCACCCGAAGGATCTGCGATCTGCGCTGCTCGGGCGGCTCGTTTCCAGAGGATCGGATCACGAACACGGAAATCGGTCTCCACTTGAAAATCGCGCTTTTTTGTTCTTTTTCTTTTCTTCTGTTTCCGCGAGAACTGAAGTTGCCTTCGCTTTTCCCTTTGATGGGCAATGGTGGCACCTGGTTCAAGCGATGCTCCATGTCCCATGCCCAGCTGTGCTCCAAGCACGCCAACCCACGCCAACACCCTGGCCGGGCCTGCCCTCATCTCGGCCAGAAGGGCTCGCCCAGATTCCGGCTCGACTCCGAGGTCCCCACGTACGTACGGTTCCAAGAAGTGCTGGCCAGCCCTCCAAACTTCCAACTCGTAGTCTCGGTCTCAGGTCAATGGCCGCTGCCGAAGCTCCGTCGGCGCGCTAAGACAACTACGAACTGGGGGCGCGCCGCCGGCGTTTCCAAGCTTGCCTCTTCAGAGCCTAGCTCTGGGATCCAGCACTAAACACCATGCGCGCTAAAACGCCACTGACAGCCAACAAAAACAGCCTTCAAAAGGGGCGGATGGGCGGGCGGCCAGCTTTTCACAACCCTTGCCGGGGCGGCCAGCCCTGGGCACCACACGTGAAATCAGCCGTGGCTTCAAGAAGTACGAGGAATGTTCTATCAGCCCACCGCTTTTCCTTCCGGGGCCGTCTCCATCTCTTTTTTTTTCTCTAAAAGGGGTTCCATTCCATCCTGCCAAATGCCAAGCTCAGCAGCATCGGAATGCATGAAACCCTAAATGTCATGTCGAAGAAAGAAAGTCGCGTCAGGCATCTGTTTTCTACCTAGTTTCTGCTCTGATGCTGGCCCTGTGTTTTGTGTCTTGTGCTGCCCTGCCCAGCCCTGCCCTGCCATTATTGACTCAGCGCCTTCTCCAATCCCGAGACGCGATGTGATTGACAAATCTCCAGTTTAAAACAGGACAAAAAGATTAATCCATAGATGTCCTTTGTTTACACCGTCCCTCACCTTATCAAACGCCCAATTCTGTCTCGAAAATGGATATGGCTTAATAATGTGCGGTTTTGTGTGGGGATGCTCGTGGCAATCATATTCCATTCTCTGTAAGTTTGTCGTGTGAGGTCCGGCACGTGGATTCAACGCCAGATCTATTACACATCAATTGATGTAGTATCTAAATATTCCAAGTATACCTCCAGCAACTCTCACCTCGGCCGTGCTGGGGGAAGTCGGTCAAGACAAGCCATCCAGTTTCGGCAGCTCCCATGTGTAAACGGACTTGGACTTGACGAGGTCTCGCCACAAAAGAGTCACTCGAGACCAAGCAAGCCCAGGCCGTCGTCCTTGGTGGGGAAAAGCAATTCGCACAGGAAACAGGCCATTTCCATGCAATACTAGATATAGATACATCAAGTACATAGTGGATTGATCCATGTAAATAGTCCAAGACTGTTTCTTGCTCGTCCTGCCGCTGCCGCGCTCCCAAACCCACACACGCATGCACCGTACAAATCGTCCGCGCTGACCCGATTCGAGCAAATTGATTGCAGTGCGTGCTATTTTTATCCCTTTGCGGCTGCAGCTCGGAGCACTAGGCTTGAGCCATTGGGCTTGGGGCTAGCCAGTCCGGATTCCTCAACTGCACATTACTGAAGTTAGTTTCTCTCCAGTGGTCACACTTTGAACCTTCCACCAGCCCTCAAGTGCGTGCGTGCTCTCAGCCCTCTCGGTAACTAGCCGACTTTAATCACCAGCCCGCCTCCGAACAGAACGCGGAAGAAGCCCATTGTGGCTAGGCAAAGGTTAGACACAGGTTTCAACATGACATGAAGAGGGACGTGGAGGATATTATCCAGAGGGATACATAAATAATTATATCAACGTGATGTGAACAACATTGAAACAAAACACTGCTCCTCCCCAACGTGGGCACGCTAACCCCCATCAACACTTGGCCAAGCCAGACCCGTGGCGAGCTGAAGCCGGCCCAAGTCCTCCACATCAGCCCTCATACATACGATGGTGCATCAATGCACCCCAGTGGATCCAGGGTCAGCATGAATTCAACTGGACCTTTCGTGATGCACGATCCATTCTTTCCATCAAACCTGCCCGTCACCTACCCGTCCATGACAGGCCGTGGCCGGCCATGACCCTGACCCTTACCCAGCCCATCATTGCATTGAAAGTCTTGATACGAAGGAGACGAAGAAAAGCAACCCTTCTCTTCAAGATCAAGTATAATCGGGTTTGGTATCTTCACACTCCCTCGGACGGCGCGGAAGACAGGCGAAGCAGAACGCGGTGGAGCATGCAAGTGGAGAACAAAGGAGGAGCAGAACGGGCCATGAAGAAGAGCTTGTGACGGTAGTTTTTTTTTTCTTTTTTAATGGAAGAAACTGAGGGTGAAAGAATGAAAAACAAAGAACGTGGGTTTTCGTTTTTGAACCGGCCAAACTGATTCTTCGTCCAGTCGCGCTTCCCATGAGAATACTGTGCCCTCTCGTCACTCTCTTCTCGACAATAGTTTGGCCTCGCAAAGGCCGACACTCGTGCTGCAGGCACCTTCTATTGTGCTGTTCTTGTCTCGATATAACGTAAATCAAGCCACAGGTCCTTGGACTACCTCGAGGATGGCACACGTGGTTCTATCCACACCCAGCTAAAGATGGAGGGTCACGGCGATGCCTGATCTATCTTCAGATCATAGCGCGGACGAACTAAAAGTAAGCGTACTGGACCAAAAAAGGCAAGGGGCAAAGAGAAGAAAGAAAAAAGCAAATGTGACGAAGAACAAGCAATAGCCCTGTGACTGGCCAGACGTCAGCTTCGGAATCACCTCCGACCCGTCTCTGGCCTCGCCAAGCCGGCGCTAGCGCCTCCAGAATACGAATTCCCGACCACCCTCTGGGGATCCTCCGTCGATCTGTGGCATCCAGTCGAACCACGAATAGTGGTCCAAAGGTGCCGAGTACTGCTTTCCGGCGCCCTCTTCCGCCCACGTCATTCCTGCTGCGAACCCCGGGGAAGCTCGTTCTCTGCTCCTTGCGTCAGGCCCTGAATTCTTCTCCAACATGAACTGTCTAGACGTCTAAGCGAAGAAATCTCTTCGTGAAACGGAAATATGCATGCAGTAATACTCAGGAAATAAAATAAAAATAAAAGCCCTCTCCTTCGTTTGCTTACTACCGAGTGAAAAGGTAATATTCGTAAGGGGGCCCAGGGAGACACGGTGACAGCTCAGACCAGAGTCTGATCAACGAAAGATGCCCCCAAACAAGAAAGCGTTGAAACAGGGAAAGCCGCGCCTCGCCCACACCACTTGGTCCCAGAGACCCGACTGACACCTTGCCCACCCGGCCCTCCCACACACATACGGCATCACAGGTCCGACCTGCATCTGCGCGCTCCCCCAACAAACGCCTGCAACCCCCGTAGAAAGAACTAGTAATTCATCGCACCTCCTTGGCCCACCCTACGCCGCCCCTTGCTCGTATCACGCACAAAAGGCGTATCCTGGAGAGATGTCCCCAGTCTGAGTGACGACACACCGTTGTCAACCCAAAGAACCAGATTCTCCTCCTTCGTTGTAAAAGGAAATAGGCGAGAAAGGAAGAGAAGGCTAGATACCTATAGGTCCCCCTTGCTCGGTCTTTGAAACGTGCCACTTTCAAAACTACTGCTTCATAATTATGTGTATAAGAGCCTGAGCAGGCGCTGATGGATGCAAGGGAATAACATCGCAACGAAGAGTGACAGTCTCGAATCCCGCCATAGGGCCCTACCTAAACGCTAATGGAGGCTGAGGCCAACACCAAGGAACCTCGCCTGCTTGAACGTGTTAGATGGTATTCGCCTTGATCCTGAAGTCCAGACAAGCAAGCCTTGGGTACACTTAGGGTGTTTTGGTGCATCGAGCAACTATCAACACAACTCCTACTCAACATAGTCACGCCTACTAGGCATAGTCACTTTCCTCCTCTACAGAAAGAGTGAAGACAAGCTTTAACGTATATTGCACCTACTTCCGGTCGTCTACCTCGGCCTTAGTTACCGTTTCCACTAACTTTTTTCATTATTCCTCTAATTCTGTCGCATTTCCCTTCATGCTTAGCCCTTCTTTGGATAATCTTAATATGGCCCAACAGCGCTAGGTTTGCCTTTGCCTTTCATCACGCCTCGGAGATCAAGCTCAAGATCATACCACTTGCCAGTCTGGCGCTGTGTCCATCTTCCAAATGCGTGCTGTAATTTTCCCTGTACCTCGCTTACCGATGCTAGCTGATCTGGTAACCCTGACTGACACGCTCCAGCTACGATGTAATGGTCGTAGCTTGCCATGAAGAGAACCTTCTTCTTTATATTGGCGAGGTTGGTAGTAACTCTCAATGTAACACCGCACATTTCTTCGCCAGGGGAACCGACTCCAGCGGAAGTGGCTTTCGGGGGTCTGAGGCGCTGAGAAAAGAGGTTGCTTTTCAGCCCTTGCCGTCAAGCCTAGTGGCTTCGGAGGAGAGATGTTTGAGTTGGCGGCGGAAAAGCCCATTCCCACCGACGCGATAGCATCACCAAAGCAAGCGGCGTTCCGTATCCAGCCCGGAGATGAGGGCGAAATCGATTTATCTTGTAACGGTCCACACCCAGTCAGAATACCAAATCGGCCGTCGATGGGTGTAGATCCTCGCTCCAAATCTGGGAAGCCAGCCTTCTCTAATGGGAATTCCGGCAACCATTCACCTACTTGGAGGAGCTGGCCGGAATCTGGGAGGCTTGGGTTGGGCGAGAGCGGCACATATCTTGGCCCCAGCGACAGACTCTGGGTATTCTGTCGACAGGCTCCTCTCGCAACGTTTTTGTTGCTGTCTCCTCTGGTGTTCTTTATTCTTGGGAGCCTGAACGGTTTTTGTTGACCTCCCATGTTATCCCTGCCCCGTTTGGTAAACGATGAGGCCATCTTCGATACATAAGGTGCTTGAAGCCTTTGTAGTGCCGGGGGTGACACCAGCGCTTCAAAACTATCGAGGGTGTTGCCCTGTAGTACAGTCAAGCAAGTCTCCTCCTCTCGGTCAAGGTATCCCTTGGCAGGTATAGCCCCTGGCAGAATATCACGTTCCGCAATATGTGCCCGGGAATTAGAGCTGGTGTTGACGTGGGTATCCTTTTGCCATGCCAAATGCCCAGGCCGAGGACCTAGCTCCGGCGAGTTCATATTACCATCTTGTTTCGAGGTGGCTGAGCTCGAACCACTTGCCAGAATCCCGTTACTGCCTGAGCCTAGGGCCAACCGACTCCTCATATTGTTCCCTACCCCTTCTAGGGCCGGAATTATATTAGGCGCACTCCCTGCTCCCCGTTGCGCTCCCTGGCGAATCTGTTCAATCACCGACACTGACTGTGTCTTTTGAGCCACTGCCTCCTCCTCCGTGGCATCACAGTCTACGCCCATGTTTACAGACCACGCATTGGAGACCTGAATGGTATCTTTGATTGCCTCATTAACAGCTAGTGAAACCTCGTTTTCGGGCTCATGCGGTGGGGGCGATGGGGAAAAGGCGCATAGCGGCTCAAGCAGCGCAGAGTATGTTTCGTCCTTATCTGCTAGGGACTGTAGTTCGAGGAGGTCCTCCGAGGAAGGAACGTAGACGGTCGGGTCAGCGGGTTTGGACGACACATCTGCCGACTTGTAATACTCTTCGAACACTTCATTCACTACTCTAAGCACCCTCGCCTCATCCGTGAAGATTACTTCGTCTTTAGTAGGGGAGACATTCACGTCATAGATACCCTGCGGGCATTTTATATCTAGCCGGAGAAATGGATCGACAACGCGGTATCCATCTTTCGTCGACAACTTTGCTATGTGTGATCTGTAGGCCGCGGTAATCTTTTTCGGGGTCCCTCTATGAGGCGAAAGAGGCCTAGCATCTACTGATATATAGGCTCCTCTGCGGCATATATCAGGTAAATCTGAGTCGAATTTTGCCACAAGGGCTTCAATCCTTATCTGTGCGACTTTGACGCTCATCAGCTCCTCTATAAGCTGGGCGTCCGGACAGACGGAGGACTCTGTTGCGCGAATCAAGTGGCACTGGCCGGCGAGGCTTTTCCCAAAGCACTGTAAACTTGCCTCTTCAAGACTGGGCGGACTGCACGGAGAGTAGCTCCATGAGAACTTGTGTTCATTTGTGATTTTGAATTGCAAACGGATATGAGGCCTAGCCAAGGCATACTTCTGGAGCAGATGACGGATATCCGACAACGACTTGGAGCTTGCCTCAAGAGCTATTTTCTTCCTAACGGGCAGCTTCGCAAATAGATTGGTGATTCGAACCGTCGTTCCGACTCGAGCTGCCGTGTTCCTCTGTTCGGCGATGCCTCCCTCTCTGGCGTTGAGGCGTAGATGGTAGCCTACTTCTTCTGCCGCTGTGCGGGTGATCATCACAACATCACCACAGGAGTTTGCTGAAGCGAGAGCCTCGCCTCGGAAACCGAGGCTTGAGGCGCCAACGCTGGGTAGTTCCTGGAAGGTCCTTAGTTTGCTCGTGTGTGCTCGTCGCCCCAGCGCATGGAAATCTTTAGCATGGATGCCGCACCCGTTGTCACGGACCTCGATTTCGTCTACCGTGTTGCGAGAGATTTGCATCTGAATAGACGTTGCATGAGCGTCGATCGCATTGTCGAGTAGTTCTTTGACTAAAGACGCCGGAGATACCACAACGACAGATGCCCCGAGCAGGCGGGACGTATCTGCTGAAAGAGCATGGATCGGCATCGAGGAGTAGTGGGGTGAAGGCAGTTAAATCGAATATATATTTATAACTACTGCAGGCATTCTAGCGTCTGCGCAGGTGGAAAGTATAGGTGGCCACAAACTTCACAATATTGAGGTTGTCTTAAGCAAGCGAATTCAGCAGAGAGCGAGGAAATGGGACATCGGATCACGGACAATGCAGATGACAAGACCCGAGCGGGGGTACTTGAGGCACGTATGGAAGGAACGCCTGCCAACCTGCACCAGATGATCCACTTGATGGTTGACTGGAGCGATATTGGGGCAGGTGCCGGTCACTAAAGTAGGGAAGGGGAGTGCAGCCAACCTGAATTCGCCGTCCATCCCAGCGGAAGACAAAGTCATGGATGATTATATGACAGCACGACGAATGACTACGTACGCAGCGCCTACCATTTGGCTAAAACGTGTCATTCGGCGATCGCGGGAAGGTGCGAAGTGGGTTAGATCTGGTCTGAATTAGGTGTACAGACCTTTCCTTTTCATAATCATCCTAGGAAGAGGTTGAGGATTCACTAGTTGGAGTCCGAAGATAGAATGCCTGTGGAGGAGTCATTAGAGATCCTTTACTTATATTGAAGTGCGGTCCAGTTATCTCCTGCCAAAAGAAAGAAAGAAAAAAAAACCAATCCTACTCGGTACGTACGAAGGAGACCCGAACACGGCCAAGCTCGGCCCACGTTCTCGAGAAAACTATAGGCTGCGACGCTTCGAACAGAGTTAGCCTCAAGAAATTATACGAGGATGGAGCTGGTTCCTCTTCTGTTCGTAGTGTATCCTCATCTGTTTCCCTGATTACGGCCATAGCATTAGGCGTATCGCCCTCTGCCCTGTGGTTCTGCTGAATGCGTTATCTGTACAAGTTGCAAATTGGGTGTGTTGCGCATCATCCGGCTTCGCGCGACTAAAGTTGAGTCCTCCAGACTAGTTGGTGTCTTTTATTCTTGCACTTTACGAGCTATCAACGGACTTATCCCGGGACCTATCCGACTTGGGCGAGGGGCTTCGCCGTCGCCGTCGGGGCCGGGACCGTGATCGGGAGCTAGAAGGAGACCGCGTCTTGCGGTTATCCGGTGATCTGGAATAACGAGTGCGTTTCCTCGGACTGCGGCTGCGGCGGCTCGACTCGGAAGAATACGAAGAAGACCTGCTTCGGTCCCGACGCTTCCGCCCTTTGCCTTGCAGGGCTGACGGAAGGTGTAGAAGACCTGCTACGCGAATACCGACGGCGACGGGGCGGCGACTCTGACCGCGAGGACTTAGAGGAGGCGGTAGAGTAGCGTCTCTTCTTTGAAGGCGCCTTCTTGTTCTCGCGAGAGCGAGATGACCGTCTCGACGCAGACCGTGAGGAAGAGGATGGACTGTGCTGCCGTCTGGATTGGCGTCGGCCCCTCTCTTCATCTGCCTCATCATCAGAGCCAGGGCCGCGAGAAGAACGTGGCCGCTTATTTTCAGCATCCTTTTACCCCTGCTAGTTGACCTGTCTCTTGGTGGCTGGCGTCTCCTTGGACTAGACTCTCGGTTGCCTGATCGGCGAGTTCGCTGCGGTGCGGGGCTTCGGGAGGGTGAACGGGCTGAAGCTGTGTCTGATGCAGATCTAGATCGGGAGCGAGACCGCGAAGGGGACCGCCTTCGGCCGCTATAGCGGGCTCCTCCGCGGCTACCTCGCGGGACATATCGGTCACCGCCGCCAAACGCATCCTTCGAGTCCCGATGCCGAGGAGGTGACCGGTCGTGGTTTCCACCACGGCCAAATCCGCCCCTTCGGCCACCATCCGAGATATGATCGCCCCTTCGCCCGCCTCGCCAACCATCGCCTCTTCCGCGGAATCGCTCTCTCCTTTCACGGTCGCGTACATTAGCCTGTTCCCGGTCTTTGCGATCCATGTCTTCGCGTCGCTGGCGCGCTTCTTCCGCGGCTTTGTCGGCTTCGATCTAACACGCAAAGGGAAAAACAATTAAACTCGGTCCAGATGTCGGGCATGTATCAAGGCATCTGGAAGACATACCTTTTCTTGGATGAGCTCCTGTTTCTTTGCTTCGAGAAGCTCCTTTGGCACGCCTTGAGGGCTCGCCTGGGCGCTCAGGCAGAGCTTCCAAAGCTCCTTGCAAAAATCGGCCGTGTCTTTGTCGAGAAATCCCGTGAGCTGAATCTGCAAGGACTTGATATCCGGCTGTTACAGGCCAATGTGTGTTAGGAAACAGGCCGGCCTCGATGGCAAAGGGCAAGGGAAAGGGGCCAGTTCTTACATATCGACTACCTTCAATAAGATTGAAGCAAAGCTCAATAACGACATCGTCATCATCATTGAGAATTTCGGAAATCCTGCTTGCAATCCATCTGTGAGATAGGAGCAACCGTTAGCGTATAGTTTCGGTGAAGCTATTGACGAGGGAGGCACCCACTTTTTCATGACTTGCAGATTGACCTTTTGCATGTCAACTTTCTTATTGAAGTCTGAAGGAAACTTCGTGCTCTTCAAGAGCTTTGCATCGACGCCTGTTGCCATGGCTAGGGCGGAAGGAGGGGGAGTGTTCAGAGTGCCGGTGAATAACGTCACCTCTGAGAATGGAGCTCTCGATAAATGATAGAACAAAAGATGCAGGTCAATGCAAGATCCGACCAAAAAGTTGGCTGGTGTTGACTGGCGAAAATGGGAAAACCGGACAATTTAGCCGTACATGTGCCGGTTAAGAGGCGACACACTCAAAGGTTCGAGTTTGGGTGGGGTGAACTTTGGATGTGGGGAGCTTGTGAGTGAAGCTACCCCTCCAAGCCGACCCGCTCATCCTCCAGCTAGAAATCCACGACTAGACATCACCTTGTGAGAATAAGTTCGACGGAAAAGTGACTCTACGGCCATAATCAACTACTATTCAGTATTGACTCTTTTTCAACCTATCCAAATTATGTCTAATCTTCATGCACCAACTATTCCTTCAGGGCCTACTAGCGCCCCAGCCCAGAATGGGCAGACCATCCAGCGCACTATGGCGGAGCTCCAACAAAAGAAAGCGAATATGGAAGCAGAGTTACGAGCGCTCAGTGGCGTTCTCGACTCAGTAGGAGACCTCTATGCATTATTATAGTAACCCGCTAGAATGTGTCTCGCTGACGGGTACGCTTCTAGCATGGGGTTGACATGAACACCCCTCTCCTCACCCCCGATGGCTATCCGAGAGCAGACATCGACGTTGCTCAAAGTGAGTTGAGCTTCGAGATTAACTCAATCGCAGTCAAGCTCTCTAACCACCCATAAAGTTCGAACAACAAGATCTAGAATCATTCATCTCCGCAACGATTATAAGGCGCTGATGGATGCCATCGAAAGCCAGATTCATGCGCACTTTGCCAGTATTCCAGACGAGCAGCCAGCCCGAAACGAGCAAGGCAGCGATCCAGAACCAATCCTTCGAGACTATGTCGCCCCTGCTCCGCCCCCGGAGGCCTTTGCAAAGGTAAATACAGTTGTCGATGGCAGCCCGGCATCTTTGGCAGGGCTCAAGCCAGACGACGAGATCCGGGCCTTTGGCTACGTAAACCACTCGAATCATGACGGTCTCAAAAGGTCGCAGAGTGCGTTCGTGGAAATGAAGGGGTAAGCATGACCTTTGCGTCTCTGCTCTTATATTAGGTACTAACACAGGCTCCAGAAAACGGTTCTCGTCAAGGTATCAAGAAAAGTGGAAGGAGGACGGGAGGAACTTCAGCTCTCGCTGAAGCCTACAAGTAACTGGGGAGGAAGAGGGCTACTAGGGTGTCATATAATCCCAATCTAGTTTCCCGGGGCCAGCTAAGCTGGAATCTGATTAAGGGGAACCTTTCCGACATTGTATTTGTACTGTAAAGCATAGAGCATCATTTTGCGAACATCGAAACCCAACCTGAAAGGCTCGACGGGGATGGGAAACAAGTGCCTCCCAATTAGCGAACAAGAGTTAATACCCCACTCTACACTCATTGAAGCTTGGGTCCCAAGGCCGCGATGACTGCCTAACGAGTCCGCATTTGTCAGCGGAACAAACGCTGCACTGATTCTTCATCCTTTTGGCCTGAAGCTTTGGTATGACTCTCCATCTGGGCAGGAACAGGATTGCAACCAACCCGTTGGGAGGCAATTCAGTAGGCTAAAACACAGCCCTTGATATTTCGACCCTGACCGGGCCACCGCGTCAGTGACGCAATTTGGGGGAAGTCTCTGGCCTACTGTAAGCCACGAAAGGCATGGATGGGTGCTGACCACCAGCAGCTCCAGCTCCAGGACATCCACCGCCCGCTTGAGCTTAAAGCTCCAATCACGTGATTTTCTCGACACCGCTCATCTCATGGATCGCCCAATTGTAGATTTTACTAGTAAAATGGTTGTCTTCTATGGAAATCTTGATTTGTAATATTTGGGAAATTACAATATACCTACGAGTAAAATATGTCAATGAGATACAATTTAATCAAAGGGCCTTTTTTCCTGCTAGGCCTGGGAAGTTTCGGGCGAAGCTTGCAGGCAGATACTGCGCGAACCACGGATTAGAGGTAGACCAATCACGAATCCCCATTTGCTAGGTACCAATCGAGCTGAGGATGCCTGAAAGGTACCCTCACCATTTGCTCAATCGTGTGACATGCATTGATGCTTGCGATTCGACAGGTCCATCGTCATCGAGAATCATCCACCAGACGTGCAGGAGTGGGGCGCTATGTAGATCACGTGATTAAACGATGCTTGCTGTTTTCGCTTGATCGGGAAGGATCGATGATAGGCTTTTGCTTCATCGCTGGGCAACCCAGCCTCCCTGCCACCTGCTATGTGACAGGTGTGTAGCCTGACATAATTTTTTTTTTTTGCTTTCGCTTACGGAAAAGGCCTTGCCCACCTGCCCCAGGCACATCCCACTTCCTTTGACTGGGTAGAAATCAACGTCAGTACCGCCTCTCGTTAGTAAATCGCCTTTCCCAATCCCGCCTAATCCAACCTTCCAACTACCACCTCCCACCGCGACTTATTTATTGTCCATCTTTTCAGGTATTGTCGTTCCTCTCCTTCTCCCCGACCAGCTTACTCTTGGAGATTATTCTTTTCTTTTTCCCTCTCTCCCATCTTGCAGAGCATTGTCTCTCATCTCCGCTAACTGTCAAGCGGTACTTGCAGAACCCCGCGCTTTTTGTTTACATCCCTAACTGAAAGGCGCCTCCCACCCTCGCAGGGCGACACCACCATGGCTACTCAGGAGACCCCTACGTTTAAACTCGTGCTTGTCGGCGATGGCGGCACCGGAAAGGTGAGTTATTAAAAACAATTCCATCTCCTTTTCCCTTTTTTTCCCTCTTCTTTTCCCTAGCTATATCTATCTTGCCATGTCTCAGCGAGGCGTGGCGAGAGTCTGCCGACCTACCCCGCTGCCTGATGAGGGCATATTTTCTAACCTGCAATTTTTTCCAGACCACCTTCGTCAAGCGCCACTTGACTGGTGAATTCGAGAAGAAGTACATGGCCACCCTTGGTGTCGAAGTCCACCCTCTTGGCTTTACTACCGTATGTAACGAACGCTCTATTTCGTGTGCTCTCGATAGCACGCCGTGCTAATTATTCGCACAGAACTTCGGCCCCATCCAGTTCGATGTCTGGGATACCGCCGGTCAGGAGAAGTTCGGCGGTCTCCGCGATGGTTACTATATCAACGGCCAGTGCGGTATCATCATGTTTGATGTTACTTCCCGAATCACCTACAAGAACGTACCCAACTGGCACCGTATGTCAACACCATCCTAATCTCCCTCTATGTTGTACCATTCTGGCGACGACCGCAGAAGGCACCGTTAGCGAACAGCGAACCGGTCTAAAAGTTCGGATGCTAATTTTTTTTAGGCGATCTCGTCCGTGTGTGCGAGAACGTGCCCATTGTTCTTTGCGGCAACAAGGTCGATGTGAAGGAGCGCAAGGTCAAGGCCAAGACCATCACTTTCCACCGCAAGAAGAACCTTCAGTACTATGATATCTCTGCCAAGTCCAACTACAACTTCGAGAAGCCCTTCCTTTGGCTCGCTCGCAAGCTCGTCGGCAACCCTGGCCTCGTACGTCCCCGTCCTTTGCTGTCTTCTTGCGCACCCAAGTCCACTCCCTCCTCAAACTGTCGTGACAATGCTAATGTTCTCTTTTAGGAATTTGTCGCCGCCCCCGCCCTTGCCCCTCCTACTGCCCAGGTCGACCTCGAGGTCCTCGCGCAGTACGAGAAGGAGATGGCTGCTGCCCAAGACGTAGCCCTTCCCGATGAGGGCTCGGATGACGACTTGTAAATTAAGCAGGGTAATGGCTCCTCCTGGCTGCCTGGGAAACGAGGTCATGAACTTCTCGTGATGAACACTTGGCAGCTGGTGTAGGATGCAGAGAAAGTTTGCCCGTGGTGGACGCATGAAGGGGTGGCAGTGGATATAGTATCAGTGCAAAAGGAAGAAGGCTGCTGAAAGAGCTTGGATGTGGATGATTGAGGGTGGAGAGTTCTGATGCACGTTTCAAACAACAAACTAGAAGCAGATTGCATCGAAAACGATGGTGGTCAGGGAATTAGATAGGCTGTTGAAACCCAAGACATGTCTTTGAGGAGCGTCTTCTTCTTTTCTCGAACAGATGGCCCAGCGCGCCATGCAACGGTTGTGAATCCACCAGTATAATTTGACGCCGGCTGCAAGTACGTGCATTTACATGCAGGTTGAAACCACATGTTCCTTGTTTCCTGTGTTTCTTCGCACCATTTGCTCTAAGTTACGCCTACGAAACATTTGCCATCAAGGGCCGTTTCGTTGATTGAAAAAATGAAGGCAACTAACTGGCACCGCCATCGAAACAAACATTGAAGGCGCTTGTCCCTCGACGACTAGATAGATGAAGAAAGTTGAATTTTAAGTCAGTGACTCGGATCATGCATCGAGGTCAGCGGGGACCACGTTCCGAGAATGGCTATTTCTAGGCATAAAGCATCCTAGAGATATATGACTTGACCCTCCATTCTGGGAGACGGAAAAGGCTGGTGGGATCTGGGGCCTACCAAATCACTTTTATCCGCCAGCCCGGGATTGAAGCTAACCCCAGAGCGAGCTGCTCTCTGCCGCCGATTGAGCTTCTAGATTAATAGATGACCACATGTGACATTTATGGATTAAATGTAGGATATATATATATATATAAGGAAATGGTGCCCTGTCCGATTCTGAAAACGGGCGGGAGGATGACCGACATTCAACGATTCTCGACTTCCGACCGACGGACGACGGGGTAAACCAGCGCTCCTTTTACCTAAGTTTTTTTCTTTTTCCTTTTTCCCCCGATCATTTCGAAAAACAAGAAGCAAGGGCGATCCGGCTAGGAAATCTAGGAGTCGACTTCGTGAAGTGGGACGAGGAGCGACCATATCATCCTCGCAGCCTGTTGATAGGGCGCTGCAGCGCACCTCTACGTCCCGGGCGTGATGGCCAGCTAGGTGTTCCTAAATCAAAACATGTTGGCTTTAGGGCTCTTCTTATTACCCATCCCATGGCTTCCTGGGGTGGGGGCCCTGGGTTGGCACGCCGGGCCGCATCTCGAGGCGAATATCCGGAACCGCATGGGATCCTGGAGCAAGCGAGAGGAAGATGCCCTTACAGAGCTCAACGTCACGGATTCCGTACGACTGCGGTTTCGGGAACCGAATATATGTGAATCGACGCCGGGGTGCGCTCATTTTCGGGTTTCGTGGATCTAGATGAGAATTTGCACCTCTTCTTCTGGCTCTTCGAGGCAAGGAAGGATCCCGAAACAGCGCCCATCACGCTTTGGCTGAACGGGGGCCTGGATCAGACTCGCTGATCGGGGTGTTTAACGGTTAGTGATGCGGTGTATGGGCCGAATAACAGGGCCGGCGGCATGTTGGAAACTCGAGATGGCTGATGACAGACGTTGCATGTGGAATTAGGAATTGGGCCGTGTCGGGTCAATCCTGACTTGACGACGTCACCTAACTTTCAATCGTAAGACGTTTGAGCCGGTGCGCGATAAAGTGCCGAGTACCGGTAGCGGCTAACTGGGCTACTAGATGGAACCAAGAATCGAACCTGCTCTTCCTCTCCCAACCTTTCGGGGTGGGATTCTCGTCTGACTCGAGAGACGAGAACTCGTTGGTTCCGTTTACGGAAACCGCATCGATAGACCATACAGAGACGGCGGCGATAGCGGCGTGGCACGCTGTTCAGGCACTGCTCCAGGAGCTCCCCGAGATTGGGTCGAGCATTCGGTCAAAGTCATTCCACTTATGGACGGAAAGGTGAGTTCACACGTGCTTACATTGGATGGCCCCGGTTGGATATACGGGATCAAGAATCGTGTAGGCTGACTCTTGTCTAGTTACGGGGGCATTACGGACCTGGTGAGTTGAAACGGACGAGAGAAAGAGGGTTGAATTGTGCACGAGGGTGATCCTGGCTAACTCGCGAGGACGGCAAGCCTTCTATCGGTATTTTTACGAACGAAATGAGGCCATCAAGGCTGGGGTGCTCACCGGGGTGGAGCTTGAACTCGAGACCTTGGGCATCGGCAATGGTATTATCGATGCAGAGATCCAGTTCCCCACCGTAAGTGCTTCCACTAATGGCCTCGCAATCCGCTAGAAGGCCGGCGAGTTCGTGGCTCATGTCCTGGTTGTCTTTTAGTACCCCGTCTTTGCCGCCAACAATACTTATGGCGTCCAGGCCCTGGATGAGGAATGGATCGACTATATGACGACTGCGTGTTATATGGTCAACGGATGCTTGGACCAGCTTTGGCGCTGCAGGCAAGAATACAACATGAATTCAACAAGGTAGGCTTACTCGACATCTCACGGACACCCTCATTCGTTTACAGCTCCGTGGGCTTACATGTACTTCAACTTATCCGTACCTCTAGTCCTGCTACAAGCACCCTTTGCTCGCAAGCGGCCACCATGTGTAGGGACAATGTCGAGGGTCCCTATTACACGTACAGCCAGCGAAGCATGTACGACATCCGCAAAACCAGCGACCAGCGGCTCTATCCCGATTTTTTGTCAAGTATCTCAACGAGCCGGCCACGCAGGAGGCGCTGGGGATTGCGGTTGACTTTGAGTACAAAGAGTCCAATTACGACGTATATCTAGCCTTTCAGCACTCTGGAGATTACGCATACCCTAGATTTCTTCAGGATCTCGAATTCTTGCTGGACCACGGGGTCCGTGTATTGTAAGTAGCCATGGTCAGCCAAGAAATATCGCCACTCGGACGGCCCTCGGGTTCTAACAGGCCGTGCTCTCAGGCTCGCCTACGGTGACGCGGATTATATCGGCAACTGGTGAGTCCTCGCAAAACGACCTACGAGGCGTAGTGCAAAGTGCTAACAGCCCCGGGTGTATTTAGGTTTGGTGGGAGGCTGTTTCGCTGGCGCTGAACTATACGCAATCTATATTTTTCCGAGGGACCCCTTACGTGCCCCTCCAGTCCGGTGGCAAGGAAAGCGGCAAGGTCCGGGAGTTTGGGAACCTCTCGTTTGCCGTAGTCTACGAGGCAGGCCATAGCATCCCGGTAGATAACCCAGGCGTCGCCGTGGATTTGTATCACAGGGCGATCCGGGGCCGTGACCTGGCTACGGGCGAGAAGAATCTGACCGAGATTGTTCAGATTCCCCTTATTCCCGACTTACCCAGCACTCCGGACACAGATGCAGATGAAGGTAACGAAGGCGAGGGGAGGGGGAGGGTGACGGCGGTGGCGTTGAAGATGGGTGGATTGTGGATGAAGATGGGGATTGAGAGAGGAAAAGGACGAGAGGAAACTGGCAACAAGGCGCCTCATGAAAATTCACGGAAACGGGCTTCACGGCATGACACGAACGCAACAAGTATTTGATCTCAATTTGGATGCAAGGTTAAGTGTTAAGTGGAAACCGATAGACCTCTCCACGCCTGTATGCATTTTAAACGAAGGAGGGGAGAGAGGACTGGGCATAACACGTTAGAATATACTTGTACCTCTTAGTGGTGCATGTCTTTGAGAGGGTGTATAACCCCAAACAGACACCTTCATAAAAGCATCGACTTTGAATCTAAAGGCGCTGCAAGATGCAGTGCACGAGGAGGGGATGGATCAACAATGTGCATTGGCCCTCGAAGGATCCAATCAACCTTTGCCGAGAGCCATAAAGGCTTGCATATTTTGCGTTGGGGGTACCGGAAGTAAAATTAAGCATGCTTTTGTACTTATCCTCTGCAGCTTAACTCGGAAGTTTTTTGTTGGAGACAGTCCTCGAGCATAATGGGATAGTCAACCAATACCTCGGTATTATATGTCGGTGAGCTGTGATGGGGGAAAGGGGGATTATAAAGGGAGAGGAGCACGGCGAGTTGAGCGAGCAAGCAGCTAGAGCCCTACGGAACCCGAGTCCCTTTCATGTACACACTATTTGATGTTGGCTTGGAAATCGAGAGCGCGACTTGGAGTGGCTGCATGTCTCAATTTGACAGCGTTGAACGCGTTCTCGGTGCTCAAGCGAGAAAAAGGATAGTACGAGGTACATCAAGCGATGGCTATCGATCGCAGGCCCCAGAGTAATACTAATCAATTATTATTACTTGGCTACTTGAGGTTGAGGGTTGAGTTGAGATGGGGCACCGGAAATTGGGCGATGAAGTATCTTGCAGACCGCGTCTCGGGAGAGCCTACGCGATATGCGATAGTCGGGGTTCTTCCTTGCAACGGATTTGAGACATCGCGCTGTCGCGACATGGGCCCAAAAAAGTTTTTGCTTGTGTTTTATTGCCCCCGGCTGTCTCCGTAAATAAGACAGATAGATTGGTCCACTCAATATCTTGAGCAGTATTTGTTCAACGTTATTCTAACCCTCAAAAAGTCAGAAGGAGGTTAATTGTAGCAGGGGAAAAGATGAATTGAGGAGAAAAAAAGAAGAAAAAAACAGAAAAAAGGAATAAAATTTGCAACTGCCCTCACCTTATTTCGCGTGCTGCGGTTGCCGGAGACACGGCGACGTGGAACGGATAAACCGATAATCTCTGTATCGGGGACTTGGAAATGTCTATTTCTCTCCAAGGTGACATTAAGCGCTTCACGTGACTCTGCGGATGCAAGATGTTGACGTTAATTTCCTAATTGAGTGAAAGAGGGTCTCAACCACGCGACATGACTGGTTCAAAGCGAAAACGCGGACGGGGGTGCCACTGTACCTTGGTATTATTACCCATCTGCTGCTTGATCGCGGACCCTTGTCCCATCCCACCACGCTCGCGGCACCGCGAGGCCCTTGTTTAAGAGCTTTCGCCCTCTTGCCACTACCCTCTTAAACCCCCGGCTTCCATTTATTAGTATTGTCCCACGCTTAATACATCGATACACGCTCAAACTCGACCTCCAACCCTTCCTGCTTCTTCTCTCGCAAGCGTGTTGTCAGGCCTTTTTAACTCGTTTACTCTCGGTGGCAGGACACGACATTCACTCTCCTTTGCTTGGCTGTTGTTTTTCTTCTTCTTTCTTTCCTTCAGTTTGCTTTCGTCTTTGCTGATGCAGTCCACTCGTTTATAATCTTAATTCGCCCTTAATCCCTCGTCTTCCACCATGGCATCCGCAGAAACCTCACCGACCTCCTCCTTCGAGTTCTCGGGATACACAATGGCGGCGGAATCCACGCCACCTACAAATCACATCGCGACCCCCAAGACAATGGGCGAGCTCACAGTGGTCAAGGTCGACCCGCAAAAACACCCCAAGAATAAGCGGAAGCGTACCCAGTATGATGTTTCCCCCTTTCTTGGTTGAAGACGCGCCGATATGCGGGCTGCTATGTTTTTAGCACGTCTGGGGATAGTAACTCGCGGGACTGTGGAAAATAGAGGTACTAACCTATCTATTATGGAATAGGGCTGGAGACAAGACCATCTTAGAATCCGCCTACCAAGAAAACCCCAAGCCTGACAAGATAGCGCGTCTCGAAATCGTAAAACGCGTTTCTTTGAACGAGAAGGAGGTTCAAGTAAGTAAACCGTGCCTTGGTGAAACCCCATGCCTCACTTGATCACTCTCGTCCGGCATTCCTGGTGTGGGCACGGTAGGTTCTAACAACGGACACCTATTAGATCTGGTTCCAGAACCGCCGCCAGAACGACCGCCGCAAGTCCCGCCCTCTTACGCCGCAAGAGATTGCCGCCCTTCGTTGCGGTGGTATCCAGATCATCTCCGAGCTCTCACTCCCTAAAACCTCGCTCCACCCCGAAAACCCCTACTCTCCCGCTCCAAGTGTCGGTGCCGTCGTGAATGCTAGCAGCCATGCATCTCCCGCGTTATCCCAGGAGGCGGATAGCCCCCACTTTCACGGACATGGAGCTGGAAGTGATGTAAACGAGTCACCGGTCATGGACTCTGAGGTCAAGCCCGAAGATATCCCAAGAGTCGGTGCCCAGACTCCCTCGCCTCCTTCGGCCAGCACCTCCCCAGCAATCTCTCAATCCTTCCCTGGGGCCGGCGGCTTCCTGTCCAACCGATGGAACCCTCTCAGCTCCTTCTCCACGCCATCGGCCTTGGCCGGCGGCGCTAGTGACGAAGCTGTCAAGTATGTTATTGGAATGTTGATGCTTTTTGCCCTGGACGACCATGTACTGACGTAGTGCCTTCCACAGGCTCGACTCTCTCGCACCGTCGTCGTGCTCTTCGACTCGGTCCGACGGCAACGTACTTCCCCGACCATCCCGAGTCCGCCTGTCCTTCTCTCTTGAAGGAAAAGCCGAGATTATCGCCAACGAAACGAGCCCTCCCCGTCTGCAAGCCGAGCGACCCATGTCCGCGCTTCCCACATTACCTCAGGTCCGACCCCGGAGCCTGCAACGGAGCCACAGTGCCCTCCCCAGCATAACCCTACCCCTATCTCTGCCTTGACGGGTAGCCTTCCGCCTCCTCGTCTATCTCGCGGCAGGTCTCGCGATGTCAATGCCTGGGAGCTGTGCTGCGACGACGACGCGCCCGACGATTTGACCAAGATGGCGGAAAACGAGGCCAACGGTTCGGCCCTCGCTGCCATTAGCCTTCTCCGATCCTCGGGATCGGTCCTCCAGCCCAACGGCTCGAAGCGCAACGCGCCCCTCGCGAGGCGCTCTCAACTCAACGCCAAGAAGACGAAACTGGGCAGGAGTTTCTCCAGCATTTCGCGACTCTCTAGCGGTCCTCTTACCGAAGTTGTGAGGGTCAGGGACGAGAACGACGAGTTTCCCGAGAAGGATGCCCCCAGCAAGAAGCTCAAGGTGTCGATGCTCGTTTCCCCATCTGGCGACTCGGACAAGGAGAACTGGAGCCCTGACGAGGAGGGAAACCTGCCATTTGGCCGTGCCGTCCGACGGCCTCTTCCGGCCGGCACCCGTCCCAGCCGCCGCGCAAGGCGGATCGGGGCCTGCAGGAACAGCCACGAGGGCCCACTTTTGGTCTATCCGGGCTAATACCGCGCCTCTTCAACGTCGCGGCCTCAAATCTGGGGATGAACCCGTGAGCATCTTTGAGGATGATGAGACTCGGCGATCCCGAATGCCGGAGGAGGAAGTGGAGCGGTTCATGCGAGGCGATGTGAGCCCGAGTAAGAAGGGCGATGCCGATTGCGTTGCCGGCTTGTTGGCTCTCAGCCAGGGCAACTGGAGGTAGCACGGCATGACGTGATCGGCGGAGAGGGAAAAAGGCAGGTGGAGGTCTTGCCATGCGAACGTCCCGCCTCACACAAAATGGGCCTTGCTTAAGGCTGAAGAGCAATTAGGGTCAACACAGCACCTGGGACGAGGGGAGAAAAAAACAGTTCGGATAGGGGGAAGGAGGCTAAAGATTCACAGCCGGCGTTGCAGGATTTCCCATGATCAGCGCAGATTGGGGAAAATCCTTCTTTTTGCGGTGTTTATCCGCTGCACCTGGCCTCGTGGTCATGAGAACCCGATGTTCTCGGCCTTGCCGTGTTGGAAACCCCCTTGGTGAGGGCCGGTGGAAAATCATGCCCGCCGTTGGCCTGCGGGCAGCGGCACAATGGGGGAGGGGAGGGGAAGAAATGGAATTCAGCTCGGCGGCGTACGCATCTCTTGAAACGGAAAAGCACTATTAATTGGGCGTGGATACAGAATCTTGTCACACACAGCGGCCACGGGGCCTACCTAGGTTGGTTGGACGCCGACGATGGTGATATTCGCAGGCTCGCCACACCTTTTGGGCTCGGTTGGTTGGTGCTGAGAGCTTTTGTTTGCTCCACGACAATGGCAAGACCATTCGGACCATGGCTTTTCAGTTCCCTGGACCACTGACCGGTTTTTGGGTTGTCTGGGCTCGGTCCTCTTTTCCTTTTTGTTTTTCCTATAACTCTTTTGTTTTCTCTTGGTATTTCGGCCGGAGTGGGTTTGGCGGGGTTTACTGGTGTCGTGGGCTCTTGTGCTTTTTATCTTGTTTCTTTCTTTGTCGGATTTATGTGTGTGTGTGTGTGTGTTGGATTGATACATACAAACACCTCTACTTGGGGTTGTCCTGGTACTGGGATGAGGAATGAGGGAAAGCTTGGAACGAGTTTGAGCATTATGTTCATTCTCGGGAAATCCACGTCTGTCTTGGACTATTTTTTTTTTTGTGTCCTTGCCTCATCTCCGTGCGACGTGGGGATGGGCTTGCTCGTTCCTCTGAGGGGAGGCGACTTCTGTCTTGTTGTTTTTGCTGCTCTTCTCTCTCTCTTCTCTCGGTTCTTATGACGAACAAGACTATGAATGACAATACTCGTGCGAACCAGCTCCGCGTCTCGTGGCCTCTTGCCAACGGTCCTTGTCCTTTTCTTCTTCTCTCCTTTTCCAACTCTCCGTAGTATCCTGTGATCCCTCTTCCAATGAATCCATGGCTAGATGGGATCGATGGCCTTGGATATAAGATTTTGCCATTTCCACCCAGCCATGACGGACGCGGAACATGATGGGTCAAGATCAAGCCCCAAAGTCGATGCTTCGGGCCGGCCCCCGCCCCCGGGCCTCCCTCGGGTGCACCTCAACACCCACAACGTTCTTTCGTCCGCACCCACGCCGGGATGATAAGTTTCGGTACGCCGAGCGACAACGCCGGGCGGGGGAAAGACCCACGTGAAGCCAGAGACTTGATTTCTCCAAACGTTTCCCTTTTGCCCACGCTATTCCCATGAACGAGGTCTGGCTCAACCGTCTCCCCATTTCGCCCTTGCTCTTGCGGCGTTTGTAGCCCCCGCCTTTATCAAGGTTTTTTCCTTGGGTGCCGCGCCACTCTAGAATGCATTCTTACCAGCCCGTCGTCCTTCCGAGGTGGAACTGGCCCCTGTACCTAGACCCGTAAAAAAGCCCACCACATCTTTCCTCTTCTCCGTTGTTCTGCTGAAACGAAAACGGGAAAGAGAAAGAAAGAAAAGAGAAAAAAGAGAGAAAAAAAAAGGCTCTCCCTGCTGTCGATCACGCCAACGCAAAAGAAGATCCCCCGACGATCCTTCCTCCCTTCTCTTCCGCAAACCCGTCCCTCCCACCCTTTCTTTTTCGTCTCTCCCTATTCGGCTCATCTTGCCCTTTTACTCTTCATGGCGGGTTTTCTTCCCGTTCTCCCTCTTTTTGGCCTTGTTCGTGGAGAGGGGATTGGTTCGGAATACGTAACCCAAAATCCACTTCCCGTCACTGTCTCGTCCCTAGTGCCCCTTGTTTGAGGTGGATGTGAAGAGGATCAGCCTTGTCTGAGCGACCTAGAGAACGTAGTTCGTGCCAGTTCGTGCCAGTTCGTTAGACTGTCCGCTGTCTCTCCCATCCACTTCTCTATCAATTCCCATCCACTTCTCCATCAATTTCCAGGCATGTCTCACAAGTCTCACAGAATCCGGTCTCATATCATTCTAGGCCAAAAAGTAATAGTAGATTTCTGATCTTGTTTAAAAAAAAAAAGTTGATATTGCCAGAGCAAATGTGTTGGCTTCGGCCAAAGTCTATCTAAGTTTTGAACCACACTCGTTTCGATGTGAAGGTTTCTAGGTTTGTGTGCAGATGTAGATGTGGTGTATGTAACAAAGATGTGGGTTTTGAGCTCGCTCTCCGGTCAATCGGGCTAAGCAGCAAATATGAAGATATCATCATTACTCGTTGGACGGAGCGCCTCAAACAAGTCACCGGCTCATGGCCATGGTATATGCAATGTTATATGTGCAACGGAAAAGACAGATCAAGACGCAGTTCAAAAGAAACTGGTGCTTTACCCTGCATTCACCCCCTTTCCCTTTAGAAAAGTCTCCTTCAAATAATATGAAAAAAGGAGAATAGAGAAATAGAGAAGAGGGGGAAAAAGAAAGCTGCAAGTAAAGGAGAAGGAGAGAAGAAAAAAAAAGAAAAAGGAAAAAAAAGTTCCAGGTCACGCCCCTTAAAAGGTAGCGCGGAGAGACGGCGACGAGGACGGGGAAAAGAAGAAAGAGAGAAGAAAGATGTGATGGGAAGCCCATTCATCAGAAAACGCCCCCTCTCACATGCCCAAGAGGCTCATCTGTCTCCTCAGAGGACTGGCACTAACGCTGCCTTCCTCGCTCGCATAGCAAGCCGAGTCCGTGTCAATGTCCCATTCGGCGCAGTCGCCCGCGAGATCATCCTTGTCCCCAGCAAAGGGGTCAAACGCCTTTGCGTCGCGGCACGAACGTTCCACCTCAACGTGCGCGACACGCTGTCAAACCATTCAGTATCTGTCCGAGCGACAGTGGGGAACGGGTACTGGCTGGCGGTGATGGTGACGTAGTCGCCCTGCCGAAGCTCGAGGCGGCCCTTGCCGTCAAACGCACAGTAGGCCGTCGCACGCGAGTTCCGCGGCACCGACACTTTGAGGGCCATGGTATCGCTAAGAACCATGGGCCGGAAAGAGAGGTGTGGGGGCAGATGGGGGTAAGAAGAATGGCGGGAATGTCGGGGTGGACAAGAGAGCCACCGGCGGAGAGCGAGTACGCTGTAGATCCTAGAAATGGGGGAAAAAGGAAAAAATGTTAGGACTCTATACAAACTCATACCGAGGCTTTGACGTCTTCTCTATGAATACTACTTACCAGTTGGCGTGGAAAAGATGCAGCCGTCCGCCTGGACCACGGTGAGCAACTCGTCGTCACCATAAAGCTCGAGGTTGGACACGTAGGGGCTCGGGCCACGATCGATGACGAGCTCGTTGAGAACCTCGAACTGCTCAGCCTCTTCGTTCTGGTGGTTGATGCTGTCTCTGTAGACCGTGCAGGTGAAGCGCATGCGAAGATTGACCTTCATGCCCTCAGAACCCATGATCCGGTTTAGGTGGTCCTTGTAACGCTCGAACTCAAAGGTTGTGAGGAACCCGAGGCTGCCGAGACTGAAGGACAGCACAGGCGGGACGATGCGCTGGAAGAGCCACGAGGTGAAGAGCACGGTGCCGTCTCCGCCAAGAGTAAGGACAAGGTCAAACATCTCGGGGCGGGACCAGCAGAGATCGGGGGTCCAGTACTTGAGCATATCCGCAAAGCGAGGGTCCTCGGCAAGAAGTCCCGCGGCATCGAAGCGCTTGCCGTTGCGGAGCTTGGCGTCGACAAAGACATTGACGCCAACGTCGGAGCCGTACCGAGGGGTCCGGAGTAGAAAACCGGCGAGCTCCCTCGTCATGTAGACGAGCTGGTTGTCGCGCGCCTTGGTGACAATCATGACATTGCGTACCGCGCGCTTGATGGGGCGTCGCTGCAGCTGCTTAGCAACCTCGCGCACGCCGGTGGCGGTCTGGACGAGACGGGAATGCGACATGTACTGGTCATTCTTGATCTCCTCGAGAACCCTGTCGATGTCGACAGCATCATCGAAACGCTGGTGGTAGAAGCACGGCGACTGCAGGCCGGCGGGGAGGGCGGTGGAAAGGGTGGGGGTGAGGTTCTGGCTCGCCGCAATTTCGTTGAGAGCGTCTGTGAGCTGCTGCGACGAGGAAGTGCCGGGCCGCTCATCGACCATGCTGTGAGCGGAAAGCATGCCGGGCAAGCTGAGGGCTTCGGGCTTGTGGTTTCTGGCGACAGAGGCAAGTGCCTTGATAATGGTTTGGCGGGGGATCTCGTGAGAGGGCGTGTTCCTCCGATGGCCGGGGGCTGTGGCAAGCTTGGCGACACCGTCGGCGGGGGCAACAGCGGGGACTCAGAAGAGAGGCCGCTCAGGAAAGAGGCAGCAGGCGGGGGACTCGAGTTGATTCAGCGTTGGCATGGCGCATTAACGCTTCAGCGTGGAGAGAGGGAATGGGTTGGGGGAGCACCGAGACGGGCGCTGGAAGTTTTGGGCGGTCCGAGATTGTGCTCATATACCCTTCAGGATGGGGCAGAGTTGGCGGCGGGTTGCTCAGGGCTGGATGCAGAGACGTGGGGAAGTGACGGCGCTTCTGGAGAAAGACATGGTGTGGGACTCGGGTAATCGGGGTTGCCGCGTGCGATTGGTTCGAAGTTGGTCTGTTGATCCTTCTTTGGGATTCCGTCGTTAGTTCCGGCTCAACTCTATGTTTTTTTGGTGTACTTGTTTTTCCTCACGAGTTCTCTGGCATCACTGAAGGGTCTAGACTGGGGAGGGGCAATGTACCTTTTCGGTAACCGTACTGCGTGCCGGTAGTCGGAGTCTAAAATCGGGAATCGATTCAGACAATGTGCAGGAGCCCGACAGGTGATTGTTGGAATGTTTTCTGTTTTTCGAAATGACGCCTTTGTGCCACAGAATGCACTTCTTGGAGGCTGACAGCTTGATCAGCTTGTGGAGGGACTAATAGATTATAGCCCGTCTTATTTCTGTTTCTGTTGTCCTATTTGCACGTTTCCTCGTCAGTCGACGGTCAGACTCTGACGCCGAGGAGCTGGAAGAGAATTGGGAATGGTCAAGGTGACAGTGGGAAGGCGCACGAGGTTCAGTGCAGTCAATCACTGATGTCCGTGCCACCCACTGAACGGACCGAAGGGAATTGGGGAAAGAGGGAAAGAGCGAGCGGGACCTTCATCCACTTACCGAGTTCAGCGAATTTGCCGTTTACCAAGGACACACCGTCTTCTTGTGAGAAAAAGTGACAGAGACCCTTTTTCGGACCTGAGATTGTGCTGGTGATGACGATGTTGCGCTGCAGTTCGACGCACACGTGGTCTAGCAATATGCAGTGCGAGATGCAGGGTGCCGGCGAATCAAACCAGCTAAAGAGAGGGAAAGGGATGCAGGAAGAAAGCAAGTGACGCCAGGTCTATATATAAAAGATGCAGGTAGAAATGCTGGGAATATGATGCGAGAAAGGACGAAAGAGAGGGGGCAAAAGATGGTTGTAATGCAAAAAGAGGAGAAAAAAGATGAAATGTGAAAGTTGAAAAAGGGGTGAGACCGACTGCTCCGCTTGGTCCTCGAAATCCTGTCAAGGCGGGAATACAATGCGAAAGTGGCGATGGCCGTAAGAATAAGATTGTCAAGGCCGAGGTATCAACAGCTGCCCAGAGGGTGGGATGGAACGAGGGCAGAAGAAAATAAAAAAGATGTAAAAGGACCAAGAAGGTAAGAATGGAAACTGATGCCAAGAAATGTACAGGCGTAGACCCGTCGACACCAGACAAGCAGGAGAAGACAAAGAACACCGCGAGATGAGGTAAAGGTAGTAGGAGCAAACCTGCAAGAACTACCAGAGCTCTGCTTCACCGTCTTGCCTGTGCCACGAAAGGCGTGAGTTGGGGGAGTAAAGGGTTGTTTGGGTCGACCACGAGAAGACTGAAGACCAGAAGAGGTCGAGGAAGCTTGGTTCGGCCATTCGCGACAGCAGCTTTTTATCTATTCTTTGACTTGAACCCCCGTTCCATCCACTTCCTTCCCTCCCTCCCCCTTGACGGGACGACGATGGCGATCAAGGATGTCGAGGGTCGAGGGTCGAGGCCACATCTACCTCCACTCCCGTATCCGCACCGGCATCCACAAACAAGACACGGACGTCGATGCACCTCCGGTCGAACCCTGGACAGAAACGCGGAAAGGGAAAAAGAAAAAGAAAAAGAAAAAGAAAAGAAAAAGAAAGTAAAAGGAAAAAAAAGGAATGAAGAGCCCGTAGCTTGTATCACCTCTCATGCAGCCGCCAGAGATGCATGGGACTCGTCGATCACTTACAGCTTGCACATGCAGAGTGAAGGATCCAGAGCGGCTGGTAAGCCTGCGCGCCGGAGCTCCAGCTCTGGACCCCCTCCCTGCTTCGTAGCTCCCTGAGCTTCACACTCCACGCTCCAGCTCGACTCGACTTGTACAAGTAGTAGTATTCTTGTCAGGTAATCTGATATGGGAGGCTCCTAGGCTCAACTCATCCATGATCCCTTTGGCGGTACCCTTGCACCCTGCGCCTTTGTCCTTTGTGATTGTGACAACTGATGGAACATTGAAGAGATTGTAACAGAATTCCAGGCTTGGCGCTGGACCGAAAGGGGCCTGTGTGGAGTACTGATACTTGGCCCCAGCGTCATGAGACACCTCGTGAAGCTTGTCTCCTGAACTCGTCAGCCAGGCTGGAGCTGCACCAGACAACATTAGCTTTTCCTTCTCGTCGTTCCCAGTAAAATAACCTTTTCCGGCACGCATCTCCGAGTTCCTCGACCTTGAACCATAGCCTGGCGGCCATGTACTTTGGCGACGCCTGTTTGGTAACCGCTACACATGAGGCAGTGATGTGGGGTTTCTGAAGGAGAAGGAGAAGGAGAAGGAGCAGGAGCGCGAATGGGCCAAGAAGGGCTAGGAGGGTCTTTTTCGGTTTGCCTTTCCACGGCGTGGCAATTTGCACTTTCACTCCAAATTCTTTGCGGCCTGCCAGCTTGTAGGAACCTGTAGGAACTTCCTCCGGAGCCCCAAGCTGCCTTTTAACCAACCACGGGGACTTACAGCCTATTCTCATCCTCAAACTGCAACATCGCGGTGACCTGGATTCCCTTTCATCGAGGGACCCTACAGTATTACAGGTACAAGGGTTTCTTTTCTTTCCTTTTCTTCTTGTTTTTCAGCCTCTATTTCATCCTGTTTTGTGTTAGGATGGAACCCCCTGTCTGATTCGGAGAGAGGAGAATGCACACTTCATGAGGAGATACGCGCCGGCCTTGATGGTCGACCATGCCCGCGTATCAAAATGGTGATGAGAAGGGGGCGGTAATAATAGGGGAGCGAACGAGAGAGTCAAAGATAATAGACATGCTTTGCCAAGTTCAGACGAATCAAGCAGATATTGATCCAGCTTCACGACACGCTGCAGGCACGGCTGTGCCACGCATCAATGGGCTGGAGCTGGGTGTACTACTCCGTAGGCATGGGTGTGGCAGCACGTATCGATTAGCGAGCCCCACGTTGCTATTGCGACAGACAACATAAAAGGTCCCTCCTGTTCGGGAAGTGGGTAATTGCATCAACACCTCTCCCAAGTTAGGTAGGTCTTTTCTTTTGGCTGGTTTCGGAATCGAATCCCGTTCAAATGCATTGAATTGTTCTCTCAGTTCCTGGATTCTTCGTTTTCTGGCCCCGGCTGCGAATTCCGCCCTTTCATCTTTCGCATGGGCCTTTTATTATGTAACAGCAGCAACAGGTCTAGTATCAGGCAAGGAAGGATTACGTGGAGAATGTGAGCGTAATACAGCATAGGTTGCTTCAAGTACGTTGTTCTATGGCGGAAGTCGTTGCCGTTGCCGCTGCCGTGGTCATTGCCGGTGCTTGCCTCGATACTAGCCGTTTCGTCCTCAAAAAACAGAGGGATATTAGCAATAGAGTATATATCCGTTTTATCGTTTTACCGTTTACCGGCGATGAAATCAAGGCTTTCGAGGTCACCGACTTCCTACCCATAAACATGAGGAAAAAGGACGAGACATGGTCGTCGGGCACTAAAACCCGCCCCACCCTGTCGTCCCGTTTTCGACGTCGCTCCCTTCCTCGCGGGTTCGTCTATCAATCCCTCGCTCCGTCCCAGCCACGGCCAAATCCCCGTTCAAGTTTCCCCGCCGACCTTTGGGAATGAAATGCGTTTTGTGATGGATGAAAGCAGAGAAGGATAACACTCCACGAGTATTCGCTGACGACAAACGCTTGCGCATCAGTGTCCCACTCAAGGTGGAGTCTCCCACACCCCCTTCGTGGTTCCTCTGTGCTGTTCTCGTTGTCCTAGGATGAAAAGGGCCCTGGACCTGGCTGGCTGGTCGATGCGTCGTGTTTGACTTGTCGCGGATCAAGCAGGGTTATAGCCGACACCACCAACAGCCTCCCTCTAGACCCCCAGCTTTGTCACAATTGGAACAATTGGTGGCAGAATTCTTCAATTGCCTTGCTATAAGACGTTCTCTCAGTGGCTCGAAGGGAGCGCTTAGCGAGACGGGTTTGGGGCAATCGACGGTATATTCTAATACGTATAGTACGTATCGTCACTTGTATTTTATTGAGATTCGCCTCTCCTATCACGATCCATTTTTGTTTTATCCGACAAGATCAAGGGGACCGAAAAGATAGCCCCCTGGCTGGCCGTGATAATTGATTTGCCTTGGTGTATTATACGTTGGACTCCACCGGAGATTTGACCCAACAGGAGGGAAAGCGTAAACACCAACCCCTGTAAGATCTGAGGGGTGAGGGATGAAACTCGTGGGTCTCCCGCCTGCCTTGCCCCAAACACGGTCAGACTGTGCGGCAAGCCTCCACAACTGCGTGCGATGGGATGTGGTCCAGACTTTCTCAGGGGTCCTCCAAGGCGGGAACCGGCACTATTGTCTGTCAGACCGCCCGCAGAGTTTAAGCTCGACTTCCAGAGAGCGCAGGTTGCAGGATCAATGTTCTCAATCAAATCCTTCCATCCAACCCAACGACTTCAGTGCCGGGATTGTGAGGCCCCTCAGGATCTCCAACCAAAGGCAGCGGCGATTTTACCCAGGTGCCCCTATAACATTGTCCTTGTTTCAACAGGAGCGTCCACTTATTACCACCTCTTGTTGTCAGAGTGGCTGATTGACCCACTTATCGCGAAGTTCTTCGTATCGAAAATCACTCTACTCGGCGTAGAAGCCCTCTCCTTCTCGGCGATGGCGGGTTCGTGACTTCTTCTCCTTCCGTCCAATGCATTGAGCTTGCGCTGTTGCAGGAAACGAAGCGACTCCGTGGGGCTTCTTTTCTCGCTTCGCTTCGCTCCCCTCCCTTCCCCATCCCCTTTTCCCTCTTACCCCAGACCCTCGCCCGCGCCTTCTAGCCCTAGCTTCAAAGCTACCCGATGGCGGTTCACACGGAGATCTTCCAGTGTAGATCAGCGGCAACCTTGGAGGCCATGACGGTCCGAATGAAGTGCTTCATGTCTGCAGACCTAGCGTAGTCGGACGCCGCTTCTGTATCATCGATTGACATCTCCTCCGGCGATTGGAGGCAGACTTGGCGGGCAGCTGTGACGACATCTTCCCATTCGCCAAGCGAGAACTGCCCCTCGCTCTCCGCGAGGAGCAAGTCGTCTTCGGACGTGAATCCCAAAACATGCACCGATCTTGCATGGGCAATCTGAGCCGCGGTGGGGTCGACCACCACCTTCCCGTCGCTCGACTCACCGGGGATGACGAGCAGTGCAGCAGTCGCGATCCCCTTGAGCGGGATAGCCCCAGAGAGCAGGGCGAGAATGGCCGCATGCAGCAAAGCGGGAATGATGGGAAGGTTCTTTGATATTCGTAGTCAGCACAGGACGCTCGAAGTCGGAGGAAGGCCGCCGGCTGTGGCGGTTGCTCACAAAAAAAAAAAAAAAGAGAAAAGAAAAGGAAAAAGACACCAAACCGACTCACAATGTTGTACTGCATTGTCTTGCCATTCTCATAGTCATTCCTCGGCACTTCCACTATCTGAAGAGTCACTTGAATCAGACACCTAGGGAAGTTTCGAATAGGGATGAGCTGGCGGAGAGCGGATTGCAAAACCGACTCCAGGTGTCGCTCTCTCGTGCCTAATCTTTCCATTAGCCAAGATGTTACCAAGCCCACCACCTCGCCGTCCAGACCACGTAGACTAGGCGGGCCATGTATGATGAGGCCGAGCGGAAGCAAAACCAGACGGGAAGGGGTAGAAGGGGTAGGATCCTGACCTCCGACTCCCGCTGCCGGCCGTACAATGACATCTACGAGGGCCTCGTAGGCATATTCCTCGCGCTTCAAGGTCTCGACGGGACCATTGGCGGCAGCAATCACCTTGAAGCCGGCGTAGGAAAAGATCACGGAGCCGTCGGCGTTCGGGAGTGGCGCAATTTCGGCCGCCGGTTCTTTTATCGTAGCCATCGTGAGAAGGGCGGTGTGTGAGTTGCGAGCTGCTATGCCGTGTGCGACTGTGATGGTGGATGTGTTGGTTTTTTTCTATTTTTTGTTCCTCTGCCAGTTTGGCGGGAAGCTTTGTGAAAAATATCGAAGCGTTGAAGCTCCTCCAGCTGTTAATCGAGCTGATCTGCTCTAGCCTCAGTTCAGCGTTCTTTGTACCACGGAAGAGCACTGATTGGTCGGCTCCAGTGGCTAGGTTCTTGATGGAGGGGTATTTTACCACTAAAATCCCAAGCTTTTTAGAGCTACAGACCTAAATCAGAGTGCTTGAGGGGACAATTTAGCACTAAACCTTGATGTACTCTTGATCAAGAGGAGAGAATTGATGGATCAATCAATTGATGCGCCATTGGTCCTCCACCCAGTCTTCTTATGTCAGGAGGGGTCATGTCCTCAGGTATCGCCGCGTTGAGTAAGTAGGAGTCGGAGCATCATCCTACAGCCGGCCAAATCGTTCGATTCTCAGCACTCCCGAGACACATCCTAGTCCTCCCCGCCAACATCATCGAACCACCAAACAATACCTCCTTATACGATAGCCTGCCAGAAATGCCCGATACTGAGGTCAAGGCCGGCATCGCGCCGCAAGCGCTGCAGTCCGGGCTGTCTTTAAAAGACCGTCTTCCCCGGCTCGAACCTCGAAGGCGCCGTCCTGATCCCTCCAACCCTACCCCACGTCCAGAGACGCCCGCGCTCCCGTCGCCTCCCAACGCAGATTCGATCGCCTTCCAGGTCCCCTCGAGACGCATCTTATCCAAGAAGGACCACGAGCTCTTTCTTTCGTCGCCTACATACCAGCTCATCCAAGCATGGATCTTCACCCTGTCCGAGGCTGTTACCGATACCCCATGCTCCGCAGTGAAGGATGATGCCGGGCTCAGCCAATCCGTAAAGGCGATCCTTGCTATCCTAGACGATGCCGCACGACTCGTAGAGTCAGCGCCACCGACCGACGAGGGAGGCTCTCGATTCGGTAACAAGATCTTCCGCACCTTTCTCGACCTAGCCAAGGCGAAGCTTCCTGAGTGGCACAAGAGTCTCGGCATTGACTCCGAAGCCGCAATTGCCGAAGTGTCGACCTATCTACAACATTCCTTTGGCAACTGGGCCCGCATTGACTACGGCTCCGGACATGAACTCAACTTTGCGATTTGGCTCCTGTGCCTCTACCAGCTCCGAATTGTCACCAAGGACGATTTCAAGGCGCTTGTCCTGCGAGCGTTTTCCAAGTACCTCGACCTCATGCGAACGATCCAGTCGACCTATTACCTCGAACCAGCCGGCTCACACGGTGTGTGGGGTCTCGACGACTACCAGTTCCTCCCTTTCCTCTTCGGCGCTGCGCAACTACTACATCACCCCTATGTAACACCCCGCGCCGTCCACCAAGAGTTAACATTGGAAGAGTTTGGGCATGAGTACCTCTATCTCGGCCAAGTGTCGTTTGTGAATAGCACAAAAACAGTCAAGGGTCTACGGTGGCATAGTCCAATGCTCGACGACATCTCGGCATCCAAGTCTTGGGTGAAGATAGAGGGTGGCATGAGGAGGATGTTTGTTGCAGAGGTGCTCGGGAAGCTCCCCGTGATGCAACACTTCCTCTTTGGATCTTTAGTCCCTGCTGTAGAGGGTATGAGCACGGAGGACGAAATTGAAGCGAGCGAGGACGCGGAGAAGGAGCACTCACATCCGCATCACCACGACCATAGCCACGATGGATGGAACGACCCGTGTGGCATCAAGGTGCCTAGCGGGGTAGCGGCAGGTCAAGAGATGAAAAAGAAGGGCACGCAGGCATTACGCAGGATACCATTCGATTGAGTGAGAAAAAGAAGCAAGGAGAATAAATAAAATAGATTTCGAAAAAGTAGTCATTGATATTGGATGGCATTATCGAGAGAGAAGGAAAAATAAAATAAATACATGATAGAGACCGCATGGTGATGGGTCATGACCCCCGGCTTCCCTTTTATTTAACCAAGAAATGAAGAGAAAAGGAAAAGTTGAACGCTGCACTTTTTCACAATCTTACAACTTGGCGCTGGCGGCAGAGTCGACGACCTTGATGAAGGCCCTGCCGTTGCTAAGGCAGACCTTGCCACCGTCGACCTGGACCTCGAACCTGACCTCCTCCCACTCGCCGTCCTTGGTGCCGGTGCGCCAGGCGCGGGTGATGAGCTTGTCGCCGGGGCGGACGGGGCTAGCGAAGCGAGCCTGGTACTCCTTGATGTTGGCGGGGTTGCTGCCGCCAAAGGCCTTGAGGAGCTCGTGGCAGGTGCTGTTCCAGGAGTAGAGGCCGTGGAGGATGACGCCGCCGAAGCCCATCTTCTTGCCGGGGACGGGATCGGCGTGGAGGGGTTGTAGTCGCCGTTGAGGCGGTAGAGGAGGGCGGACTCGGCGCTGGTCTGGTGCTCGAGAACGGCGTCGGGCTTCTTGTCCTTGGGAGGGGGTAGTTCTCAGTGGCGGGGCCCTTGGGGCCTCCCCAGCCGCCCTGGCCAACGTAGAAGCCGGAGCCGACGACGCGGGTGTAGGTCTCGCCGGACTCGGTGTCGATGAGGTCGGACTGGGTCTCGACGACGGTGCCGGGCTTGCCCTTGTCGTAGACGCCGAGGACCTTGGTGCGGACCTCGAAGCGGCGGCCCTCGGAGGAGATGGGGAGGGGCTTGAGGAAGGTCATGCGGCGCTGGCCGTCGACGCCGCGGGAGGGGTCGAACTTGGGCACGCCGGGGATGGGGGTGGCCTTTTGGGCGGCGATGAAGTCGATGACTTCTTGGGTGGCTCCCTTGAAGGCTAGAGAGTGTGTTAGTCGGGAGTGCTCGGGTAAGAAAAAGGGGCTCTTTGCCGAGTACGGCTGATGGGGAAAAGGGTTATGGAAACGTACGCAAGATGATGGGGTAGGTGGGGAAGACGGCGAAGTCGGGGTGAAGCTCCTGTAAAAGTCATCGTTAGCTACGGGTCAAGCTTCCTCACTCTTCCGGTGTCATGCCATCGGCTACCTCTTTAACTCGAGCCAGCTGCGCATCGGCTTGAGAAGGATAGACCGGTTGCGCCGGGAAAAGGAAAAGGAATGGGGGCTGTAACGTACGTAGAGGAAGTGAAGCTCGTCAAGCGTGCAGCCAATGGAGTTGGCGAAGAGAAGAGCATCGCGCTTCAACCAGGTAACCTCCTGGCGGGGAACTCGAAGCCGACACCGGGACCGGACATTGTGTCTTGTTGTGTAGGTGGGTGAATAAAAGCGTGGAATGAAGAGAGGTGTGCAGCGGTTCGTAGAGTCGTCAAAAATACAGTAAAAGGTGAGCCAAGAGAAAAGGTACTGTACTTGGGTGAATGGAAATGGGAGAGAAATGGTTGTGAAGCCCACGACTCTTTATGAAGATGATGTGAGCTCGACCCAGGATTACGGCTGCCGGATGGGACTAGCCAGATGCCGAGGTTCAAGGACGGAGGCGGTCCACAAGCTTGCGAAGGAAGCTCGAGTGCAATTGGGGGTTCCTCCCCAATCGGCAGGGGCCAGCCAATTGGCGGGGTCGGTAGCGGCAAATGGGAACTACGCTAAGAGGCTGGGGGCGAACGCTCGAGGCTCGGCTGGTTCACGGCTACAATTCCGACCTGGCAGTTGGCTGAGGCAAATTCAATTCTTGTTCATGTGCAAAGTACTCTAGACTATTTCACTGTAGCCCATGGATACGCTACCGCTGTCAAGACCGTGTTTCCCGAGGAAGAATCAATTCCGAACTTCATTCACAAAAGCAGCCGTAAAGACCATTTCTTTTATATAGATTCGACGAGAAAAGACGTCCCGGGCATTGATGGAATCGCAAGAGTAAACGTTCCCCGCGGAATAAGGAGTTGAAGCAGATAGCTAATCTTTGTGTGGCCTTGCTCTTGCCTTGCTTCTCTTCCTCGCACTCTTCGCCGCTCATACGATGAACTCAAAGTCGGAGAGGAAAATGGCGAGAACAAGGGCGGAGAAGACCGATATCTAGTTTTAAAGTCATTCAGGTCTTCACAATTATTATTTTGGATAGTGTTAACGAGAGAGTCGTTTAGGCCAGGCACCTGTACATTCCGTTCTGAGAGGGTTGGCTACGTACGTGAATGCGGGGTGAAAGGGGGGCGGGGACAAAGACATTGGGGAAGGTACAGGGCGGGCGGCGGGCACCAGGTTTTTGGAGTCAGACAGACATCCATTGGACCTCGTGCCAATCCATCTATAGCCATGGAATGGATAGATGGATCCATGGATGATTCAATATTTGTCCAAGGCCCATTGCCCATGATATCAATCCTTCCTGTTTCCCTACCATGCAGGCCGCCCAGACATTGTCTTCGCTTCCCCTTCTGCTTCTACTTTAATTGACCCATCGAGTTCCTACAAGACCGTCCACTCACACATCCCGGTGCCATGTGAAGTGATCACGAGGCAAGTTTTCAGACGCCACCAGCTGTAGAACGGACGTGGACGTCTGAGATGCACGCTCCCTTTGTCCTTTGCGCGCCCGGCCGTGTATTACGTAGCTTTCATCGGCATGCTCCGATAAGCTGTCTCTGCATCATGACGCTGGCCACAGTCGGTTTCCAGCGGGTTGCCCAACCGCTCCGCTCGGGCTAGCTCGCTACGGATCCTCTTCTGCCCGACCGCAACGTCCTTATCAAGATTCCCGAATTCCCCTTCTCACTCCTGGAGGGGAACCGCCTCGATTCTATTCCCTTACAACCCCGCCAAACACCAAAATACGCTTCCCCCCTCTCTCTAAACAGAGACCGCAAGAAGCTCCAGCCATGGACGAGATTCAGATACTCAACGGCTCCGATCCCGCCGTAATTGCCGACGCTTGTCGAGCGCACTCCATCACGACGGAGGAATTCTCCGAACTCCAATCTCGATCCGCGGCGGCCAAGGCGACGGCGTACTGCCCATACAGCCAGTTCCGGGTTGGTGCGACCTTGCTCGTCGACACGTCGTCCTCCCAAGACAGCACTGCCTCCACAAAATACGTGAACGGCGCCAATGTCGAGAACGCTTCGTACCCCGTTGGCACCTGCGCCGAAAGAGTGGCTCTTGGTACCGCTGTTGTGTCAGGGCTCAAGACGTTTAGGGCCATTGCCGTCTCGACCGACGTCACGCCGCCCTCAAGCCCTTGCGGCATGTGTAGACAATTGTAAGTTGAAGGATACACTGCAGCCCCAGGTAATGGCCTGGGCCGCATCCGGACACGGGGACACGGGGACACGCGGTACAGGGCTCTGCTTCTTATACCGCAGAGTTCATTTGTTCCGTGAGCGCATTCTTTGTGAGGCCGCCATTGCCATTACTAAACCGCCCTCCACTGTTAGCATCCGCGAATTCTGCGATTTTCCAACTCCGATTTTCATGTTTGACAAGGATGGAAATTTTGTCGTCATGAAACTTAAAGAGGTGAGTGATTAGGCTTTCTAGAGGCGAGAGTGCAGAGAGTAGACACGGAGGTAGTCATGGTCTCGTTGGCCTTTTAGGGTGTCCGATATCTCGTGGCCACAGCTAATGGACCTGTCGACAGCTCCTTCCACTATCATTCGGACCCGACTCACTCCCCTCGCCGAAAGACCTTTTGGCAGCAAGGGCCGACAAGAAGTGAATGGGGCTAGCGGGGTGCTTCGGCCGAGTCGCCGAGAGGTTCAAGTTCTAGGACCCTCATAGTTTGGGCGATTTTCAAGGAGACTCAATGTTAGATGGCTGGCATACAACTCATTGGGAAGAAGTCAGCTGGGCACTCTTTGCCCCAGCCGACACACCGCGCGGGCTTGGGATAGAAAAGAGAGAGATTGCGAATGCATGGGAAGGAGCACGTCCATGCTGTTAAAGACTCTGTTCATAGGCCTTTCCTTTTCTCCAACTTCTCTCCAGTTATCACCGCCGCTACGGGCTTCGCGATGGGGAGGAGAGAAGAATCCTGAAAGGATAGGATATGTCTGTTGAGTACAGCCTTTCAGAGGGGTCCTTTCAGAGAGATGGCGTTTAGGCCCTCCACGGATCAGGCGGGCGTCGTGTCAGCCCTTGTGTTGTAACATTAGTGATGTGATAGGTGTAGCCTCGTTGGCTTGATGGCGCCATTATTGGCGTGATGCGTGGGCCTTTTCGAGACGTAAACAGCATCACCTCTTGTCATGTTAGACCAATTCCTACCTAATACAGAATCACACCGAGACGAGGGGAGATTTTGATATGCGTGCCCATGTGTGGAGGCGCTTGGACGGATTGAGCGCGCGCGTCTGTGGTGGGGAGGTGGTGGTCGCTTTGGGTATCCTTTTGCGCCTGCATCAGACCCGGTGGCTGTAACCGTAACCATGGAAAAAGGCGGAGAGAGAAGATGGAAATGAGGATGGCGATCCTTGAACGAGGAAAAATCCCGATTAGGGCGCTTCATGACTGGGGACTGGGAAACTGAGACGAGAGACAGCCTAAAGCGAAGATTGATTCAACCATTTGCCGCTCGCCCGGTTACTGGCGGGGATGCACTTGCACGCACCCCCTCTCAGTCTCGCCAAAGGGTTTGGGCGGCGCAAGGGCGCAAGGGCTCTAGGGCTCTCTCTCCACGCGAAGCGGAGGTTGACATGCAAGGCCCTGGATTGTCGTAATGTTGACTCACGCATACGAGTCCGCATTTCCCTAGGCTGGAGACGACATGATCAATTGAGAAGGCTCCACATCACGAGTTCCGTCTCGTCACAGGCTTCAAAGTCTCCAGCCAGTCGTAGACAACTTGGACTTGCACTCCCGCACCGAGGTGAGGCCAGCCTGCTACATATGCGGTGGAATTGTAATGATGGTGCCAACGCCTGAGATGCTAACGCTAACACTACATTGATACATCCATGTATTGCATCGAGCTGGTAAAATCGAAGACGGGATCAGGCTGCGAGCAAAGAGGGAACAGCGTCACCTACGGTCGACGATGTACACTTTTGATATCCACGCAGACAATATGCAACGCGCGATGATGATAATAACCTTGCAGCAAAAGGATGCGTCTTAACGCCGCTTCTACCGCCCCACGTAACCCCCTCTTCCTATATCATGGAGGAAATACAGGATCGGATCCGTATTTGGATGGAACCTCGCGGGAAGCGGCACAACTGCCGTTAGTGCTGCTCGCGACCCCCCTCCCTTCTCATCTCACCTCAGGCCGCTTCTCCTTGTAATTGTGCTTTCCTATGGCTTTTGGCTTTTGATCACCCTCTTCTGTGGAATCTACATAATGCAGAAGAGGCACTAATACCTCATTCCAATGTGTAGTAAGGCGGTGGGGGCACCGCAGTCTTTGTAGACAGAAGAGAGCGGCTGTTTACGAATCTGTGTTCCATGGTGGATGTCGAATGTGACGAAAACGTTTGATGCTTCCTCTGTCTTCGCTATCAATTGATCCATCCATGATCAATCCATCTAGACCCGACTGTCCAGGCCTTTCTACCAACTGCCTCTTTTTCATTCCAACGCCGCTTCTTCAACCAATTCTCCATTCCATCGTCGATGATGCCAACCCTTCTCGGCTCCGTGTCCAGCAAGTCGACAGACAGCCTTTGATTATTATCCCCGGTCTCCATTTTGCCATTACCGGGCTGTAAACCTGGCACTGGCTCCGGGAGGCGCACCAATCACGGAGCCAGCAAGTCAAGTCGGTCCGATGCGCTCCCTTGAAGACACAAAAAGTGCCAACAATACTTTGTACACTGGACGACTGGACGACTGATTCTTTTTTCCCCTCTCCCCTTTTGGCGTAGACTCGTCCATTCCCTGCTTTCCTTTTAGTTTTTTTTTTCTCCGAAGAGGGCAGGGGGCCGGAAGGCCTAACTAGATCGAGTCATCTCTAAACAGGACTTCAACGTGATGGAGTGTGTTGAACGACCAAGAATCGTCCTGGAGAGCAAGGAACATGAAACCATGGCCTCTTTTGACGTTGTCGTGCGTTTCCCTCTGTTTCTCCGGGGGCGTCTTGTGCGTCTTGTGCGTGGCTGACCTGGTTCTGCTCCGTAATCAATCCTGTCTGCATCTGTAGATGATGGCCCGTGGATCCACTGGCCACATTCCCAAGATACGTTACACGCGAACGCACCCACTTTCACTGGCCCTGATATAGCAATTGATCCATCGTACACCCAACAAATCGAGGTACTTCGCACATTAATCACCCGAGGGGCAAGGAGCCCACCTCGTCTGTTTCCTTTCCCGACTCGAGCGTGAACTTGGGTTGCTTGATTGCCCCCTCTCTAAAGCCTGGCCCCAAGCCATCAAGCTCTATGTAGAGACCGGTAGAGACCGGTGCAATCCCGGCCACCACTTCAAGGTGTAAGCTTTAAAAGATGAAAAGTAGATAAAATGAAATACACGTCGGATGTTTTCAAAAAGACGGCGGGGACAGGGTCGTCGAGGATGCATGCAGGGCGGGCGGTTGACCCCCTCGCAAACGCCGCATCGCTGCTCCTCCCGCATTGCCTTACACGCCTTTCCCGGCGGACAAAGGTTCCGGTTCTTGACCCCTTCTCGCGGCCAAACACAAGAGACGTGTGCGCATCATACGGCGAGTGACAAGCCCGCAAGAGGGGCGGGGAAACGCATGGGAGTGGCGAGCAGAGCAACGCCCCTCCAAGTAGTCATGGATGAGCTGGTGTAAGTCGTGAATGGGAGCAACAGCGAGAAAGGGTTTGATGTCACGGCCCCCTCCCCTCTGGGGCGAGTCTAAGTCGAAGAGGGGTGCGCATCGAAGACGAGGAGAAGGACTGGACAGAGTCCACCTTGGTTGGCATGATCGACAGATACTAAAAAGATACAATGGTTCGTTACTCTCGCTCGGGGAAAAGATAAACAAAGAAAAGGAAAAAGAAAAAGAATCAGGCGCAAAACGACCTTGATCCGTGCACACGTACAGACTTTCAACGAGACGCATCGCCGCTACTCGCTCGCCTAGACTCTTTCTCCGGCCGTCTTCCGTGGTTTCCCATGCCCCGAAGTAGATCAACGGATCTTTAAATTCTGGGTTTTATGATTATCGACACCCGCGCCTATGATATGCCGCCCAGCCCAATTGTTAATCTGGCTGTCTCTCGACAGGTCCCGTGCAGGCGACCGTCGTCTACATGTTCTTTTCTTTTTCTTTTTCTTTTTTTTTTGGTCACTTTCAATTCTCCTAGGTCCGACGTCGCCCTCTCCAGCTGAAGCTTAATCACCGTCTTTATATAGCTTAATTTTATTGAATAGAGGCCGAAGAGGCCAAGGGGGAAAACGAAGAAAGGGAAATGGGGAAAAGGGTAACAACAGAGTGTGCCGAGGTGACGAAGAACAGAGCAACGGTCAACGCTCAAAGTCTGGTAGTGAAGAGTGGAGAAGACAGTCCACCTCCGCAAAAAACAAGACATCAAGAGCGTAAAACGGTAGGACTGGGGTACGGGGAAGGACATCTAATTCGACCCCAATGAGATCACAACGGTCCCACCCCTGCTAGGGATGGATTCCTGGGTCTTTTGACCTGTTCAGATCTGTCCAAGACAGAGAGCATAACACCAGCCCTCTATGCTAGTCCGGAAGCCCTCGTGTTTCTTGTCGGGTAGTATAGTGCTATGTCCATCAAGAAAAGATCAACTTGATGTAAAAGGAAATCGAGGTTGATAGAACCAAGGGCACTAACTGTGCGGCGCATCGAAAAGGTAATCCTAAACAATAATTGGAGAGGGAAAGGAAACCAACCCCGGAGTATACATGCACTACACGATGGGGAAGAAGGGCAAGACAGACAAGATATGTACCGTGCAGCGTGACTCGCGGGTGAAATTTGGAGTCCACTGGGCGTGAAATTAGAAACAAATATGACAGAAAGACGGAAAAGCAGACGAACCGATGGGCATCTCTGTGTGCGTTTGTATGCTCACATCTACTATTCCCACTCCCGTCGTCCCGGGCGTACGAGTAGTAGTCGTACGGGCTCCATTCCCCTCGACTCCTTCTCCGCGACCCACCCACACACCCTCCCCATGGTCCCCCGCGAGCTCGACAGACCTCTAGGCTCAAGCGCCGCGGCGCATGTGCTCAAGACGGAACGGGGTCCCTCGATGGAACTGCATCCTCCGCCGATATTGCCCTGCTCCGACTTTATTTTGCTGTCAAACCCGCGCCGCAGAGCGAATCCCTGGCCATGGTTATACGAAGCAAAAGGCAAAATTTTGGTCTTTTGATCGGCCAAGGCCTATATAGCTCCTTTCCCCCGTCCTCCCTTATTTTCTTCTTTCCTCTCCCCCTCTTTCCCGATCTAGACCGGCTTTGCTGCACGGAATCTTTGAAGGGCCCTGCTTCTCGTCAAGACGGATCTCTTCTTTTTGATTAATCTTTGCGGGTTTAAGCTTTCCCAATCTCCTGGGACTAAGATCCCCACTTTGCGCAACCATGGCGAAGCTACCAAAGATCAGTACGTGAACCCTTGAGCTTGAGCTGGTCTCTCCAATGGGGGTCCAATGGACAAGGACGTCATACAGAGCGAAGCTAGCTCTTGTGCACAGAGGCCGGTACGCTGACATGATTCTTCTCTCTTACCCTTTAGCCAACACCTACTTCGTGGCCATGGTGGCCACGGTGGGCGGCATGTTGTTCGGCTTCGACATTTCGTCCATGTCCGCCATCGTCATCACTCCGCAGTACATCGATTACTTCGACAACCCTCACGGCATCATCCAGGGCGCCATCGGAGCCTCTCTGGCTGCGGGTTCCGTCCTCGGCAGTCTGATGGCTGGCCCCATCTCCGACAAATGGGGCCGTCGTGATAGGTACGTCCCCGGCCCCCTGCCCGGCTCCTCAAAGAAACACACGTTTGGGCTAGCCTACTGACAAAACGCTACCCTCAGCATCATGTTTGCGTGTATCTGGTGGTTGATTGGAACCGCCGTCCAGGTCGCCACCAATGGTATTGGCTCTCTAATCGCCGGTCGTATCCTCAACGGTGTCTGCGTCGGCATCACTTCGTCCCAGGTCCCCGTATACCTCGCCGAGATTGCCAAGCGTGTAAGTCCTCTCTGCCTTGCTGATACCCGGACCCCGAGTCGACCAGTCTCAGCCGCTAACATGACGCGCACCACTTCCCCAGGAACGCCGAGGCCGCATCATCATCATCCAACAGCTTGCCATCGAATGGGGTATCCTCATCATGTACTTTATCGGCTACGGCTGCTCCTTCATCAAGGGCACCGCCTCCTTCCGAACAGCCTGGGGCACCCAATTCGTCCCTTGCGTCATTCTCATGATTGGTCTGCCCTTCCTCCCTCGATCCCCGCGCTGGCTTGCCAAGGTCGGTCGCGAGGACGAGGCCATCCAGACTCTTGCCGATATCCAGGCCGGCGGTAACCGCGACGACCCTCTCGTCATTGCCGAGTGGAAGGAGATCTCCACCGTCCTGGCTGCGGAGCGCGAGTCGCAAAAGGGATGGCGAAAGTTCTTCTTCAAGGGCATGTGGAAGCGTACTGTCGCCGGTGTGAGCGTGCAGATGTGGCAGCAGCTTAGCGGCGCCAACGTCATTGTTTACTACATCGGTTAGTTCTCCCGTTGTAGTGCCGTCTTGGGCTGTTTCCCCCTTCTGATCGTTGACTAACATGACTGGGTAACCGTAGTATACGTTTTCCAAATGGCCAACCTGACCGGAAACATCAACCTTATCTCGTCCGGTATCCAGTACGCCCTATTCATCGTGTAAGTGTTCTCTCTCTCATACCCCGCCTTTCGAGGCTTCCGCCTGCGCCCCCTCCCAACCCAAGCCACGCCTCGCTAACAAGGTGAAACCCGCATTCCAGGTTCACGACCATCATGTTCTTCTTCATCGACACCAGCGGCCGACGCAGCCTCCTCATCTACGGCGCCCTCGGCATGAGCGTCTGCCACTTCATCGTCGCCGCCATGCTCGGCGCCTACGGCGTCGACGTCCCCGAGGGCGTCGACGGAAACGCCAACGTCGTCATCCGCGTCACCGGCTCCCCGCCCACACCGTCATCGCCTTTAGCTATCTCCTCATCATCATCTACGCCCTCACCCTCGCCCCGTCGGCTGGATCTACGCCGCCGAGGTCTGGTCCCTCGAGACCCGCGCCACCGGCATGTCCATGGCCGCCACCGCCAACTGGCTCTTCAACTTTGCCCTCGGCCTCTTCACCCCGCCCGCCTTCCGCAACATCAAGTACAAGACCTTTGTCATCTTTGGCGTCCTGTGCATCGGCGCCGCCGCCCAGGCCTTCCTCAGCTACCCCGAGACGTGCGGCAAGACCATCGAAGAGGTCGAGGAGCTCTTTGGCGAGGATGGCCCCAAGCCCTGGAAGACGAAGAAGGGCGAGTCCAGGCTCGACGCCGAGATCCAGGCCGTCATCGAGAAAAAGAATGCCACCGAACACGACAAGGCCCCCGAAGTTGAGAACAAGGAGGTTGCTTGATGATCCTGTGGCTTTTAAAACCCCACCACCACTACCCCGCGCGTTGGAGCTTTGGCGTTTCTTTCACGCGCGGTTACGCAAGCGTGCGGATTCTTGGCTGGGAAACTGTCGATTCAATGTAGAGCAAAGGGAGAATCTAGAGTTTTGAGGATTGCGTATACCCTGAAAGTTGTAGCATGACGGAGATCAACGGGGAAGATGCGAGTGAAGAGTTGGTGGCCCGGAGCTTGATATACTTGATATATAGTTATATAAAGATGTCCGTCCATGGATACTCTGGTAATCTCCATATTGGGTCATGGTGAGGCTTTTTCATCATTGTTGCGGTTTGGGCTTTCGTCACTAAAATGTCACTCTTCCACTTGCACTTACCAAATTCCTCCACCTCGGCCGTGCTATCCTGCGCTGCATAGTATCATGTTCTGCCGTGCACATTGAGCCCAAAGTCTGAGCCGCATTCGAAACCAGTCAAGACCATTTGCGAGTTACCGTGCGAGGTTGGGACGTTGGCTTAAACAACAAAGTCTATTCAATGTTCCCGTACTGATGTTCAAGGAGTGCTAGACCTGCTGTGTGTGGTGTTTGTTGACCTTAAAACCCCCAATTGAACCCTATTTTATTTTACGTCCGCCTTGCCCGATTCCTGCTTTGCCGCTACAATATTATCATGAACCCAGTGATAGAGAGAAAAGAAAGAAGAAGAAAGGCGTAATTGCATCATTCCTACAGGAAGCCAAAGCAAAGCGCCACCCGGAGTAACGGAATTAGCGTCCCATATTACCTCGAGTTCTTGATATCAAGGACAAGGATATCTTGCGCGCCGGCCTTGACGAGGTCATCCATGACGACGGCAATCTTCTTTGACTCAACCATGACGCTGACAGCAACCCAGCCATCCTCGTCAAGGCTCGTAACGGTAGGAGCACGCTTGCCAGGGGTGATCTTGGTGACTACAGGGAGCCTGGAGCGTTCGACGTTGTACTGGCACATGACGTGGCGCTGGGCGGTAATGACACCGCGGATACGAGCAGCAATGAGCTCGACGAGCTCGGGGTTGGAGGGGTTGCGGGACTTGATGAGGACAGACTGAGACTCAACCACGGTGTCAACAGCGGTGAGACCGGCAGCTCTCATCGTCTCTCCGGATTCTAAAGAGGGAGTGTTAGTTTCTACTGAAGAACTGCGGTGCATGCCTGCTCGGCACGCAAGCACAGAGACTGAAGACAGCGTGTGCCCGATACGTTCCAAAACAAATTCCCAAATATAAAATCAATAAAACATACCGACAAGATCAACAATTCCATCGGCAACACCGAGAGCACATGCCGCCTCAACACTTCCGCTCAGCTCGATAATCTTGGTGCGAGGCTTCTTGACAAGGGGAACGTTGTCGACGCCTTCGCCCACGTCCAGACCAAGCTCAAGCCTGGCGAAGTACTCGGTGGCCAGATCGACGAAGCTCGTTCCGATGGTCTTGCCGATGAGGTCTTGCGAGGTTCGATAGGGGCCGTTCTTGGGGACTTGCACCTGAAGCTTGCAACCGCCGAAGCCGAGCTCCATGACCATCTCGCTGTGGGAGTTCTTGATTTCATCATCGAGGGATGAGGAGGCGTCGACCGAGGCCCTCCGTACGCGGTTGTAAGCCCTTACACGGGCATCGTGTTCTTGGACCTGGTCCCAGCCAGTGATTCCGAGGTCAACCTGGCCTTCTCCAACAAAGGTGGGAATATCGGCGGCGGGGAGGAAGATGAGAGCGATGGGGAGGTTCTTGACCAAGGCGATGTCAAGACGGTTCTCTCGCTTGAACTGGATATCGGCGCCCTCGAGGAGGTTTAGCGTGGCCTGGTTGAGACGACCCTCTGAGCATCTTGTCAGCTCCGTTCTGGCTATACACAAAGGCCAATGGCAGGCACACTAGGCGAAACAAGGTAGAGAGGGGCACAGAGCGAGAGAGGGAGAGAGCGAGAGCGAAGGCGAGAGCGAGGAAAGGGAACAGGTGCTCAAGAGTAGCCATAGGGTGTCGAGAGAGTCACTCACTCTTGGGGACGGCGAATAGGAGGCGACCCTCGAGGCTGGCGCGGGTCAGCGCGATTGTCTCCATTGGCGACATGATCGCCGAGCTTGGTCAAAGAATTGGGAGGTGGGGAGAACAAACTTGTTGACCAGATCCATGCTTGCGACGCCGAAGACGAGACGACCTGTTCTTGAATGAACCCTCGGAGGAAATTAGGCACAAAGATTGGGTTGGGGGTAATGCGGACGCCGCGGGTGGGAGGGTCCTTGCTGGTTGCTGGGGGGGCTTGCTGCAGGAGGGGCGCCGTGACGCGGAACTAGATTGAAGGGGTGTAACGAGAGAATAGCCTTCACGGGACAAAGAGTACCGGCAATGCAGTTCAATGTGCAGACACTTGAACTCGCCGTGTATTCTGCTTTTAGAGAGCGGAGGGGCCTCAATAATTTCTTAGAGAAAGGAGTTGGGGTTTGTGCTGCGGCAAAAATGGGGGAAAAAGTCAAGAGATGCCTCAAAAGTGGTGATGGAGTCAGTCAGTCACCGCCCGATTCAAACTTTTGCCAACACTTCACCTCCGATGACTCGAAGTGCAAAAATTACTGGCTCCCCAGGGCGCTCGAAGTGGCTTTGTCAGCTGGGCTGGGCTAGGCCGCGCTGGCTTTAACTCGAATCTTTCTCGGGCCCAGTTGCCATACTGAAGTGTACTTGATTGGGGACTACTAGCATGGAAGGTGGAGAATTCTAAACTATCAATTGCTCTCTCTCGCCGACAAGAAGAGGAAGTTCTTCACACATTCTTGCGACTGGCGGAAGCTATGTTGCGCACCAATTGTATTGGATCTATCGATGTGATTCATAGAGGACATGAAGGACACGAATGGCCTACGTTGACAGATCAAAAACCGATGACCAAATGGAAATCGGCATGCTCTGCGGGACGCACGGAAGCTCTGAGGCCGCAAAGTCTTTTTTTCTTTTTTCTCGCGAACGGGCTGACGGTGATGCATCATTGGAGATTGGCGGGGTCCTATTTCGGAGGCCGCGATGGAGGGGAACTCGGTCGTCGCTTCCCATCTGTTCCATCAGGGTTCAAGTTTACCCCGCCCCCACTCGTCCCTGGCCAAATGGGAGGTACTACTTGGTGTATGCTGGGTGTGGCTGCCCCCAAGTACCCCGCCACACCTCATCGAAAATACTCTCCCCATTGAGCAGTATGGAAAAACTGAGCATTTCTCTCGTCTTATTTTTTATGTTTAAAAATGGAAAACGGGCCCCATCTCATTGGCCCCTGGCCTGTCACCTACGCCCGGCCGTCAACGTGGGTAATTGATATGACTACCTTGTAAGGGACTGCGGGTGGGCGGGGAACAGCACGATATTTTGCTCATCGTGCTGATTCCAGATGGCATAACCTGCTCAACATCTGTCGATTCCGGTCCGGAGCCCGGTGAGGCTCGAGTCTCAAGGATAGGGTAGTACGCGCACGCGAAGCTGATGAGAGAATACGCCATTTGGGAGGGGAGGGACACAACAGCAAACCGCCAGCACATCAAGTAATGGAGGTCGGCATTCCGGAGGCCAAAGCGGATGGCATCAGGTTGGTTAAAGATACTTGGTTTTTTGGTATTTTCTGTTCTGCTTTTTTGTTGTTATACTGGGAAAGGGGAATTTAGTGCAGGGTGTTTGCTATGATTGTTGCTGCTTGTGAAGGGAAAGGGGAAGGGGGTAGCTCGTGCGTGCTGCTCTTTTGTGATGATGCCAAGCCTGACCTGGAATGCATGAGCTTTCTGGCCGGGCCCGGCTTGCAGCAGGACATGTGCATATATACTCTAACAGGATATTTTCGCCCGCCCTCTCGCCTCGCCAATGCGGCCTCGCGCCACGACACGCAGCACGCAGGACAACGAACAGGCAAAACCCGCCTTGCCAACGTGCATGCGCCAGGTATATACTCCTTGAGAGGGGAGAGGAGAGCGGGGAGAGAAAGGGAATAAAGCAATCTGTGGAAACCCGAAACGAGAAGAAATGGGTCGAACCCGAAAACAGAAAATCAGGGAACGAGATAGAAAGTGTACGCGTAAAAGAAGAAGAAAAAGAAAACAAAGCAAGAAATGAAATACTAGTGCATCTCGCCAACACTGGACCCGGCTTCGCTATGGGCCGAATCCCGTACAAAAGTAGAGATCGCCGTTTGCGTGTTAATAGGTCCTAGGGCCATCTAGACGTGTTAGTCAATCGGTACGGTGGGAACATGGGGGTATATTGGCTTGGGTATATCCTACCCGTGATTCGTCTCTGCGGCAGGGGATCCTCCACGCTATCATCCATAGCCTCTGGTTCTTCGACGATTGGGATGGGGAGCCATCCATCACTGACACCATTGTTGTTCCTATGCTCCCCGCCTTGCGTGTCGTGGCCCCTTGTACCTCCTCTTTCACTCCAATGAGATGATCTCCTCCCTTCCTAAGCGGAGGAGCGAGGCTGGTCATGGCTGTATCCGAACTCTGAGGGGTACCTGGGCCTGCCAAATGCGGGCCGGCCATTGTCCGGCATATCTTGCCGCGGGTAGTACGAGTCCCCGTGCGATGTGCCGTACTCGGAAGTGTAGTGGCCGTGGCCGCTCTGAGTGTATCCGTTAGTCTCTCGGGACCGGTAGCTGGCTCGGGGGTTCTTCGAAGTCCTCTTCAAAAGGAAACTGTTGTTCCGAGGGCCCCTCTGAGCTATTGAAATAACCATAGTCGTTGTGGCCGTCGTAGCCCTGACCGTCATCATAGTCCTGGCCGTTAGTATAGTTCTGGCCACCATCATAGTCCTGGCCGCCAGTATAGTTCTGGCCACCATCATAGTTCTGGCCACCATCGTAGTCCTGGCCGCCATCGTAGTCCTGGCCGCCATCGTAGTCCTGGCCACCATCGTGGTCCTGACGGCCAGCGTGGTCCTGACGGCCATCGTAGCCCTGACGGGTATCGTAGTTCTGACGGGTATCGTAGTCCTGGCCCATGGACTGGGATGTGTGTCTCTCGTTGTTAAAGGCACTTTTCCCATCCACGTTGCCAGTCCATGGCCAAGCCCTGGTATGCTTCGACCAGGCTTCGAACGAGCTGGTGTCAAATGGATACCTGGTTTCCTCTCCATCCTCATTCATATAAGGAGGTGCCCAATTGTATCGCTGTCCGGAATAGCCCGATTCAGGGCCCTTTCCATTTCTGTCATTCCGACCCCGGAGTACTCGTTAGACCGGTTATTGAGGTGATCTAGGTTCGGCGTGTGGTGAGTCTTCCCAGACGTGCCGTATCCGGGAGGGCATTTCAACCCGGCGCCATAGATTGGGCCACCGCCGTCCTCCCCTGGCCGCCGCCGTGCACCGACTCCCAGTGGTCTGGGAAAGTGCCGTTGGCGTCATTCAGGTCTCCGTACACAGAAGGGTTGGTGCGAGGCCTCTGCGGAGGAGGCGAAGGGGAACGGGAACGGGAATACTGGGGCTGGGGCTGGGGCTGGGGCTGGGCCTGTCCTTGTGCGTAGCCATGCGCCATGCCGGGATGGAAGGCGAACGCCGGTTGCCCGAAAGATGCATCGAATTGAGGACCCGCATGGCTGTAGTGTGCGGGATCAGGAGGATATAGGACGTGCGGTACGGGACCGTAGGCATAGGGAACATAGCGGGGAACGCCGCCCCCATATACGCCACCTCCCGGAACGGCGTTGTGAGGATGGTGCCATAAGGTACATCACCTCTAGGCATGCCGCCTCCAGGAAGCCATCACCGTACGTGGGCATTCTAGAAGAGGATTCATCTGGGTACTCGCCTCCAAAGGTGCCGGTGGAGAATACGCGGGGTCTTGGAGCTTCAAATCCACCGGCCGCATTGCCACTGTTGCCTTGAGCTTGGTGCGTGGCAAAGAATTGGCCTGAAGGAACAGGGGCTGGTACGTTGGAGTTCTCAAAAGCGAGTTGATCACGGTTCGCCTCCCCAGGAGTTTCCTCGTCGGAGCTGGAACCAGAGCTCGAGCCAGAATCAGAGGCACTCTCATCATCGCTCTCATCATCGCTCTCAGAATCACTCTCAGAATCACTCTCAGAATCTCCGTTAGGGTCGTTATTGGGATCACCCTCAGGATCACCCTCAGAATCACTCTCGGAATCACTCTCAGAATAATATCTCTCAAAATAATATCTCTCAGGATCATCATCGGGATCACCCTCAGAATCACTTTCAGAATAATCCGAAGAGTCTGAAGAGTCCGGCGAGTCGAAGCGAACACGCGAGCCGCTGCTACCCGATACGATTCTGGAGCCCTTGACGTCGCCTCGAGGTGAATTTCGTAGGCCCCCTTGCTTAGGACGCGTTTTATGGGACTTGGTAGTCGTACGAACACGGGCACTTGTGCTCTGCCGGTCCGCCCGAGGAGACTTCTTTTATCAGGCTTGTGCGCGGGATCCCGGGACCGCTTCGCGGTTCCCCCAGGGGAAACTCGACCCGAGAAAGAGAAGTAGGCCTTTTGGTATGAAGGCGCCCTTCGAGATGACTTTTCTCTTGAAGAAGAGTGATACTTATGATGCTTGGTATGCGAAGTCACCCGCATTCCCCTACTTTCTTGGCTTTGTAGGTTTTGCTTCGGCTCCCTTTTAGAGTGGCCTGGCTTTGGACTGAAGAATCAGATGACGAATCGGAGTCATATCCGTCGTCTTCACCGTGGTACGGGCGGCTGCGGCCGTGGCTGCTGCTGGAGGAACGAGCGTTCCTGCTTGCAGGCTTGGAACTCACTTTGATCTCTTGCTTACGGGACTTGGTGTTCTGGAGAGGCGCCGATGGAAGGGGGTACTGGCTTCATCCTCAACAGTGGGTGCTTTATAGTTGCCCTTGGTTTTCGAAATGGCGGGCTTGGAAGGCTGGGCACCGACACTTTTGGGCTTGGAGGATGCTGTGGTCTTGGCCTCAAGAGTCTTGCCTACGGACTTTACTCCCGCGGTGAAGAGGCTCTGATACACCTGAAGAGTGCCCTCTCCATCGACTGACTCGGCGAAAAGTCTTCCTCGAACAAGACTCCGAGAGGCGCTGGTCCAACAGGATTGTTGGACTCGAAGGAAACGCACGAGGAGGTGATGAACTAGATTGAAGCGTTAGAGTGTGTCATGGACAATCTGAGGGCTCGGCCACTAGGAGGAAATAGAAGGACTCACGTCAAAATCATCGTCGCCGGCAGCCTGTCGTGCCTTGGCGTAGACGGTACATTCCTCGCAGAAATTCGGAATAGGCTTATACTGGGCTTCAGGCCGGTACTTGAGCAGCTCCTTGGTGCGAACTTGTCCGCAATGGAAGCAAAATTGTTCAAATCTGGCCCCTGGGGCTTCGAGGGACCCGATGAGACGCTTGGTCCGGCAATTAGTACAAAAGTTGCGGCGATGCGTGCCGCCATGGAGCTGATGGAAACGGGAAGAGCGGACGCAGTCGCACCCCGAACAGACATGCGTTCCTCGTTCCATTCCACCAAGGGCTTGGCTGCTCTGTTGCGTGAGAAGTCGTCGGCCGGAGCTTTGTTCGTGGTATCGGTAGCTGCCCCCACTTCGTGGTGTGTGGCTGTCCTTTGGCGAGCGGACAATAAAGGGCGATGCGTACGACACGGCTCTAGCACGGGGGTCCGCTCCGAGTCCTCAGTCAGCTGCTTCCCGCTGAAGTCCCGGCCCTGTAGCCCCCGAGCCCCGTTGGCCTTTGGGACGGGAGTCCAAGGACCAGAGGAAGGGGATGCTTCCGCCTATTGTCGTCGAAGTAGGAACCTTCGCTTGAATATCCGTCTAGGTCGTCACCAATTTGCCAATTGTGACTGGTGGTCTTTTTCAAGATGGATGGAGGCATGTCTAACTTGATAGATTGGCCCTTTTATTAGGAATCTTGGGGGTTTCCTAAGAAAAAGATTCAGTTAAAGAGTGAGTAATTTCTCGACTGTGTGTGTGTGTGTGTGGGATACGAGACGCCGAGACAACTTACAGTTGGAGCAGGAACACAGGAAGCACCAAATCCTGGGTCACGATACCCTCTTAGACTACGCCCTTGAGAGCGGGGATGGATATTTTCGGCATCTTGTCCAAATTCATAGTCGTTCTCTCCTCCTTCTGGAATATTTTCAACAGCCTTCTGACCTCCAGGAGTGACTTTTCGAAGCAGGCGCTTCCAAGACGAAACCCTCCTCTCTGTAGTCGGGGCTATTGCTTTAGTAGGATGCGAGGCTGGGCATCTATCGTGGCCATGCAGTTAGCAACTTTTATCTGACGACAGACACGAGCGATGCCAACGAAGGAGGGCAGCTAGCGTCAGGCCGTAGGACGATGCCCACGATTCCTCGTGAACCCAGACGCATATGAGGGTCTAGGCGAACTAGGACTAGGCAAACGGGAATGATACTGACCTCTCTGTCAAGGCCTCTTCAATGTCTCGTCGTTTCTTTGCTGAACGAGACATTTTCGCGGACCGGGTCGAAGGCGAAAAGAATAAGTTGGTCTCGTGAGAATTTCAGAGTCGTAGCTTTAAGCTAGTAGCATTACGAGCAAACCAAGATAATTTACTGGGTAAACTGGTATTGAATCTTGGTAGATAATCAATGAAGTAATGGGTGAACACGTACGCGTCCCTCCTTGGTCTGGTCAGCGAAGTTCCACATCCTTTAATGTTGAGTACTTTGGGACTTGATTGTGGTGTCAAGGAGACAGCTAGGAAGGTCTCACCTTTGAGATCCGCGAATTCTCGAATCTTGCTAGCAATATGGTCGGAAGTATGCCTTTATGGCTGATGCTGCTGGCAAAACTAAACGAGATGCCGCGTGGTGGTGGTAGAGGAATGGGCAAAGTATAGATAAGAGGCGCGTCTCTCGGTAGCCGCACGAATACAGCAAGAGTCGAGGCTCAAGGGATAAAGCGAGGGGTGAAAAGGGTAAACAAGGAGTAGCCGAGCCCTCTTTAAGACAAGAGGGCCCGAGATAATTGTCAATGATAAACTGAGGGAGATAGAAGGTGAAGAAGGGTAGGGTGTGGTGATGAAGGGTGATAAAAGAGATGAGGAGATGAAGGTTGGGGAAATGGGAAAGCAAAGGGAAGGGGAAATGAAAATAGAAGAAGAAGGTAGTTGAGGAGAAAGAAAGAGGAGTGGAGATGGAAACTGGGTGTGATTAGGAAAGGCATGCCTTGGTAACTGAGGGAGGAGGCATGGTCTCCTCATGCGCAGCATCTATCATGCCTTCTGAGGGTGACGCCAAGATCTTGTTGGCGATAGCCTAGAGCGAGGTTTGGCGTCCTGTGATTGTCAAGGCAAGGTCTGAGGCAGCTCAGGCGAGCTTCCATTGAGGGAGATACTCTCATCACATCAACATCAACTTAGGTATCAGAGCTTATCCTACTTCAGGCTAGCAGGACAAGGGTAAGGATCTGAAGTAGAGAAAACTGAGAGAGAAACAAGGAGTAATCGTGATAGTCAAGGGGCCTTGAGCCTCATCATAAAAAAGAACTTTATTGAACCATTGTTTCGTTGATACATGTACAGTTGTGGTATCTGACCCCCATTTTCCTTTGTCTACATTCTTGCCAATCCCTTTACTCTAAGAAGCAAAAAAAGTTTGAGTAGCAGACATGATGGGGAAGGGAAGAGGAAAAGAAAAAGGAGACTTGAAATGTAAACTTGTGTGTGTGTGTATGTGGGGTCCGATTCCATCCATAGCTTTTGTTAAAGGAGAACCTCTCTCAAAGTTCAGATGGTGTTCGAGAGGATTTTAGTCAACACGAAGGACACGCTGGGCCCGCTTCTTGCTTGCCTTCTTCTTCTTCTGACCCCTCTCAAACGCAGCCGCAGATCCATGGTCTCGGCCGAGGTTATCGAGATCCTTGACCTTGTAAATGCGGATGATCCAGTTTTCGCTGGTGAAAGCCTCCTCGAGGCTGTCGAGAACGGGACCCTTGTCTGGCAACCGGGAGCCTCGGACGCGGTCCATGGCCTGACCAGGAGGGAACAGGGTGTGGTAGTTGTAATAAGACAACTTGTACCTGTTGGTGTGTATTAGTCATCTGGACAAGGTATGATGTGCCAACATCTCGGGCAACCTGGGATGGATCAAAAAGACTTACATCAAGCTGTTCTTCATGGTATCAGTAGCGCCGTCATCAACCTTGTACTCGCCTCGGGGTGTAAAGAAGGCACGCTCCTGAACCTCGTCAGGCCAGATGCCCTCCGCAATGCGGACCATCCAGAGGAACTTGTTGATATCATCGCCAGAGTAGCCCAGAAGACCGCCAAAGACAACAAGCACGTAGTCAACCTCATGCTGGCGCATAATGGGGTAGCTGACCTCCTCGCGGGAAGCCATTGCCTTGCCGACTGTGGCAATATGGGTGTTGTTCCACGTGTTGTTGTCAACAAGGGTGGGGCGATCGGCCATTCCGCCAATCTGATAACCATAATCCCACCACGACATGATTTTGGCGTCCTCCTTGGTGTTCTGTCGCAACCACTGGTAGGCTTCACGGTAATCATCAATGATGTGCTGCGAGCCATCAGGCATGCGACTGGCGAGAACAACGGACGGGGACGAGTACGCATTGGAGGTAACCCAAGTGCAGTGAAGAACAAAGACGACCAGGTAGGTGAGGGTCAAACCAATCATGGCAAGCTTGGACACAACCGAGAAGATGCCGACGTAAGGCTTGCTCGTAGACCTCAAGCTGCTTGACTTGGCCTTCTTTGCCGCACCGCCATCGGTACCTTCTTCTTGGGCTGCGTAGTTGGCGGGGTTAGGAGAGGCGACGTCGACAAAGGTATCGATAATTCGAGACAGGGCAATAGCCGCGGCAACGCAGACAACGGGGGTCAAGGTCAACATCAGACGGACCATGACACCAGAGAAGTAGCTGCCAAAGAGCGCATAAACAATGATGAAAACGTGCTCATCCATAAGCTTGTCGAAGCAGAGGTAAACGCCGGCGGGGAACAACCAAATGAGGAAGTTGAGGTCGAAGAAGAAAGCAGGCCAGGCGGTGGGCTGATGCTCGGAAACTGAGGCAATAATGGGGATGTGGATCTTGGCGTAACCGGTATCCCAGAGAGAGTAGAATCGGCCGCTCCAGGGCGCAATGTAGCCGAGAGAGGTGAGCAGGACAATGGAACCGGCACCGAGAACGGTGACGCCGGCGACGAAAGCCCACAGGAAGGACTGGAACTGTCGGCTGCTGATGGAAGACCGCACGTACTGGACAAATCCGAGAAGCTGGACGAGGCCAAAGACACCTGCACAATGTTAGGAGCACGGGACGCGAGCGCCGGGGGTGGTGTTGGAGAGATGAAACTTACCGAGGGCAGGCATGTGCTCGCTGGTCTTCACAGGGTTGAAGCCAACGAAGGGGATCTGCATGCTGGCCAGAGTGCCGAGGGCATACCAAGTGGTGTAGCTCACGTATAGCCTAGAGCTGTAACGGCCCATGATGATGAGAACAAACGCATGGAGAGGCAGCAAGCAGGTGATGAAGGCATAGCCACCCCACGAGGCAACCATGTAACCATAAAACAGAGCGCAGAGGGCACCCCAGAACATGGAACCGAGCTTGAGGGCCTTGATCCAGAGGTAGAAGGTATAGACAAGAAGGAAAATAGCAATGGCTTCGTTATCGTAGCTTCCGGCAACGGAACGCGAGATGTATCCGGGAGCGATACCCATGAACAGGGCCGCCAAGAGACCAGCGGATGGGGAGGTTGTCATCTCGTTGGTGAGCAGATAGGCGGCAACGGCTGTCAAGCCCGAGAATCCGGGGCAAGAAGCACACAAATATTTCGGATATCGACGGGGACAGTGAGGGCACGGAGGGTGTGGTAGATGATGCCGCTGGTCACCATCAGTCCTGGGTAGAGAGTGCCTCCGGTAACCCGACCGAGAGGATGCCAGGTCCGATCATCGAACCAATCCCAGAACTGATTGAAGCCATTGGCAACGAGATATTTTGTCGCTCGGAAATTGAACCAAGGATCGACTGTAGGCGAGGGCAGGTTAGCGAGGGGTGGGCTATGAAGGTTGACGAGTCGCTCGAGTCTGCGTCAAATGGAAAGGGATACTAACATTCATGGATGATACTTTCGAAACCTAGACGCGGAGATTGTTAGTCAATGGATAGCCCAACGCCATTTGAAGACTCGGTGGAGCAGCTCTCAATAAATTTCTGCCTGTGAAGAGATTGAAATGCCAGAGGAAAAGGTGCGGGTGCATTGGCAAGGTGAACTCACGAATGACGGAAAAAGACGACTGGAGATGGCGGCACCAGCGATGAGACAAAGGATGACGACTCGAAAAAGAGCTCTTGTGTTTTTGCTAGCGACTCCGGAGAGCGGGTCCAGAGATTGGGCCGACATGATGGCTTGTTGATGTCGGGGGATTCTCTGGACAAGTTGAAGATTTGGCGATGTGTGGAAGACCCAAGTCGCCAAAGTTGTCGTCCCAGCTGCTTTACCTGCCAGAAAACGTGAGAGGACAGCTTGGAGCTTATGCGTCCTGGCGTCGCAGGAACCAGGGGCGTGGGTGGTCAAACCAGGAGTGGTACGTACCTCTCCGTGTGGGCTTCGTCCACGTATTCTCTGCGAAGAAAGTGAACGGGACTTGCCGTGTGCCCACCACGCATTAGCCGAACATGTGCCGAACGCTGGTGTGGCCGAGCAGGAAAATTCATGGCGTTTTTCCCGAGCTGTTTTTCTGACCCTTTGAATCTCAGATAAACGCATCCGGATCACTCCATCGCCGCCACGACCTCGGAACGGGCCAATTGGTATCGCCGTCAAGTCTCGACCCTCGTCTTCAATTCCGCCGCCCTTCTTGAGAAGTTCCGCCGCCTGTGCGCATCGTCCGATTTCTCCCACAGTCGCCATGTCTTCCTCCGCTGCGGTTAATGTATGTGGCTCCATATCCCCGATCCACCGTCGCCTCCACGCACCCGCAACCAACCCGGCGCTCAATCATCAGAGCGCCGCAAAGGTCTTGGAGAAGGCGGACCTGGTTGCCTTCTTCATTTCGAAGTTGGGATCAGGTCATCGCTCTAGGGACGCCGAACTAACAATGCGCTCACTCTAGGTACTCCGGTACTCTGCCCTCGGCCTCGGCCTCTTCTACGGCTTCACCCACCAGAGGAAAATCACCTCTACCCAAAAGGCTGAGGCTGACCAGCGCGAATACCAGCGCAAGGAGGCTTTGATAAACAAGGCCAAGGCCGAGTACGCCAGGTCGAAAAGCCCTATCTCCGCCACTACCGCTGGCGGCGACCCTGGTATGTTGCGCCCTTTTTGTCTTCAACCTATGGCCCCAGTCACGCTTGATTTTGGCATTTGCGACGAATGTCCTTCTGTTCAGTTTCCCCAAGCGCCGTAAACTAACTTATCCTCTAGCCACTCGCGACCCCAACAGCCCGAAGTTCGACCTTGAGGCCGCTATCCAGTCCTTCTTGGGAGACAAGGCATAGGCTTATCTCACAAAGAACGGGGGTTTGTTTTAATGCGTGCTGATGTGGACCGAGGCGCCTGGAACGGAAGTACTAGCCAGGATGCCTATCTGTGATAACGAATGGGGGAGGGACCGCTCGGAGCTGTGAAGAGCGTGTCCCGTGAACGATAATGCTCTTGCGCCGCAGCCGTGTTCTGTTGTGGAAGGTTGAGCGTCGGTGAACAAAAACTACATAGAGGTTTCCTTGAGTCTCTTGTTTCCTTTGCTGTATATGTGTACAATACACAAACCTAAAAATAGATGACGATTCTAAAAGCAAGCTCCCATCTTTCACCCTCTACCTCGGCACCGCCCTCTTCAAGGTGATCGAGGCTCGTCATGGTATCCAGGCCCGTGACCTCCGGTGCCAGCAGTGCATACCAACCCCGAGTGTACGCTCTAGGGCAAGCATTGACAATTCTTGATCAGCCCTGGGATAGCCCTTGGGCCAAAACGCACTGCGTCTCTTTCACAAGCCCGGCCTGTCGAGTTGTCCAGGCACAACCATGTATTTCGAAGATAGAAATACCTTCTTGTGGACTCACCCAAGGTGAAGTCAATAGAAACGAGGGACATTTGATTTCTAAACCGCTATTGCCAAGGCTATCAGAGATCTTTTGACTCCACATGTCAGCGCTGTTTGCGTCGATTCTTTTGTGATGAAACCGAGATATGCTCTCTTACCCAAGTGCCCACCCACGGATTTTATGCCTCGCACGGACCACACTTATACATCCTTCACTTGTGCGCCTTCATATTGATTGACCATTAAGCAGCAACATTCCTCTAGAATGCTAATAAACATTCACCAATTGATCTGGTCACTCGTTTGGTGTACACTATCCCGATAATAATATTTCGTAGGCGGAAAGTTGGGGACGCGGTTCGAACGAGTCCCAAGTTCCGTCGACAGCAAATAGGCCTTGCTCTCCACGTTCAAATTGCCCTCCACCCCTGATATTTTGCAACCTCCGAGCCACGAGAGGTCAGTCCAGGAAGCTACAACCAGCGAATCACGTCCTTTTCTACCACATAACCAGCGGATCGCGTCGAAACCTGACGGCCGAGCCCCCTCCTGCGCATCACCATTCTAGCTACCGAGAGCCCGAAATGCCAGATTCGATCCAATAAAAGGACCAAAAAAATGCAAACCCACAGGGACGAGATCGTCGCGAAGAGGGCGCGGCTTGCAGAGCTCAAACAGCAGAGGGCTCTCCGGGCTGCCCAGGTTGGCAGTAGACCATCCCTCAGCGCTGCGACAGATGTAAGAAGCGTCGGCCTTTTTCCTTTCCGACTCCCCCAAACCCCCGCTCCCTAGGGGTTTAAGAGGCAGTCGGTCTGTTCACCTTATTCTAATAATCTCCGGGTGTACAACTAGATCATATCCCCCACTCCTAGCCGTACCGAGGACCGCCTCTCGATCGAGCATCTCATCGACAAACTCGTAGGTGACAGGCCGGTTTCGACGTCATCAGGAGGCGCGGGCTCCCTGCTCCGCGAGGGAGCCGGCCAAACAGCGTTCTTAGTGCGGGGGCCAGCACAGAGAACTCCGAATATGCACCCCCTCAACGACGGCCACGCCGGCCGCCCACGGCCCGCCTCCTGCCCTCACGGCCGCACCGCTCACTACAATCTACGAATGCCCCCTCCCCGGTCAAGGAGGTCTTCTCATACAACAAAGGCGTGCAAACAACGGAAGACTGGACGCCGCCCGCCCGTGCGAGAGCCCAGTCGATCTCGGACACTGAGGACATGGGTGTAATGGCAACGCCAAGCAAGCGGCCAAGCAGGAGAGAGCGGGACCGAGAGGAAGAGATCCGGCAAAGTATCCGAAAGGAGGTTGAAGAGGAGCTCAAGGCTACCAAGGAACTCATGTCGGAAGGGATACTTCAAGCTACGAATGCGAACACGACGAGCAACTTTCCGCTCAGACAACTGACGCAGGAGGAACTAAGGGCAGTCATGTCCTCGGAGGAGCTAACCGAGTTCATTGACAAATCGTCCAAGGTTATCGAGCGAGCCCTGGACCAGGAGTACGACATCTTGATCAACTATGCGCAAACGGGCCTTGACGTCGACGAAGAAGATGACGAAACTGGAAATACGGGTGGTAAAGGGAAACGCAGGGTCAAGGAGGTCATTCAATACTTTAACGAGCGCTGGTCGAATAAGCGAATGATCAGTAGTGTCGAATTCTCCCCCAAGTTCCCAGAACTCCTCCTCGCCTCCTACACCAACAACCCAGCGGCGCCGCACGAACCGGACGGTATCGTGCAAGTATGGAACCAGCACATGCACGACCGGGCCGAGTTCGTCTTCCACGCGCAATCGGACGTCCTAACGGCCAGGTTCTCGCCCTTCCACCAAAACCTTATCATTGGCGGAACGTACAGCGGGCAGGTCCTTCTCTGGGACACGCGAGCGAAATCGGCGCCGGTACAAAAGACGCCGGTGACGGGCTACGGACACACTCATCCCGTCTACTCGGTCGGCATCGTGGGCACGCAAAATGCCAACAACATTATATCTTGCTCTACGGATGGTGTGGTATGCGCCTGGAGCATGGACGTCTTTGCTCAGCCGCAGGAGATGCTCGAGCTCAAGGCACCGGCGCCAGCCAAAATTGAGGACGTTAGCCCCACGTGCTTCGCTTTCCCCGATGGCGATCCCACCTTCTTCCTGGCAGGAACCGAGGAGGGCACAATCTACCCATGTCACCGATACAACCGCGCGGGCGCTAAGGCAGGCATCGACTCGGACTTTAGCTACAAGGGCCACACGGCCCCCGTCATGTCGGTCGACTTTCATCCAGCGCGTGGGCCGGTGGACCTCGGGGATTTCGTGCTCTCGTCCTCACTCGATTGGAGCGTGAAGTTGTGGAAGGTGCGAGCCCCGGCGGCCACGTCGACCGCAGGGACGGCGGAAGGTCATATGACGCCCCTCCTAGACTTTGTCCGTGAAGACGTCGTGTACGATGCGAAATGGTCGCCCATCAAGCCCGGGGTGTTTGCACTCGTAGACGGGGCGGGATGGCTCGAGTTTTGGGATATCACGGTGGAGACGGAGGAGCCCGTCACACGAATCTCGCCCAGCGCGCGCAAGGGGCTCGGACCATGTTATCGAAGAGTCTGAACAAGCTTGCGTGGGAGCAGACGGAGGGCAAGCGCATCGCGACTGGAGGGATCGACGGATCGGTTACGGTCTTTGAGGTAGCCTCTGGGTTAGGTGGCAAGGAGGATCTGAAGGCGGAGGAGTGGACAAATGTGAAGAAACTCGCCAACCGCGTAGAGGCAGCTGGTCCAGGCGAAGTCTTTTTGCTTTCCTAGAAGTATTGGCGAAAAGATTCTTTGCCGGGACTTGACCTCTCTTAGCATTGGCACCTTGGAAGAAACGCATTGAGGAGATTTTCTCCTCTTCCTCTGCCCACCTTTGTTCCCCTCCCCCCCACCCCTCTCCATATTCATCTACGCTGGGCTTCGTTTTTTCTGCTCCATCTGGGTAACTCGGCGCAAGGCATGCATGATTGGCCTCTCGCACCCTCACATATGTATCTATCAATTGATAAACTATACCCTCTCCTCCGCATTCCTTCTTGCGACTTGATCAACCCCATTGTAGAGATGAAATGGCATTTGGCGTTCATAGCCCTCTGTCTCCTGTCAGCTGCTCTTTTCAGGGGTAGTTCTAGCACCTGGTGATTCGCTTGGCCCAGCGTGTTGGTAGAAAGTGCACGCCTCTATCAACCCGCGGATCTTAGGTTGTGTGTTGGATGACGAACGATTGTTGACGCGTCCAAAATCCCGACAAATGGAGAGCCATGCACTTTGAGGGATCCACGCTAATGGGTCTAGTATGGATGGATCATGGGAGAGCGAGCAAGTGAATACTAGTCACGGGTATTACATGCAGGGAAGCAAATACTTGCTAAGGAATACCTCCACAGATCGATCCACGGATGGGTATATTCGGAGTCCATGGATGGACCGATCATAGGAACTGAGGTACTGTTCTAAACATTGACGTTGAATCTGCTTCAGTACATCGACATAGCCGTGCAACCGTGGTACTACGGGGCCGCTAGAACCATCTTTGTCTCTCTCATACTAGGCAATATTATTCAAGACAAAATGCCCATTTATGTCTTGGAGAGGGCTGGGGAAATCAGATATCGGATAGGGGATGGATAGGATAGTACATATGCGGAGAGATAGTATGAGGTAAATGCACAGAACCAGCGAGTATCGTGGTTTTGGCAACGATTGGGAGGCTCTCTATCTCGCTCCGATATCCCTTGTAACTTCAGGGACGTGACGTTGTTAACCGCAGCCAATTTCTGCGTGCCGCGCCGAGATCCGGGTTTGAGGCGAGCACAGGTGGCACAAGTGGGTTGAGATCAATGATGCCTTATTAGTGCGGAGCTCTGGCAAGTCTTGGCGTTTGGATGGACCCTTCGACCCTGAAAATCCAACGTTCAAACGGCCGACACAGAGCTGCTCAAGTGTCCATCGATGCAGCACGAGTTCTACCTCATCCATCCAGGACGTATGGACGTGCATCGAGATGGATGCATCTAGGAAAACAATAGATTGACTTTCTGCACTTTATGTACTCTTGCCATCGGGCCTACCGTTGATCTATGGATATTGATGCCAGGCCAGCCCAACCTAACAGCACGTTTGTGAGGGAATCTTTGAGCGAGGCCAATTGGTACATGTAGGCTTGGAGACTGTGGAACCCTCTCCGTCCGAGTTTTGGGAATTGGAGGCTGATCACTTTGATGGCTGATGGATCCAATGGATTCATTGGTTTCAACCTCTTTCATGTCAAGTAATCTTCCGATGCTCTTTTCTTGGAGGAGACCCCACTAGATTTATCTTTTTCTCCCCTCTCGTTCCCCTTACAACAGACAAGGCAACATACACGAGCTTTCGACGCAGGCAGCGATACCCTCAGAATCACAGCCCTCCACCCCTTCTGCGTGCCTCGTCGCTTGATTGGAAAATATCATTGCTGAAACTAATTAATTTTTTCCCACATCTTGTGAAATCTATGTCTCTTCTCGAATTATCTTTCGTCATCTGATTTAATCGGCTCCGTCCCCCAACTTTTGTCGCGGCCGCTCCCCGGCAAAACTAGACCTCAAACGAATTAGGACCCCCTGGGAAGCCCCTGATTCGAGCTATCTCCTGGGATCACACTCTGATCTTCTTTCTCCCGGTTCCCACCTTCGCACCCGTAGCCTCGAGAACACAGTCGGCCTATGACGAGTCTGGGGTAATCTGCTGGACTCAACATCCCGTAAGGCGGACCCTCCAGAAACAGAAGTCCAACCCACGCTCTCGCTTTCCCCCATCCGATCCCCTTTGCCGTTGCACCAGCCCGTCTTTATCCAACCGTTTCTATGTGAGGAAACATGGCTGGTGCCGGGACTGAGCCTGAAGCTGGCCCCTCCAGCACCCGCGATCCGCCATCCGCCTCCCAACCAACACTGCAAACGACCGCCCTCCCCTCCTCTTCCCCAGTTTCCTCCGACCAGGCGGCCAAGGCAGCATCTACCTCTATCAACGCAGCTTCGAAGACGGACGTTGCAAACGAGCCCAACCATCATTCCTCCGCGACAAATGACTCTCCCGCCGCCACCGCCTCATCCACGCAAACCACCCCCGCCACCACCACCACCACCACCACCACAGTCGACCTCAGCCCAATCCCAGCCGCAGCCGCAGCCCGACGCCCCTCTATGGCTGTTGAACTCGACGATTTTGGCCTACCCATAAGGCAATATACCGCCCCGAGCTCCACCGCCTCTGAAAGCGGCCGTTCGGTAGACAATCAGCGCCGGAGTCACTCCAACAGCTTCACGTCATGGTTCCCAAGGCGCTCCTCCAGCCAGGGCCCCAGCCGGCTCACCCGGTCGGCCCGGCGATTCCTTCTGCCCAAGTCACTTCCAAGAAAGAGATGGAAGCTGAGAAGGGCGAGGTTCAGGGCGGAAAGCCAGGCGCCCCGAAAGATTCCAAGACCGGCAACACCGACGGGGAAGATTCGGACGTGTTCAAGGACGCTGTCGCGACACAACCGGATGACACTGACGATGACGATGAACCGCTAACACCGATGCCGCCGCTTCCTCAGACCGAGACCCAAGGGAAGCCCTCTGCACCCAACGCTGCTCAATCAACCCAGCCTACGGAGGCAGAGAGCGAGGCAGCGCAGAAACAGAGATCGGCCACCCTTACGTCTACCAGCTCGAGCAATGCCAACGGCGTATCTGAATTCTCTCACCAACATGTCATCACAAAACATCACGAAAAGGAGGAAAGCGACAGTGAATGGCAAGAAATGCCATCTTATGCGAGGTATGACATGTATGACGACGACGACCGGCTGATTGCGCGAGAGCACGAGGTGGAAGAGGACGAGAAGCACGAATATGCCGGTCTCGGGGGCGCCGGAAAGGGATACACCCGAGTAATCATGGATGACGACGCCGAATCGGCGACAAGCATGGACGACAACACCAAGTATCTCTTCAAGGACATCAAGGGAACGAGCATGATGGAGGAGGACGAGGAACAGCGCGATACCGTGTCTCAGATGCAGGCAACCAAAGACCTCTTGACCGAAGGCCAGAGGATAGCGTATGTGGGCGTGGTCCGCCTCGAGATTCACTCCATGGTCAAGGAACAAGAGGCCGTGGAGCAGACCAGGAAGAGCAAGAAGCTCGTCAATATCTCGGCAGAGGCTGGCAAAATGTGGGCGCAGAAGATGATGATTAGGGTTTATTCCCACATGGATATTAGCCAAGCCGAACAAGTCATGATTGAGCAGCTCGCCGAGCACGGCGTAATGCCCACCGACCTTACCCCAATTCTCATGGCCAACTCGCGAGTCAACAATCCCATGGCCGAGAAACCCACGAGTCCCACCTCGTCGGGTTCCAAGAGCGGCCCCCAGTCCCCAATCTCCCCGACCAGGAAGTCGCGGCTGAACCCCCGCCACCCTACGAAACCCACGAGGGAGAAGATCTGCCCGGGGTCATGACCCCGTCCCAGCTTCCCACCTCGACGAAGCTCGATATCGATCTCCGATGGACCGTGCTGTGCGATCTCTTCCTCGTGCTCATCGCCGACTCCAACTACGACGCGCGATCTAGGCAACTCCTAGAGCAGGTCGGCAAGGCCATGGAAATTTCCTGGATCGATATCTGTAGGTTCGAAAAGCGCGTGACGGACGCTCTTGAGATGCAGCAGGAGGCCGAGAAGGAGAACTGGAATGAGGACGACCATATGGAGGAGCGAAGAAAGCTAGCGTTGAAGAGGCGGTACGTCATGATGGGCCTTGCTACCGTCGGCGGAGGCCTAGTCATTGGTCTTTCTGCCGGTCTCCTAGCACCCGTGATCGGTGCCGGCCTCGCCGCCGGATTCACCACGATCGGCGTAACAGGCACCGGCAGCTTCCTCGCGGGCGTGGGAGGGGCGGCCGTGATCACCTCTTCGGCCGCCGCGTCGGGCTCCATCATTGGCGCCAGGGCGGCTAATCGACGTACCGGCGCCGTACGGACTTTTGAGTACCGACCCCTCCACAACAACAAGCGCGTGAACCTCATCATCACCGTGGCGGGGTGGATGACGGGCAAGGTGGACGATGTCCGCTTGCCTTTCAGTACGGTTGACTCTGTCATGGGGGATATTTACTCGGTATTGTGGGAGCCGGAAATGTTGAAGAGCATGGGTGACACGATGAACATCCTCGCTACCGAGGTGAGTACACGCGTTTGATGCAGTTTCACCACTGACTCGTCCCTCCTCTCCCTCCCCTTTAAATTTGGGGGTTTGGGTGTCTTATTACATAGGGGGTTGATCGCTAACTGAGTTTTTTTCCCTTCTATTCCATAGGCCCTTACTCAGGGATTGCAACAGGTTCTGGGAAATACCATTCTGGTGTCCTTGATGGCTGCACTACAACTTCCCGTCGTGCTAACGAAGCTGTCGTATCTAATTGATAATCCATGGGCCGTATCCCTCGATCGTGCCACGGCGGCCGGCCTGATTCTCGCGGATTCCCTGATTGATAGGAATCTTGGCACTCGGCCGGTGACGCTCGTGGGCTATTCCCTGGGTTCCCGAGTCATCTTCTCGTGCCTCCAGGAGCTTGCCAAGAAGGGAGCGTATGGATTGGTCCAGAATGTCTACCTGTTCGGCTCCCCCGTGGTGGTCAAGAAGGACGAGTACTTGAAGGCGAGGACGGTGGTGTCGGGCAGGTTCGTCAACGCGTTCAACCGCAACGACTGGATCTTGGGCTATCTCTTCCGGCTGACGAACGGAGGAATCCGGCGAGTTGCCGGTCTGGGACCGCTCGATGAGTGCCCCTGGATCGAGAACGTGGACGTTACGGCCCTCGTCAACGGCCACATGGACTACCGAACCAAGATGCCTAGGCTCCTTCGAGAGTGTGGCTGGCTCGTGGAAAGCGACGAGTTTTCGGAAATCGAGGATCCCGATCCGGAGAACCACACGGAGCGGCAAAGAGAGCTCATCAACGAAATCGAAGAGGCTCGCAGGGAGTTGGAAAAGGAGGGCAAGGAAAGCAAAGGCGGCAGTCGGTTCAGCATCTTTCGCCGAAAGAAGGCGCTCGAGCGTGCCGAATGGGAGGTTTACCAGGACTCTCTGGGCAAGGAGGGAGGTGGCAAGGGGGAGCGGGCGATGCCAATACAGGAGTTCTCTTTGACGTGGAAGCGATCAGGGCCGAGCTCGCCAAGGAGCACTTGGAAGTCAAGGAGCTCAAGTCGACGCTACCACCGATGAAGCTCGACCTCCGGCCATCCCCAATTGTCCCACCCGCGGCATCACCCGGGGGCGGAAGCTCCGGATACACATCGCACACGCCCAGCCCTCCGCGGACGGCAATCCCGACGAATCTAGCGGAGCCCAAATCCACGTGGGGACCGTCGCGGATGGGGAGCGACGCAAGCCTACGCAAGGTCTCTTCAGAACGGACACCTACGCTGCCCAAGGACCAGGAGCTTGCGCGGTCCCCTACTTCCAGCATACGCACGACCCGATGGAGGACGAAGTACAGATGACGTTCGACACAGGCTTCAGCCATAAGCCGGCGTCGCCTCTCCCGCCCACATCACCTCTCCCGCCGGCGCGGTCGCCATCGCCTCCACCGCCGGCCCCACTCCCGAAAGATGATGACGACAGACACCACGGCGGCGGCGGCGGCGCGACCAGTGGCGGAAATACTGGCGGGAAGCCTCAGGCGGTACCGACCATCGCCATCGCGGATCCATGGGCGGATCCTGACGACGAGGATTTTGGCCAAGAGAAGGAAATACAAATGACTTTTGCATAGATGAATTACGGGGTTTCGAGGAAGGGCGTCGTATGCGACGTCTCCTTTTTCTTGGTTTCTGCTGTTTTTATTTCTTCTAGGGGGATCATGTTTTCTTCCCGTAATGGTTTTTTTCACCGATTGGATCAACTACATACATATATATATATCCCAGGGCCCCAGCCACGTCTACGAGAAAGACATTTGTTGGTTTCGAGCCTTTTTTTTCCTTTCCTCTGCGCTAGATGCATAGGGACGAGAGAAAATCTGCGAGAAGTCGGCTCCGTGTCGTGTAGACTAATACTATTATCAACTCTTATTCACGGCCAAAGGGGGTTTCATCACGGGGAAGGTCAGGAGAAAGAGAAAGGAAAGGAGGGTAGGCAAAGGCAAAGGCAGCAGCAGGATGCGATTTCCTTGGGCCTGGGGAGGGGGCGAGGTCAAAACGCGTTGGTTTCGTGCTGGATGTGTTTGCGAAATGCTGGCTCTCACGCCGAGAGCCTGCTCCTAGGTTAGAATGGCGATTCCTACACTCTCGGTCACCGCTAGGGCAGACGGAAGCTGTATAGTATATTACGACGAGCATTCTCCTTGAACATTTTTGAACCTTTTACGCGCCGAGTCAAGTAGACATAATGTGGACACGACCATTCAACATGACGTCTTCCATGTGGATGGTGTGTAAGAGGAGCTACATGTAGCCTTGGGAAACGTGGCCGCCAACTCAGGACTTGGCAGCCCGGCTGTGGCTGAGATTCCTACACCCGACACCAGGGACACGACGAAGCGTTGTTTCACGTTTCATGTATCGGGGAATGCACATTTACTCTCGGACTCTCTCCGGCAGGGGGCCAATTGGTTGCAAAGAGGAAGGCGGTTGACGGCTTGCGTGAAGAGCGGGCAGTGGAGGAGATTTACAACATGTTCCCCCGTAAGCGCTGGGAAGGGCGCTTCGATCGAGGCAGGAACGCAAAGGGATTTTTTCCTTCTCGGAGCGGGATCTATCATCTTGCATTTCATGCATTAATCCACGGGGTACCGACGTATAGAATCCGCCGGCTTTTCTCCTGCTTTTTCCCCTTCTTCTTAAGTGAGGTCAGCCCAGAAGGAAACGGCTGCGAATGGGTGAGCAGGGGTTTTGCAGGGTGCCAAGTATATTATGTTGGACGTTGGCGGCGGCGGGGGCTGCTTCATCAAGCGCCACGGTGGGACAGACGAGGCGGGATTTAGGGAGAGGAAGGAGGAACAAAAGGACTGGATATGTGCCCTAAACGTCTCGAAGCCGAAGAACAAGAGTCCGGGGGCCGACCGTTCAGCGGCGCTGCCGGCTTGGCGGCTGTTTGCGAGCCGTGTTTGCGTTGGGGGCGTGAGGTCGGTTATATGACGGACAAGAGCGCACATGTCCATTCATCGACTGATGGAAATCGACCGATCACTCTCATCATCCTCCGTCTCGCCGGGAGGGGCTCGGGGCCATGACCTGACTTTTCCCGTTGGAGGAACACTCGAGGTTAAAACAGCCCTTGAGGGTGAACACCGAGCTCCTTTTGACTACAATGGATCAATGGGTGTATTTGCTGGCCCTCGTACGGCGTGGACCTTTTCCTCCTCGGGTAATGCTGTTATACAATGATCCCTTCAAGCCATTTTCTCGCTGCAAATTCTTCTAAACATTCCTCCGCCCGGCCCCACCGCCTTGGAGCTAAAACAAACATCCATTCCATGGTCCACCCTTCGCTGCGAATTCAAGGGGTGTTGGCTTTTCTACCCACCGCATGTCCGCTGGACTGGAGATAAATATAGCAGCCAGTAGCGCATGGTAGTGGTTTACGTGAGATCCATGGATCATCGTGGCCCCTCCCCTGACACTTTGATCACGCATCAGCGAGCGGCGAACGACGGGTTGAAGAGAGGGGAAGGGCATGCCGATCCCTTTTAAGTCTTCCCCGATCCCTCTACTTCTAGGAGAAGATGATCGAGAACCGATCTGCTTGTAATAACAAGGTGACCTTGATTTTTTTCCTTTTCCTTTTCTCTTTGTACACCGTGGTCTTCATAGTCAAGTATATCCAACACGGACACAGCCCCTCCTCGTGAAAGGAGGAGAAGGCGTCGGCCGCCAATAAGGCATGTGGATCAGAATTGAAACGAGCCAGGACGAGCGGGTGAGCTGATCGGCGGGCAGCAAAGCACACGCAGCCGCTGAAGGATGGGGAGTGGACTGGTTTTCGTTACAGGATAACAAGTAATAAGGAGAGGAAGGATATTCGATTAGTATTATTAGCAGTCATCAAGTTCATTCTCAAGGCCTCGATCCTTTCGCCTGCGATTCAAGAGTCGGAGGGGTTTCACACAAGAAGGGCAAATAATGATGGTAGATTGTCTTCCTTGGGTATTCCTCCGTCATCAACAATCAATCTATCCGCGCTTTATTCTGCACTGGTGAATTGACAGACTTGCAACGAGGGCGAGCACGAATATGCAGTATGTCAGAGAAAATAAAATAGAGTATTCTTGAAAACTGGACCCCACAATTGGATTAGTGGAAGGAAGGAACTAATATTTCACGAATTGGCTCAACTGGGCACCGACGTGGTAGATTAGCCAATCAGGGCGCCGTGTTTTCCATGAGGAAGGAGCCCGTTGCAAGGAAACCTTGGGAGCGATCCACTGATTATGGGATTATGGGGGAAGGGAAGGGGTACCCGCGCAGCCACCCACTCTCATGCAGCCCACGAGCTGCAGCTTACCCTGCGCCCCTCGGAGGTACCGGTACAATGTAAATTGTGAGGAGACGTCCCTGGTGCTTGGCTCTGATCTCAACTGTCAAGTCTGTCTGAGTCTTGGGGGCCAGCTCCGTCAATAGATTCGATCCAGGTCGCTTATTACATTGATCACAGAGTTCGCGAATCAGCCTGTCAAAAGTCGGTCTCACTCGAGTCCGAATTTAATCAATGATGCCAAGAGCTCAAACGCAAGACCCGGCTATGACAGCCACGGCCTACCAGCCCACGAGTTCATACCGCACTCCCAAATCGCATTTTATCGATCGTAGACGTTGGTTTGTTGGTCGCAGGTTCGAGTAGCCTCTCTTCAAGACCTAAACCCCATTGAGCCTTCGTACAAGTCATGAGACACATGGAGAGGAACAGCGCAGTCGCTTAGTTTCTGTCCATCGCATCGATCATCTTGCACTGCGTTCTGCGTTCTCCAGCCCCAAGTGCAACAATGTTCAATGTTCCCCATCAAAAATCGAGGGTCGTTCACCAGGCCTTTGTACCGACCCACCACGCGCGGTACCTGTACTGAGACTTTCGACAAGGCTGTGCTGTGGGTGTGGACCCAATGGATGCGGGCAGATTCTCACTCCTCGTGAGGAACATTGAACTGGCACTGACGGCTCATGGTCGTGGTCGTGGTTGTGGTTGTGAGATGGAGACACAGACCCCTGCCATCAGCCCAGCCCAGCCCAGCTCGTGCGTGAAAAAGCCCCAAGGAACCTGCCAAGCCTGCCCAACCATCAGGAGGGGAAAGGAGAGGCAAAGAATGCACCGCCAGCACGAAGCCCCCAAAACCAACAGGAATACTCTCTCGCCAGCGCGAGACTTGCCCGTTCTGGCCTGGCTTCTTCCAGGTCCAAAGTATTGAATCCTTCTCCTTTTTGCCCAACGCCAACACGAGATCAACTCTTTGCGTACGGTTCCCGTCCGCGTGCTATGAGGCCAAATCAATATCTCAAAAAGAAAGAAAATCGAAAAAAAAAAAAAAAGTCTCCTCCTCTCGTCTTGCAAGCTGAGAGAAACAATGACTGGAGGCTTATTTTCACTTCAACCCTTCTGGCAGGTAGTTTACGTGAGGGGCTGAAGATGCCGTTCTTCCAGCCCCGTCGTGCCAGTCTTACATCAATGTACACAACCATCATAGTGTATACCCGGCTTGATGCAGGTTTGGCCTCGGCCAGCTTGCGAGCAATTCATCCTCTGGGGCGAACAAGAATGCCGCTGATCCGATCTGGACAGGCTCTCGCGTTTTGTGAGAGAAGAAGACAATGTCCAGTCGGGCGGGGACGGAATGAGGAATGGGGCTGATGCTCGACCGACCTTGCAGTGTACTCGGGACTGGCATACAATCTTTGAGTACATACATGATGTGCAGTGGAATAGTGGTCGATTGACTCTGAGGTTCAATGCAAGAGAGCTGGGAGGAATCCTTCCGTTTGCCAGTAAGATGGGGTTGCTATTCCCGACATTGCGCATGGCACTGCCTGCTCGAGGATAGGATCCTCTCTCCCCCTCGAGTATCTTTTTCCACAATCTTCAATGCCAGTGTAGATGTCTTACTTTCCCGCTGGACTTTGGCGATAGAGCTGCTTGAAGTGATCGAGCGCTTCTATCCTCGAGAAGAGTTGGCCAATTCTCCTCTTTTGCCTCTAGTCGTTTTCATCATTTCCCCGACTTCCACAACTCAACTCATATCGCTCTCTTCAGGTCAAGGCTCCGTTAGGAACGGTCGAGCCTTTTTGGCCCCCCTTGTCTGCTGCTCTGCACTCACCGCGCCGCGGACTCCTTGACCCAGGTCCAACTGTGGGCTGTCACCACACTAGCACCAGTATTGCCCACCCACGCCCCCCCAGCCAGGCTGAGGCTGACCCTAGTCACCCACCCCCAGTCCTCGCTCGTTCCCTTCCTTTCCCTTCTTTTTTCCCTTTTTCACTTCTCCATCCCGAATCTCCTTTTCATCATCTCTGGCGCACTCCCAATATCGCCGACAAACAATCAATATCGTGCTACGAAGTAGATCACATCAACACCAACACATAGACACGAACCCGCTTACAACGAAAGCAACAAGTGATTTCTGGGGCCTCTGATTCCCTCGACGATTCATCCACCGAACGAAAAAGGACGAAAGCGAACCCGGATCGCGGATTTGTTGAATCTAGCAATAGCAGGCCGAGCCCGTCAAGCGCTATCTGGAGCGGTGAACCGCGCGGAAACCCCAACCGAGAAAGCGTACCGGACGCGTGAAACTCCCCAACCTCCAACGGTGAAAAAGGGGGAAGGAAACACGACAAGGGCCCTTTTTACAGAAAGGAAACGAAGAAACGAAGAAAACGACAGTTCGATTAGCCCCTCATGTCTCGCAGCGACAGCTTACTCGCGCCTTTACTGGAGGCTTCCGGTTTCGATTCGGCGGCCACCGCCCGGACGGCCGGCGATATCTTCCTAGAAGGTCGCGTCCTAGGGGAATTTGACGCTCGGAGAAGCGACGGCAATGGCGAAAGAGAGGGTAGTGTGAACAGCGGCGGCAACGGAGACGACGACAAGAGCATCCAGGACGGAAACGGGAACACCAACACGCCCTCCTCACCCTCCACGCCGCAATCCGCCGTCACTCTCATCAGTGAGCTCGGCATCACGGCTTTCGTAATAGTGGATAACCCCATAAACCCGACGTACCTTTTCCGAACCGAGACGGGCTACAAAATAACGGGTGCCAAGTGGGTTGAGGTCACGGACACTGGCGCCAGCACTATCATGTCTTTGCCCGTCGCCGGTAAGTAGCAGCCTCCCTATCGTCTCCCCATCCCCCCGCTCCTCCCCTGTTTCCCTATCCTAAATATTACTTTGGCGCCGATGAACGGTCCGGGTATAAAAAGGAGGTGGGCAAGTGTAAAAAGCAGGCAAAGGAAGGGGGATGTTCCCACCTAACCAAACGAGATGAATGAGCCGTCCACCCTAACCAATGTTCGACCTCTTTAGAGTCTGCGAGCCTCTGGACCGTCACTGTTCCGATAGATTCTGCTGTGGACCACACGGGCGGCGAGATGTTCGTCGTGGTCGATTATACGGAACGATCAGGCTCTGAGCTCGGTCGCGCTCGCTCGTTCGCAAGCACGTTATTCACCGTCCTCAAGAGGGGATCGACAGATGCCGACGTAATCGTCGCCGAAGCGAACCTCAACAGCAAGAGTTACAAGGATGGCGGCGAGACCGTCGAAGGCCAGTCGGCATGGAGTTCCACCCGCAACTCCTCAGGCCCCAGCCCCTCCGGCACCTCGGGCAACGGCGGCGTAACCACCGACGTGGCGGGCGGCACCGCCGCCCCAACGATCGAATCCGGCCGCTCCGGTGGCGGCGGCGGCCTCAGCGTCGGAGCCAAGGCAGGCATCGGCGCCGCCTGCGGAATCGTCGGCCTCGTACTAATCGGCCTCGCCATCTTCTTCTTCCTGCGCCAGCGTCGCCGCACGGCCGCCGCCGCGACTTCCCAACCCCGCCCCTCGACACCACCTCGTCTCTTCACGGCGCGCCCCACGACTTCCTCCAGGACAAGGAGGCCCAGGCCCACGTCGCCGACTCGCCCCATTCCGACGACGCGCCCGGCCACAGCCTCCGCAACAGCGCCGTCGTGTACGCCGACCCCGTCGCCCCTTCGTCCTCTTCCGCCGCCGCCGCCGCCGGCCCCGCGGCCGAAGCGCGGAGACCCGAGGTGCCGACGGCCGTGGCGCATCTCGTCGAGGATGGCATGACGGCGGATGAGATCAGGAGGTTAGAAGAGGAGGAGAGGGCGCTTGATCAGGCCATCGAGCAAGCTGCGAAACGAAAGTAGAGGAGCGCGAGGACAGATAGGTGTCGAAAGAGAGGGCAAGGTTGGTTCGACAGCAATTGCAGCATGTAATTCGGGGCCTCGGCGGTGCGCCTCCATATCTATTATTCGAACTTTATATTCCCCCAACAGCTTTGTTTCAATCGCCGCCCCCTTAACTCTTATCCTTTTTATAGCCTTTTTTGTTAGCTGCAGCGATCTCCTCGTCTTGTCGCCCCGGGGCGCAAACTCTCTCTCTCCTACATGACAGAACGGCACAGGAACGGATGGATCTAGTTTTTAGTAGTTTTTTCGGGCGTTGCTTTACTACCCTTACCACATCAGGTGTTTGTCTTTTTAAAAACATTATATATAGTTTCTGGCCCATTTAATTCAGGAAGCGTGTTTACCCTTTTATTCATTCAACGTTCACTTTTCCCGCGGTCTTTCATCCCTCCTAGCCTAGTGGGAAATGCCCTGGATTATGTTACGAGGCCTCTGATCAGTTAAACGAAGTGAGAAAACAGTAGCCTCAACTAAAGAAGGCAAGAAGGCAGGAAGTAGCGCGGCATGGCACGTCAAGACAATATATAAAAATGGAAAGCTTCGGGAATCGGGACCTAGCAAGCTGACATGAATCACACTGAATGGTCCAAAATAAAAACAATGGATCAATTGAAGGTAATAATCGTACACAAGAAAGGGGCAAAGAAACCCTCAGTACAAGCACTTTGACCAAAACAGCGGTTCCTCCTTAGGTCAGACCAAGGGCCGACACCAGCTTAACGCCAACTGAGATATCGAGGAAATGGGGTCCATATTTCACCCCTCTCTGCCCTCGGATACAAAAGGGGGCCGGGCTATCGTTGGTAGTGCAGGACAAGCACCAACCAAACGTAAAGCGAATTCCTACATCTTCGCTCTACTTTCTACAAAATCACCTCCCGAAGAAACGCCCTACCACGTTGGAAGCTAACGTCCCAGCTATATTGCCGGTGGAGAAGGCGGACCCGGCAAGGTTGGACGCCTGGCTGAACTTGTCGGCGCGCGAAAAGGCGAGGGAGTTCATGATGGTCAGGACGAGCGCGATGACTATTTCATCGAGGAAAGAAAACAAGAAAGAGTTAGGAGTTAGCCGTCGGACTTTGCTTGGATCTAAGGAGGGGGAAGGGGGCTAAGACTCACCAACAAGAGGTAGCCAGAGGAACTGGAATCTGAAAATGGCGACAATAGCCATGATGATCCAGATCACAGGCTGCACGTACATGGCGAGCCAAAAGAACCGACTGTCGGTGGGGTTGATGACCTTGGTGCCAGGCTCGCTGCTCTCAAACACCCACTTGGACTCGCCCGACTCCGGGCTCACCTCGTTCCACCACCTGAGACCCACGAGCCGCCGCCCGGCAATGTTTTTCGTGTAGTAGAAGTCGGCGGCGAGGAGGAGGATGGTTATGATGAAGATCATGATCCTAGAGAGGCGCGGGCAGGGCCGACAGTTAGCGAAGGCTGGACATGGAAAGCGAAGCAGTATAAGGTGGGAGAAGAGCGAGAAGATCTTTTCCTCCTCTTTGCTCTCTTAACGCACATGTTATGTATAATGAGTAGTCCTAATAGATAGACTAGGAAGCTTGCTGGAGATCCAAAGGGAAGAAAAAAACCCCCATGTGTTAGTTCAGACTCAAACTTCGCAAACCAAGGCAGCGCCTCTTGTTTCTTTGCTGCCACCGCTATCCCCGGAAAACTACGAACCAATTCGGAACCCGAGGAACGTAAGGAGCGTAATGGGGTGTGAGCTTAAGCGCCAGCTCAGCGAGCCCGGCGCAAGTTCTTGCGCGTCCATTGCTGTCGAGGTACTGGAGGGAGGACGGTGGAGAGGCGGCAAATCGAGATCGCGTCTTGGCCGTTACGGTCGCCGATACGTGAAAGGGAGGCAGGGAGTGGTACGAAGCTGCGCAGTTGAGCCGAGTCAGTTCTCTACGTAAACTGTTGGGCGAACTCAAAAGGACGGGATAGCGTGAAGCGAAGGATAGTGGTCCGGTCGCAATTCGGCGATGAAGGCGCCCTGTCGCGTCGTCGGTTTCCCTTTGGGGGACTGGATGGGAAAATCCTCTTCCCTATATTGCCGGAGCCTAGCTTCGGTCGAAATGCCTATCGGCTGGCACTGCTTGTTTTCGTCGTCGTGTCGTCGTCGTCGATGCCATCGAGGTTCCCTTCAAGCCAGACGTCTCATGGAGCTTCCCGTCTAGTCCTGCCCTGTTCATGCCACCTCAGCTTCTGCTTAGTCATGACAATAGCCCCTGGCGCCAATGACTACGAGTACTTGTAGACCCCAAGGTCCAGTTGATATTCTTTTCCCCCTTGTATAATAAATCGGCTAGCCACGAGTGGTGTGTACATAATACGAGTCGCCTTTAATACCTGAGCTTACCTTGTAGAGCCAGCATGCAGTTCCCTACATAGTGTACATGATGTGGAGGCAGCGAGGCTAGACCTCGGGAATCGCTTCAAACGACAAGACACTTGTTGACGACGCATAGTCCCTGCCACAACATTGAAGTGATCAATCCTTGTTTCTAGACTCACATCTACCAGCTTCATATCGAGGTAGAGTCTTCCCACAACTCGGCCAAGTGCTACTCATGCTCAATAATAAACCCCAAAATCCAGCGCCGTTTCCCTAGCAGTGCTCGAGATGGCAGCCCGGTCGGCTTCCGTGATCCGCCGGTCCCTCCTCTACGGTAGGTCCAACCCGGCAGTAAATACTCAAAAATATGTTCCCCCTAGCTCATAAATGTGCCTTTACTTACACAACACCCCTTTTGAATTTATGGGAGTAAATATATACAGTCCCAGCATCATCTCAAAAGATGCTCTCGGGCTCCCTCAAGATCAAATCGGACAATGTTACTTATGACTTGGAGGATTCCGTCACTACCGCACTCAAGGATGACGCTCGTCGTCAGCTTCGGTCCCATCTTGATAGCCTCCAGTCCAGTGATCGCGCCTTTGGAGAGCTTGCCGTTCGCATCAACGCTGTGGAGACGCCCCACGCTTTGGCCGACCTGTCAAGTCTTGCTTCTTCCCCCAGCCTTGATGCAGTTGTCGTTCCCAAGGTGAATAGCGCTGCGGACCTCACCTTCGTCGCCGATGTCCTCAGGCATGTTGCCCCACAGAGGCACACTGCTGGTTCCACAAACCCAATCAAGATTGTCGCCCTGATAGAGTCTGCCAAAGCCATCATGCATCTTCCCGAAATCTGCAGGGCCACCCCTTTTCTCAGCGGTCTCATCTTCGCCGCCGAAGATTTTGCCCTCGACCTTTCCTTGACCAGAACTCCCTCCCTTAGAGAGTTTTTGTACGCTCGGTCAGCCATAGTGACCGCAGCCCGGGCCTTCTCGCTTCCGAGCAGCATCGATCTCGTCTGCACATCCTTTCGTGGTGATGAAGGGCTCAGAGTGTTAGAAGAAGAATGCCAGGACGGGAAATCCCTAGGGTTCAACGGGAAGCAATGTATCCACCCTAGTCAGGTGGATGTTGCCAACAGGCTGTTCTCGCCTTCTGAGAAGGAACTTGTGTGGGCCACGCGTGTGTTGGTCGCAGATGAGAAGGCACAGAAGCAAGGCCGTGGGGCCTGGACTCTTGATGGAAAGATGATCGATGCTCCCGTCATTGGTAAAGCTGCTGATATCGTCGATAAGGCTAAGCGCTGTGGTATTGACGTCGCTGCCACCCTCCATGAATGGAAAGATCAGGAGCCCGAATAAACTAAACTCGCACGTCATCTATATTGGTAGCTCGCTGGGTCCATGTGCTCCTCGTAGCCCCTCCAATCTGCTTTGCGCCCAGACTCCTGTTGCCAGTACCTTGATAACTGGGGATCGGCGGCTCCTCCGTAGTCGTCCTCGTTTTGACCATCACATATGCCCTCGCAACGCATCGTTGAATCCTTTGGCCACGCTTCGCACATGGAGCCCACGCCCATCAAGTTGCCATACGCGTCGTAAACGCAATTTGTACCCCCTTGTTCAGCTGAGTGACCAGGAGCCGCGCCGCTCGCCTGATGGCGACAGTTACATGAGGTCTCAATGCCAGAAACTCCTTGTTCATGCGCACACTGCAGTTCATTGTCCTGAATTACTGAGTGTTGATCCAGGGTACAATCCCTTGTGCCATCTAAAGCCACCACTCGCCTGTCATAGGGATGGAATCTTTCCCCATGTTGCTGATGTGCCTCGACCTCTCGCTGTGTATGGTTCACGAGGGCATCGTTGTCATCGACACCGAGGTGCATTCGCCTTGGAGCAACCCTAAGTGATTCATAGCCGCCCCAATCTCTCATAAACGGTCCTTCTTGTACGGGCTCTTGATGGCCGTAGTCGGCTGTAAAATCGGAGGACGGTTGTTGGTGTTCTTCGAGATAATGCCTACCCGCTAGTACAGTCGGTTGGCCGAGAATTTCTCGGTTAGTGTCTGGTCGACCGCTTAAGGAGCAGCAGATTTCTTGAGGGCAGGCTCGGATTGTTTCAGTCCTTCTTGGCCTTCGCATGGGCAGAGTTCCGCTTCTTCCACTATGATCGCACATCCCACCGTTTCCCACGCGAGCCCGCTCATTCGAGTCTAGGAAGTGAGGTGGATGTTGGCATGGTTCCCAAGCTTGCGAGTATTGTGGCCGGAAAAATGAGGACTTGGGATACCCTCTCGTGGATGATGCTGCGGTTCGATCTTCAAGGCCCCGAGTGGTCTGAGTACCGATATCAGCAGTCACGGTCTGCGCCTTTTCTCCCAAATCACTCGTTTGGCATTCCCTGTGAGAGTAAACTATGCGTTTCGAATCTACAATGGATTTCACACGGCATACCTGGGGGACTAGAAGAGCCTTAAGCCCTTCAGAACCTCCGGTTGCGCCCTTTCGGCGTGAACTTGGGACCTTTGGCAATGAATCTGTGTCTTTATCGTCCGCTAGTGGCATCTTGTGTTTCTCGGGCGTTACCATAGTGCCCTTGTCTCGAACCCCGAGCTGCAAAGGTGGAGTTCGAACTCTAGGAGCATTTTCTGCTTGGTGGCCGGGGCGACTTTTCTTTCTGGGGCCCGCAAATATGGCAGAGTTGTTAGAGGAGCTCAATCTGTGACCATAATTTCCGAAGCCAGAGAATACACCCGTATCAACCAAGGCTTGGTGTTGGCGGTCAAGATTTCCACAAGAGCTTGTTCCTCGGCCACCACCCAAAGATGCGGCTCTCATCTCGGATTCCGAGTTATCTTCAAGGGGTCGCTTTGGAGGATGATGGAAATAAAAATCACTCTCTGAAATACCAACGCTTGTTCTTTCAATCACTTCTCTCCCACGCTTTCCGGAAGTCTTAGTTGGCGAGAGAACGTCACCCACCGTTGCCTTACAGACTGAATATGAACCGATGTGACTAGCATTTGCCTCGTTATCGTTCCCTATTTCCGACATTGCGTCGGAATCGTCCATGCTTTGGCCTTGGTACAGAGCTTGGGGTGGGGGAGGATAGGTCACGGGCTCAACCGGCTGGTTCTCCTCGCTGACTTGACTGTTGTCTCTCTGGATACGCACATTTTCAGGGTGAGGCTCAAGGAAAGGCATACTATGATATGCGAGATCGGATACTGCAATCGCTTTCATTAACATCGTTCTCGGATTTTTGAAACAGGTCACTCACGGCGGCGGTTCGGAGCTGACGCGCGAGCATTTCCGTACAAGCCCGCCGTGCATGTCGGCTTAACCTACACCACTGTCGTTAGTTACTTCAGGTTGGTCCCCAGTCTACTGATATCTATCGAGGCCATACAGTTAATCTGTCCTGAGTACAAATCGCATCCGACTTGAACGCAGCCATGACCTCGCGACTAGAAACGCCTGTTTTTTCCGGTTGCCCTTGGTCCGCTTCACCTCTTGCGAGGCTATCTGTCTACTTTCTTGTCCCGGTATGGCACTACTTCTCTTTCCCTTCTGAACGTCGTACCGATCGGGTCTTGTCTTATGTCTTTTCTGTCTTTCAAATCTTGGTGCCGATCGAGGTATGGAATGTGAGCAAACAGAGCCTGGACTTGACCTATCCTTGCCCTCTTGGTCGCATTTCTTCTTCGACCCCTGTACCAGCCGAGGCGGACGCATCGAGTTGTCTGGAATAAGGGAGCTGTCAAAAGACATCGGGCCCCGTTCGTGCCTGGATACGCCCAGAGTCTGCGGTGGCGTTTTCACAGGGCCCCTGTATTGTTCCAGGTTATGAGGTCTCCAAAGATCGCGCTCTTTAGATATGGTTTTTAGAGTCGACTCCCAGTCAGGACGGCGTTGGGTCTGCGTGAGCCAATCCTGCACAAAATTGTTGCTTGGTGGGCGAGACAAGTCGGGCTCAATCCCCATCTTGACCTCGTCTCTCCTACTGGGCTCATCGTTGATATCTCCGGTTGGTCTCATGCGGCTGCTAGTGGTGGTGCGATGGCCCATCCTAGATGTTTAACCTTGAATACACGAAAAGGACCAGATGTAGGAACGATCAACGGAGGGCACTAATATGGCCGCCATGCATGGAGTATGTTGAATGGAGGGCATTTAACGCCATATCGTTTGCAAAGCACAAAAGGGCCGAGACTAGAAGCCTCCACCTCCGCCTCCGTCGCCTTTGAGGGAAGGCGTCACGGCTTTTGGTACACATTGACTTCTGCAACTGATTGTGGGCTGGCAGAAATACCAAAAACTTCCTTCCGTGTCTGTCTATCGCAACTTCTGGGAGAACTACAGCCACTCATAATCGGGGGAGGAGCGATCCAATGGCTTCCCATTTTACGCAGACCAAAGACACACGCACACGCACACGCAAAACGGGCGCGCTCGCGCAAGAACTCCAGTTGCATTCTTTCCATGCCTCTGATCTATTCCATAATACGTACCAGCATGCGCCCATCGACCACATATATCAGCTAGTACCGTGGGTGGATTTATCGGATTCATTCAATCCATTTCCGCTAGAAATACTTCGTCCTGATCAGCCTGAAAAGTCAGCTTGAGCAACGGTGAAAATATTGCGTGGCACATACTGAGCTATAATAGCACGAGGACTCTACTTTATCTGGGAAGGTTGGAACAAACAATGAGCAATGACGCTGGCAAATTGACCCTGTACTCCGACGCAGACCGGGACTGGCGCCCAGACTAGAACGAACTGAGGGATTGCCGACTCGACTTTTCTGGCCTCATCCCTGGAGCGAGCCGTGGAAACGTTATTAGGTTGGCATCAATCCTAAGATAGCCCCCAACCCGTCACGCCCCCGTCACGCCGGAGTCAGCAAAATCACGGATATATTCGCCTTGGGTAGGGTCCTGGTTCTTCGGTTACTCGATCACCAACCCAAGAAGTCGCCCGCTGCCAGTCTCATTGCCCGGGTCTCAAGCCGTACGCAATGCGTCGCTCCCCCATTCCACGTTACTCGCATGAAGAAACCTGGCACTTTGTAAGACTGTGGCACCGATCCCCCTCCTTTTTTTTTTTTTTTTCTTTCTGTTCTTTTTTCCTTGTGGTGACACCTCACGGTGTGGAAATGGAAGACGAAGGATGTTTGGCATTGCGGAGCGATTCCTCCATAATACTCTCATATCTCCAAGTATCTCAAACGCTTGCCTTGGTTCCGTACCGAATCATCGTGTGTTGGTTTCGTTTTGCGAATAATGGAAAAATAACGGCATATGTCCGGCTCATGATTTGATGGCTCGGCACCATGTTTTCAGTGTGCAGCTCAGCTCGGCCCCCTCGGTGAGAGTCGATCGCTCAGGGCATAGATGACGCGAGCCAGATAATTAACCCCCTTGGCGAGAAGAACTCGGCGCTACTCGTCCACGGCCACTGGCTCGCGCGCCACCTCGGGGAAGGGCCTTTTGGGTCGCATATTTGTTGTTGCGTCTCAGTGGGTGGGGAGAGCGAAAGAAAGCAGGAGCGGGCGCTATAAGAGTGGGATAATGTGGATGGCGCATCTCGATCTTCATGTTTCCTTTCTTTTTCCTTGTTGGTGTTTGTTTTAATCCTGATCGCGCCCGTCTCAACGGCGGAGCTTGTGGGGGAACCATGTCGTTATCGCGGTCCTCTATTCACGGCTATTTAGCGTGAACCATGGACTATAAAAGAAGGAATGTTTCGAACCCCAATGCAAGGTGCACTCTGGTTGACTCAAGGTGCCATGGGCTACTACTTCGTACAAGCCAAAGAAGCATGGCCTTGTTCGGTGACCTGAATGAACGGGTTTGGTTTCTTCGTCGCTGGGGGTTTTTCTTGGCCGGCTTGCCCAGGCCGGATAAGCCTGGAGTGCTCGAGACCCTGCATTATAGATCCTCTGCATTTTCCCGTGGAGGGGTTCCGAGTGGAGCCACGAGCAGCGAGGATATCCCTGTCCGACCTAACCTGCCGGAACTTTGGCAAGGATAAAACTGTGGAAGAGGAAGGGAGAAGGTTCAATGCTGTGTGTGAGAAAGGCGACGAGAGAAAGAAGCGACAACCTCAGCTGCCTCCTACTTTCTAGTCTAGAGCCAGGCCCAGAGCTTTACTTGAATTTTGCCGAAATGATCTTCAGCCTCTACGAATTCCCCAACACTGTTTCTCCTTCAGCATCTACTCCGGATCTCTTTCAAAACCTCAAGCTACGTCTTTCGTAAACGTTCCATTCCCTACAGCCTTCTTAACTCGCCACATAGCCATAAACGGTGTATTCCGAGGTGGGTCGCCTTGCGGCAGACGTCGCAAGATGTGTTTGGTTGCCAGCGCCAGATTGCGCAAAGTGCGTGCCAAGCAGATAGAAGGTCTAGACCATGGAGCTCTCCAAGTCGCATTACCAGGCCACCAGTAGGCAAGGGTCGGTGGATTCATACTACCCTGCGAAGTAGATGACGAGATCTTGTGATTTACAAGAGAGTTTTCTTGAGCGCGACTACACTAGTAATACTGCTTGTTGTTCCATCCAGTTTGGCTTGAGAGGCTTGAGGCTTACATGTACGGCTTGAGGCTCTGAAAGATTGAACATGATCCACGGATCATCTTGGCTTCTTGGCCCGTTGATGCCGAAAGTTCCAAAGACGTTGAGCACACCAAGAGGCACGAGAAAAATCATCATAAAAGAGAGTGAAAAAAAAAAAAAAGAAAGGGAGTGAAGGGGCAGGGGAAAGAGAGAAAGAGGAAAATGCCAAGCCATCTCCGCCGATGTTACGGAACGCGAGATGTATCGAAAATCCGTCATGTCCCATCTCCTCATCTGAAATCGCTCCGAGCGAGCTTGTATGGAGTATGGAGTGGGGCTGACAAAGCCTTGACAACACGGGGCGATGCGCGCTCGCAAAGCATTGATCCCCGTTCTGCGTCCTTGTTCAAGCCTTGCCCTTGGCCCCTTCTCCTTTCTCCCAGTCCCCGGGTTCCCGTACGAGTGCTTGTCAGAATCCTGTAATGGGCGTCCCTGACCATCACGGAACCGGCTCGTAACATCCGAGGGACATTGTCAGACGACGGGATTCCCTTCCCTCCCCAACCCCGACCGACCATCACGCTGAGGAATTCGATGCCCCAAGCAAGACGAAAGGGGAATTTTGAGGCTGAAAGATCATCGATGGGGGTGCGTTGGAATCCTGCCGTCGATTGCTTAAACTACATATGCACAACGGGAGAAGGGCAAGAAGGTTTGAGGAAGGGGTTCTCGTACCCATCCGCACGCAAACCGTTCCCAGGAATCTGGTCCTGCCCTGTCAGTGCATCAGCCGCTCTCGACGAGCTCGAATCGATTCAATGTTCCTGATACGCACCATGCTTGTAGAGCCTCTTCGCACGTCTTCCACACCCTCCAAAGATAATGCGCGGTAGTCGCGGGCCAAAGACTATCGCAGTCCGATATACTGCGGCATCTTTCGAGGCTGCTCTCACCGATCCATACTAAGTGAATCGTTGGGTGGTGGAGGTAATTGGTTTTGCCTGGGTTAGTTTCGCATGGATGTCAGATCTTTGTCCCCTCTCTTCCTGTCCTCCTTCTCGCTCTCTCCACACGCACACACACACACGCACACGCATACGCACGCCGCGCGCACGCATATACCCCTAGGTGGCCAAGTTGATGGTGGTGAGACCCGGACGGATTCATTCGATCAATCATTGATCATGTAGTGTCGGGGAAGAGCATTGTGCGGAGACGAGAGGGGTCCGCCTTAGTGGGCTTTGGTGGGGGAGGGGCACGTCAAGCTTTGAAGAACCCGCTGTCAGCGCCTCATCTGCTTTCGGCTGCCTTCCTAGGCCTTGTGCCTTTTGCGTCTTCTCCCCTTCCCCGATTTACCGCGATCCCCACCTCCGAGCCAACTTTGAACAATGCGAAATTGAGCCTGGTAACCCCAAAGCCGAGCGACCACACGCAGCAGTGTCGTGGTCGGCGATGACGGCGGCAGAGAAGGGGGCGGCAGAGAAACAACCCGTCAAAGTAACAAGGGTCGCTCTAATATCAGCTCGCGTCGGCATTGGTACTGCGGAAGAGGCACGGAATTGTTGGGCTGCCGACCACCCACTCGAGCCCGCCTCGGCCAGATAAAGACACAGCAAGAAAATCAATCGAGTGTGCGTGTGCTGGCTGCAGGTGATACACCGGGCAGGAAAGATCCATCGATGGTACTTGCCTACCCCCGAGTGCTTTTTTCGCTCGAAACATACATGTACCATCCGCCGCTCGCTCCATGATCCTGTCTCCACCCCCGACCTTGTCTCTCGCGTGCTATCACAGGGGTTACTTTTGCTTTATTCCTGTCTGATATAGTAGTATCAATGGGTCGAGTTGTCTCGAGCCGCCTGGCCTCGAAGATCGCCCCCGGAGGGTCACCCCAACCTTGTGCGACCCCAAATGCCCCCAGAGCCGAAAGCAGCGAAAGCCTTGAACCTCCCCACATCTGTGCATCTGACGGGTCTGTAACAAGCCGCTTACCATTTATGGCTACTGCGAGCCTACCCTGGACCCTCCACTCACCTCAATGATCGTAGCATGTGTTCATCTCGCCAAGCAGGAGAGACATGGATGAAAAGAAAGAAGTCTTGTAATAACGTTATAATAATAACACACTAGGTCCTAACTGATCCATGGGTCTTTTCGTGGAATTCTTCCCGACGCTTCCATAGCCCAACTCGGAGAGAGCCAACGTCAGCAGGCTTTTCTTCAGTCCATCACCCATTGTTCGTGCTGGCAAGGAAGCTTGTTAACAACTCTGGGACGTCGCAAGTCGCGTACTTGCTAGCGGACCAGCTTAGCTTAACTCGAGGGGGTGCTGCTAAACTCTTTTGTCCATGTCTGGGCGCATTGCAGGGATCTTGGGATGCGGCGAGCCCTGGACAACCTGAAGTGATTGGCAAGGTTAAACGAGCGGGATAACCCACCAGCATAAAGCCAGGCTTGTCCAACTCGTCATGCCGGCAAAAGTCGAAACGGCTTTCCCAGGTGCCATCAATAAGAGGGAGTTCATCCAACCTCCATGGCTGTTAGGACGCGCCCAATCACACCAAAACTATGGATGAAATGAGAGACGAGCAATGATTAGAAACCTGATCGGGTAAGGGAGAAAGGAAAACCTGGATCTAGGCCACCCGAGTGGTCAGGCCTCATCAATACTCGTCACTTCCTCTCTGGGTCTGTTAAATCAGTGCACGGAGACAGCGAGGGCTGGACGCCGTCAAGAATCGAGGCGTCTTTGCTTTGATGGATTAGATGCAAATACTTTGCCCCTTGTTCCACCTCGGCTCTTGGGGTGACGATAGGGCCAGGTATTCTGCCTGTATTATCTGGTTCCGAGGGTGCGCGGGGACGCGAGAAAATGGTTACCACTTCGAATGGTCCCAAGGCTAGGCTGAGCTACCTCTGCGTGTTGTTTCTTTCATCTATCGTCTCTTTTCTTCTTGGCCTTCTTTCTTTTCCTTTCTTTTCTGGGGCCGAGAATTGATGTGCATATAGCCCTGAGAGATCCCCTAGACATCTATAGATATCTCTCGAAACATTCCACTACAACTTCGGTGATGTAGTGTATTATTACGACATTAGCCTCGCTTCCTTTTCTACCCCTTGCCAGAGCCTGACGTTTCGTCCGTAAATACACACCACATCACCTTGTGTGTCTCTCGTTTTGTTCGGCCGCTTGTGTGCGGGCCACGCGCCTTCCTTCCTTTTTCTTCTTTTTTTGGGGCCCTTTCCAAATCCATCACGGAAGCTCTTTCTTTTTTTCCCTCTAATTTTTCCCCCTTTTTTTTCTCTTTTTTTCTTCTTTTTCTTTTTGTTCCCTTTTCCTTTGATTCCACCCTCTCGCTTTTCACTTTCCCATCCCCCGTATGTACTGGAGGCATGGATTCGGACCCCTTCTGCCGAGGTAGAAGAAGGATGATGCCCATTGACTTGCCAAACGCCACGCCGTTCTCGACATGTAGCATAATATGCGGCAACCATAATACTCCACAGGTAGGGCACAGGTGAGTGTGATCTACCTTTTGGCTTGCACAAAGGGCAAGGGACGGACAGGCAAGGAGTCGTCCACCCCAGGTCTAAATCTACATGGAGTCAGCCTAATAATAATAAGCCTGGGGAAGAAGAATGGGCCAGCCAGTACAATTATCTCGGCCCCATCCTCGTCCCTCATCCCTTCGCCCAGCGCATCGCACAAAGAGCGCTCGAATAGGGTTAGAGCAAGAATCTCGCTCTGCCGGGGATGCGGCAAAGGGGCTGTAGGGATTAGGGATTCTGTGTGAGGAGGAGGGTAGAAGAGCTAGGGGTCCGTCTCTCCCTCCTCCTCCTCCCACCCACCCCGGATGGGGTGTGTAAGTTTTTTCCGCGTGTACACCGTATAACAGAGAGGCGAGATTGTATTAATCGAATCGTCACTCGTAGAGAATTCTGCGACTCTCTTCCTTGTCACCGCCGTCTGTTTGATGCCTGTTTAGAAAGGGTCCGCTATTCTTTTCCCATGCCTGCCACCTTATGCTGCTCGAAACATTGATGAACATCATGTACCCTGTCATGAGCCGAATTGGGTCTTGCGGCTGCCCCGTCGATCGCTCACGGCTGTCCAGGTCATCGAGCCCGAGACCGAAGCCAGCAGTCGCGTTCCGTCGCTCCCGGATAGGGTGACGCGATGGATGAAGGTCCTCAGTTCTTCGCCTAATTCAATCAACTTATTCACCCCCTCTCTTCCACCATCCCCGACCCCAGAACCAGCCAGTAGGCAAGCAAGAATGCTTCGCAAGCACACTTGACCCCTGGTCCTTGGTCCAGTCCAAATCTGCCTTTCTTCCGAACGCTGCTGTCCCTCCTGTTATAAGGCCAGGTGTTACTCCAAACCTCTGCTGTCTTATTTGCACCACTGGCCAGCCTACCTCCAGTCTTATACATACCCTACACCTTAGCCGCATCTCTTTCTTGGATGACGGAGCACGCCGCCTTCTTCAATCTGGTCACTGCCCTATTTATCCCGCCACTCGTCTGCTTTTAAATTGTCCAGCCTTTCCATTCTTTAACCTCGCCCCGCCAAGCACTCCCACACCTGCTCACCCCCATTTCAATCACATCGCCTCTCTATCGCTGCCTTTTCGACACTTTTGTTGCGCAAACGAAGGCTAGGCTTGCTCAGTCACCGGCTCCCGCTCTTCAGGAACTCTTTCCTCCATTGTTGATCCAACACTTGACTCACGACGGACGGCCCTGCCCAAGTTTTCCAAGGCCCAACACACGTCTGCCAAGTCGATAAAAAGGTAGCCACTGAGCCCCTTCTCTGGCAATTCCCCACTGTTGCCGGGGTATCGCCATCATCGAATAGTTCCCACTTCGCGGTATTCGTCGATTCCAGGCTTCCTTGAATACGGTTGCCATTTGACCTCCTCGGGAGCCGGGAGGAGAGGGGAGTTCTCTTTCGTTAGGACCTAGAGTGCTGATGCAACCGTCGTTAGGAAGAAGCCGCCATCTGCATCATGTCTAAGCTCTTCATCGGGTATGTCCCCTCGCATCTGGGCTTTTATTGACGATGCCCCATTACATTTCCTGCTGACACCCCGATGCTGGACAGTGGCCTCGCCTGGCATACGGAGGAGGGGACGCTCCGCCAGAAGTTTGAAGAATTCGGTGCAGTCGAAGAAGCAGTAAGTCCTTGTTCGCGTATCCAAATTTCTTCCGTGGAGATGACCTAGTCGTCTCCGCCCGCTCTACCCTCACACCGATCTGAGAGACTAGATCTAACGTCGGCGCTTTTCTTCCGCGCGCCTCGACTAGGTGGTGGTTAAGGATCGAGACACCGGTCGCAGCCGGGGATTCGGGTTTGTGCGCTACACACAGGAAGCCGATGCCCAAAAGGCCATTGCAGCGATGAACAATGTCGAGTTCGTATCCCCATGTGAAGACCGAGTTTCAACCTCCGAAGGAGGAAAGGGGGTTGACACCTAAACAACATTCGCGGCTTGCTAACCCTCTTTAGGTTTGACGGGCGGACAATCCGTGTCGACAAGGCCTCCGACAACGGCCCGAGATCAAACGCCGGCCGAGGCGTGACTCCACAGTACGTGGGACGCGGCGGAGGTGGGGGCTACGGGGCACCGCAGATGTCATACGGCGCTCCTCAGGGATACCCGATGCAGATGCCCCTCAGGTATATGGAAGGGGATATCCGCAACAGCCGTACGGCGTGCCGCCACAAGGTGAGTTTTCGTCTCATACTCTGAACCAACAACCTCTTCTTAGAATTCGACTGACAACAAAAGGGTATCATCCCCAATACGTGTACCCAGACCCCAACCAGCAACCACCGCAGATGCCTCAGGGTGGGAATGGCAATGGAGGCCGAGGCGGCTATTAAACTTTGGTAAACATACCGCCGAACCCTGCGCCGGTCTCTCGACGATCGTATCTCGTATCTTAATCTGAGACACCCCGATTTGGGCGCCGTAAGAGCTCTGGGCCAGCCATTTTCAGCAGTCGACAGCATCACCTGTGCTGTATCCAGGTCTGCCATTTGTGCTCGCTTGTACGATCAAGCAATTAGTGCGAAGTATGTGACAAACGAAAGATCCCTTGGGTCAGCATGTATACGGTCTTCTTGGGTCAACTAGATGGGCATCGGGTCTGGATATGGAAAGAAAAATTATAGTTCTTTGGGATAAAAATGGGTCAGGGGTGATTCGGGGCAAAAGGGGGCTAGGGAACTGTGTGATATCGGTGCAGATGGGCGACGAGAATGCAATATGAGAGGCGGGTTTGTCGATTTTGATTGCTTCATGGTTATATCTTGTCCAATTGCCTGTATTTCTGCGTGTTAGAAAGGGGATGGTAGCTGTTATCTTTGCATGCTTCTTCATCACGAATCTGTCTTGATTTCAAGGTTTTCCCAGCTTTCATCTGTGTAAGCTGGCGCACCGGCTGCGAATGTCACTAGCATCCTTGGTAGGTCGGAGGTATAGAGGTGCACTTTGACTAGTTCCGATCTGGGCTAATATGGGGCAAAGCGCAGGCAACGTCGGCCCCAAGTGTACGACACGGGAGTGAAACTAGATCCAGGATGCGGCAAAGAGCCACACGCTGCGAGCAAAAGAGGAGCTGTGCCAAACCGCGCCGAGTTCTCTCAAGGACGAGGAGTTGAGCGTAACTGGGAAGAGTCTGTTAGAATCTTAGTATAGACTATCTGTCTCTATAGCGGAACAAAAGTGGCGGCCAACAGGAAGTGTCGTAACAATGAAAGAGAGAGAGAGAGATAGAGGGAATATAAGGCAAGCTCTAGAACTCTCAAAAGAGGACTTGACTCCTCTAGGATTCGAGATATCCCCCTTGTGGATCCTGCATAGTTTTGCAGACTTGAGGGCTTTTGGTCCATCTGATTGAGATAAACCGGGAGCTGCCGGGCCTCGCCTGCTTCTTGGTTTGTTCGCCATCCCCTCTGCTGTTAGTAGGGCCCGACGTGAAAGAGCCTAAGAATGCTTTTCGGCCTCTTCTAGTTCCTCGGTGCTATGCTCCTGTCTAAACTTTTCATGCTCGCCCGAAACTCCTGGCACCACCTCGAGCGCGGTTACAATCTTACTTGCAGGGACGCTTGGGAGGCCTAGTATCTTTCTCACTCGACTTGACAAGTCTGAGATATGTTCGTCCTCTGCCTCTGGGCCCAGCTCATTCAGTGCAGCCTCGAGGCTAAAGAGATATTCGATATTGGGCCCAGAGGGTCCGTGGCTCCTGCTTATATGTGCAGAGAGAGCCTGGGGCTCCTGCGCTCCGACGAACTGCTCGTTGTCAGGCGTGCCAATGTACACAAGAGTTCGGATGGTAGTCTCATGATTGCATGGGTGAAAGGAGGCATATTGGATCGAATAGCCGTTGATCTCGCGGATGTCCAGGTAATCCTTGACTTCGGATACTTTGTCAGGCTTTATCCGGTAAGCAACGCCCCAAACCTTTTCAGGAGCAGAATTATGATGGTCTGCCAAGTTTCCCCAATATGAGCGCTCAATCAAGGTTACTACTCTCCCTGGGGCTTCGGGCGTGCCGCGGTGGTCCTCGCTATTGAGGTGATCTCTCACGTTAGCACTTGGGCTCTTGGCCTCGGCGAGGGCGGTAATGGCTGGAGATCACTAGACTCCATCTAGAGCAGGGGCGGGCTGCTGGAGACTTGATACCTTGCCTATACTCGCCATGATAAGTAAGTGGCGATGGAAAGAGGAACAGCACGGAAGTTCTTGGTGCAAACATGTGCGTTCAAAGGGCAGGCCACCTACTTGCCAGAATCTGCGAACATAACCTGTTACCCAGCCGGGAACTCTTCGGTCTTGATTTGGTAAGAAGGGTTAGAAATGGCCGGTGCTCTATCATCTTAGCGCGCAGCAGGAGGCGGCCACTCACCAAAGTGAGGGGGGCTTCCATATCAGGCTCCTAGGGCAGTCTTCGCGTTAGGATATGAGAAAAGACCCGGAAGATCGATGCAGATACGAGTAAGCGTTAAGAGGTTGTGATGAGTGCAAAAACAACAGCAAACGAAGCTAAGCGCGGGGCGAGCGACAGGGCGGAGAAGAGGATAAGGCGCAAGGCTTATTCTGGCAAAGACCAGAACATGCGAGTCACCTCTGCTTTGCCTCTTTCTGAGCGTAGAAGAAGGCTGTTTATATGTTGCAGGGAGTAGCGGGGCTCACACTTTGCTTCCACAACGAGAGATGCCCCGACGAGGCCACTCTCATGATAGACTCCCCTTATTTTTGGAGTTGCGTTGAGCCAGCTTCAAATTCCGGCATTGGGGATTTCACAAAAGCGAGGGAACAAGGAGCAAGAAAGACGGAAGAAGCGGGGAGGGAGGCGAAGTAAGAAACGATGGTGTGTAAGTGCGGAAAGGGCATCATGCAAAGGAGACGTCGTCATATAACATACCCGTATCCAAAGAGCCAGAATTCGGTACCGTCCGTGGTTAAAGTGTCCATAATGAGGCGATAAGCGGCCGGTTTAGGGTAAGTGAGTTTGATGGAAAGAGCGGGTAGGAAGCGTGGGTTCTCTCAGAAGCAAACGGGGAGAGGCGCACGCGGCTGATTCCAAGTGTCCAGGCCAGGGGTCCTGCTTTTGTGTTGGGGAGAGCGAGAGCCTGGTTAGGGCCAGCCAGCAGATGACGAGATAGGCGGAGGCGCTATTATTGCCTCGTCGACTTACATCAATTGATCAAGTCATTCGTTGTTCCGCAAAAGTGGGACCCTGCGTGCGAACGGCACTTGCATGCGAAGTGACGAGGGAATTCCCATCCATACACATCTCTACTCTGATGCTTCTCCAAGAAAAGCAGTTCTTATATCTCCAAAATACCGGGAAACGGTGTATAATTTATGTTCGTAACGTATTTGAAGGATGTCAAGATGGGCCTATGGATGGATATTCTCTTCGCCCCCTAGCCATCTGGTTCAGCGGAAGTTTGGATGTTGTCCCGTGTCTTGCAACGCTCGGATTTTTCGCCGCACGCACCTTGGGAGCCTCCTGGTATGCACCAAGCAGATAGCGAGTAACACAATATTTGAAATTTGTGACTCTAGCTTTTTGCGTCAACGGTCCGCAATTTTTCCCCGTTTCGTTGCGAGTTGTATCATACCGAACGAGCCGAAGACCAAAGGATGCAGGCGGCCACTACATCCATCTATGGATGGATCTGTGGATCGATCTTTATGGATGGATGGATGTTTCCGCGGCAGCATGTCCGGATAGCTTAGCGTTGGGAACAACCCTTCCCGACCCACAAGCCGCTGTAAAGAACACTATTAGTGGGCGTGTGCTAGTAAAGGGGAGGGATTGATCTATTCAGTCGCTGATTGCCTCTCTTCTCCTTCCTCTTCTTTTCAGATGTACAATAGGGAAAGCCAAAATGGGACTCCATGTCGGTGTTTGTTAGCTTGCCGTGCTTGTTCCACCCCGCCGAGGCAAGGTCTTACAACATTGAGTAATCCCCGATCTGCTAAGTCCTAGGTTGACAGAGTCAGCGAAGGCGGACGAAGCATTTCTAACGCCGACATAGATTGTGGCGGCGTTGGCAAAGGAATGGGTTGGCTTTGTCCAACCTTCGGAGCCTAGGGCTGAGAAGGGTCGATGAAACGGGGGTGTGTGTCCTTGCAGATTTCGGAGGAGAAGGGTGTTGTATCTCTTCCATCGAACTCGCTAGCTCCCTCCACGACAAGATTCAGTCCCTGTCAGGGTCCATCCTGTTCCAGAATGGTCTGAGGTGCCGAATTGAAGTCCGGTCAGACCTCTGCTTCTAGGGCTGGCGCATCAAAATGTGCAGTCGCCACGGCCCTCGTTGCGTTGTTGCTAGCCATTTTCGGGACCGACGAGGGCGGAGCTCACCCGTCCAAGTTACGATGGCAGGTCATCGTTCGCAAAGAGGGAGGCTCCTGACAGACGCTGTCCAACTCCCTTTGAGGGCTCGGCCGCCTTCGAGTTCCAGATGCGCGGCACCCAACGAAACGAGACACTCAATCATGTGGTGTTTGCCTTCAATCTTCAATGCTCCTTCCTCCCTACGTCGCGCCCTCTACCTGCCATTTCGAGCTAGGGCACATGGTTCCTGCCTATCGGGGGCGGGTCGTTGAAATATAGGGCTAGTTCAAAGTCATAATTTTTCCCTAGAGCCTCATCGAGGGATCTGGCTTTCGGGGCTCGACGTCCACCAGGCTGGCGCTTCCCCGTGCCTACTCGGCCACTCGGCAACCGGGCCAAGCGACAAAGACGAGGCAGACAGAGGCTCTAACGAGTTCCTCTGATGCTCGGGGCCCACGTTGCACTGCCCACTGCGGCGCAAGACGGAAAACCGCCTACGCCGATCCCCCTCGATGACCTACTCCTCCTTCCCACTCACTACCCATCCAAACGCTCGGCTTTTGCAGCACGCCCTCGTGGTGCTTGCTTGTGGGGGATGAGACTGAGATTGACCCTTTCCGAGCCATTACATCAGCCACCACGAGCCAAGCCCCGTGCAATTGTCAATGTATCCGCGTAATACTAGTACTCGTAATAGATACGGGTCGTCCATATGGAAGCCCTCCATGAATTAACAGGTTGGAAATCCGCTACTGATCACACTATCCCTCTTTCCTCCTCCCCCTTCCACTATTTCTCTCCCTACTGGAATCGCCTTGTGACTGTGGCCGCCTTAGCAACTTGCCAACTTGAAGCTGATTTTTACTAACCCCACTTCGACAAGCCTCCCGGCCTCATTTTGCTCGCGCCTTGGCGATCCGGTGCCGATAATACGTCGCTTCCCTCAGCCAAGCGCTCAACACACCAAGTACCTGAAGACGTTTGACGCACCACACACTCCCTCCCTATATATCTATAGACACGGAACACGACTAGACTAGACCTCAGCTTCTCGATCCCGATAGTGAAATATTTGAATTCAACAGGACACGTACGATACTGAGCGCACGTCATGGCCTACAACAGACCATACAACCCTGACGAGCTTCCCAGGTAAGAGCGTCGTGTCTTGATTCCACCCTCATGCCTTATTGCTTCTCTTTACTCCTCCCGGAGACAGCCAGCTGACGATTCTCGTGCGCCCCTAGGTTCGCAGAGCCCGAGAACGTAAGAATTCCTTCGATGAAGCTGCGCTTCATTTCGTCGACTAATTCATTCGCAGAAACAGGGTGGCGCCGCCCCGAAATATAATGGTTACGAGAGCAAACCTGCCCCGCCTCTACCCCGCCAGGACCTTCGCCCCTCAGGAAGCCAAAGCTCTCATCGCCGTCACGACTCACGCGATGGCCACCACAGATTGAGCCCCACGCATCCTCATAATTATGGCGCGACCTCCCCCTCCTTCCGCAGGGCCAAGGCCGGGACACCACAATAGGCCTCCTACCGATAGCAGGCCACCCCCGTCCCCAGACGTGACCCAATCCGGCGCAGCGGATCCCAAACTGCTTCCCCTTTTCCGCGCCGTAGACAAGGATGGTGAGTTGTCCTAGGTCACCTTGCGCCGTCCGTCGTAGCTGCGACGCCGTAGCAGAAATAGCCGCTCAAACTAACTCACGTATGCGCCATGAAGGGACTGGACATCTATCGGAAGCCGAGCTCAGCGCTGCTCTCGTCAACGGCGACTGGTCATCCTTTGACCCCCAGACCGTCCGGATGATGATCCGCATGTTCGATGCTGATCGCTCTGGCACCATCGGCTTCGAGGAGTTTTGCGGCCTTTGGTCATTCCTCGCCTCGTGGCGTACCCTCTTCGATCGCTTCGACGTCGACCGCTCTGGAAACATCTCGCTTCCCGAGTTCACAAATGCCCTTGTCGCATTTCGGTATCGCCTGACCCCAGGATTCGTGGAATTGCTCTTCCGGACATATGATAAGCGCAACGAAGGTGTGATGAGCTTCGATCTCTTTGTTCAAGCCTGCATCTCGCTTAAGAGGATGACGGACGTGTTCAAGAAGTATGATGATGACAGGGACGGTTACATCACCCTTAGTTTTGAAGATTTCTTGAGCGAGATTCTCAAGCAGATGAAATAGCCTCTCTTCTTCATGGCGGCGCCATGCCTAGGTTCTCCAAATATGGATCACGCTTTCCTTTCCTCCTTCTCCTTTTCTGCTTCCACTGACTCTATGTACTCTTTTTCTGTTACGCATTTTCTCAAGTACACACACAACCTATTATGCTTTTATCTGTACACATTCGTCAAGCTTACGGGTCTAAAGAGCCTACAATGGATCAAGAGGCACTCCATCAGTTCGCGGTATACAGGCGCGGTGCAGCAAAAAATATAAATCTTACATGCCAGATGTTCGGTTCTCTGTTAGGCGGGTAGCGTGGACGTCCCCTACCTATGCGAACTGAAAAGTTGATGGTCGAAAGCAGAAACCAGTCGTCTAGGTTCATGGTCCTGTCAACTGACAAGGCGCATCAAAAGCCGTACGACGACGAGTCGTAATGAAAAGGTGGATTCTGTCCCGGGATAGTTCTACTTGCGCCAATACCAACCTTTGTCTTCACGCAATTTACACGATCTATAGGCCGAGTTTGGCTGAGATAAACATTCTGTTGTGCCATTTTAAGAGTGAGACCCCGAACTTTTTTATATAAAAAGAGGTATCCGCGAGATCTTTCGTCGTCGTATACATCATGTCCAAGGTATATTTCCCATCATTCCGCAACCCTTTTGTCATAGGAGATTGCACCGAATCCCACTTCCCATCGCGCCTGAAGAATCAAGGTGAAAACAGCTTTAGACTCCTTCCGACAAAAGAAAAAAAAAGAAAGAAGAGTGAAAAAGAAAAAGAGGGCAAAGGATGAAAAAAGTGATCCTCCCAGAGTAAATGTGGCGGTCTTATCCAAACATGTGAAAACAAAAGCAAAAAGCAAACAAAAGACAGTCAATGCCGAATCCGAATCCAGGAATGTTTGATGCACCATCCGAAAGCCTGGGGATTTGATCGCCCAACCGTTGCCGTATCCCGAACCGAAAGTTTTCCCAGAACAGTTGAAGGGGAGAAGAATAAATGAGAGAAAATGACAGGGAGTGAAGAAAACGAGCCAAACAACCAGCGCGTTGCGCCTACCTCAGCACTTGTGACGCTGACCAACGAGACCCTCCCGCACGAGGCAAATCTCCTCCCCAGTGCCGAGCTTCAGCACCTCTATGTCGGCCGAAGCGTGAGAGCGGAGCCCTCTCCTCGGCGACAGCGCCTCGAGAACCTCTTCGCGGGCATACTTTCTCGCTTTGAGCATCTTGGTCATGAGGCCGCTGATGTCCTTGTCGCCGTCGTGGGCGCTGATCCAGGCCCGAGCACTGAGGGCCAGCGCCGTTTGCTGGCCGGCCGGGACGCCGGAGCTGATGTTTCCGCCGAGCCACCAGGGTTAGATACCGAGTCAAAGCAGTGGAGCAGGGCGGTAAGAGGCAAGGCCGCTTCCGGGACGAGATGGTTCTGGACGTAGGGTTCAAGATCACGGTAGGAAATGCCGTGGGGGAGAAGATGACGGAGAGAGCGGGACTGCGGATCGGACGCGGACTTGCTCCTCGGCGGAAGTTGGTAGAGCGCGTGTGTCTCATGGCTCGGGCTGGGTGCGGAGAGGATGGCGGCGTTGGGGGCGCGAGCAGGAGAGCCTGCGCTGTCGGGGTGGGGCCGGGAACAGGGCTGGGGGTGCGCGTGCTCGTCGGGGTGGCAGGTGGTGTGAATATGCTCTGAGGAAAGGCACGCCGGGCGCCGGGAGGCCTATAAGTGAAAGCAATGGCTGCGTGAAGGCCACTGATATCCCTCTTTTGCTGAATAAAGGACACCGTCACCTCACCCGATTGTCCGCCTACCACATGGGGAGGGAGCGGAATTCGAACCACGCTCTCCTTTGATAGTTCTTCCCACTTGGGAATGACGGTGATCTTTTCACTATCAAAGTAATTCCAGCTCTTGATTAGCCGCGCCGCGGACGGGACGGCCAGGATTCGAGTCTTGGTCCCGGTAGGGGTAGTTGCCGCAGGGTAGCCTCGTTGCAGTGGTCGCTCTTGTGCTGGCTGATGATGACGAGGTCGGGCTCGGCGAGATCTCTAAGGCAGGATATGCAAGCGGCTGTTCTATGATGAGTCAAGGCGAGAATGGGATGGAAGATTTTTGAAGGGCCCGTGATCCAAGGATCCGTTAACACGGTGAAGGGCTCGGGCCGGAAGTGAGGAGAGGCGGGATCCCTTGGGGGTTCGAAAGAGAGAAGAAACGAGGCATCCGCGTTGAGCTGTCTCACCGACAGAGACATGTCGTTAGGAGAGAGTTCGGCTAAGACGTTGGACGAGGGACCGCGCGGCCGATGTCATGGATGGGAACGACTCGGCAAACACCAGGACTATTACTGCCAGGCTTGTTGCGGATTTCCTGGAGTAGACCGAACCTTTTCTTGGGGAGAGAAGAGGATCCCCGAAAGAACGACTCCGGGGTAGGAGAGAGGGAGAAGGTGATTATTTAACAAAGATCAAGAGGGATCAACGGGCTCGACAATGCGAGCGTGGAGATGCCAAGGACGAAAGGGTCGAGTTGCCCTTGGGGACAGACAATAGGGGCGCAAAGAAGCGTTGCGGGAAAGTATAGCCCGCGCTCGAGACAAAGGTTCCGGATTGACGAGAGGCAGAAGTGGGGATCATCGGTTCAGCGAGAAGAAAAAGAAGAAGAAGAAGAACAAGGCCCGCGGCGGATGCTCAGTCGAGAGGATCTTCACGGCCGCGCAAGTGTCTTAATGTTTTGACGGGGTAGCTGGTTCATCAGGTTGCCCAGTCTGTGAAGAGGTGCCTTGGCATCGGCTTCCAAAGAGTGTTCGGGAATTCCTACTCTGTCCGTGGAAGGCGGATCGCTTGGCGACGCCGCACGATTCGGGGTTGGGTTCGAGATACCAAGCCTCTTAAGATCACAGATAATCTCACCACGTTGAAACTAGCCTGCCGATTGACATGGGGTTAAAGTCTGCGGCAGGTGTTTTTAACATGAGTCTATTTCAAGCATACACGCCCAGCTTCGGAGAGTTCAGCACGGGAAATTTCTCTCCCGGCACTCGAGAGAAACAAGGTACACGCACGAAGGGCATGGGGGATAAGTGCAGGCGTTTCTATTTCTATTTGGCGCCCTGAATTAAGAATAAACAAACCTCAGACAAAGGAGGCGATCAACCGCGGTTCCTTGGAGATCATTGACGTGAAAAAGGTTCGGAGAGGGGATGTGGAAGCGAGGGGCCGAGGGGTTGCACCATCTGTGCGGGCCATGTCTGTGACATGAAGACGTTTGAGATCTTCCCAGAAGGCTTGGGCGATTTGCTTGCGGACAAGTCGTCTCAGCCAATCGTTGTGAGGGCACTGGGGCAGTCGCTCATAAACCAGGCGCTACACCCAGGACGATTATGTCGCGGATGGCGACAAATTAGGACAAAGGGCTCCCGACATAGAATCAAGCATTCTCAAATAAAGTTGGTTTTATCAACTTGGCTGCTCTTCTCTCGCGATAGGTAGTGTCAGCGATTGCGCGCCAGAGTGCATCCCATCTGTGACTACCTGCCCCGAGCCCAGGCAGCCAGCCCGCCAAGCGAGGTCCAAACCCAGGGATATCGCAGCTTTGATCCCCCAGATCAACCTGCTCACTCATCGAGGTCATAGCCCGGGGCTCCGCCACAGTTTTGAATCATATTCCGCACTGCACTGCGCTGCGTGCAAGAACTTGGGAATGGGTGCTGAGAGAGGTAGCTTGGGCGCCCTCGCCCCCTCCTCCCCTTTCTGTTGGATGGTCCTTGGTCAGAGCCGCACTTGGCTCGGGCTTGCTGTCTCGATGGTAGAGCCAGCCTGCCCAGGAAGTGCCCGTGGCAATCTCGTGGACATAACTCGGGGAGGGAAACATGACCTTCTTTAGGATCTTTGTTCCGAACCCCTTAGCTCGAGCGAAGGGCAAGGAGGTGGCATTTAACTTTGAAGCCCAGGAGATATAGAAGACAGGGTGCGGCGGCTCCATGTGGGTTAGCGAACAGCCTATGTATCTGCCCTTACGAGATCAATTGGCCCTTGCCGATGGGGGAAATTAAGTAAAAGAAGAAAAAAGAAAAGAACAAAAGAACAAAGGTGTAGTGTCGGTGAGGAGATGGTGGTGGGGGTGAAAAAAGGGCGGACCCAGGTGGCAAGACCTCGTGCTTGCTAGCGCTGTGCCAGATACCGAGCTAGAACCCTCGAATCTCGACCGAAGGTCTGACTCGAGTCTCCAAAATAGTGACCCGACTGGCCCTTCACTTGCCGATAAATTTGATTTTCAGGAATGGACCGGCGGGGAAACATTGGCGGTCTCCGTGCCTCAGGGATCATTCGGCGCCGTCGGGACAGGGAGAGGTGCTGCGCTGAGCGAGCCTGGCATTGAAGGCTAATATGATGATATCGGAAGCTGATCTATGGCACCTGGGGCGTCAACTCGTACATAGAACCAAACGCCACCGGCGGGCTTCATCTAAGCTGGGGAGATGGGAGGGGCCTATGGAAATTGGCCTTGATCTATCTACAAAGGACCGACCGATTGATGACTTGGTACGTTTAACCAGAGCTGTGGCACTATAAAAATCAATCGTGCCGTATTGCGGATTAGATGGTGCGTGCAGTGCTGGATATCAATTGATGAGAACAATCTAGATCTAATTGGTGAATCCAGAGATGCTTTCAGGTGCGTGCCATGATACGGGACTTCAAAGAATGTTGCGAATTTGTCATTTCATCTAACGGAAGGAATGGCTCTAGCTATTGAATTAGTTGATCGATTGTCACCCCCTTCTCGAGGATTTCCAAGTTGACCACAAGACCGAGTTCAAAGTCTAGTACCCAAGGTCCCACTCCTTTTGAAGGAAGGGGCAGAGCTAAGTTATAGTGTTCTTCCTGCTGCCTTCAGAACGAGTTCCTCTCCCTTTACCTCCCCCTTCTCCTTTTTCCCTTCCAGGAGCATCTCAAGGTTCTTATCGGAGGCTTGATCAAGCTGATCCCCCACAATCACAAGGCCGAACTGTTTGCAGGGTCGGGGTTGCATCAATTACTGTTGCGTATCTTGAAACTTAGTATTCTCCGTCTGGTAATTTAATGTTTCCCGGGCTGGTCTACAAGTCGCTCGAGGAAATAGAAGCGAGGGCCATCTGGCCCAGGCACGCCAGAGGAGGCACAAAGCAGAAAATATGGGAAGGTTGATGGAAGGGGAATTGCATTGATCGGGGACCTATAACGACCCAGGCACGTTTTGAAGAGATGACAGGCTTGTGGACGAGATAAAAGGAGTGCCGACCCTATTTGTCTTACATCATGTTCCTGATTTTTGCTGCATTGTCCGCTCCATCAGGTAATGCAGCTGGTCCGTCATTGCCAGATAGGGCTGCCCAGGCAGGTCGGGTTGCTTTTTCCTTTTTCTAAACACTCCTCACCAGAAGTCCGCCAGCCAGAGCTAATCAAAAGGCAAGCTATGATGCAATTCGTGGAACCCGAAGCTATGAATGGACCGAGGTTGTGCAAAAAAAAAAAAAAAAAAAGGCTTCACCGCCTTTGGCTGGAGACCCAGTTGGAGCTCGGTGAGCCGCCTGGTCGGCTTCTTTCATCCCTCCTTCCATGTTTGCTTGTGGGGGTCTCCCTGCCACTTTTAGGCTCTCCAGCCGTCCTTGCCAGCTTTGGTCAATTCGTTATGCGTGGATCAATGTCATGCGGACGCGCCGTGCTCATCTCGAACGAATCCCAGTGCTAGCCTACAATGCTTCTGCATGACCCGGTGATACGGAGTACATCATACCTTAGCCACTGAAGGATGGCGTCCAAGACGAGCCAAGAGAGGAGCGCGATTGATTTGACGTTGGTTCATCATTTTTGAATGTTCCCAAGCCCGCCAGACTGCGCCTACTTGTACGATGAGCAGAAGCCCGAACGAGCAGTTTATTCAGGGGCTGGACTTCCATAGCTAGCACCCAGGATCTCGGGATATTTCGCGATCCAGACCACTTCAGATGCAGCGCAGCACATCTTCCGCCCTTGACCAAGTCTGGAGAATTGGCAACCCAGACGCCTCTAAATATGAGAACGGGGGCTATCTGAGACTGCCGGACCTGCACGTGAAGAAACTTAGTTGCAAATCATTTCGAGAAAGAGAATGTTGGCAAACGCTTCTCACTAGCCTCGAGAAAGAACCTCTGCCAACCCGGCAAGGTCCTTTTCTTCCCTTATCTTTTTTTTGTCTTGGCCCTTTCCCCGTCCTTTGTAGAGGGACCCTCTCATATTTCCTCCATCCTGTTCCCAAAGTTTCATATCCCGCTGTCTTTGGTTTTTTCTTCTTCTTCGTTCTTTTCTTTTTTCTTTTTCTTCGTCAACTTTTCTTTGCCAGACGGCGGGAGCTGTGGGGAGCTTAGAGTGGACCCCTCGCTCGCTGCAAGTACTTGGGTTCGACGGTGTACAACGGGTCCTGGAGGTAACTGTCCGATGGACGGGGTGTACACTATGTACTTGGTGCCCGTGCCTATGAGCTTGGTGCGGAAAAAGGGACATGGCGGTGGCGGCAAGAGGCCAGCCATCCATTGGACTCGTACCCCGCACATCGTCAGGGTGCGCAAGTACTCTGCACAGTCTCAAAAAAACTGTGCAGCAAGTTCCCGTTAGCTCCTGGGCCCTCGCCCCGGGGCTCAACTCTGGGACCACAAGAGCACTTGAGGCTGCTTCACGCCGGGGGTGGAGGCGTTGCGAAAACTGAGGTGAAGCTGTAATGAGCTGGAGTGCAGCTCAAGGGGCCATAATTGAATGCGTTTAGAGCTCCACGGTAGCTTGTTGTGGCGTTCGAAGAAGGGGTGAGGCCGCAGAAGTCGTTATCAGCCCGAGTTGGAGCTCTTATCGAGCGAGCTAGGGGTGGTCGGGTGGGACCGTTTGGAAACGAAATGCTGCCCCTCATTATCACCCATCAAACCGATCCATGCGCATTCCATCAAGTGCAAGTGGTCTGGTGTCCCATGAATCCATCGCCTGGGGTGGGCTCACCTTTCCCGGCGCTGCACGACAGCTCTTCCACCCTCCCCCAAACCAGCCTCCAGAGTACAACTGTTCCTCAGGTTCCGTACCTTGTTCGCTCGAGGCCAATTAATACCTCGTGTACATTAAAACCTACATCGAGGACTAAATTGATGGCACCACATGATGCACGCAACATAGGAAGCTATCCTTTTTGGATCCGCTCTGGGCACGACACCTCCCACCAGCAATCAAATTTTCTTTCCTCAAAGCCGAGATCGAGGATACGGGGTGCAGTTCCGACTTCCCCACAATGCGATCAAGCTCTCCTAGTCGGCTCGATGGTACACTTCAAGCGGCAGATTAAGACTCGCGCCGGTATAGTAGTGCTTTGTTGTTTCGGTTTTGATCATTCCTCCAAATGCAAATGCCCTCGAGCTTAGCCCTAGCCGTCGACTCGACGTACTTCAAGTTGTACGTCCTCCATGCCTTTCTCTGACCTACACCACTTTCGAGCCAACGCCCGCCAACGCCCACCGCGCATGAATGGATATCATAGCTAAGTCGTGCATTCCGCCCGAACCCATGGTTGGCTGGCTACAAGCTGTAGTTCGAGATGGAATTTTCACAAATTTGTTCTCGTCCCAACTCAAATCCAACAGAACGCGAAGCTGTGCCTTTGACTGCCCACCGAACTCTGCATCAAACAATGCTCTTCCCCACCCCCGCTTGCAAGGATATCCAAGCTCCAAGTAGATTACAGCGTCCATATCGCGGATTGTCTGGCTCACGGTCCAGTTTCCTAAACAGTTTTTTGCCCGTTTTCCCACCTTTTCGAAGCACCGGTGAATGTCGCTCAAGAGGTTCACCGATCGAAGTGGAAAACTTGAACAATCCCTAAATTGGGAAATCCTTTTCCCCCGGCTCTTTGTCGGTGATCAGGACTCAAGGAAACCCCTCGAGCTATGGCTGGCTAGTTCTCGGAGAAAGTTACAGCGGCTGTGCGAGCTCACGACCCAATCCCGTTTGATGGTTCCAATGATGCAAATTGTTCCAGAGGTGCTTCCTGCCTTGAGGAACCTCGGGCAGAGTCAAGAAAATAGTAGGGACTAGGGATGGGGGTGTATATCTAGTATGTGGGCTGGTTCGACCACGGAGTACGCGAGAAGCTTGGGATCACTGGGTGCTCGTTCGAAGCCCACGTCACGGTGCTTTTGCATACGGAGTACAACAGTCTTGGATCAGTGGGATATCATCTGGGGCGCTGGAAGAAAGAGCACCCGAGCTCTGACCTCCACCGGCACGAGCTTCGAACCTTGCACGGGAAGAGTTCAATCCCCGTAGCCACTATAGAAATGACATCTAATTGTATCCATATACATCAAAGATCTTGGATAATCCATAAATACACCAACAATTAGCGTTGAGGCGTCTTTATGACGGGTAGAGTGCCCTTGGACCCCGAAAGAAGGAGGGGAAAAAAGAAGAAGACGACAAAAAGACTGACTGGGGACTTCGATGATCCCGGTCAAACATGCCAGCCCTTCCAATGTGAGTTTCCCGCTCCACGCCTTTCCAAATTTGGACTCTCAAGTTTTTGCCTTCTCAAGACCCATTCACGTTGCAAGTGTATTTTTCCTTTTGCACTTACTTGTCGAGTCGGGTATTGCCATAACCAGTTAAAATTACTGCAATGCGGATTTTCCTGCTCTTTCCGTATTAGCCGTGGGGTGAGCTGGCCAAGCTCCACTGCTCCACGCTCTCAATAACGGAGGCCAGGCGAGGGCAGCCAATGCTACTCCTGGTCTAGCTATGATCAAGTGGTTTTTTTCTCGGTTCTTTTCCCTCATGCTTTTCTCACCTCGCCTTTTGCTTCCCTTTGTTCATTTCGAACTAGAATCCCCTGCGAAGCTAGAGAGCGCTCTCCATAGTCTGCAGCGAATCCTGTCAAGTACCGGTGCCGAAATCGAAAGCAAGGAGTTGCAGGGATCTACCCTTCCCATAGGCACCCGAGCTCATGCCTGCAAGCCGGCTCTTCTCATGAATTGGGATGGCCATGTTGGCAGTCAGTCAGAGGGGAGAAGAGAGAGGTGGTCCGGCTAGTCCTAGCAACCTCTTCCCTTAACCGCGCGCACCATAGCGCCGTGCTACCGGCTATGTATCAGCTCGAGCTGTCCAAGCTCCGTGGTACCTTGGCTCTGACTTGCACCTTGCAGGATTCACAGGTCAAGTGGCGAGACAAACGCCAGGCATCAAAGTCATCAAGGATGGTCAGCCACAGCCACACCTGCCGCCCACCCTCCAAGCAAGTTTGTATTTCGAGCCAGTGACGAAACGGAGCGGCGTGTCCGTTCATCAGAGCTAATCGCTTCTGAAACCGTCCTGCGTCCACCAGCAATTGCCTGCCTGTGGCGGAAACTTCGATAACGGCGCATGGAGCTTGCGAATCTACAAGACCATCGCCCTCACTGGCCAAATGCGGCATGGCTGCTGAGCACCACGTCCGAGTTTCCAGCGAGCACAGCTCGTCGAACTGTGCAGCTTGTCCGTCGCTCACGTCACGTAGCGTCGAGCATTGTGTGGGGGTTCCATGATCCAGCCGGGAGAGGAAGGAGCGGGGGAGGGGGTAGGAACCAAGCAGAGGGAGAGGGACAATTGATGCAAGACGAGACTTGAGCATTCGCAAGCTAGACTGATATACTCGGTATAATGCTACCATTAACTGGGCCGCTTCATGTTGTCGGTGGTCAGTCACAGGTTCCGGGCCAGTGCTGTCTGGCCTATCCTCCGCCTCCAAAGGGGAAGCTTTACTCTCGTACCCAGTAAGAGCCGAGGTCGTCCGACACAGTGTACCTTGGATCCAGCTCCAAAATCCCACTCCCAGTTTAGTCCAAGGCCTCTGCTGCTTGGACGAAGAGCACCAGAGGAATTGAGGATCCCTCCTCCCACCCCCTCCCTCTGATGTTCTCCTCCCCTCCTTCTCGAATGTCAGTAACTCGAGTGATCCGTTTTCTTTTTCCTTTTCTTTTTTTTTTTGTTGCGCAATACTACGTTTATCTTCCAGTTGACTTATTAGAAACTTGCCTCCACCGCCTTCCCCTTCTTCTCTCCCTCTCTCTTGGCCCCAACTTGCAGCTCCGGGACTTATCAAGCTTGGTATAGGTGCTAGGTCCGCAACGTTGGTGGTCTCGCCCGCCTCTTATTCCTTGACTTCCTCACCATCGCCTGCTCTTCTCACTTCTGTGCCCCCTCTCCAGCGACATATATACTAGATTTGAGCACCAGGCCGGCCAACTTTCTCGTCTCTTTTCCCCCACCCTCACCCCCGAGCTACCGATTTCCCAGTCCCTCACGTGCATCTTTAGAAGCGAAGCTGCTTAGTGCACAGGATCATCGCAGCTATTCTCGGCCTCGTATCAGATCAGATCAGACACTTCGGATTTAGTTAAAAATTGAGGCCAAAAGCTCCGCTTGCCAAAGCTAGAGCTCCCTTGTAGCTTCCAGCACATGGCAATTGTTCCCCCAGCAAGGCTTTTCATCATATCCCGGCTTCTTTCGACCTGACCTCTCACCTCGACTGCAAATGCGCTGCATCGATACACCCTCAGACCTGTGCCACTCAACCACTGTTGCTAATCGATAACTACCCTATCGACAACGAAGTCCGACCCCTCCTCATCCCTCGACCCCGAAAGTCTCACCACGGCTCCCGTTCCGCTTCCACCGGCGCATGGTGGGGTTAGCAAGATGCCGGCTCGACCTTCTCTCACCTCCTCCTTTTCTATTACCGACGCCAACAATGAAGTTGTCTGTCCTCTGCGAAATCAAGATGGTTCAAGCTGTCGCAAACGCTGCATCGGCGTGAGTTTTCCTCCCTTCCTTGCGGACCGCAGCTTTACGTCGCTCGATTGTCTGTCGCACATTGCCGACCGGGCACTGGACGGTCCCAAACCCGCAGCTGCAATTCAAGCGGTGCATGAGCGAGGAACGCAGGATTCGCTGCATTCACCGCATGCTTTCGTCAAGAGGCTCGGGGACATACCTAACTGTGTAAATTTCGTATCTAACCGGGAATCATGTGTCTTGTAGGAAAAACGCTACCGTTCCATGCAAGAGCACATTAGGCGCGCCCATCCTGAACACTACATCTCGAAGCTCCCTGCCACCGAAGAGAGCTTCCTTCTCATGATCAATACTCCGCCTTCTGAACGAACACCAGCTCAGCAGCAGAATTCCACTCCCGCTACAGCCAATGCTGCCCAGCCGCCGGTCAACCAGCAGGGTGCGTTACTCCCCTCCCCCTCGCTCTCTCCGCCTTCGTTGCTGTCTTCGTTGCACTGATTTCCGGATGCGGCGGGCTTGGTCTAAGCGAGATTTCTTTTTATATTTCTGCACTTCCACTTGAACGTGCTGTGTGCTTTTGCTATCGGGTTCGTAACACTAACATCGTTGACCAGGCGCATCTATGCCACCGGCTGCGAGCGCGGCGGCCGCCCTCGCTCAACTTCATGGCCACCGAGGAGAACACGAATGGGACTCAGAAGGGGTAAAAATCCCGCCAGTCGATTTCAAGATTGGAAGGGAGATGCTAAAACACCCTTGGCAACAGCAGGACTGGCATCCCGATGCGGACGGTCGGAAGATTCCACGCTCGTCGATCGAACTGCCCCCAATCCACATGTCAAGCAGTGATGTCACGAGCGACCCCTTCTCTAACCCAAACAGGCCGAGAGACCTGCTCCCTTCAATCTTACCCGGCTCACCGCCCGGGAGGTCTTCCACTCTACCTCCCCTGCACCGAGGTCTCGGGCCCACGCGACCCCGAAAGCAATCCGTCACAAAACGTGGGAGGGAGGCCCACCACAAAAAGCAGAAGTCAAAGGGCTCGACGAATGACTGGCTGCGAAGAATCCAAAATGACGACCGTCTCCGGCCCGGCATAAACGACCGAAAGGCGTTATCGGCGGAGCCGACCGCTGACTTTGGAAAGAGGTGGGAGGATCTGATCGATGCCGCTGACCAAGCAGCCTCCGCAGCTGGCGATGTGGATGAAGACAGAACTCCCGTACGCAGATTAGATCCCTCTTCCTTTGGTTGTCATCCTAACCCGCTCCAGGTCCCTCAATCACCAGTCTCCATCCACCGTGCTTCCCTTCCCCTTTCTCACATCCTCACTTCCAGCCGAGTAGTGCCAATTATCAAGCGTCGCCCTTGCAACAAGCTCTTACGCCCCCTTGTACAATCAGGAACCGCATGACCCCCATCCATTCCCCTCCGTCGAGAGCGGAGAAAGCGGCGAGAATTTCCACATGGAGTCTAGGGGCTTTCCGACTCCTCCCCAAGCTACTCATCACAGAACACGCAGATATACTGTGCAGCCTGCCATTCGGTCGCTTACTTGAAGGAGTCATTTGCCTGTCCTGAATGCATTTGTGGCCTGTGCCCGGCTTGCGTCGATGTCTTGATGGCAGAGCAAGGGCACGACGGAAATGCCCTCGATGTGCAACGATTGGCGGTCGATTTAAACCGTTTCAGCTGGAGATCAGATAAACGGGGTCGCATCCCCATCCGCTTTCCTTTGCTTCACCCTTTTCTCTCACAATGGCATGGATTGAATGAACACCGCCGCGGCCTACTGGGTTGGCGCAAGATGGTAATGGAAGGAGTTGCATATACTATAAAGATGTTGCATTATGAGACTTGTAGTCTCTTTCTGGCGTCATAATCGGCCTTGGGACTAGCCGGATTTCCTCTTTCTTTTTCCTCTCCTTTTCCTTTTTATATCTCCTTCTTTTTCCCTTTCCCCCTTTTCTTCCCCCTTTTTCCTTCACCTTGCCCCCATCGGCAACTTTCATCGCTTGTTTCTTCTGCCCTTTTCGAGCTCGGATCCATTACAGCTCACGATGCGTCGCTGCAAATTATCACAGCCTTGAAACCAAGCGATTCTGTATGAATTCGGCCTTTGGGATAGCACTTTTTCCTTGTCCTTTTTTTCTTTTGTTTTGGAGTTTAACACTTGGCCATCTTGCGCCTTGCTCTTTGGAATATCTCCTTCTTGTTTTATCTGGGTTCGAAAGACTGATGAGGATACGCAACAGACAGCATGTCAAATTATACCACGGCCAAAACTCGCGCTCAGCAGTCCTTTAGCTAGCTGGGTATGGCCGATGAACAAAGCGGGGCTAGGGCTATATGAATGCTTCTGAGAAGCAAGTTAGACGATGTAGGCCAGCGATGAGCTTTCAAAGAGGTGGAGTATATAAAGGCTGTCCGCGGTGGAATATATATGCCCCAGACGTATTTACGCCACAATATTTACTTAGGTTAAGATCAATAAAGGTTCATATCAGAATGTGACAGTGCGACCCTCCTTAGAACTAGCGTGATGGTCTCATTTTCACGACTGAGTAGAGAATATACAAGTGACGATGAAACATAATCGCATGCTGAATCCGAGTAGAGTAGGTACGTATACCCTATGCATATCATCTCCTCGAAGCTTTCGCTTTTTCCTTTTCCTGCTGAAGCAGAATATCGCGCACGGCCGAACGAACATTTCGGCTCCCGCCGAGTTTCGGCCCACGGAGGACATCGGGGTCGGCCTTTTTCTCGGCAGGCCGAGTGGGGCGCGCGGCTCGCCTCTTTTGGCGGCGCTGCGCGATTGCATCGAGGAACTCACGCTTGAACTCTTCGGCGATGCGGTCGTCCGCGGAGCCCTCGTATTCACGGTTGGCGTCGGCAGAAGGGTTCTCCTCTGGGACACGGTACACGTCAACTAGATTTTGAAGGCCGTTAGCACATTGTTCCCCCAGTCTGATGTGAGGTGTGGGCGGGGGCCGCGGGTAGCTGGGAAAAAGAAGACAACATACGTTTGCTTTCGTGTAGAATTTGTTCCACGAGCTGGTCTCGTTTGAGATCGTCGCTATTTCTCCGATTTCTATTTCGGATGGGCTGTCCGTCCTTGCCCAGCCTCGTTTTCCTTGAAAATCTGCCGTCGCCGTCTCCGTCGTCGGCTGGCTGCCCGTGTAGTTTCCTCTTGGCCTTTTCCGTGAGGGCGACGTTGTGATTCCGAGACTCTTCGCCAAGATCCACCTCCATGAGCTTCCCGTGCATCGTCCGCTTCTGGGGATCAAAGGCACCGGGCGGTGCCTTGAGGCTGTGGTCTTCGGAAAGTGAGGTATGCGATGTTTCACCTTGTTGCTGCTGCTGTTGCGCCGAGCCCTCTCCCAGTGCGGCCTGGCGCCTAGTGAGCTTCGATTCTACGTATTCCATCCTTGCTTGGTTAGTAACTCGATCACGGTGCAGCCATAGAGGGCCGCACGGGGTCGTCGACGGACACAAACTCACATGTGTTTGTTCACGAGCTCCCCGACCAAGCCGGTTTGCGCCGCGAATCGTTTCGGAATCCCCTAGGACAGTATCGGCATTGTCCAAGGCATTTTCCGCCCGGACGAGGGCCTGCTCTTGTATCTCCTCCTCTTCCAGCTCGCCATGCGGCCTGCTTACGCCTTTCATCCTCTGCTGTTTCCGACGCCGCCGCAGGAGTTCTGCGACCGAAAGCCCTTCATCATCCTCCGCCTCTTCCTCCCCCGTCTCTCTCGTTACAGGCGCGCCGACGTGGGATTCGTCATTTACGGGGAGGCTCGGGGTATCGAGTGCTGAGGCGCTGTGATCGGGTCGGGCTCGAATCGTGGCCTTCTTCTTCTTGGCGCGAAAGACGATGGGTGCGTCTCCAGAGGGATTTGTCACGTCTGGCGTTGGCGTGGATTCCATGGGCGAAGTCGTCTCAAGTAGCGGGGAAAGATGAAGCTGACGAGTTATCGGTAGTTGGTTTGAATGATTTCGATGGTTCGTTGAGATGGCGAGAGGCTACACGCTACGGAGCCTTTGTGGGTTTGTGAAGATGATTGAACGTGGGATGCATCCAAAGCAAACAGTGGTTTAACTTTCCAAGTCTGCTGATGGTTGGAGTGGATGATGTAATTAGCCGCCGTTCTACCGGTTTCGGCAGCACCCTCGTCTCATCGACTTCGTGAGAAGACCCCGCCAAGTAAGGCGAGGCCGGTAAGCTGGTGATGGCCCTATCGCATTTACGACTTTTAGATAAAATGACGAAAAGAGTAAATGCAAGCCCTTTCACCCATGGATTATATACCGAGCCCTAACACAGCCTCCTAGGTGTATTTTCGTGCCCATGGAGGAGAGGTCAAGGTTCGTTGACTTACACGTCATGTTAACCGTTCCCGGCCTGTCGTACTAACCCGGCGGTCTCCAAGGTGTGGGATTCCGGTATGTTTCAGCCATTCTACGATGTCGGAAGCGTTGCCTAAAGTCGAGTCTTTTACATGTAGTTTCTTCACTCAGAGGAAGGCACGAGAGCTTGGCTTGACCGGCTGGGTTCGTAACATCCCCAACAACAAGGTAAGTCTGATGGCAAGCCCGCCATCGTCAAGCTCAAAGGGGGACGAATAAGCACTAAGAGACTCCAAGGTCGATGGCGAGGCTCAAGGAAGCGAGAACGATATCCAGACCCTTCTCAAGCATCTTAACGATGGACCGAAGCACGCTCTCGTTGTCAAACTCGACAAAGAAGAGCGCGACGTGGTAGAAAACGAGTCCGCGTTCGAAATCCGAAGATGACAAGACCTAGAATCTACCGGTGCGTCTGGAGCTAGGCTTGAGATTGGTAAAAGAAGAAAATTTGATGCTTTCGGAAACGCTAGTCTATCTGTGAAAAAGGGGAAAGGGGAACCACCCCCAAAGCCTAAGATGCAAAAATGGGTTTCCAGACATTTGTCTCCATGACGCCAAACTCCTAGATACATTTCATGATACAACGGTATTGGGGCCAGTACCCCTTCAGGATTCTGCTTCTTTGAGAAGCTCCGTGACGGTGACAAATTTATATCCCCTCCTCTTAGCCTCCGGGAGGACCTTTTTCAGCATCGGTACCGTCCAGCTCCTCCGGTCATGACAAATTATGATGGCACCAGGCCTCAGCATGCTCAAAATATGGTTTGCATTCATCCACCAGTACGGGACCTGGGGGTCATGGGGGTAGATGCCTCCCAAAACTATCCTGTACCCCAATTTATCGACCAGGCGGCGCATGCGGTTGCTGAAGAAGCCGGATCCAGGTCTGAAATAATTATTCGGTGGGTCCATGCCCTCCTTGTCGTACACATCAAACAGCATCTTGCGCACTTCATATATTTCCGACTCGAGTTGCGCATCGCTCAGGGATCGCGAGGGTTCGTCGTGCATGGCGTGGTTGCCAAGCTCGTTTCCGTTGCGGACGAGCTCGCTCAAGCGCTCTTCGCGGCCCTCGACCTGGGAGCCAATGACGAAAAAGGTGGCCTTGGCATCATTAGCCCGCAGAAGCTCCATTATCTGTCGAGTATACACGCTCGGCGCATCGTCAATCGTAAGGGCAATGATCTTCTTTTCGGTCGGAACCTCGAACAAAACGTCGGGCCATTTTTGCGCAAAGTGTCGAATGAGGGCGGCCGGCGGCTTGTAGATGATGTAGAATGGGACGATGAGGAGGAGCGCGAGGAAGAGGAGGAACAGTAGGGTGTTCATTCGATTGCGGCGTGCCCTCCGGCGCAGCTTAGTCGGAAGGCGAAGGAGAGATAGGGAGACATGTGGGAGATTGGCTTGGTTCCTCCGCCAGCATCCCGTATTTCCTCTCAGCGGGAAAAAAGGGGCTGGATGAAGTTGTTGATGATTTGCCTACGAGCGAAGCTGACGATTATTATGAGTGACCCGCGCCGATTACGTGGTCGCCTCCAGTCACTCGTAGCTGGCACAGGCGGCCAGGAGACGGCGACTAGTCTGCGACAAAATGAAACTAAAGAAATAAAAGGCTTAATCGCCGGCTTTGTCACGAAGTTGGAACATGGCCGTGTTTGATCAGAGTGGCCGTCTCGACCACTACATTTCTTATCATCACGTGATTTGTTTGAGATATCGGGGTCCTTCAGCACCGGAGGAAGCCAGGCCACATCGTGACCTGTCTGGTCCACTTCATAGATCTACGCTCCATAGCTCAAGCGCGTCCTCTAGAGTATTTCCACACTATCAATAGATGTACAGAGGATATCCTAGAATTGGCGATTCTTTCGGTATTTCGCATCTTAATTCTTTGTCCCATATGAATTTAGAAACGGTGGTTGTCTTAGATGAAAGGGAGGGTGGTTCGTTCTCCCAAGTCAGAGCTCAGAGCTGCTCTAGCAATGCGAAGCCTCGCGGTAGACGGGCAGACCAGTCGATGCTGCCTTGCTCAATCACTACCCAGCTCAACTGATCGCAGAGGATCACCTTCACTGCTACGGGTACTTTGAGGGTTCCGTAATAAGGAGCTCAATAGCAAGAGGGTCGGTGCTCACGTACTTCAAACTCACCTTTAATCACAGGTATCATAAACAAGATGCCGTGCAGAGGCTGCGTAGCCGACAATCGTATAGCTCGAATTACATCGCAAGCCTGTCAAAGGTGCGCGCGGCGAGCCTTGTCATGGCCCATGATATCGCGATTCGAGTTCCCAAACAGACGGGGCGGGAGCCGCATTGCGCCCGGGCGCCGGAGGAAACCGCTCGCCAAGCCCATCGCCGAAGCACACCCATCTGTGCATGTGGTAGGCGGATGTATCTACGGGGACCGATGGCCTCTTCCCCAACGCCGTTGCCATATCCACCTCCCATGGAACGATACTTCACGTGTGCGCAGAAAGGCAGCGTGCACAGCCATCTCCCCACAGATTTCGCTTGCAAAGCCAAAGGGGAAAAGGCTGAGACAAGAAAGCGTGCTCTCCCAGTCGGGAGGATCCCAGGCACTTTGACCGCACCGCGGGAAAGCTGGGCAGGCTAAGCCGAGGAGATCGACGAACGACCACAACACTCCCCACTACCGTGTCATCCCGTCTTGGAGGGTTGAAACGCCAGAAACAACCGAAACAAGACATGTTCTGCCGCCGGGTTTCTAGCAAGGTAAACAAATCGTCCCCCTCTTCCCCGCTCTCTGGATGACGAAAATCAATCGCCATAGGGGAGAGAGAGGCGATGCTTCTCTATGCTTTCCTCGTCGAGACCCAGAGTCATTTACGAACCCCTTCCGCTGGTGCGGGAATTGAGGCGACCATGTCTATCTATCTCGAAAAGGTGTGCCCTCCGTCAAGTAAAGGTCGAGGTGGGCGGGGGAGGGGATGGGCAAGAAAAGTTGCCCTCCGAGGATTTAGGCGGAAAGAGCCGGCATCAAGAAGAGGACACCATAAAATAATTAATTGCCCACCGGAAGTCAAGGGCCAACGGATCACTGGCAGCGGCCAACTCCTCATATCCATTGATAGATCAATCAATAGATCCCTCCCACCTTTCCTCGTCAAGATGGTGGATGCCTGCCCACCACTCTTCACCCTTGGGTCGTTGGACACGCCTCAACATCGCCCCTCGTGCATTAGGTAGCGAGTGTACATGGCATGTGGGCTGTTATTCGGGGACTTCCACCTATCTGGTGAAAGAATAGAAAAGGGAGCTAAAAACGTGAAGAAAGGAGGGGGATTTAAAGAGGAAGAGAGGGTGACAAAAAACCGAGGCCAGCGCCACATGCACTTTATGGATTAATTAATTGCAGCAATGAGATGGGTCGCTCTCTACTAGGGCCACCGTCGGTTACCCGTTCTCACACAGCTCCCCCACTCCACTCGTTGGGACTTCCATCCTCTTCAGTACGTTTTTGGGGCAGGTGAACTTCAATTCTTGCTCATCCAGATGACCTCCACAATGACTGATGGGATCCCGGAATACTCTCCCATATGTGGTAGTGATTGGTATGCCTGTTTCATGCCTCAAGAGCACCTCACATGAGTGGCCTGGGTACTCTAACTAAACAATGCCCCGCCACTCCCATTACATGACCTCCCATTTTTCGGCCTCTTAGTAGGGGACTTGGGAACCTCGGCCCTGACGGCTCGGGTGGCGAGGCACGCAAACGCATGCAAGTTCGCAATACATTGTTACTTTTAGAACACCGTTAAGAGAAAGAAAAACAATAATAGGAAAAAAGGAAGAAGAAAAAGAAAAAAGAGAAAGGGGTGAAAATGCTGCTTAGAATGCCTCGCATCTTCGCATGCCCGAATCATAGCAATCACTTATACGGTGTGGTGGTACCTTGCAAGCTGCGGAAAATGTGTTTTGAAACAGGTATCTCAATTGAATCCGACAAGTCGGACGTGTAGAAACGAACCGCCATCCTAAGCTGCTGCCTCTAAGGGCACGGGGAATATTCAGTAGGAAAGAGAGAGAGAGAGAGAGAGAGAAGGGACTGTGAAAATAACCCTTTCTTGACAGGTGAAGAAAACCCAAAACATTGAAAACCCAACGCCAATACCCTCTTGGAGCCGCATCCGTGTAAACCCTCTTTGGCCGAGTCCAATCTCATGATGAAATGCGCGTCCTTGTACCACTAATTGCCGGTGTGTCCGGTGCCCGTGAAGCCTCCCCAGGGCAGGGAAGGGGAAAGGCAGAAAGAAAAGAAAAAGGTGAAAAAAAGGCGCGCACAGCGAAAGAAGCGTGTTCCGTGAAGAGGAAGGAATGTGTAGTCCGTATATGTACAGGAAGCAGACGGTTAATATGATATGACATCAAAACAAACCAAACGGCCAGGCGTTTCAGACTTCTCAGATCCAGGCAGTCTGGGCGGGCCTGGCATGAGTGGCGTCACGATCATGGAAGAAGAATGAGGCGAGATTTTGAATGTCGTTGAGGTACACATCGGCGCTGATCTTGCAAAGACCACGAGACAAGAGCTCTTGCTCCTCTTCATCGACAACACCAAGCCTGTTGACAACGCCGAACTCCTCTGCAATTTCGGTAACCTGAGCGAGCTCGAGGCCGAAAGGGTGTTGTGGCGTGGCGTGGTGCGTCTTGTCAGAGGGAGGACTGGCAGGGCCCATCGACATTGTGGAGGAGAATCCGGTCGACTGGGTTTGGACAGAATCGCGCGAGATTCCTGAGAAGGACGTGACGCTAGAACCGCTTCGAGAAAATGAATAGTTGCCACGAGACGACAAAGACCTGCCGCTCTCCTTTGAAAGATGAGAAATGGACCTCTGGCGGGCCACCGATTCGATAGATGCCTTCTTAGTGTGGGAAGGAGCACGACGTGGGATGGCAGGCGCTTGGCCCGCGAATGAGTTGGAGACTGGTGGAGCTTGGGGAGGCAAAAAGTAGCACGAGAGGTGGTTCGGCTGTGGGGACACGGAGCGCTTGAGTTCGCTGGAAGGAACATCGGGACTGGTAGGAGGCGAGGATGCAGCGGTTGAGGGGCTGCTGTCAGAATCATCATCGGTGTTGGTAGCGGACCTAGAAGATGACTGGTTCGAGTTGCTTGTCGATGGGCGAGGGAGATCAGGAGCGTTGTACGAGAGCATGTTAGTGGTGTGGATTAGCTCGATCGGGCCGGAAATCTGAGGACGCGCATTGCCCATCGCAATCGAGTTGGATCGAGAGGGTTGAGACCGGAGAGCATCGGGTCGGCCTCCCATCGGCTTCGTCGTGTTGCTTCGTTGCATAGCCGCCTTCTCCTTGGCCTCCTGCGCGAGTTCAAGACTCATCTTGACCTTGCGGGTCGTGAACGCCCTAACGATGGCCGGCATTGTGGTGGTAGTCGTTCAGTGTTGCTGAAAGTGGGTAGAGTGGAAGAACGTTGGGAACAGAGCAAGACTGCCGAGGGCGGAATAAAAGAGATTTCGCCTTTGGTGCAGGGTGTGGTCTGGGCCAAGCGAGGGTCAAGGTTGGGTGGGGAGGAGTGGTTTACCGTAGCAGCGAGTGTCACAAAGCTGCACTTGTGATTGGGGGTGTGCAGAACCAAGATTTGCGCAAGGTCAAGTGGGAATAGCGGGAGTGGGTGGGAGACGGGAGGGTCAGATGTCTGGGCTTGCGGGAAAAAAGGTGTGAGGGTTACAACGGGAGAGTTCCAAACAGCAAAGCCTCTTGTGACCGCTGGAGCAAGGGAAAATGGGGCAGATGAAAGGCTTGGGCTCTCGATAAAAATAGGCAGGTGCGCTTTGGCTCTGCGTTTGGGTTTGGAACTTCGGTAGCGGTTGCCGTTGTTAAACCACTGGAGCAGCACCGAGCTTTAGGCACGGTGAATTTGAAAATAAGAGAAAGAAAGAGTGGGCTTTGTCCAGTCGAGAATCCGGTCCTCGTGAGATTGTTGGGAAAGAAAAGAAAATGAAGGGATTGGGTGTGCGACTTCTTCACCGTCAAGGTAAACACAGAAATCGGTCCCGGAGGATGCTGGAATGAGACGATGGTCAACACGTCCGGCTAAGTGAACGCGGGCGTCGACAACTTCTTCTATCCTCCTAAATTGATTGCAGATGCGTGTCAAGAACGAGTGTTTCTTGAAGCCAAGGTTGAGCCCTCTTTTGCGAGAACAATGAGCGTGGATCAGCAAGCAGAGTGTCGCCGTTTGATGGAGAGAAGAAAAGAAAAAAACCGGGCCAAACTCGTTGGCAGAGACGTGGAGAGTTGAAAGTCTTTCCGGACCGGCGAGAAGTGGGAAAAGGAAAAGAAACACACAGAGTAAAGAAGAAGAGAAATTTGAAAAGGAGAGTTATGGTTGAGAAACCAAAAGAGCGGCCTTCAGAGAAGGGATGTAAGGATCGCGACAGGATCAAGAATCGACCTTGGAGAGGAAAGGGAGAAGAGCGCGCGATGGTGAGAGGGTCAGGGAGGCAATTAAAGGCACCTTTGCTTCCCCATCCCATCCCCTTTCCTTTCGCCAATTGAGCGTTGGACAGAAAAAGGACCAGAAAAAAAGAAAAAGCGCCTTGCAGGTACATCCGCATCCACGTTCCCTCCCTGAAAGACTCCAACTCAGCCAGTCACAGTTTGTAGGCCAAGAGAGCATGCATCCCAAGTGGATGTACTTCGGCCAGGAACTCTGCCAGGTACAGTGGGTACATCAAGCCCACTTGCATCCTCCAGTGGTCGGTGCTTTCGACGATAACCGTCCCCAGGAACCACTCAATCATGAGTCGACAGGTTCGTCTGCTTTTTCCCTCACCAGGGCCAACCCCTGTCAGCCGCTCACTTGAGAGTCGCCTCCCTCCTTCACTCGGCTCCTTCTTCCCCTGCGTTGGTCAGACACCATGAGGACCTTGGCCAATGGCAGTTGAATACCCACCCCATCGTTCCCCGGCCCCTCAATCGGCTCCATCACCCTTGTCCTTTCTTTCGGCCCATGTTGCTCAATTTCGAGGGTTGAGATGGGGCTCATCCGCTTGCAGAAGAATTAACACTAAAATTCTCATAGTTGAAGGGTTAGGCTCATGCGTGGAATTGATCAAGCGCGATGGGGCAGATGGGGCAAGGGAAGGAGAATGGGTCTCTCTCGAGAGTCCCGCCCGTCACTGCTCACCTCCACTCACTTGATCGACCGATTGTAAAAAACCCGGAAGTATTCGATATGAAATCCCAGGTAATTCTTCCGGGCGACGAACAAGTTTCGAAAACCAGAAGGAAACGAATTGCTCCCCCTCAACTGTGGTTCGGTACGGCTAATTGGTGACCTCAGCCCCTTGATTGAGGACGGGTGAGCACAAGCGGCGGTTTTCAATCAAGGGCGGTCTCCCACGCGCCGGTACTTGAGTAGATCAACACCCCCATCCGTTCCGTGAGAGAGATCAGGCTACTGCCGTGGAGAGCACAATACTTGTACTTGGACTCACTCACGCATACACAGACGAAGTTCACGCCTCGGACGAGTTAAACTTGAGAACTTTCAAGCCAGGAGGCTTCTAGCGCCTCAATTCATCAATCGATGGGCTCAAGTGCTCCCCTCCAACGATGCTACACTGCTAACTGGCGCCAGCGAGAGGTAAAAGTATTGCGCCACCAGCGTTACGCACTATCCAAGCATCGCCATATTGAACTGGCGCTTACAAGGCCGGCACGTCACTTGAATGTGCTGTTCCTTACGCTTGACCCAACTGATCGACGAATCCGTCCTCTGAGCTGCAGGTGCCTGCACTCTGGCGTGGCACTACGCCCAAGTCCACCCCTTTCCAGAAGCCCCTTTCTAGAACTAAGGTAGGAACAACACTCATCCACGCTAGCATCACCGAATGGCAGAGCACCAGCAGTCCCGGAGAACCAGATGTCGGCGCCCGATTTTGTGGTGATGTGTCTTCCCTGTACAGCCCGCCCAGAGGAGACGGATGGAATCAATCATCAATCCGTCGACAATCCCACTCAGCAGAAGATGAGACGTGAAAACGATTCTGAGGCGATCACCATTTATCCTTCGTCCCATCCAGGTTTGGATGGGATTTTCCAGGAGAGGACAAAAGAAGAACCCAGGCTCAGGCAAGAATATCGCCCGAACATGATCGCCAACAAGGACCGCTTTTCCCCGCTCAACTCATCCTCCACCTTCCAGGCCCAGCCAAGCCAGCCAGCAGCCCAGCCCAGCCATTCCTCGCGACCGCACCATCGAAGAGGTTGTACAGTATTGATGAAGTAATACTGTGTCGTCACACGGTAGCCACGATGTAACTCTTGCGGGGTCCGTCATGCGTTTCTGAGTCCTTCAATCGAACATGATTGGCCAGCTCCTCTTTTTGTTTCTGGCTGTTGTGGGCCAGCGTTTCAGGCATTCCAGGGGTACCAGGGCCAGCGGGATGACCGTGCTGGCCTCCATCAGCTCACACAGAGATCTGCGCTTGGCTGGCGGACTCGGGAATGCGCATTGAGGCGAGCCATGCGGTTATTTTCTAGATGCTTCGTGATCTCCAGAGAGAACCCGGCATCTTCGACCTCAAAGATCACTCACAGATGTCATGCGCACACGGAAAGAAAAGAGAGAGAAACCCCTCCATTCCAGAGCCTGGGTAACAAACAAAATACACACAGAGCCACCGCAAAGAAACCGAACCATTATTAGACCCGCAACGGCTTTAGACTAGGGCAGGTGTAAATCTCAATACTGGGGATTTCCTCACGATACGCGTGTACTCACGATCTCGGTTTGCCCCGAGAGGTCCAATCGGTTTCCCGCGTGTGTTCGTTTGTGGGGTGAATAATAGTGCGAGACTCATCAATAGTAGGAACACTAACATCGGATGGCTCGAAACAACATGTCACAGATTGGATTGACTTGTCTGATCTATATTTTCCTTTTGCTGCGACATTTGACGCAGCACATTGGATTTACTCTCTTGGTCGGCTTTGACGGAGCCTCTATAGGCACGCAACCACCAAAGTGCTTTTCGCCTACGTCTCACTTGGTTACACTTCTGGTATCACCCAAAGTCACAGCTTGGCAGCCCCCAGTTTCTCATCTGACACCCTCCCACTTTTGAGGCCTGGCAGGTCTCAGTATCTAAGGGGTGGCGGACGGCAGTAGAGCGAGCCCATTAATCCTGATCCATTGCATCTCGGCTCGCTGCGTCCGAGTCTGAATCTTGGTCCTCGTCGTCTTCCTCCCCATCGCTTGAATCGCTGCTCACTTCATCCACTCCCACAAGCCTATCCTCTTCGCCAACGGGGGTGTCCGGCACCTTGTGAGCAAAGGCCTTCCTGACGGCGGCGTTCGTGCTCGTGTCCCACACGTGCATGGTGCCACGGCTGCCCGCTACCGCAAGCCGGAAGGCAACCTCCGGGTCAGGGGCAAAGGTAGTAGAGAAGACTTTGCCAACGTCGAGGTTTCTCGACACCACCATGGTCGGTCCCGTAGGCTGAATGTTCCAAATCTTGACTGTCTTATCTGTTGAACCTGTCGCCATGAAGCCGGGAATCACTGTATTGAGGTCGAACGACGAAACCGACTCGTCGTGAGCTTGGAGCGTCCATACCGGTTTCGTCGCGGTCGGATTCGCGGGCACGTTGCGGATATCGTGGTAGTGTACCATTCCGCTTTCTGTCGAGACATAGAAATGGTTTTGACTATGAGGGTCCCACCGCACGTTTTCAACGTCGCTCTCCACACCCCACCGAGGCACCTTGGCATCCGGCGCCCTCATGTCAGCGGCAACAATCGTCCGGTCATAACTTCCGCTGAGAAGCACCGTCGATTCGACGGGGTGCCACGCAACGGAGCACACCTTGTCCGTGTGGTAAGAATAGGACTTGGCGCACTTGGTCGTGTGGAGATCCCAGAGCTTGATGGTCTTATCCGCAGATGCGGAAGCTAGGAGGTTGCGATGCCTCCTGTTGGCGGCTAGAGAAAGGACGGCATCAACGTGGTACTCGTCGTTTGCCTTCTTCGACTTCTTCTTCTTCTTCTTCTTCTCCTTCACCCCTTCAGCGTTCCCGCCCTGGCCAAGGATAGCATTGGGGTAGATGGAATCCACCGTGTCCAGATCCCAAATCTCAATGTCGGGGTCCATGGTACCGACGGCGACAAAATTCGCTCTCGAATCCTTGTCCACTCCCTCCTTTTGAACGGGGATGTCGAGCCACTCCAGACAGAGGGGGATCGCGGGCAACATGATGTCATGGTGCACGTATAGATTGCTTTCGTCGTCCTCGTAAACGTGTACGACGAGGTGTGCAAGGTCGTCTTCGACCTTTGTCGCTAGCACAAGGTTGTCCGTCGCCAGAATCTGGAGATCTTCGCGATCCTCATCCTCACTCTCATTCTCTGGAAGCTGGATATACGGGTCATCCTTGTTGGATTCGTAGTAAGTCAAAGACTTTACGTTGCCAAAGACGGAGAGTGGCTGGCCGGACACAACACCCCCATCGCCGTCGTCATCATCGTAGTTCTCTAGATCGTATTCCTTGAGGTCCTCGTCGAGCGCGATACTATGGAATGTCTAGTTAGTCTTGGGAAGGGTAAGGTCTCAACAATACACAAAGGCTTTTCTGGCTTACTCGTCGGTGCTATCCTGTTTGGACTTCTTCTTCTTCTTCTTCCCCTCTGTAGACCCAGAACCGCCGTTTGCCTCTTCTACCTCTTCGTTCGCGTCTTGGGCCTCTTCGAGATCTTCGTTCGCATCGTCAAGCTGGAGTTTAGCGATCTCGGCTATTCTCTCGAACTCGGACTCGTCAAAGTTGTATTGTGTTGGAAACGCCGCAGCAGCTCCGCGTGGAACCCATTGGGCCGCCGTGATCATAGACATGGTGGTCCACTGCGAATATGAGGTGGTGTGGCCGGTTTATCGTATGCGATCACAATTAGGCCCTTGATTCTCTGATTGTCCTGGGTGCTTCAACTTGCGCCCAACCACAACGAACCTGGAGGGGAAAAAAAAAAAAGATAAAAATTCAATGTGGGGTTATCTTACCAGCGATAAGCAGCTTTTGGTGGGGTGCGGTGCTCCCAAAAAAGCTGGCTCTCAGTTTGTCATGGAGCAGTTGATGCCAGCAGGAGCCACGTGACACCGCGTGCGTTCAATCCATCTGAGCTTCGCAACATCTTGAAATGCTCACCCTGCAGCCATTGGCGTCGAGCTCTTGTCTGATTTTTCTTTTTTTAACAAGCTATTCGGATTTCTAGTTGCGAGCGCAGAGAGACCCGAGGGCCAGAGACATGGACGACATTGAATATTCCGGGTATAAGCCTCGGCCTCGACAGGGGATTCGAGGCGAGGGCCAGACAGGTCGGGCAACGCGTCGTCGCGAAAGTTTCAGGGCCGGGGCGATGAGACGCCCAGGGACCGGTCGCAGCGGGATGCGACACCCATCGACATGCAAGAAGACCCGGACAACTTTGCGCTAGATCGCGACTGGTATGCGGGCGATGACGGCGGCGGCCATCCGCTCGGGGACGAGTTCTACAACCCCTTTGGCTCATACGACGAGTCGTCGTGGGAGACTGCGCTGCAAGAGCCGTCGGCACGGGCGCAAAGACCACCGGCCGCTTTGATGCACAGCGGGAGCAAAGGCAGAGAGACAATGATGCGTGGGAGATGAACCGGATGGTCACGTCGGGCGTGGCGCAGAGGCGGGACTGGGCGGCCGATTTCGACGATGAGGATACGACGAGAGTGCACCTTTTGACGCACGAACTACGGCCGCCATTTTTAGAAGGAAAGACGATTTTCACGCGGCAACAAGAACCGGTCTCGGCAATTCGCGATCCTCAGGGCCACATGGCGGTCGCGAGCAAGAAGGAAGCAAGGTGGTCAAGGACGCGAGGCAGCAGAGGGAACGAGCGCGACAGGCGCAGCAAGCGACGAGCATGGCGGGCACCATGCTCGGAAAAGTCATGGGCGTCCGAGACGAGGATGACGATGCCGACAACGCACTCGTGGGCGGGGAGGACCAGAACGGCGGCGGCAAGAAGGTGAGGCCGAGCCTTAAGCCCAAGGACGACCAGGGGAAGAGCGGCGGGGCCAGCAATTTCAGCCAGACCAAGTCGCTGAGGGAGCAGCGGGAGTTTCTGCCGGCCTTTTCCGTGCGGGAGGAACTGTTACGGGTCATACGCGAAAACCAGGTCGTCATCGTGGTGGGAGAGACGGGCTCCGGCAAGACGACGCAACTCACGCAGTATCTCTATGAGGAAGGCTACGGTCAACACGGCATCATTGGGTGTACTCAGCCCAGGCGTGTGGCTGCCATGAGCGTCGCCAAACGTGTGGCGGAGGAGATGGAGGTGCCCCTGGGCTCCATCGTCGGCTACTCGATCCGCTTTGAGGATTACACGAGCAAAGAGACGATTATCAAGTATTTGACGGACGGCATCTTGCTGCGAGAATCAATGGCCGACTCCCAGCTGGACAAGTACTCGTGCATCATCATGGACGAAGCGCACGAAAGAGCGCTCAACACCGATATCCTCCTAGGCTTGTTCAAAAAGATTCTCCAGCGCCGGCGCGACTTGAAGCTGATTGTCACGTCGGCCACGATGAACTCGAAGCGATTCTCCGACTTTTTGGGGGCGCTCCCGAGTTCTTCATTCCCGGAAGAACGTTCCCGGTCGACATCATGTTCCACAAGTCGGCTGTCGAAGACTACGTCGATCAAGCCGTGCAGCAGGTACTCGGCATCCACGTGTCGCAAGACAGCGGCGATATCCTCGTCTTTATGACGGGACAGGAGGATATCGAGGTGACGTGCGAGCTCGTGCAGAAGCGCCTGGATGCGCTGAATGACCCTCCAAAGTTGAGCATTTTGCCCATCTACAGTCAGATGCCGGCAGATCTCCAGGCCAAAATCTTTGACCGGGCCCCTCCGGGGTACGCAAGTGTATCGTGGCGACCAACATTGCGGAGACGAGTTTGACGGTCGACGGCATCAAGTACGTCGTGGATGCGGGCTTCTCCAAGCTTAAAGTGTACAATCCGAAAATCGGCATGGACACGCTCCAAATCACGCCCATCTCGCAGGCCAACGCGTCGCAGAGAGCGGGCCGAGCAGGGCGAACCGGGCCGGGTAAGGCGTACCACTTGTTTACGGAAAAGTCGTTCAAAGAGGAGCTATACATACAGACCATTCCCGAGATTCAGAGGACGAATCTTGCCAATACGGTCCTTCAGCTCAAGGCCCTCGGTGTCAAGGATCTCTTGGACTTTGACTTTATGGACCCGCCCCCGCAGGATACCATGACAACGTCCATGTACGACCTATGGGCGCTCGGGGCCTTGGATAACTTGGGCGATCTCACAGAGCTCGGGCGAAAGATGAGCATGTTCCCGATGGAGCCTTCCCTGTCGAAGCTGCTCATCACGTCGCTTGAGTACGGCTGCAGCGAGGAAATGATTACCATCGTGTCCATGCTCTCGGTCCCCAACGTCTTTTACAGGCCAAAGGAAAGGCAAGAGGAAGCGGACGTGCAGCGTGAAAAGTTTTGGGTGCACGAATCCGACCATCTCACGTTCTTGCAGGTCTACTCGGCGTGGAAGTCGAACAAATTCTCGGATGGATGGTGCACGCGGCACTTTTTGCATTCCAAATCCCTGCGCAAGGCCAAGGAGGTCCGGGAGCAGCTCGTCGATATCATGAATGCGCAAAAGATGGCGCTCACGAGCTGCGGCACGGATTGGGACATTATCAGGAAGTGCATCTGCTCGGGCTACTACCACCAGGCGGCCAAGTACAGGGGCTCCGGAGAGTACATGAACTTGCGCACCAACGTGGCGGTGCAACTGCATCCGACCAGCTCGCTCTACGCGAGCCACCCGCCAGATTACATCGTCTACCACGAGCTGATTCTCACGGCCAAGGTGTACGTCTCCACGGTGACGGCAGTGGACCCGCACTGGCTGGCGGACCTGGGTGGCGTATTCTACTCGGTCAAGGAGAAGGGCTACTCGGTAACGCAGAAGAAGATGATTGAGACGGAGTTCAACAGGAGGATGGAGATTGAGGCCAAGATGGCCGAGGATAAGAAGCGCGCCGAGGAGGAGGAGGAAGAGCGGGAGCAGCGCTTGGGAGATAAGCGGTGGCTCGAAGACACGGGCGCGGGGCCGAGCAAGAAGGCGTCCAAGGCGGGCGCGGGGGCCGGCGGTGGTGAGGACAGGAAGATTGTGCAGCGGGGCGCGGTGCGCAAGGTTGTGAGGAAGAAGGGCGGTTTCAGACCGTACTGATGATTTACCACGATCCATGTGGTCCATCGCCGGGCGGACGAACGGACGAACGAACGAACGAAATGGATTAGTCTTGATGAATTTTGCGTGTTACATGGAACGGACGGGTTTGGCGTCTTGAATCGAGAGCCCAAAATATCTACGCGGTACAGCAGCACTGGTGCATTATATAGTTTAAAACTTGCTCGGCGCTGGGGGTTTCACATCCTTTGGGCCTTGGACAGCCCTTTCTCACTCTTTTCCCTTTGGCTTTCTCTGTTCTTTACTAGCATTGAATGGGATCCATGATATATATTTTATTTTAGCTGCCGGCGAAAAATAGCACCCCTTGTCTTGAACGCTCACACTCTCCTTTGTTATTTTCAAACCAAGGAAACAAACAAGTATCTAGGCAGAAGGAAAAAAGGAACAAAAATTAAGAGATTCAATCAAGCAAGGTTATCAGCCACAAGAGCTGCGAAGCCGGCCTGCAGATCATCTCTCAGGTCCTCCCACGCCTCCACGCCGACGCTAACCCTAAGAAGCGTCCTATCAACGGTTTCGTCGGACATGGCGCGCCACTCGATGAGGCTCTCGACGCCGCCGAGACTCGTAGCGTGGTGGAACAGGGTCAGCTTGCTGGGCAGGTGCCTGGCGGCGGCCTCGGTGCGGGTCTGAATGGCGAAGACGGGACCGAAGCCGCGGGGCATCTGCTTGCGGAGCCAGGAGGTCTCGTCGGCGGCCTCGGGCTGGAGGCTGGCGTGGTGGATGCGGTCGAGGACCTTGGCGGCCGGGGTGGACGGGTCGGCGGTCTGGGCGGCGAGCCAGGCGACGAGGCGGTGGGCGGTGGCGCTCTGGCGCTCGACGCGGAGCTCGAGGGTACGAACGCTGCGGAGGCCGAGCCAGCCCTCGAAGTTCCCCATGACGGAGCCGAGGAGGAGGCGCTCGTCGTGGAGGGCGGCGTGCCAGCCCTCGGCGGCGCGGGCGGGGCTGACGGCCAAGACGCCGCAGAGGAGGTCGGAGTGGCCGCCAAAGTACTTTGTGCCGCTGTGCATGACGACGTCGGCGCCGTGGGCAAAGGGGTCGAGTAAAGGCGGGGGCGCGAAGGTGGCGTCGACGGTGAGGTAGGCGCCGGCGTCGCGGGCCTTGCGGGCGTAGTGGTCGAGGTCGCGGGCCTCGCCGGTGGGGTTGAGGGGGTCTCGACGTGGACGACGTCCCCGGGCTGGAGGTCGGTGGCGGGGCAGTCGAGGGGCAGGATCTCGAGGCCGGTGAGGCGCTGCATGATGTGGAGGACGCCGTGGCAGCCGTGGTAGCCGCCGCCGATGGCGACGCGGCGGGGGTTGAGGCGGACGATCATGGCGTGGAAGGCGGAGAGGCCGGAGGAGTAGGTGATGGCGGGGCCGTGGAGGAGGGCGGTGAGGACGGCTTCGAAGCGGGCGATGTTGGGGGAGGAGTGGCGGGAGTAGACGTGGGAGTCGTTGGGGGCGGCGGGCTGGTGCGTGTTAGTTGAGTTCTGGTCGCGGGTCACCCCCGGGCTCCGGGAAAAGGGGAAGAGGAGAGGGAGACAGGAAATAGAAAGGCAGTGGGGAAAGGGGACAAAGGGAGGGGATTTTTCTCACGTCAGTGTTTTCTAGGGGACAAGGTCGTCCGGGTTCGTGGCATATCTGTAGGTCGTGGAGACGTGGAGAGCGGGCGCGACAGCGCGGTGGGCACTCACGCCGTCGTCGGCGTGGATGGACAGTGAGGCGAGGGCTAGGCCCTTGAGGCCGCTCTTCGTATCGTCGGTGGGAGACATGGCACTGATAGGAGGTATACTCTAGGCTGTGGATGGGCGGACCTTGTCGACGTTTTGAATTGAGTTGGGGTTTGACGAGCTTAAATTCGTTGCGCTACTTGGACGTGGAGCCGGTAGATGGGCCCGACCGTGGTCGGAGTGCGTGATTGATTTAGAAAGCCCGGGTTAGATCTGCCCGATCGAACCTCGCCTGACGAGTGCTGCCCCTCTCCGCGGAGATAGCTCGCAGGTTGTGTGTGTGAGGATGTTATGCCGGGGCAGCTCCTGAATCGGGGAGTGCTTGCAATGGGAGGGAATGGAATGCCCCTCACTGTTTCTTATTTTCGTCGGGCGTGAAGAAACCGGCTAGTCGTCACAGGTAGACGTCTAGATTCCTTTTTTCTTCCTGTTTTTTCCTTTTGGGTTCTCAGGGGGTGGGGTCTCTGAAGGGCTGGAGACTGCTTGAGGAAAACAACGATGATCCAATCTCCACGGGGTTCAGATCAACGTTTGCGATGATGTCGCCATTTATCAAGATTCGCCAAGCGTGGTTGTGGCCCCTCTTTGGTGTGGGCCGAGAATAGCTTTCCCAAGCGTATTAGTGGCGACGCTCAAGAAGATCCAATGGTGTCGATGCATTGCTTCCTCATTGCGGAATACTAACATCTATATGGATACATCCAGTACCTTTGGCCATTCCTTATTGGCGCCGGCCGGCTCCGGCGGGGAGCAGGAGGAGAGGGGAGCTGCTTGGTGGCGGGCAGTAGACGTCTCCCGGGAGAGCGGAGCAAGCCAAGTGGGCGCAACTTTTGGTCTTTCGCAGAGCCGTTCTTTGTGCTCTTTACGAGTCTCCACTTATTTGCCCTTTCGGAGCTTGTCGTTCACAGGGCGTCAAAAGGGCATCAAAGGGCGTTGGTGGAGATGTTGACGAGGGGTTTGCACCAAGCGCATCGCACATGTCAACCCAACAGCTCCGAAGAGGGACAAACGAAAAGTCTGGTCCTCTCAGGGTCCTCGGGGTTCACAGCCAGCAGCACAGGCTCAAGGTAGAAGAATACTCGTAGGTCTTTGCGTAATCCATTATAATCCATTATGCCATTATGCCATTATGCCATTATTCCATTGATGTCTTGGTTCGTTTTGTACCCGTGAGCATGTATCCATGAACATGCGCCCTCTCCGAATCATTAAAAATATGTGAACGGTCCAAACACCCCGAACGCCTTGATAATATCTCCTATTTGAAGAAGGAAAACTCCCCGTGGAGAAAAGACAAAAAAACAAGAAAATCCCTCCCCTATGGAAACGTAGAGGGAGTGGACCAGAAAGGAGATGGAGACGAGAGAGCTTTCGAACCGCACTCCATCCTGCACTTTTTCAATCCCTATCCAGCTCGTTGGCCCTGAAGCCGGCCAATTTACACCATCATCTGAACCTCGTCGTGTGATGCCGAAGTCTCCGGCCGCTCCATACTCCCGAGTTCAGCTCCCTGCCCGCTCTGGCCCCGTCTCCTCCGTCCCGGCAAGAAGCGAGACACGGCCAGGCCATCAGGATCTACCTCGTGCGACTCGGAAAACATGCCAAAGAAGCCGCGTCGTCGAGAGGGCGCGCCGAGGTACGGGCTGGGTTCGCCGAGCCCGACGTCCTCAAACGAGCCCGTATCGGATTCCGGTTCTGTTTCGAGCGGCCGCGCGCCGTCGCGGTAGGGAAGGGAGGAGCGGGGCAGGCGGGGGAACCGGGCGGAATCGAGGCTCTGGCGGGGGAACGTGGTGGGTGATGACTGGTGACTTGGCACTGACGTCCTAACGATGGGGGTTTGCTAGGTTAGCGGGGGTTGCACATGGAACATTGAAATGGAAAGGGGGTAATCCTCCGCTGAGGTGGGGAGACACGTACAAAGGACCGCCGATATGAGTCGAACGACTCTCTCGATATGGAAAACGGCTCAATGGCTCCGTTGCTGGGCTGTGTCTCGCAGGATGATCGGGAAGGAAAGCGCCTCGACCAAGGCGAGCGGTTCCCTTCTTCGGTGGGTGACGGCTACAGGAGGCGTTGTCAGTGTAAGTCGGGCTTGATGCTGCAGAGATGCAAATTCCTCCCTAGCGGGCTGCCATCGCATCCTCCGTGCCATTCAAGGTCTACACATACCGGAAGGTAAATCCCGCTATCATTCACGACTAAAGTAGGACTGTTAGCACGCAAGGCTTTGACAAGATATTGCCAACGTGAAGCCATTTATGCAGCAGCCACCGGGAAAAGAGCTAGCCTACTTACCACTGAGTTTGTATTCGCCAGTGTCCTGGCTACGCGATGTCTTGATGCTTAGGATGGACGAGGCCTTGGACCCAACCGTGTCGACCCTTTCAAAGGCCGGGGCTGGAAGTGGTCATCACTCCCTTTGAGAATGCTCGAATCGTGGGATTGTGTGATGTCGTCGCGCACAAGGGGGACGCCCGTCCGCCTGCCAAAATAGTTTCGAAGAGGCATGGTGGAAGAAGATAAGGAGGAGGCTAACTAATAGTACGTGTCACCGTTTTAAGTGACGAATTTGATGTTTGAGGTGGAACTATACGTTGCGTACATGTACGAGGAAGAAAAGATCAAATTCGAAAAGGCAAGTCTACAATGTAGTATCAATGGGTGCAAGGGGGACGACTGATAAAAGGACTATTTTATTCTTTTCTTTGATCGAGCCGAAACCTCAACGCGCCCGCTCATATTGCTGTTTAGCGTCGATGGCCCGCTGGGCTAGTACTAATGTTCATCCACCGCAGCCGGCCAGTGGGAACATTGAACCTGGGCGGAGCGGGAGTGGGCAGTATTACGTCTTTTGGGGCAATCGCCAAGGATTGGCGGGCTTGTCCGATGGAAAGGTGGTGTGCTCCAATATCCATCGGAGCTGATCTCTTGGCCGGTGGTGGACGGCACACACACTAAGCATGATGAGATCATACATCAATGGATCCATGGGATGTACACGCAACATTCAACGCTTACGGCTATGACGGGATGGAAGAGCAGAAGACGGGGGTTTCTAGCAATCCCCGTCCTTTGCAAAAGGAGGGGAAGGGGATAGTGCAGAAGACAGAAAAGAAAAGGGGATTTGGGAGAAAAAGGAGAAAGGAAAAAAAGAACAAAGAAAACTCTCCATGCACTATTCTGGCCTTGTTGATGCTGCGGACATTTTGATTGATCAATTGAACCTGGCACGACAGCAGTGAGCGGATTAAGGTTCGCCATTCCACTCCTTGTTTGGCCACAGTCCACAGTCTCACAGTCCCCGGGCCCAGGGTCCTTTTTCCACCTCCGTCTCCCGCGCTATCGAAACTTTGACCAAGGCGTTCTCCGAGAACGGTTGGACGATGGAACGACTGATGAAAATTCGGGGTTCCACGAATCCCAAATGGGCTGATCTAGAGAGTCCATCGGATTTTAAGAGTCTGGCCCGCCATTCACGGAAGCGCAAGGAGTGAATTTGGAAGATGGGTGACGGTAACGAGCCCATGGCTAATTCGGAGCACTTGAGTATCTACGGACCCTCTCCCGGGTCCGCTTTGGGATCAAATTCGAAGTAGCTAGTCAAGTGGTCGTCGTGTAGCGCACCCCGTTCTTCCCCATGAAGGCCGACAACGATTGTCGTCGAACCCTCAAGCTTACACCTATCCCCACTTCCCCTTCTTAAAGCCGACCCAGGGTCTTCCGAATCTCGATCCGGTCGGTGGAATAGATGGATCCATCAGATTCATTGCTCTGCCCTACCACGCGGCAATCCACCCGAGCTAGGCGCTTGTTAAACGAATATCACCGATTGCCCACCAGAGCCCCGTCTCACTACCACTACCGTACAATGAGCCATGCTCGCTGCTTCTTACGCTAATAGTGGAGATTATATTGACTTATGCTAGTATAGACGCAGCCTCTGTGCCGCCTTGACCAATCTTGGTTCACCATCCACCTCTTTAGGTCCCCTATATTATGTTGAGACTCCTCCCCCAGCGCGGAATGCATATATCCGCGCCGTATCATCATCCGGAGGCCCCCCGCTCATCCACTTAATACCCGCGAACAAGCTCCCCCATCCGCCTCTCAATCCTCTCCCGCCCCTCCAACGTCCTCCACACCTCGTGCGGCGCCCCGTCCACAACATCCCAGTGCTTCAAGTTCGTCGTCAGCCTCGACAAGTCCCGCTGCTTCTCCTCCCACCGCCTGTTCCCCTTGATGCGGTCCCCGACGAAATCACCGCCAGCGCCGTATCCTTGCGCATGATGTTGCGGCTGCTGAGCACCTCGCGCTTGAGAGCGAGCTGGCCACGAGCGCCTCCTGCAGTCGCGCGAGCACGTGTTTGGGGTTATGCTGGGACGAGATGCCCCAGATGCGGTCCTCGCTGTTGCGCCGCGCAAACAGGGCGCCCGGTAACGTGTCGAGCCCCAGCGGGAGAGGATGCCCCACAGCCAAAACAGGAGCCCGCGGTGCGCCGACGCCAGCCGGTCGAGGTCGTCGTCGTGCAGGGCGTCGACGAGGAGTAAGCCCTTGACCTCGTTGCCGTGCTGCGACGCAAAGATGCGCGAGTAGAAGCCTCCCACCCCGGCGCTGACGACGACCCAGGGCCCTGGCTCGCCCGCCTTGGCGAGCGCTTCGCTGACGGCGACGGCGCCCATGCCCGCCGAGAAGGGCGAGGGTGCCGTGTCGCTCCACGCGTAGCCCGGCCGGTCGACGTAGCAGTACCGGGCAATCGTGCCGTTGCGTAGGGCGTTGGCGGCGAGCTGGGCCAGCCCGCTTTGCACGGGGAACTCGCCGCTCTCGAGGAGCACGGTGGGCAGGTCGCGGTCCCGCCCGTCCGTGATGTTGGCTTCGCAAAATACGTGCATCCGGTACTTGTCGCTGTCGACCCAGTAGAGGTTGCCGGGGGCGCGACGCCGGCGTCCAGAGACCGCACGATGAGGGTGAGCGTCATCAGGAAGACGGCGAGGCACAGCACGAAGAAGCCCACCGTCGATGTGAGGACCCGCGACCACTCGCCGAGCGTACGTCGGGTCTCTGACCGACCCGTCAGCCGCTCTTCTTCTTCTGCTTTACCCCACTCCACGGTGCGGTCCGCCGCGAGCACCCACAGGCTCATGAGGAGTACCCATGAAACGCTCACCGCGCCTACCCATCCTTCTTCGTATCGAACCATTTGGACAGCGAGCGTGAGGATCGTGTTTACGAGGAGAGCAAGCTGGGCAAGAGGGGAAAGAAGGGGTCTTTGTTAGCCCATTGAAACGTACACGCGGTAAAACTTGGGGCTATAGAAGTGACGATGACCCAAAAAATAATAAAAAATAAAATAAAAAAATAAAGGGGGACATACTGCCATACAGGCGCATAGGATGCGCGTGGACTTGGACGGGGTCCCAAAGAACATCAGGTCGAGTATCAGCGCCAACAGCGCGATCGTCGTGTTGGCAAAGGCGAAGAATCCCGACCCCCGCATGTGTAAGCCGGGCGGCGTGACAAAGGTCGAGATCAACAGCACCGTCCACCAACCCGCCGTAATTAAAGTGAAGAAGACGGTGACATGCTTGAACATGCGAACAGTCCACAGGTTGAACGGAGATACCTATTCACCACATTGGGCCCCGTGTTAGAGTTTACTTTTATCGTCTTCCTTTTTGAGGGGGAAGGAAACCACCGGGGTTGGCGGGGAGTTTTTTTTTTCTTTGGCGTGGGAGCGCCCGAGAAAATGGATGGACAAACGTACCGCCGGGTCGTCGGGAGCAAGCATGGCCGGGCCCCTGTCGGCGTGGTTGGAGAGCAGACGCGTCCTCTCGTCCGCCGCTTCCCGGCCGTCGTCGGCCCTCCCGTTGCCGTCATCGTTGTTTGGTTGGTGATTTCCCCAGAGGGTAGGCATTTTGCACCCCTGCTTTCTTTTATACGTATTGGCCTCTTGAAAGGATGAAAATGGTCGCTTGTAGCGAGTTGGAGATGGGCCAGTCGCCCGAAATGCGCTTTCCGGAGGGTTTGGTTCCAGCAAAAAGAGAACAAGGAAGAAAGAAAGAAAATACCCCCAAAGCTCCTTTCAATTTGGTCGAAGAGAAGAGAAAGAGGTTTTGTCTACGGGACGATGGGCTTGTTAGGTTTCCCCTCAATCAGCTCTACATTCTTTTTTCCCTCCCTCGACGGTTTGGCTCTGGTTATAGTAATAACAAGTAGGTGACGGGCTTGCGTATCGTCAAGATGCCGCCTACGTCATAACGATGTGGGTTTGCTCAACTGTTTCCACGCCAGCGGCCAATGTCTCCGATCCCGCGATCCATTGGCTAGCCATCGCCTTTTCCCCATCGAGCCTATGCTTTCTTTGGAAATGGTGCTCTTGGATCCAGCTGATGGGAAATCGCCAGCTCAAAACTCAAAATACACCAAAGAAAAAAACAGGAACCGATGACCACCAAACCAAAAGGAAAGAAGAAAGCTTCAAGTTCCCCATCATGACATCAGCGACTCAAGGCCGCGTCTAGCCACGGATGATTCAACCATCGTGAAAGACTAGCTTAGTTCGTGGATTCGTGTATGGGAGCTCTGGAAACTCAAATGTGTGCACAGCATCCATCAAAATAGATCGATCCATGGATACATCACCGATGTGCTCTTACATAATGATACCTATCCGACATTCTACATGCAATGTAATGTGTAGGCGGAGAACATTGTCCGACATTGATCAAGAGATGGACTGAGGCAACAGAATACGATGCAGATCTGATGCCGGGAATGGGGGTGGGGGATAATTAATACAAGTATTCCATAAATACCCTTTCTCGATTCTCGATTCTCAAAGAAGGAGCTGAGTGATCACACCAGCCGGGACCAAGTTCTCCATTGAGGCTCAGCGAGCAAGTCTCAATCCGAGCACACCCTCAGCCATCTTTGTGTTCTCGTGGCTGCAAGTCGGCCGAACGCAAGCGAGCGAGCAGAACCCAAAACCCGCATTGGGGAATCCTGCTGCGGGCCCCACCACGATTTTTTGGCCGCGAAATCACGGAGCTCGCAGCTCGCAACCCGCAACCGCATATCCTATCCTGCAGCGCCCCCTCAAGCCCCCAATGGATGATCAATGGATGAGGGGCCCTGCCGTGCTTCCTTGTATTTTTCGTGGATAGCAAGCACGCGATCGAGGGTTCCCGCCAGCGCCACCTCGCTATTTTCTAAACCGAGCCATCTCTGGACCTGACCACCACGGCCTGTTATGGTGAACCTGAGAAACCGTGACGCTGATTAGAGGCACTAATACAATTAGGCCCCGAGTTGACACACATTGATTCTAAAAGAGCACTTAATGATATAGCACGATCTTGTGAAGGGCGAACTCTTAGTAGGGGCGCTGAGGTATGACGCAGTGGGCATGGTCACGTGATACAGCGCACATCAATCATCATGTCCAGGACGGATGTATATAGTGACTTTGTAGTTCGGGTGGTCTCAATGTTCTTCTGGCGCAGAAAGAGCCAAGAGCCAAGATGAGGGTGGCAGAAGGTGATGGATCCGGTCCCGAGACAAGTCAGCGCATCAATTGGGCCCGGGATCACATTTTCAAAAGCTTGGTGTGCCCGTTTGCGGGGCTCGTCGCTGGAGACTGGCGGATTTTGGCTGGCGGGGACGCCATGCGAAATTTGCTGGTGTGCTGTCCTGTCGACGGTTTGGCCTAACTCGGACAGGTTGCTGCTGCTGGCCGTTGACTTCTTGGCGCCTCGGAGGAACTTTCCGAGCACTGGGATGTTGAATGTTTCCCTGTCCCTGCTTGTTGCTTGTGCTTGCCATGCCCCGTTTTCATTATTAGGTGGTGGATAGGATGAACCTTTGCGCTTGTGCTTTTGCTTTTTCGCGCGCCAGAGAGAGCAACGCAGGACAAGTCCCGGCTTTGGCGCCTTTGCGGCAAGATCTGGTCCCCGCGCGTCTCCTCATAGCCGCTCCATGTATGTTGAGAGAGAAAAAAAAGAGAATGGGTTCTTCAGAGCCGGCCGAGGTAAGCTCCCGGGGCTGGGGAGGGGTGGACCAGGCCACCTACAAACTCTAGCGACGACAGAGCAACCCTGGACAGAAACTAGTCAGGGGTTGGCCAAGACCCCGCACTCGAGAAGCTCATGAACTAGCAGACCCTCGGTGGGTTCTGGCCTGGCTCTGGCTGGGAGGTGGTTGATGCACAACGAGCCAGCCAGCACAGGACAGGAACAAGCTTCCTAGAACAGCTCTGTCGTATTATTAGCGCTCTTTTTAGAAGGGCCAGGCAAGAGTCGGTCATCGATCCATACGGATGGATCTATGGATGGATCCACTATTATCGTGTACGATGAAATGGATGGAGAAGTAAACTCAAAGATGGAGAGAGACCTATCGACGGTCCCATAAGGAAGAAGAAAAAAAAAAAAACAGAAAAAACATAGAGACTTGAACCCTGACACTCCCTCGATCAACCCGGGCTGTTCTTTCCCGAAGTACGCTTGAGCGTTCATATTTCCTCCCTTTTGACTACCGCACTGTGAGAATACACGCTTGGAGTTGCGCATTCAACTGTAAACCGGTGCCCCCTTTTTTCGTTTCCTCTCCAATTCCTCCACTATTTCTTTCCAAATTGTTTAAAAAGAAAAACGGCCATGACATGTAGGGTTTCTGGTCCCAAGTGAGACATGCATCAGCCAGCAGCGAATTCAGGGTTCAACAATAGTGTCTTCAATTCTCGGGACACCATCCATAGATCCTGAATCTCGCAGCCTTGGAGAACCAGGACGTCATGCAGCCCCGTTGTTGGGAGTGATTCCAACAAAGGTCGCCTGCGTGCCCTCTCCTCCGCGCTGCAGATTTTAATCAAGCCAATTGACAAAGATGGTGGTCTCTATTCTTCCCCGTTTGCTGAAAGGGATCTTTAACTACCGGCCTCATCCCCTAGACTCGCATGTGATAGTTCCCGATCGTTTTCTTCAAAGGAAACGCTTGGCTCAAGGGCCAGTCACTGGGGAGGAACATGGATCTCGCAAGTCACAACCTCAGTTTAATAGCCCAATCTCCCGCATGAGGGAGGGTGTCCCACAGACTTGAAGGAGAGAATGGCTTCACTCTCACCCTTGGCTCTGCCTCGAGACAAGATCACCGATTGTGTGCCCCTTGAATGATATTTTTCATACAACTTGAAGTACTTGTGGCTTGCCTTCCTTGAGCAGGCCTGGCTTTGTTCATAGTGGTGCTGGATCTCCTCAAATGCTCATTCAAGGGGTAAAAGCATGCAATTGCAAGTCCCCAAGGTTAAAAGAACTTCTTCTTTCGAACGCCCTGGATAGACTTTCAAGTTCTTAGGAAAAGAAGAAGGGCCATCTGGTCAACAGCGGATCAATAGGTTCAATGGATTGTGGGAGATTACTCTGTGAAGTGCGAGTGGTTGATTCAAAGTACGAACTATGTAGTCTCCTCGCCGGGGTCCTCCTCTCCTGCATTTGATCTCCAGTGGTTAATGTGCGCGAGTTTATGTCGATCAGTTCGTTTAATCAAGTGAACTGGAGACCAATTGGGCCAAGCCCATGCCCCTTGGTGAGGGCAGTACCAGTATCAAAATGGTTGCTTTCCACATTGATCTTTCAATTGCTCTTTATTCCCCTTTCCCTGCTCCCCCTCTTCCTCTTCAATGTTCTCTTTGAGACTCGTCTCGTTCAGTCGCGATATTCATCCGCCGCCAATGTCTCGAGGCGTTTCTTTTCTCAATCGCCGTGCTCAGATCTAGTCGCTCAGATCTAGTTGTGACAAGTCTTCAGTGGGAACATTGAAGTGTCTTGATCCATCAACTGGTTCATTGTCCACGACTGACGCCGTCAGAGCACAACCCCTGTCACAAGTCGCTGTCTCTGTCACTGCCTCGATCGACCCCAGTTTTTACGAAGGTCGGTTCTCATTTTATTTTGGCTCCAGTCCCCCTTCCCCGTTTCCGACATTGGGACTCTTTCCCCTCCATCTCAGCCCAGCTCAGCCCAAGGCCAAGCCCACACGCACAGGCACAACCACCAGCACCAGCACCAGCACAAACAGAAGCACAAGCACACACACACTCTCCAGTCTCCTCTCCTTCTCTCTCTCTCCCTCACGCACACGCCCACAGACACACCACACACTCTCTCTATCCCTCTCGCTATCCCCTCTCGCTGTCCCGCACAAGGGCCGCTCTCTATCTCTCTCTCTCACTCTTTCTCTCGTGCCTGTTTGGGAAAGAGTTCGCCAGCTCATCAACTTTGCCCAAAATAGGCCACCCATCACGCCGTGGATCCTGGTCTAGAGCCAGCCCTTGCTAGATAGGGCCTTTGCTGCGCCAACTTTCGCCAAATCTCTCCAGCTCCTCCCTGCAACTCACCATTCCCTTGCCTTGCCCGCCCAACGACGACCTCGACGCGCTGCCTGGCCACTCTCCTTTTGTACCCGAGTCAAAAACCCTTCGTATTTCGGGGCTGAATTTAGCAACACGCTGGCCCCCGTCCAAACACCAGCCTTTCCTCGCAACGCCTTTTTTCGACCAACGACTATCGTTCTTCATCCCGCTCGACCTGGCCCCTCTTTCTCGTCCAATCCACCACCGACTGACGTCCGCCCCCGCCCTCCTCCCACCGCCAACTTTGCCATTCGGAAACCCACCTCAGTCCGTAATTTATTTGACTTGTCCTCTTCTTTTATCAAACTACTCCGGCCTCGTCAAACAACCCAGCTGATGCCGGCCCGCCGACCTCTTCTTCTCCTCATCTTCCACGCCCGTGGCTAGACACAGCCGCAAACCACCCCCATCTCCAACCTGTGCTGGCCATTTTCAGAACTCCAATCCATTTTGGCTGGCACACAACCTTCTTCCTCAATCGGCTCAATTGAGTCGAACGCATCGTCATGGCTTCAGGCTACGGTACTGGGGCCCCTGCCGATCGGTATCTAGGGCCCCCTCCTCCCGGCATGGATCTCGGCCACCCAGACGACAGAAACTGGCAACAGAGCGGCCACCGTACCCCAGAGCGATCCATGGCCTCGCCGGCCCTCTCACCCAACCCCAACGCAAACCACTCGGGCGCGCCAGGCCAAGCCTGGGATATGGACGACCGCCAGATGGTTGATAGAAACAACCCTCCCCGACAGAAGCCGTCGCGATCTGCGAGCGGGCAAGTTCGATTATGCGAGAAGTGTGGTCTTCAATTGACTGGCCAGTTTGTCCGCGCCCTCGATGGCACATACCATCTTGATTGCTTCAAATGCCGTGTATGTTGGTTCCCGGAGGTCTAGTCGTTGCTTTGACTCGCCTTCCAAACCCCCGTTGATCTTGAAGCCCCCCTCGGTTTGTTTTATTCCCAAGAGTGTCTGGCTAGCTAACACGTCGCGCTTCGCGCCCTTTATCTGTAGGATTGTGGACAGATTGTCGCCTCCAAGTTCTTCCCCGTTGACGACGAGAACGGCAACGGCCAATACCCTCTCTGCGAGACCGATTATTTTAGGCGCCTTGGCCTCCTTTGTTACCAGTGCGGCCAAGCCTTGCGTGCTTCCTACATCACCGCCCTCGATCGCAAATACCACGTCAACCATTTCACCTGTTCGGTCTGTCCAACCGTTTTTGGCGCTTCCGATAGCTATTACGAGCACGATGGCCAGGTGTACTGTCATTACCATTATTCCACCGGCTTCGCACAGAGGTGTAACGGCTGTCAGACGGCCATTCTCAAGCAGTTCGTCGAGATATTCCGAAATGGCCAGAACCAGCATTGGCACCCCGAGTGTTACATGATCCATAAGTTTTGGAACGTGCGCCTGAGCGAGTCGAACCAGCCTCCGAAACCTACGAGACCTCCCCAGGACAACATGGGCCGCGATACCGTCAAGGAGGATGAGGAGCGCATGGAGGAAAAGGTTTACCGTATATGGAGCGTCCTTTCAGCATTCGAGGAGTCGTCTGCAGCCTGCATATCCGATATGCTGCTGCACGTGAGCAATGGTGGCTTCTTGGACGGCGTCCTTGTGGCAAAACGCTTCATCTCCCACGTCGAGGTGCTATTCCGATCCATGGACCGCCTGAGCGTGAATATGTCCCATGTCAACGTTAAACGTGAGTAAACTTGACCTATAACGATATGATGTGCTATAGCATTGTATTTGAGTTATCCCCCCCATCACCCTTTGATCTGCCGAGTACTAACACTTCTCAGCCATGTCTTTCGGGAGGGAGGCGAAACTCCTCTGCAAAAAGATTGTCGCCTTTTTCTCCCTATTGTCTAAATCCCAAGACGTCGAATCAAAGAAATTGGGCGTGACTCAGGAGCTGCTCTCCTTGGTGACCGGCCTCGCGCATTATCTTAAGCTCCTCATCCGCATCTGCCTTCAAGGCGCTCTTAGGCTAGAACAGGAGTCTCACGCTCCCGATGGCCTCTACCAGTTCCTCGACGACCTCAGCGATCTCGAAGCTCTCAGGCTAGAGGACAACTCCCTTCAGGTTCTCAATGGCTCCTCCAAACTATCGGCCAAGGATTCGGACCACTGCGCTCTCTGCTCCAAGTCGGTCGAGGACGAATGCGCCCGCAACGGGGCCTACAGATGGCATATTGGCTGCGTTGGATGTACTCGATGCGGAAAGGATCTCGGGAGAAGGCTGCAAGAAGCCCGATTCAACGCATTTGATAAGATGACGTACTGCAGCAACTGCATCGCCATCAACACGGAAGAGATGCCGCCCTTCGAGCACATCACCAAGTTGCAACAGTATGTATTCCTTCTCAAGGTCGCGCTTGCCCGCCTCCTCGACATGCTCCGCAGCGCAGGCGTCATCCCACCGGCATCCGACGATTCGGGGGCCAACGGCAACGGCACAGAGATTTATGGCTCGTCTTCGGAACAGACTGGATCCGCCCAGAGGACACCGCTCGACCAGAGATCCAAGACGTACCCTGGCGCCAACGAGAGGGAAGGCGGGAATCGTGAATCGACCTACGAGAATACCCTTGCCGACGTGCGACGGTTGAGGAGTACGCGCCTCGACAAACACCTCTCGTCAAGTTTTAGGAAGGCGAGGACGTCAAGGATCATGGATGGCCCCGAGGGCCGTAGCGTCCGGCCTGGTTCTTCCGGTGCGGATGACCAGAATCGGACTGATCATCAATTTCATATTGTCGAGGACCGAGGTGCCAACGATGTAGGAACAACGGACACGATGTTTGGAAATAATGACGCCCTGACGCTCGACGACATCCCGAGAATCGTGGCCGCCGAACAGGTCCGCGAAAAGTCGATGCCCTTGCAACAGGGTCTCTTCAGGTCGCCTAGCGTTGCAGCTGGAAAGCAGGGCAGCCACCAACGATCGCTGTCCGCGAGCAGAGACGAGCGCCAAGGCGGCTCTGATATGCTACAGCGGGGAGGGAGGCGCTTCTTCTCGGAACTTTCGGGGCTGGAATACTTCATCGTCAGGCACTTAGCTGTCTTGACCATGCAGCCGATGCTCGGCGACGAGTTCCCGCTAGAAGAACTTCTCAGTTTTATCGAATCTCGTAAACCAGTCACGTTTTGGAAGAACTTGAGCAAGGCCTTCAAGAATGAAAAGAAGGCTGTGAAGAAGAAGGGCGTGTTTGGAGTACCCCTCGAGCTCATCATTGAACGCGATGGAGCGGACTCGACTGATGGCGTGGGCCCCGGTGCACTACGGATCCCTGCGGTACTTGACGACTTGATAAGCTCCATGAGAAAGATGGACCTCTCGGTGGAGGGAGTGTTCCGAAAGAACGGCAACATCAAGAAATTGGGAGAGATGTGCGAGACCATTGACCGGGAGGGGTCCGACACGGTCAATTTTATGGAGCAGCCAGTCGTGCAGGTTGCCGCCCTTTTGAAACGCTATCTCCGCGAGCTGCCCGACCCTCTCATGACCTACAAGCTATACCGGTTGTGGATCGCTGCCGCCAAGATCCCCGACGACGAGAAGAGGAGGCAATGTCTTCACCTAGCCTGTTGCCTACTGCCCAAGTGCCACCGAGATGCCCTCGAAATCCTCTTTTGCTTCCTCAAGTGGGCCGGCTCCTTCCACCAAGTGGATGACGAATCGGGCTCGAAGATGGACATCAAAAACTTGGCCACCGTCATCGCCCCCAACATCCTCATCTCCAACGAAAAGTTGCCCGCCTTGGACAGCGACCACATGTTTGCTATTGTTGCTGTGGAGACCTTGATCAATTATCTGGAAGAGATGTGCATGGTAAGTCGGTCTTTTTATTCACCAGTAATCCTTTTTTTTTTTTTTCCAATCTCTCTTCTCTCCCTATCCCCCCACCTCGTTGAGGAGGGCAGTGAACTGACACGTCCATGTTGCTTTGCCTCAGGTACCGGACGAGCTCGCAAGCCTAGCGAGCGATCCATACCTCTTTGGAGGAAACGGAGAAATAACTACGAAAGAAATCCTGAAACGGTTCCAAGATCTCCAAGGCCAACGGCCATCCCAGCCCGCGGCTGAGGTGTACAACAGGCAAGACATGTCGACGCGGCCACCGCCTCGGAGAGTGGACACCGACCCCTCTCTTTGGCAGCAGGAGAGCAGTGCTAGGCCGATGCAGGACCCTGCGTACCCGTACCCTAACTCAGGCCCTGCGACGCCGTCGGCGGGCGTATGGCGAAATCGAGAGGAGGCCCCTCAAGCGTCACCCTATGGCCAAAAACTCGACCAGTCCGACCCTCAGCTTGCACCTCCAGACCACGACGCGAACCAGTCTAGAGAGTGGCGCAACTCTGGTTGGGGAGACAAGGAAGCGGAGTAGCGATGGGCAACTAAAGCTTTTTTCAAATAGCTGCTGAACTAAACTTGACCTCGGTCTCCTTCTCTGCCCTGTTGCTCTCCCTCTCCCCTTTTCCCTCTCCCCGCCCTATCTTGGCCCTGTCCCCGCTTCTCTCTCGCCCACCTTCAGTCCTCCGCCGCCGCTTAAATTCCGATCGGGGCCTTGTTGCAGTCTCAAGCAGGAACTTCTTGCCTCTATGTATAGACTCGGCCGTCCTCGACCCCGTTTTCCCCCTCTTAACAGAAACGAGAGACCAATCGCACCCTCCTGTCTCTAGCATATAACGAGCCTCCTCGCTACGCCGGCGGGAGTCGGGAGACCCCCGCCGCGTGACGGGGTCTTCATGCATTGTTTACGGAGTTTTTCTTCATCTGCGCAACGCTTGAAAAGCCTGCGTTGTTTCTTTTCTTTTCCAACATAACTCTACGTCCCTGTCTACGCACAATACCTAGTCTTGGCCGATTCTAATGACTCCTGGAACGAACAAGCGTTTTTTTTCTCTTCTTTCACCTCTTTTCTATTCGCTTCATCTAGCCTCTCTCTTTCTTCACCTCTTCTTTACGCCTTTCTTCTTATCCTCTATTTTCTTCTCTTCTCTTCGAATTAGGATGGCTTTACGACACGCATCTTGTTTCTTACTTGTTTCTTGACAGGTTCTGCTTGTCTAGGCTTCTGATGTTTGGATCTGGGTCACGTCACCGAAAATTCTTGTCGCTTTTCTTTTTCTTTTCTCAAACTCTGCAAACCCGCTTCTTGTTACATATCATGATGAGAAGCTGCGTCCAATTTCACCCCTTTGATCCAACGTACATGTGCCGCTTTTCTTGGTCCCCTTATCCTCTCCTCCGAAACCGACAAGCGGCTTTTCTTTTCTCTTATTCTTATGGAGACATTTAGAGGGAGAAGCTCCAAGGGGAGGGGGACGAGATGTAGCTTGTGCACTGCCTATCTGTCTCCCTTCCCTCCCTTTTCCGTCGGCTTACTATCCAGAGTGACCCCATTCCACCAAATGGGGTTAAAATCTAATGGCTAGGGCAAGGGAACATATTTGGGTCAGGTGGGAGTGCTTGCGACATCTATCAAGACGTATTTAATGTACATCGAAACTTGGCGTGTCGAAAAGAAGCCGGTGGGCATTTTCCCATTTCTGGCCGATCTGAGCAGGACACTAATGAAAGTGTTTTTTTCTTTGACGATATGACGGAACAAACTAAGGGAGAAAAAAAAAGGGGGCCCAGGCGAAAGAAACACACAAAGCTCTATATATATAGTCATATATACCTCAGTTAAAAAATATGAAAGAAAAAAAGAACAGAGTATTTGCGGACTTGGCTGCCTGAGCTTGTGATGTGCTCTCGACTAGCAAGACACGTCCATGGTGACAATGGTTTTACTATGAGTGAGGGACATTGGTTTATACAGCTAGACCTACATGTACGGACAGAGATGTATGGATGTTGCGTCACGATAGGTAGAAGAGCACGAGGCATATCATATCGTCGGCCAAGAAAAGGTGCCACTCAATTAGGTACATGTATACATGAAGGATCATACGGAAACAATGGGCACTTGCCTCGAGATATAGGCGGCAGCAGAAAGTCGGATGCATCAGAGACATCAACGCCAGAATGAACCCAGATCCGAGAGAAAGAGAAACGATCCAAAGCAAACAAAACATTAGAGATATATATAGCTATATGTACATCCAAGACAAGAGGGAATAAGAGAGGGAGAGAGAGTGTGATAGGATGGTTGGTTTAGGGGGAGATGCAGATAAGTAGGGACCAGGAACCACTAAGGGGGCATCATCTGCACTTATTGTTGCTTCTTCCTAGCAGCAGCGGCGGCGCCAAGCTGCTTGTTGTCCTCGAGGCACCATTGGACGGCCCTGTTGACGCCCTCCTCGAGGGAGACGATGGGGCGGTAGCCAAGCCTCTCCTTGGCCTTGTTGATGTTGTAGTACCTAGTCATGGAAGAGTAGACGATGCGCTGGCGGTTGAAGGTGGGGGCTTGCGGATGATGCCAAAGGCGACCTCGCTGAGGAAGCCGAGGAGGATGCCGACGTCGACGGGCAGCTTCCAGACGCCCTCGAGGCCGGCGTCCCGGCCGGCGGCGCGCCACATGGTGCGGGCAAAGTCCCAAAAGTACATGGGGCTGTCGTTGGTGACGAGGAAGGCCTCGCCGTCGACGCGCTCGGTGTCGAGGGGCACGGTGGGATGGAGGCGGTAGGTGGCGAGGAGGCGGAGGGCGGCGAGGAGGTGGGCGTGGGCGACGTTGCCGACGTAGGTAAAGTCGAAGAGGTTGTTGTTGTCGCCGACCTGGACGTTGGTGCGGCCGTCGACGTAGATTTGGACCATGTGCTTGGTGGTCATGCCGTCGCCCTCGCCAAAGATGCCGGCGGGACGGATGGCGGCGGTGAGGAGGTTGTGTTCGCCGGTGCGGTTGGCCTTGAGGACGATGTCTTCGGCTTCAGCCTGGAGAGGGGGAAGGGGAGGGAAGGTCAGCGACTAGTAAACAAAAGACGAGATACAGGACGGAAGCGAGGCAGGGCGTTGTTGTTGGTGGTGGTGTCTGTTTCTTCTTACCTTGGTCTCGGAGTAGTACTCGGTCTGGTGGGGGCGCGGATGACGGGGAAGTTCTCGTTGGCGTTCCTCAAGTCGGTCTTGTTGTCGGAGAGAATGCTGGCGGAGCTGGTGTAGACGAGGACCTTGACGCCGGCGTGGAGGCAGGCGTCGACAATGACCTTGGTGCCCTCGACGTTGACCTTTTGGAAGAGGTCGTTGGCGACCTTGCTCTCGGCCTGGGGGCGGGGAGGCGGTGTGGATGACGATGTCGGGGCGGAACTGGTCAAAGACGGCCTTGACGGCGTCGGCGTTGGTGATGTCGGCCTCGAAATACTGGGCGCCGTCGAGGCGGTTGCGCTCGCACTTGAGGTCGATGACGGCGACGGTGGCGCTCCAGCTGGAGAAGAGGAGCTTGACGATGTGGTGGCCGAGGAAGCCATTGCCGCCAATGACCAGGACCTTGCCGAGGATGGCCTTCTTTTCTGTCGTCGTTGTCGTTGTCTGAGCCATTTTTTTGTTTTCTTTTCTTTTCTTCTTGGGATAGTGTTGGGGGTTGTGGTCTGGGGTGTTTGGGTGGTGGAAGGGGGTTGATGGAAGAGGAGTATTCCAATGGGGGAGAAGGGAGAAAAAAAAAAAAAAAGACTAGGGGGAGGTGAGACGGTTGTGAGCTTGGTGGCTTGCAACCCGAAAATAAGAATAAAATGGAAAAGAAGTTGAGGGATTCCAGGCGATTAGAGGAAGATTGCTTGTGCAGGTCGAAGACAATGCCAATTCATCCAATCCAGGGAGTAGATGGTGATGCTGGAGTTGAAAATGGTGAGCCAGAAAGATACTGGAGCCTACATGTACCTATGCGAGCCAGCAGTGGAGAGGCTTGGCTTGTGGTTGAGGTGTTCGTAATAGTGCCAGACTCGGATTGAACAGCAGTTGAGGTACTTGTCCTTGGGGCTCAAAAGTGCTCCAAGTCTTGCATCCTCCAGGGTCCGACTAATTTCCTGGGGTAAATGCGATTGACCACTGACGGCGGAGGCTTGGCGGGGCCTGGCTAGCGACAGTCAGCACCAGCAATCGCCAGCAGGAACGTTGAACATCTCCAATTGCAGCAGGCCACCTTCACCACCACATCGCGGATCGAAGACCGGTTGGTTCCAGCGCCAGAACAAGGGAACCGACCCGCCTGCCTTGTGCTGGCTTTCCCGACGCGGGCTGGAGTTGGATCTGGATCTGGATCTGCAACGTGGTGTCTACGACGCATCAATTGATGCCTAGCATGACAAAGGACAACATGATTGCAACGAATCCATCACATCTCGTCCCAATAGATCTATGTCTACCCGAGAGCGCTGGCAGAACATGCTCAGCTACGGACACTTTAGTTTGTCCCCTTGGTTTTTCTTCCGTGGGGATTGATTTCTTTCCAAGGAACATGATGAAGATAAAAAAACAAAAAACATCAAGCATTCCGAACTAGATAGCACATCATCCGCTTGCAGTCCAGCAGCTGTAGCGTGTCGGTCCCGATCAGATCAATGCATCCTGGACATGACATGTCCATCAGATCCATCTCGACGTTCCTCAAAAGACGCTGCAGCTGGCTGAACAACTACGTCGTGATTTCAGGCAACCGCTCAGCTGCACACCCAAACTTCTCGAGACAAATCGATCTCGCTTCTACTATGCTACTTGGCATATGCGCGGAAGTCACAACGCAATGGCTGGCCCCTCGCCCCTGTTGCCAATATCTATTAGCCGCGCTCCCCTGCCTTCCAAGCCCCACCCTCGCTCAATGCGACTGCTCTCCCGTCCGCGCCGTGGCCCGCTGATCCGCGGGCGAGATTCTGCACCAGCGGTTCAGATATCAACGAGGCCTTGACGGGGTTTTTTCTTTTTCGCTTTTGGGTTATCGGCTCTGGAAAGAAAGATTCTTAGCTCCATTCCCTCTTGTCTCTGCTCTCTTCTCCCTTTTCGCACTATTATACATCTACTTTGCCCGCTGGCCGAGGGTCGGCCCCGTGCGTTTCTCAATATACTGGGCTTGCAGCTGCTCGGGCCAAAATTCAACGCACGCGAAGTCGACGTGTTAAATAGGGAAAAAAAGACACGCGATTAAACTCTAAACTTGGCCGCCCCCAAATCCACGTCTGGACTAGTCGACCATACGGCAATATACTTGTATTACCCCACGCGAGATTCACGACCCGGCTTCATTGCCAAATGGCCGCTCACGCTTCTCTCGTCTGAGTCTTCTCCCCCGCAGCACATCTCGTGCCTAACCAAGCCCTTTGCGCGCGGGAGTGGGTAAAAGGGAAAGAAGAACAAGGGGCAAAGCAGAATCATATAATACAACGGGAGAAAGGGAAGACAACAACCCTCCCTTTCCCCAAGCACCATTTTCCAACCTGCATCGTTAAACCTTTGCCTTCCCACTGCCTCATGGAAGATCCCCCGGTGAGGGCGAGACCGAGATCCTCGTCCACGTATCGGCCCCTGCACGTCGGCCAGCGACATCCACTACCGTCGCCTCGCCGCCGCCTACCTCGAATTCACCCCTTCGCGCGTCACCAGCCTCCGCGACATCCATCCACCAGCGCCCGAGGCCGTGACACCCGCCGCGCACTGCACCGGTGCCAACCTGTCAAGCGACGCCTTCTCAGAATCCTTTGACCACGGCAGCTTCGTACGCGCGGGCCCCAAGCACTACTACGCCGCCCAGCATGATCCCCCACCAGCAGTTTCGGGAGCCCTTGCACCGGTACCAATACCGGTGCCGGTTCTGCCCCGGGCTGCCCGGCCCCAAGCGACGACCCGGACATCATCGAGGAGATTCCGGATTCGTACCCAACCTGCACCGTCGTCGTAGACGCCTTTGCTCCCCCACGCGCATCCTCGAGCACTACCTCCAGCAAATCAAACCAGCGCCACGGCCCCCAAAAGGCCGCTCGACATCGACGCCGACGCCGACGTGCCCCAAGTTTCTGGAGGCTCATCCGGCCCTGCAGCCAAGTTCCCCGGTCCCAGCCCCGAACCCAGCCCCGACACAGTCCCCGGCCCACCCCAACCTCTCTCCGCCGCAACCAGTCAGACCACGGCCCCCGCGGCCCCGCGCCCCACCCCCAACCCGGAGCATGAGCGACTCCCTCCTCCGCCTCGGCCCAGATGACCCAGACGACCACGCCGACGCCGACGCAAACACAAACGTGCGCCGCCGCCGCCCCGGCCCCGTCACCACCGCCCACGACATCAACCCCACCACCCTCCACTTCTTCCCCCGGAGCCCCGCGTCGCCGCCGAGCCCGTCACCGAAGCCTCCTCCTCACCCCGCGCCTCGAGGACCTCGCCCGCCACCTCGACCTGGACAAGCGCTACCGCCCAGAGAGCGCGAGCGCGAGCCTAGGCGCCGCGCCCGCACGAGCAGCGGCCCCCACCGCCCCTTTGAGCGCGGCTACTGGCTCCTCGACTGCTCCGCCTGGGACCCCGCCGCCCGCTGGCGCGCCTGGTCCTTCCTCGCCCACTGGATCCGCAGCGGCTTCGCCGGCTGGGGCGTCTCGTGCTACCGCGACGAGCCCCTCTCCTGGATCCGCACCTACTGCTGGGGCAGCGTCGCCGGCCACATCTACCTGCTCCTCTACCTCGTCACCGTCCGCCGGCTCAAGTACATGGACATGTCTTGGATCGGCGACGACGGCGTCCCCAAAATCTTTGTCGCGGCGCGCGGGAGGAGGCTCGATGAGGAGGCGCAGAGTCTCCCGTGAAACATCACCCCAGAGTCTTCTTTTTTTGGCGTATCTTCGTTAGAAGGGTGGACGTATGGTTCCATTCCTCTTCTTTCAAGGATGACGAGAGGGATCTGCTTTTCAAAGTCACCCTTTCATGTTATTTCCTTTTGTTTTCCGTCCCAGGGTTTCCTCCTGTGTTTTGGGGTCACGTATCATGACAGCATCAATGCATGCAAGTATGCGGGTTAGGGATTGGGCATGAGGCGGAGTCTATACTTGGGTATACCCTATCATCTCGGGTTGGGTTTCTTTTCTTTTTCTTTCCTTCTTCATTCTTCTCTTATATTATTTCCCTTATGATGTACATGTATCCATTGTGACTCAAAAGGATCGGAACAAACGGAAGTTTAGCTTGAAATCTAGCAATATATTTCTATCCACCAGTCCATTCAACGGGGCCGAGAAGCCAAAACTTGCAACGCTCGCATAGGAAACAGAAACTAGGGATAGATACGCATATAAAGAGGCATAGGTATAAATCCGGTCCACAACACCCACTATCGATTCTACACAAAAAAGAACACAACGTTATCCGACAGTAACAAGAGATTTGGTGCTACAGGTAGAGATGAGGGGGACAAAAGTGGCCAAGGACGAGAAGAGAAACAACTGCCAGAAACGAAAGAAACAGAGATTGGTACAAAGAGAAAGATAACTCCGGCCGGGGGTAAGAATAGAGTAGCGCAATTCAAAGGTTGGCATGGCGAGGCCAAGACGGATCAGGGCCATGCGCCATCCAATTCCCTCCTAGCTTTCAACTGGCCGCTCTCGTTTTCTGTTTGACAAGAGCTAGGCCGATTGCGCATCAAAGGACGCCTTCTCCCTCGCATACCGAGCCGCCTCAGTCGCCGCCTGGTCGTGGTAGACCTACAAAACGGAAATTAGTTCTCTATACGTTTCACAGCCTGCTTGACGCTTCCGTGCAGACGATCTGCGGCCCGCCTTGAGGCCAGGAAGATAAGAGGAAAAACATACCTGCTTCTCAGACTCCGAAAGCCCCTTCCACTCGGCCGCCAGACCCTTAGATGCCTCCGCTGCAGACACGGCGCTCACCTCCCCACTCGCCCATCGAGCCTTGACGTAGAGCGAGTAGGCCGTCGAGGGTCTCTTGGGCTGGCGGTCGTCCGAAATCTTGCGGTGCGACTTGTCGTGCTTGCGGTTGAGGCGCGCGCGGGCAAGGTTGGCCTCGTGGATCTGCTGGGCCGTGTGGCTCTCAACCCAGGCCTTGTAGGCATCCACATTTGCCAATCGGTTGGCATCGGCCTTCTCCTGAAGGCGCTGCGGGTGAAAAAGGAACACGGTTAGCATAGTCTTCTTTATTCTATGGTTTTCCAACTCGAAGACTTTAGGGAAAGGTAGTGTGGTGCATGATTCGCAGCGCAATGGATGAGGGTAGGGCTATTTTTCACAGCGGGAGAATAGGCGCCGAGGAAAGTTGCGCAGCCTCTGTCGCTTACCTCGAGTTCAAACGTGGAGAGCGCCTTGAAAGCCTGGCTTACTGCCGCCGTCTTCCCGGGAAGGTCCCCTCCGACAAAGGTGCCCTTGAGCTCTTGCGTTATGTAGACGAGCCACTTGGAGTCGGGCAGCTTCTTGGGCTCAGTGAGGAGCGCCTTAGCCCTAAGTTCCTTAACCTCCTTCTTAGCCTTCTCCTCGGGCGTCAGCTCCTTCTTCTTCTTCGGCTTGGGCTTGGGCTTCGCTGCCGCCGCCTTCTTGGTCGTCTTCTTGACAGTCTTCTTCTTGGTAGCCTTGCTCTTGGCAGCCTCGCCAGCCCAGCTGGTGGAGCTGAAGGGCTGCGTGCGGAGAGCGGGCCCGGTGGCGGCGGAGACGGCAATCGGCGCGCGCGCCTCGACGCGGGCGGTCAGCGGGCGGAGAGGAAGGGAGACGGCGGCAGCCCGGCGAAGGGGCGCTCGTGCGAGAGTAGACAGCATGGTGTGTGGTTGGGCTGCTTGGAGCAGGGTACGGCGGGAAAAGAAAAGAGCCTGGTCTTGGTCGCGAATCAAATTGGTTAGGGGAGCTCGAGGTTGCGGAGCACCCGGGGGCAAGGGAAGAGGGTTTCTAACCTATGGCACTAAATGAAGGTGGATGTTCCCGTAGTCTCTCTCTCCGAGGGACTTCCGCTGTTTTTCTTTTTGTTTTTCTCCCACAAACTCCGCTCTCTCGAGTCAATCGCTGCCGTAGTCGGAAATATGTGTCGTGTGCGTGTGTGGACGTGTGTGTGCGTGAGAGAGTGAGTTTGATGGTCCGTGACAATGGGTGACTTTTCAACGTGTGGATGGTGGTGGACTGAGCATTGTTGGTGTGTTTGGGGGCAGTCGTTGGTGCTGGAGGAGCTGCTTCAAGTACTCGTTACTTTCGACTGCCTGCTGGGTTGGCTGAGCTTACAGGTACCGATGCCGTCCAAGCTTGAGCTCCTGCTGCATATAAATGAAATAAGGGGATGCAGAGTGATGCAAGTACAAGTTACAAAGTACCTCCCGTGGTTGGCTGGCGAGCTGGGCGTGGGTGCACAGCATCCATTGGATTGGGACAGGACATTTGTTGGTGCCTAGATATCAAGGCACGAATCGTCAATTTGCTGCCATTTGTTGCCCCCAGCCCAGCCCAGCGCAAGCAACAGCAGGCAAGGCAGCATAGGCGACGCGAAGCTCTAGCCTATCGAGTATACCGCTCTCCGAACCCCCAAAAGCCCGGTCTCGACGACACCTTCACCAACACACAAACTGCCCACTTCGACGCCGAGGAACCCTCGCCATCTCCAGAGAGCGTCCTCCATCTACGATCTAAACCGATAGCGATTTTATCCCTTCATTCTGCGCGTTGATCCCTGCTTGCAATTCCCCGACCGCTCAGCCCAAAGCTTCTCTCACCAGCTCCCGCCCTCAGTAACATCATGGACCACCGACCTCAGGCTTGGGGAAGAGTTCGTCTTGCCCACCTCCCCGCTGAACCCGCCCCAAAGGCCTTAGAATCAATGTTGTATGCTCGTTGAAAAGCTAACTCTGCCGTCTTTATAGCCCAGAGATGATGTGTACGGCGCCTACGACGCCTCGTACATGAACCAGGCCCACGGCCCGACCCAGCACACTCAGTCCCCCGTCGTTACCGGCACTTCAGTAATAGGCATCAAGTACAGCGATGGCATCGTCATTGCTGCGGATAACCTAGGTTAGTGTTGTTTTGTTTTCTTCTCCCCTCGTGGCTTGCAACAAACCTTGTGCAGCTGCCTCCGCCTCTCTTGCCATGAGCCTCGACGACTAACAAATCCCTGCAAATCAAATCCAGCCTCCTACGGTTCCCTCGCCCGCTTCACCGACGTCAAGCGCCTGCTCCCCTTTGCCGGCACCTCCATCGTCGGCTTTGGCGGCGATATTTCCGACATGCAATACCTCATCCGCCACCTCAACGACCTCGAAATCGACGAGTCCTATTCGGCCCCTCCAAGGCCGACGCCGACGCAACCTCTGCCCCCTCCCACCTCACCGCCGCCAACCTCCACCGCTACCTCGCCAAGCTCTTCTACGCTCGCCGAAACAAGTTTGACCCCCTCTGGAACCACGTGCTCGTGGGCGGTCTCGACGAGGACTCCCGCCCCTTCCTCGCCTCCGCCGACCTCCGCGGCACCACCTACTCGGCTCCCTCCCTCGCCACCGGTTTCGGTTCTGCCCTTGCCATCCCCATCCTCCGCAAGGTAGTCCCCGACGAAGAGGCCGCCGCCAAGCTCTCCAAGGAGGCTGCCGTGGAGGCCATCAAGGAGTGCATGAAGGTCCTCTACTACCGCGACGCTAGGAGCATGGATACCTACTCCATCGCCGTTGTTACCAAGGATGGCGTCGACCTCAAGGAGAACGAGAAGCTCGAGCAGCAGAGCTGGGCCTTTGCCGACCGTATCAAGGGCTACGGTACCCAGACGGTTTAGAGGAGACGGCAGCTGAGATGGTGGCACGGCACTAGTAAAGAGGGCGTGGAAGGGTGTGCGTGATGTGTAAATCCTTTTATGTCTCATCGGGTTACCTTGGCCCAGTCCGCGATACATTTCTGCTCAAAAGGCTTTCGTTGGGTCGTTAGCCGCCTTACGGTATAGCTACTGCGCCCTGCCAGGGCGCAAGGATGAGGCGAGGCGACAAGAGTTGTTGGAGTCGACACTCGTCTAACAAACAAGGGTGCGCGTTACCTCATGAGAAAACATTGCTGTACTAATAGACACAAATACATTTTTTCCCTTCTTTTGCGAATGCCCTCCTTCTCGTGTCCGTTCCAAGTAATATTCAAGGCTGCGTCTGACTACGACTACCCAATCTTGTGTGAGTGATGATGAATCAAGCTCTTGATGCTCCTGTCGTCTAGCAAATGAAGAAAAAAACAATCTCCCGTACGCAGTCCGACTTCTTTGAAACCCCACAGGCGAGAAAGGCTAGCTTCCAGACGCCGTGCAGTCAGCATAACCCTGCATGGTGATGCCAGACTCGAGCGTTCTCCAAGCAACGTCTCGAGGGTTGGAAATTACACTAGGACACTTCTTTTTCTTCTGGTTACACTCCTACACTCGTCACCGGGCAGAAGACCTCTTTGTCTTCAAAATCTTTTCATAAACTTTCAAAAATCTTATTATTGCCTGTACTTAGTAGCGACCAAGAGAGAAAAAAGCAAGCAGGACCCAAGCTAAGTGAGGTGGTGGGCCTTCATCCCTTCCACAACAAACACAACCGTACAAAAGGCAAAGACATAAAATATCCCGCTGCTCTAACCTAATTCCAACGAGTTTGTCGCCCGCGCATGCGCCTTTCAATAGAACATAACCCCCTTGAGTCCCTTCAAAAATCATTAAAACCCTTTTTTGTTCATTCCCATCCTGCAATCGTGACATGAAATTTTTACTCGACAGTGACCGACTTGGCAAGGTTGCGAGGGAAATCAACATTGAGACCCTCCATGACAGCCAGCCAGTAGGCAATCAGCTGCAGAGGAATGACGTTGAGGATGCCCTGAAGAACATCGACGGTGCTAGGAATCTCAATCTTGAGAGCCTGGCTGGCCTTGAACTCTTCGTCATCGGGGTTGCAGATAACAATGGGCTTGCCACCACGGGCAACGACTGCAAGAAAAGACATGTTAGCAACAGTACAATGAGATAGGCTCTTCGCATCACTGAAGTAGCAATATTGACGGGCGGTATTCTAGACTTACCCTGCTGGTAGGCGTTCAGAGACTTGGTGAAGAGGTTGTCACGGGTGAGGATCATGATGATGGGCAAGTTCTCGTCCACAAGAGCAAGCACACCGTGCTTGAGCTCACCAGACATGACGGCCTCGCAGTGGAGGTACGAAATCTCCTTGATCTTGAGGGCACCCTCAAGAGCAGTCGAGAACTGCAGGCCGCGACCGAGGAGCAGAAGAGACTTCTGGTCCTTGAAGACCCTAGCACAGAGATCCTTGATGGCGGCATCCTGCGTGAGGATGTCCCTGATGTGGCCCGAGATCTGGGAAAGACCATCCATAATCTCCTCGCGCCTCTTGGCCTTGGAAGCCCGGTCCTCGCTAAGGGAGAGGGCAAACATGACCATGGCGACAAACTGCGAGGTATAGGCCTTGGTGGAGGCGACACCGATTTCGGGTCCGGCATTGATGTGGACACCGCAGTGAGTAAGGAGAGAGATGGAGGAGCCGACAACGTTGACGATACCGACGGTCAGAGCACCACGCTCCAAGCAGTACCTCAAGGCCATGAGGGAGTCGGCAGTCTCACCCGACTGGGAGACGAAGACGCAAGTGTCGTCACGGAAGACGGGGGCCTGTCGATCGAGGAAATCGGAGGCAAGCTCGACGGCAATAGGAATTTCAACCAGCTCTTCGAAGATACCGCGGACAGCCATGCAAGAGTGATAGCTGGTACCGCAGGCGATGAAGATCAGCCTCCTGCACCTGCGGATAGTGGTAATGTACGAGCGGAGGCCACCAAGGGTAACAGTCTTGTTGGCGCTGTCAAGACGGCCACGCATGGTGTTGACAACCGACTCGGGCTGCTCGAAAATCTCCTTCTGCATGAAGTGGTCGAACTCGCCCTTCATGATCTCCTGAAGCTCAAGCTCGAGTGTCTGGATAGTCCTGACATTGGAGCTTCCATCGGCCTTCTTAAGGCGGTGGATGTTGAGGGAGCCCTCGTGAATGTGGGCAATATCGTCATCCTCAAGGTACAAGACCTTCTTGGTGTGCTCAACGATGGCAGAAGGGTCCGAGGACAGGAAGAATTCGGTGGGCATGGGCATTCCGTCGTCAGTCATGAAGGCACGAGACTGAGACCTATGGAGGAGCGACTTGTCGGGAGCAGCGAGCCCAGCACCGAGAAGAGTGCCAGCGTTCTTCTTGAGGGCAACGTTCTGAGAAGCAGCCTCGGCGGGGAGGGCGGTGTTCTCATCAGAGTACTCGACATCAACGAAGTCAACCTTCATCCTCCTCTCGGTCTTGACGCCGATGACAAGGGGAGAGCCCTTGCGAGCGGCAATGACCTCATGAGGATAGTGCACCGACTTGATGAGCAGGCCGTAAGCGCCCTCAAGCTCCTGAATAACAGCCTTGGCAAGATCGGTGAAGCCAATGCTTTCGTTCTGGTCATAGAGATACTTGGCAAGCTTGGCAATGCACTCAGTATCGGTCTCGGTCTCGAACTTGAAGCCCTTGCTGCTGAGCAGCGTCTTCAGCTCCTTGTAGTTGGTGATGATACCGTTGTGGACAACGCTGAACTCCCAGGCGGGGTCAGACCTATAAAGGGGGTATTTGGGTTAGCTAATCGAATTTTAAAACTCACGACGAATGAGGGCTAAGCAAGACTAGGGGAATTGAGAGGGAAAGGGATTGCTTTTCCTGTCGAGGAAAAAAAGAAAGAACAAAAGAGAACGGATGTGGGAGGGCCAAGGAGGGTGAGAGTGAGCCGGCAATGATTGCACCTACCTATGAGGATGGCAGTTGACGCGGGAGGGAGAACCGTGAGTCGCCCAGCGAGTGTGAGAAATTCCGGCATGTGAATCGAAGACCTTGGTCAAGTTGACATCGGACTCGTCGATGAGCTGCTTGAGCTTGGCAACCTTGCCGACCTCCTTGAAGGCAAAAACCTCCTTCTTCTTGTCACCATCGACGCAAAGACCAGCCGAGTCATAGCCTCGGTATTCTAGACGGGACAAGCCTATAACGAGGGAACGCGGAATGGTTAGACATCAAGGGGCGGTCAATTGGCGGTAAGCAGCAGACTATCCGCCACTGTGGGAGCGGGGGCTGATGTCGTTGGCTGGGACCCAAGAGGGGGCAAGGGGGCGGGTTTGGTGTTGAGCTCAACACTTACCATTGATGAGAGTCTGAAGGATGAACTTGCGGTCCTTCTCGACCAGGTAGTTCACATAGCCGAAGATTCCACTGTTCAAACACGCAATTGTTAGCCATTTCTAGGTTCAAGTTTTCTCTCAAGCACGGCAATGTGCTAGGTCAGCAAGACCGTCATTCCAGCAGCAGTCAGACTGAGAGGAAGCGGGGTGGTGTTTTTCTCTTTGGCGGGGAGCTGGGATACTTCATACCACATGGTTGCGGGTGAGCTAAGGCTGCAAGTCGAAGAGTTGGAGTCGAAAGTAAAAGAAAGGGAAAAAAGAAAACCTGCGAGAGAGATGAGGGGTATCACGGAAGCTAGATGGGATAATAGGGGAAGAGAGAGAGATCAAGGGGATCAAGAGGGAGGAGAGGCGAGAAGAAATAGGAAAATGGATAGCGGGTGCTGGTCGTCCGGTCAGCTTTATTCGAGGCTTGGGCTCAGGCGGCGGTAACCAGAGCAGGAAACAGTCGACGGGCAAGCGTGGACTTCAGTTCTCCATTCCCTGGTGGGTTTTCTGGTGGGTGGTGGGGAATAAGGAGAGCCAGGGGGACCTTGGAGGGGAGGTGCGGCGGTGTGGTGGGGTTGGCAGCTCGGCAGGAGGAATGGGCGAGGGGCGATGAGGGGCGTGGATGCATCAACTCGCCCAACTCGCTTGCTTCAAGAAGCTTCTCCAATGCGAGGCCGTGGTTCCGTGACTATGGCCAATACGCGCTGCTGCCGGGGATGCTACTCCTTGACGCCCCCAGCACCCGGGGAGCTTTCTCGACACGAGAAAGCTCGAGCTCTGGGAGAATGGCAGCAAGAGGGAGCACGAAAGAGAGTGAGAATGAGAGCGAGAGAGAGAGAGAGAGGTGGAAGTGGCTTGCTTGGCCGCCACCGCCAGCTCCTGTCTGCTGCCCCTGGGCTTCTCGGTTCCTCTAGTCTAGGTAGAAGAAACAGCCCGGCCGTCAGCTTCTCAACAAAGCACAGTGTATTAATTACGAAGAAGCAGAGTAGTTGTCCCCACGCTCTGGTTCGTTCATCGATGTGTAGTGTTTGCATCATTGCGAAGACGATCCCAGGCCCTTCTCATCGTTTCATGTACATTGGACCAGCGCTCCCTGCACTGGCCAGAATCGAGCTTGCGTTGTTGACCTAGATGGGGAAGTCAGGGTCAAGCAGGCAGTTGCGATGCGCGTTGTCTGGCTGGTCCGTACCATCTACGTACGGTGTGCAGAGCGAGCTTGTGCTTTCTCAAGCAGTAGCGTCAAGTACAAATGCAGCGGTGGGAAGGAACGCAAAGGATGCCACGCAGAGCTGCTGCAAGAAAAGGGCGGGCATTGAGCGGGCAGGTGGGAGATGGGAGAGGTGCAAAAGGTGCGAGAGGTTCAAAAGGTGCAAAAGGTGCAAAAGGTGCAAGGGGGAGGGGTGTGCGTGCAACTGAGTGAGCTAGACCCAGCCAGCCCAGCCCACACCTCAGGTGCGACAAGAGAATGGGACCGGCCTTCTCTGGTCGTATTATAGTGAATACGGAACACATCCAGAGGTCTTTTGCTGTGGTTACGAGGAACTAAAGGAAAGAAGCCGAGACGGGCAAAAGCGATGCGGGACAGCTTCAATGGTTTCTGTTCTCCAAACAGAGTCAGTCTCTCCCTCCCGAAATCGTCAACCCCTTTGCTCCTTTGCTCCTTTGCTCCTTCTTGGGGTTTTTGTTTTTTTCCTCTCTTTCTTTCGATACCCGTGCTCTTCTCCTTTAACCCCTCAAGTGCTCTCCGCCCGGCATCCCTAACCTACCGCCAACAACTGTCGAGGGCACCAACTTGTCACGACGAATTCCGCCCTTCCCCTGAGGACAAACCTTGATGCCACTTAGGGCTACGGCGGACCCTCCGCTGGCTCCAAAGTTTTTCTAGCTAGGATCTTGGGCCTACACACATCAATTGATCAGGGCACTCAATTGATGGTTGCTTTCTTCCGCCTTCCACCCCCTCTCCCAAATCCCACCCTTCTTTTGGCCACCAGAGACGTATTGGCCAACTGACGTAAGATAGGAACGGATCAGGGAAGAAACCGTGATGAACTACTTTGAACTACTTGTGGAAGTCCCTTCAGGGAGCCGATCGGCAACGAGCGGGCCAGGAACATCGTGTGAGGAAGCTCCAGTCTCTCACCCTTGATTTAAACACACCCCCACATGCTGGTGATACATTAACTCAATCTGGAGTGAGCAGGATTGCCGGGGAGGCTGACGACCACTAGGGTGCGACAAAAACCTGGCCGTCGAAATGGGACCGCGCAGAATTTCCTGCTGAGATCCTGGACTGTGAAACGCTGCAGCCATCAATCAATGCTGTCTAAATCCACCAAGGACACCCTCCACTACCTCAGCATGCCGGGTTGGTGATATGGCTGATAAACGGATCAAACGCCTCCATGTACTCTTCCCACCTGTGCCTGCTGTACTCCGTGCAATCTAGACGAGCCCATCTCGCCCAACCATCCACCAGAGAGATTGACGAGATCTGCCCGATACTGTGTGTTTTCCGATAACCTTTTGGTTGGTACGACTTCAGCCATGTACAAGTAAACTTGACTACTTGACTACTTGACGACTGCCCAAAATACAAGGCGAGAAAGTGAGACCGAATGCACCAAGGACCCTAAGTTTTGTTCTCCCTTGTTTTAACTCACCCGTTTGGCTCGGCTGCCCGAGAGTCTGACGATAGGAACCGTCAATTTCGACAAGGAGTTTCTCCGACGATGCTGCAAGGTGTCTAGCCCATCTTTGGGGCAAGGATCATTGGCGGGACTGGATCCATTGGATCCCTTCTCTGCTTCCTTTCCTATGTAGGGACAGAGAAGCGATAAACAAGCGCGGGCTTATTTCTTCGACAAGCTAGGCTAGAGATAATTCTAAACTAAGCATCGAGGCCGGGTGCATCGTATCCTTGAAAGCGCACTGGAAGCACGAAACAACTGCTTCGACATTTCCGTTCTTGGGAGGAGTCGGGGAGATGCGGTCTAACCCACAGCGGGGAGGCCAGTATTCGGCAGCTGCAAACGCACAGAGCGGCTGAGCCCCTAAAACCCGTCCATAAGATCTGCAAAAATTGATGGCGACGGCGCCGCCGTCCAACCAGGAACCATCGCCTCAATGTACAGCCCCAAAACCCGGCATGGGACCTGCTCGCGAAGACCGTCTTTTGTTTCTTCGCCCAAGTTTTCTTTCTTTGGGGGAGGGCGAGAGTATGTGGCATGTGTGTTGCCTTTCAATAATTCTTCTCTCTTAATCAATGGCCCCGGCTTCACGCTCCAGATACGAACTCTCTTTGAACAGGCAAGAACAATACATGTATCAGCAAGAGACTACATGTCTATCTAAAAGGTGGGATGTCAAAGCCCCGCGGCCAACGAAATCAAACCCAGCGCGTATTTTTGTTGAAGCGCTTTCTTGGGCCAGACTTGTGAGCGTCTCTCCATATTTGTCTGGCCATGATGGATAATTTTTGCTTTGCCGCGCCACACTGGTCTTGGACTCGATTGAAATTCAGCACAGGGCTCGTGAACAAGAATTTCAAAGCTAACGAAGACAGCCTAGCCTGAAGAGCATCAACCTCGGTAGTGGATTGCCCCTGCCCCCAAGAATCCTCCACTGATTCGCGAGGGAAGATAAGACAGGAAAAATACTTCTCCTAGCGTTGCTCAGTTCCTAGCCTCAAATGTGGATTTTTTTCGACCGACCATGGGTTCTAAAAATAAAAACAACAACGACGAGAAGAGAAGAAAAAAAAAGGACCCCAACGCTTCTGGAACCAGGTACGCTGCATCCTTGAGAGCAATAATAATTACCTTTTCGCCTGGAACCAGCCTGGACACCAATTGAAGGGTAATGGATCCGACGTCACGACCGATGACCATCGACCATCATACGACCCCACCCTTCTCTCAACGGCGGTTCCTCCCCTGCAGAAAGGGGAAGTCCCATTTTGTGGCAATTGTCCGATGGATTCATCGTATCCAGGCAAGCTGGGGGCGGGCAAGGCTACCGTGATATTGTGCCACCGTATTCAATTTCGATGCCGTCATCGATTTCGGGCGTCTATTTTCCTTTACGTGGTAAAGTGGGCCGGCCGATATCTCCGTGCATGTTGCAGGAGACGCCAAAAGCGCCGAGGAACATTGAAGAAATGGAAAAGAGAAAAGGTCCCTTGTCCACCTGATCCCCTGGCACCGATGCAGAGGTCGGAGGAGAAGGGGCCAAGCCATTTGCGTATTCGCTGCTCTCAACGTCTGGCCTTGCCCAAAGCTCGCCGCCAATATCCGTGCCTGAACCCCTGTCAGTACCGTAGCCGCGCCCTAGTGACGCACGTGGGCTCATCCTAGGCCATGAGCACTCGCCTCGTCCAGCGGGCACTGCCAGCCTTCGAGGCTGGAGGCTGGCCATGAACAATCCTCCCCCCGCCCCTCCTTTCTCCAGAGGAAGGGTCTTTCATGGGGTAGCTGCTACTCAATGGAATTGGCTCTCTATTAATGCTTACCTCCGCGGCAGGCCAAGCTTCCACAGGATTTGGGCTGAACCGTCTTTTCCGTGGGACTGCAGGACGCCACTGTTGAAAATGGGTCCCATCCCACAGGACGGTGCAACGGGTGATTGCCCAAGTGTTTAGCTCCGTCAGCTGTCAGCCGCAGCGAGGTGCAGTGCCTTATCACGCAGCTGCAGCAGTGAAATTGAACAGTGAGACGAGAGCAGCCTCCTGTGGCGAATGGCGCAATGGTATTTATTTTTGAAAATTAATCATCAACTGATCCTCATGGATCTAGTCACACCATCGCCTGTCGCTATTTCGCTTGTATTCTACACTCTCCGCAACAAGGTGTACCTCTTCTAAATGGTACGGTTTCTAGTCTTACAGTTTCTGGTACTCCAGCTTACCCTCTAGCTTCTTCGCCTCGGCAACCTTGCGTACCGCCCGGTTGAAGTCGTCCTGGTTGATCGCATCGCGTTCCGCTTTGAGAGCAAAAAGACCACTGTGCATTGTCCATTAGCGTCTGGAAATGAGGGAGAAAAGAAAAGGGCAGAGGGGAGGAAAGTGAGGTGCGATAGGAGTTGCACGGTCACATGAACTAGAGAAAGAAGGTGGCGAGGGAGGGAGCAGTATAAGACAAACTTACGCTTCAGTCACCACGTTCCTCAAGTCGGCACCGTTGAGGCCATCGCTCATCTTGACTACGCTCTCAAAGTCGATATCGCCTTCCGTTACAACGCTCTGAGCGTGAATCTTGAGAATTTCAAGGCGGCCCACTTCATTGGGCAGGGGAATCTCAATCTTGCGATCAAGACGACCCGCACGGAGTAGCGCGGGGTCTAGGGTATCAGGCCTGTTGGTAGCCATGATGATTTTGGTCTTTCCGAGGTAATCGAAACCGTCAAGCTGGTTGAGGAGCTCCATCAGTGTTCGCTGGATTTCACGATCGGCACTGGTACCCTCTGAGAATCGACGGCCTCCGATAGCATCGATCTCGTCCATGAAGATAATGCACGGCTCATGCTCTTTGGCATAACCAAACATCTCTCGGATAAGACGGGCAGATTCGCCAATGTACTTGTCCACGATAGCAGAGGAAACGACTGTGGTCCGGTTAGCATAGATGCCTTTCGTGCGTTATAGTATTGAGACCAAACCCGATATTACACGTACCCTTTAGGAAATTCGTTTCTAGACTGCTGGCAACTGCACGCGCAAGAAGCGTCTTTCCAGTACCTGGAGGGCCGTAGAGCAAGACACCCTTGGGGGCTTGATACCAACTCGGAGGAACAGTTCGGGGTTCTTCAACGGAAGCTCGATGACTTCTCGGAGCTCTCTGATCTGGTCGCTGAGTCCACCGATTCCAGAGAAGCTCACCTGTCCAGGGTCTTCGAGTGACATGTTGTAAACGAGGGGATCGACTTCGCGGGGAAGCATACGCATGATTGTGAGAGTGGTCATATCGAGGGCGACACGGGTTCCCTGCTTGAGCTTGGCCTTGTCAACCTTGGACCGGCAACCAACGACATACCGAGGGCCGGACGAAGCTTTGACAATGACTGATTAACTTGTTAGCATCAACTTTCACCATTTCCAGTCGGTCGCCCACAGACAAGGGGCCAAGGCAACGGTAAGGGGTGTCGGCGGGGACCTGGCCTGCAACGTACATCGCTCATCATCAAGCTGTTTCAGCACCTCTCCGATGATCTGGCCAACGCTCTGCAGCGCCTTAATGTTGTCCTCGGTTCTATCGTACTCCTTGACGAGCTCCTTGATCTCGAGCCGAAGGGCCTTGAGCTTAGCCTCCCATTCGCGAGATTTTATTAGCTCGGCGCGGTACGCATCGAGGGCTTGCCTCCTATCATCATCGGACCCGGCCATTATAGATGAGAATTGGGGCGAAGAGGAGGAGAGGGGATGGGGGATGAAGCTTGGGGATGTGGGAGTGATCTCCGAAAGATCGCGCGAGAGAGAGGTCGTGATAAGTTAGCTGTTGTATAAGACGATAATTTCGGGATGAGAGATATATGCGCAAGTCGAGACTCCGGGCGGGGGAGGCGTAGTCGCAAGATTGCTTGTCGGAATGGGGATTGATAATCGTGTGTGGGCTGCTTGTTTGCTCGCAAAGCTTCACGGAGAGGTCGAAGCTACCAAGGCTTGCGTTTTGCCCCAGTAGGCAACGAGGCTGTTGCGTAGCTCTTGGGCTAGTCCATGTTTATCCGGACTTGTGCCGGCTCACCGAACCGAGCGCGCACCGAGACATGGAGAATTGATTCATGGCCTTGAAGAAGCCCAGAACGGTAAGGGTGTCACGGAAATTTCTAATCCCCCATAAATACGCATAGGTCTTTAGTTCCAAATTACGCAGGTATCATGGATAGTTTCGAATAGGAAAATGTGTGCTGTGTATGGTCACTTTACGGCTCTGGGGCGCTCACGAATAGATAACGAACAAGTCTTTCAATTTTGGCGGGGCCAAGCAGTATATACAGGCGAAAAACATGGAAGAATATGAAAAGAAGAGAAAGAGAAATTGGACGAGAACTGAGAGGAGGAAGAATAAGGAAAGGTATGCATCTATGTTTAGGGTATAGGGGTTGATAAATAGTGGTGTGATATAGAAATCCAGAATCTCCAGAGGAGTTGGTCCTCATCACCATTTTGTCCCCGACGGCCTCATTCGGCCAAGTCCCAGTCTTTATTATCGAGGGGGAACGGTGCGAGCCGTGGGGAAGGATCGAATATGGATAGAATAGAAGATTAGAGAGCGAAAGCCTCCCTTTGTTGGAATGAGGTATGTAGCCGTAAACCGTAATCATGATGGAGAAAAACTGTTGGAGTTCCTCCGGGATAAAATTGCTGGGAGCAAGAATATTTAAGAACAAGAAAAAGAAAAGAGGGAGCATCCCGTCGGAGGCGCTTTTACACCGTATTCTGAGCTAGCTCGCTGCTGATCTCCTCGCGGACCTTTTGGCACCACTTGAAGATGGCGTCCTCGAAGTCGATCCAAACCTGGGGGCTGTTGTTATACACGATGCCGAGGGCGTCGACCTTGAGGGCCACCTCCCAGCGAAGCTCCGCAGCCTTGGCCCAGTAGCGGATATTATCGGCGGCACGGTAGGGCTTCTGGGTATCCGTGTGGAAGGTGGGGATGGCGCCGAACCTCCGCTGCGACTTGTGGACGGCGGCGTTGTGGAGCTTGACAAGCCTCAGGCCATTCTGCATCTCCCTCAAGAGAGGCGTCGGGAGGTCGGCAGCGTCGCGCGCGGGGGTATAGGCCGGGAGGGGATCTGCCTCGGGGTCCATGGACCTCAGGAAAGCAAGCTCGCGGCTGACATCCCCTTCTGCCCAGTCCCCGTGCAGCCAGGACCAGCTGGCGCGCTCCTGCTGCTCGGCATCCTCGATGGCCTCGTCCCGCTGCAACATGGTGGATACGCCGTTTAGCCAGGCTTCCATGTAGGCCACTTCGTCGTTTCGAATTCCGCCAGCGAAATCTCGAGTGGCGGCGTGTTTCAGCACGTCCATGACCGTTAATAAGTCCGCGCGCACCTCTTTCTCGGGCTTGATGGTGTCCAACCGGTCGGGCTTCTCGTGAGCGGTGTAGTACATTTTCGCGGCACGGATCGCAAACGTCATGACGTCTAGGATGTGCATTCCCTGAACCTCGAACCACCCTTGCGAGGTTTTCGGTCGGGGGCTATCATTGATTCCCGGAGCGTTGGCGGCAACCTGAGATACCCCGTCGTTACTCTCTTTGACCTGTCGAAGGGACTTGTAAGCTCGCTCGAGGCTCCCTTGAGATCCGATTTCAGCTCGTCGATGGTGGGCGGTCGGGCGACGGGTTTCTCGACCTTGTTATAGGTGCTGACGGTGGGAGGGAGGATGTTGGGATCGGGCTCTTCGAAATCATCGTAATAGTCGTCAGGGTCCATGGGTCCTTCGTCGATCGGGGACTCCGTGAAGTGGCCGGGGCCAAAATTGGCGGCTGAAAGGTCCGGACTACCGGCAAGCGGGCTATAGGCGTCGGTGAAGGTGGGGAGACCGGGGTGGACTCTAGATCGGCCAGATCTAGCGTTCCCCGCTGCTTCCTCTTCCTGGCCAGCTGCGCGCCCTTGCCATCGAGCAGGCCGGTCCGGGCAAAGTAATACTGAATGTGGGCGATGCTGCCGAGGCTCAGCACACTCTCCCTCGATCGCGCGCTGGCGGCAAAGTCGGTGCCCTGCGGGCGCACGAAGCCCCGGCGCCTGGTCTTGGCTTCGAGGCTGTAGGAAGATTGCCTCGACGATACGGAGCTGATATCTGAGAGTCTGGACCGAGAACTACCCGAAGATAGGCGGGAAATGTCGCTCCCAAGAGAATCCCGAGGAGGGGCATCGCTATTAGAGCCATGAGATACAGACGACGTTGACGACAGGCATCGGGAGAGCTCGGGACAGGCACCGATCGCAAGACTAGGGGCTATCTCGGGTGAGGGTGAATCGCGGCGAACGGCGGGGGCTCGTCTGCCGAAGTGGTCGCCATGGCTGCACGGGGACTGGACCGTGGATGTCGAAGATTTTCGAAGGTATCAGTGAAACGGAGTGCCTTGAGGGAGCTAGAACTTTGCTCTCGCTCTCCAGCCTGGTAATGGAAACCTGGATGAGGTGGCAGGAATGTAGTTGGAAGAGGGGTTTGTGTTGCCTATCGCACTTTCGCCGCTGCTCGCAATCTTCTTGCTCGTTTAGGAGGGTGACAAACAATGCCGGCACAACAAAAAAGGCTCGCAAAGCTGCACAAGAGGACGGAGATGATGGGAAAGGGTGAGTTCAAAAATTGTGCCTCCTCTGGAGTTGGGGGAAAAAGTGGGATAGTGCTAGGGAAAACAAAGGGACAAAGGGACAAGAAGGACAAGACGGTATTATCGGACTCGAGAAACACCCATGGAGCTCGGCATAAAGTGTCGTGTATCCGGTATTGAGACAAGGTGTGTATAGCAGGGGGATACCAAGATCTTAAGGTAAAGGGGCCATTTAAGCCGGAGACTTATTATTACTTGTACAGTGGCTTCGAGAAGCGTGAACTTTCCCGAAGAGGGAACACGGGCTCCGTGGATCACTAGTACTCAGGGGAGGTAGTTGAGCACTGGGGATGGGATGGGGCAACTTGATCAAATGGGAGCACTTGAGGTTGATTTGATCATTTGCTCTGGCTCGTTGCCTATTGCCCAGTGGACAAAGGGGGGCAACGGTGGTGACTAGGACTGTAAGTCGCGCCAGTAGTGGGCTGCTAGACGTGTCAAAGCCCGTTGCTCTGGCGTCTGGTGCGTCAATGTCGTGTTCGACTGCGTGTCGGCCACAGCGAAAAGCACAGGCATTGGCTTGATTGACCTGACGCGGTTTCTGCCCCGCTAAGCCTATACAATTTATTTAGGTGCTGTTTTTCACTCTTGGCTGCCGCAATGAGGGGCGTTAAGCTCGAGGCCGGATGGAGCCAATGTAACCTAGGCCGACATTCTTGAAACAAAACAGCATGCAACAGAACTTTGGCTCCCCCGATGGAAGGAATGGGATGGATGGATGGATCCATTCAATGGATCTGTTGATACATTTCCCAGTGTCTGGGAGGCTACCTCACTTGCTCACCAAGCAAGCAATACAAGAGACGGATGTATTCTCACGAGCTGGCTCTGATACAACGATCGATTCATGCCCCCACCCCAAACATTTTTTGAAGGGGTAAAACGCATGTCTGGGGGCCGTAGAAAAGGGGGTTTTCTTCTCCATGTCGACCTCTTATTGACGTGAGCTGACTGTTCGGGTGTTCTCCCGACAACAGAACGCCTCCCGAAGTCCGGTGCGAAAGGGGAAGTTGGCGGGGGCACGGGATTGATGGGAGGTTGCGGTTCTACATGGAGTGACGAAGGGCAATGCCAAAAGGGAAATACCCCTCACATCCATCAAGTGGTCGGTCCTCTAATTTGGCTACACCTTCCAGCAAGAGATCCGACCCGTCGTCTGTATCCGTGATGTAGCGTTCGCTCATGTTTTAAAGCTGGCTTCTGAGGGGCCGTTCATTGACTAGATTCCTCCAATCCCGTCAACCTTGGGAGATCAGCCGGAGCCCCTCTACCTATGTCGTTATTAAAGGCTTTTCCAAAGCTTTTGGGAACTTCATTGGAGTCTTTGGTCGTGTCGATTCTTCAATGTTGTCGATGTTCAAAGTTCAAGTTGTCCGTGGTCAAGGCACCAGGGGCCCTGAAGAATAGTGCATCACGTGGCTTCTACCAGGGCGGTGTACGCTCGTGATGTCGATTCTCAGTGAATTTGCCCAGCTTCCCACGCTAAAAGGTTGAACACTAATCTTCCTCAATGCCAGTCCCCTCTCGCGAAGGAGAGTGACGGAGATTAAGCCAATTTCCCTTTCCCCACCGAACAGTTTCTTCTACTTCAATCGTACTTGTAGCTCCTAGAAGGTCCTTTTCTCCCTAACAAGTGATGAATACCTTTTACCTGCATAAATCAACTTGAAGAATACACCGACTCTAAAAGAGCAATGAGGTAAAATACTTCGTATACTGTAATCCAGTGAAAGGCCCTCCCTTGCACCATCATTCTTCTGCAGGACTTGGTGAATGGACATGATTGGGGTTATCGGGGGCGCAGGTGAGAGATACCTCATAGAGTAGCAACTTTTTCTTCTCCTTCTTCGTGGTTTTCAGAGCTTCAGAGGCAATCGATCATATCCCTTTGGTATGGGCATTGGTACATTTCCCTCTCTCACGCCTCTCTCTTTTACATCATTATACCTTGGTCGTATCGTGACAGCCTAGATTTCTCCTAGGGGGAATATGCCTCTAATAACTTTGCATCTCGGATCCAACAATCCCTCTTGTTTTTGTCTCTTGTGCCAAGCTTGGAGCTTGCTGCATTCCTTCGGGGCCGAAGCCTCTTCACAGCTGGACTTGTATTAATAGTCAATACCCTTGCATTTGCAGCTGCGTCCGCAGATGTCATCATAATAGTAGAGAATATTATTACTTCGAGGGAGCTTGCCGCCACTAATTCATAGTTTCCAGGAACCATATAATTGTACTGTGTGGAGCACGGCTGAGGCCGCCACCGACTGGTATGATTTTGTTATTAGTGTATTGACGGATCTGCGAATATTAGGACTACAAAAGAAGCACAGGCTCGTGTTCCCCTTGCTGGCGATGAAAGGAAGAGAAGATCCCAATCGAATATGAGAAGCAGCACATGCAGCTCCTACTTGTAGAACCGAGGTGGGTAGGCGCGTAGAGCGCCAAAGGTTTCTCAACAAATGTTATGAGAGAATATTACATATTACTTCGTACCTTATAACTACTTCGTACAAGTAAGTCCTTGGATATGTCGACATGTCAAGAATAAGGACTGTGGAGGTGGGCTGCTCACGGACCCCAAGTTCACCAATCCGCTTCACAGGGCCCAAGAAGCTTAGGCATTTCCCCCAGGAGTTTGTGCACGTCGCCACTTGACAGGAGGGCATCGATAGTGACGATACGGTGATCTCTATCGGTACTGGAGGGTTAATGTCCGGGCCAGCCGCCTCGCAAGGGGATGACAAAGTCCCGGGACGAGTGCAACAATGCCCCAAGCTACTTGTACTTGTCGATAATTCTTGGACACTCCATCAAGAGAGGGGAAAAAAAGAAGAAGAAAAATCAAAATCGAAGACACCATGATGAAATATTGCTCCGAAACGTGCACTATTCAAACATGAAAGCTTGGAGACCCTTTCATTGAGAGGGAGCGGTTTTGTGGCGGGTAGACCAAGCTCAAAAGGGAAAGGGCTGTAAAATACTCCTGGGGCAAGGGGGTTGAGGGTCCATTCCTGCTCCCCGAGAGTGGCTATCTTGTCTTTTCCAGCGGGGAGGTGATCACAATTGGGTGGCATCAGTGCGACACTGGAGCTTTGAACGAACCGAAAGTTTGGTACTGTAATCTTCCAACGATGGAATGGAGCGGGAAACCTGTGATCTTTGAGGAATGTGCACGTTGCACGGCGTGCTCGTCTCTCAGGCCCATTGTGCCGGGTTTTATCCTGGCATGCCAACCAGAGTCTCCATTTTGGCAATGTTCTCTTCACCATGCACTGCGATTGTCGGCCAAGAAACTCGTATTACCTTGTCAGGTTCTGTTGGGAGTTGGGAGTTCACGGGCCGGCATCTCGCCCTTACCGGGGTTTCGGTGATTTCGGAGGTGATTTGTGGCTTGGTATGGACGTGTGGAAGAAGGAAAACTTGCAGAGCTCCCTACCTCTGTCGTCTCATTGATACAAGAGATCTCCCCGCCCTCTTGTTGTCGATAATCTATCGAATATCAGCGCGCCGGTTGCTCTGAAAAGAACATTGAAGGGGAAAAAAGGAGAAAGAAGGAAGAAGGGGGCAAGTGAGGGGTTGGACGTAAGACATTGTTGCAAATATTGGCGGGCAGAGACGCAGGTGTTTCATCGACCACCCACAACCGGCGGTGCCGGATTCGAGGGGATGGAATATTGCCAGTGTCGACGAACTGCAAGTAATGATCAGGTGCATCGGGGCCCTCCTTCAAGAGCATGTCAATCTCTGGTCCGGGACGAAATTCGTGGCTGCGAGTCAAATGCGTGTGTACCGGCACATAGGACAGGACGGAGACATCTACATCTACTAGTGGAGGGTCGCAGTTGCCCCCGGTTTCCCATCCCGTCCCAACTTTTGCCGCATCGCCCACGCTTGTACATGTGGGAAAGGGAGCCATTTGATCAATTGGAAGAATACAACCTGAACGGTGTTGAGACGGCGCCCAGTCCCTCGCAAAAGAAGAAAGGGACTGTAGCTCTCCCCCAGCAAGACAGCGCCTTTCGGCCTTCGTCTAATAGCCACGCTCCGCATCATGACTGCATGTAAACAGGGCCGATGATAAGACTGTACCCAGCGAGAGATCTCCCCTGTAACGATCTTCTCTCTCGATACTTTTTCCTCCTTCTCCCTTTCCTTTTTCTTTTTCTTTTCCGATCCTGCTACTCCTTGATGTTTCCCACCACATGATCAAGGGAGCAGGTCCGTTTCTGGAGCGTGGCCCAAACCGACGGCTCAGCCCGGTCCAGCTTCGTTTAGACTGCCGTCAAATCTAGGCCGTCCTCCGGTCTGTCCAACCCACACTTTGAACCAGACCCAAATTATCTTCCCTCGCTTCATCTATCTCAAACCCTTCTTCTTTCTCTTCTTCTATCATCTAGCGTCGCCAAAATCAACCTTTCTTTTGTTTCTCGCGTCGCGCACGCGCCTTCTGTACTACGTCGCTCCTTTACACGCTGCCGTTCCTTGCCTTGCCTTGATTCAATCGCAACCTTTTTTTTTTTCTCTTCAACCTCCACTCTCTTCCTTTTCCTTTTTCTCGTTTCTTTTTTTTTCTTTTCTTTACCCCTCCTCTCTCGTTCCCCTTCTACCAAACGGATCCTGAGCCCACTACTGCTCCTTTCTTCCCGTCTGAGCCCTCCCCTCTCCTCTTGTTCCCACTGGTTGGGTTGGGCATGTGCGACTTTCTGCAACGGTCAGCTCTCATAGCCAAACGCCGCTGAAGACTTTGAACTTGGTTGCGACATCTATTACTATTCAAGAAATCTACTTGGTGGGGTTCGGGCTTGGTTATCCACCAACTTTGATATAGCAAATTCCGCAGTCCGTTTACCACTAGCTCACGCTACAAGGCAACAAACTCGATTCATCAAAGCTTCCAACCACCTTTGCTAAGCTTTCTAGCCCGTCGAAAACGTCTAGGAAGACCGAAAGAAACTTCAGATCGTGTGGCCCCGGCCAGTCCCACAGCCTACCCCGTCCTGCATTGCCGTGCTGCGTCGTGCTGCGTCGCACTGCATCACGCTGCATTCGCGCTGCATTGGGCCCCCAACACTAAGCAGAGGTGCTAACAGTCCATCCGCCGAGACCACTTGGGAGCTTGACCAACCCTTCGCATTCCCCACTAGCGTGCGCTGCAAGCTGCACCACAGTCGAACGAAAGGGAATGAAAGACAACCGCGGGCCCTGACAAGCTCATCGAAACCAGCCGCTCTTGCCTCGAACTTTGGCTTCTGCTGGCCTGCCCCTTTCTCCACCTTTGCGGAGCGCCGAAAGGTTGTCTATCAACCTCGTTCTTCTTTCTTTTTCTGCTTCTTTTTTTCCTCTTCTTCTTTTCCAACCACTCAACTTTGCAAGGCAAGACGAGCGTTTCGTTGTCGGGACTTCAGCAAAACCCGGGCTTATGGGCGGTCCTGCTCAACTTGCAGCCTGCACGACAATTCAACCCACAGACTTCGGACAGGACAGGACAAGCCCATCACTGCCGGCACCACCACAACCGGTATCGAATTGACGTTTGAGAGGTACCAAACTTCTTACCAAAATTACCCAAGCTTTATTCCAGACAAGGATCTCATCCTCCAGCAACCAGACCCTCGCCCCAAATGAGATGAGATAGGTGCCGTGTGACAGCATTCTGTTCCTCTGTCGTTGGTGTTTGACCAGCTGAAAAGCGCAGTCACCAGATCATCCACCACCTTCAAGAGTCTCGCCCCCAACGCTATCTTCTTTTGTCCCCGCTCGTCCTTTCCCCTCGACTGAGGGCCAGCATTGACGGGAGGACGTCAAGAACCTCCATCAACGCCTCGTCGATTGCCAGTGCCCTTCTCTAGAACTGACCTCGAGGCTATCTTTTGTGTCAATGACCTCCACTTATTCGGCTGCTGGTAGGCCGGATGGCTATTGCCATTCCTTAACCACGAGCAGCTCCTACGGCAGCCTTAGATCCCAGTCCCAGTCCAACACTGTGCACCAACATCCTGATCTCCAGCACACACCTCCGACACCAAAACCTGATGCCGGCGTTGATATTTTATCATCGAATCCCAACGATTCTATTAACTCTGCCGCTCCCATCAGTGAGTGGGCCGATGCGGTCCTCTCATCTGCTCTTGCAAGCGAATCCGACAGCCAGCCAGGCGGCCTCCTTAGGTGTGTTAACATATTTTCCTCCTTGTTCTCTCTCGATGCATCGCTGTCGTCGCCTTGCAGCCGATTACCCACAATTTTCACCATCGTATTATCATCTCCCACCCCTTTTGCAAGCCTCTGTGTCCACTCAATTTGCTGGGGTTCCCTTCCCCTGTCTTCCATCCCCCAAGCACTTTTTTTCTTTCTTCCCTCCCCGCTGAGAGCAAAGCCCATCCCATGACCCAAGTACTGCGATCCCCTGTATCGTGTTTGTGCTTGGCAGGCCATTCACTGCGAATATCCATACACGATAGCATCGCTGGCGCTAGCTCGGGGGCAAGTGCACTCTCGATCCCGAGACTGCATATGGGTGATATTGCCGAGTAATAGTGTTACTACTCTTTCACTTCATTCTACTCTCCACCCATCGTTTGATGCCGACTGGCAAGTTTCGTTCATGGGCGGCAGAGGATCAAGTTTTCCCATGCTGGTACTCATTGGCCTCGGTCCACCTATCGAATGTTGGAGCTTCCAGTGGGTGCAGGGACCATTGTACTCCAGCCCACTGAGCCACCCCATCCAGCCAATCCCTCGAACTGTCCAAGCAGTCCGATAATGAACGCCTTTGTCAGTTCAATCGAACTTGCAAGTCGATTCAACGGGGTTGGACAATTGGTATTCATCAACTCCCTGCAAGTACTTGTGTTGATTGATTCACCAATCGCCGCGCTTTTCCGGACACAACATTGAACCGCTGCATAATCACTTGAACACCCATTTCGAGATCGCTCTTTCCCGCCTCCCTCAAGGTGGCCTTTATCCGCCCCCTTCCCCCAATTGAGACCGTTGGATGCTACATTTGTACTCCCTCACATGTACACCAACACTGTTCGCTGCCCCGTCATCTACATTTCCGCCTCCTGCACGTCCTGGCTACACCAAGCCCCTGCCGTTTTGCATCCGTAAACAACACCCATCGGTCCACGGTCCATTTCCTGACCCCGAAACTCGCATTTTAGTGAAAATCACACCCAACCCGCTCATTCGATCCCGTCGTCCTCTCTCTCTACGCCCACCTCCAACCCTGCGAATAATCTCTCATCTTCTCCTGCGACCGCCATCTCCAACTCTTCCAAACGCCAGGCTCGCAAGCCATCGCCCGGCCTAGCAGCACGTCTAAAGGCGCTTGGGTTTGGCACTAAGACCTCACCGCCAGCCACGCCGACCACGACCGACGACGCCGCGTCTCTCGGCCCTTTGGACCGCGTCGGCAAGCTTAACCAACAACATATCCGCCAAATCGACGAGTCTCACCAGCAAAATTCGAAAATAACGGTTGTCGAGCGTCGCGGTCGCCCTTGGAAGGGTCTTGGCCTCGGCCTCCTTCTCGACCCGAGTCTCGCCGCTCCGCTCGGTCCCTATCGCGCCCCCGACTTCAGGAGACGAGACAGCGCCTGAATATTCGCGGACTCCCAGCCCTTCCCCAGCGCTCCTGCCGGAGATCAGGGCAGAGCCCCCATAAATATGGATACCAACAAGTATCGGTTACCCGACCACGTCAACGGGAATGGCACAAAGGTCCAACTAGAGACGAGGAGGGAGCACATAGAACGCGATGTACGGCCTCCGTCGCCTAACGATGCCCCCACCTCTTCCGCCAAAAGATAGCCCTCCCTCGACAAGACACATGACGCCCGATACCTTTCTGCACGCCCCCGACCTAGCTGAGCCGCCCTCCGCTCTGGCGCCGGCGCCAGCTCCCACGGTTGAATTTACCCCCGACCTCGCTAGCTATTTCACCCCGGGCCACCATCGCCCGGGCTCCATATACACCCTCTCTCGCCTGTCCTTTGCCAACCAGTTGGCTCAACTAACCGCCCTCCAATTACCGGATGCGGAATCCCTATCGAGTCGAGTCTCCGCGATTCCGACCGCCCAATCCGCCACCACAGCCCTCATCAATGCCGCCGAGCAAATAAGGAGCTGGATTGCCAAAGCCTCCGAGGTTATCAATGGCCTCGACAGTGATGACGACGTGGAGTGGGCGGCTGCCGGTGGACGCGAAGGCCTCGCCGAGGTGGAAAAGGCCATCTTGCGCTTCGAGGAGCTGATCAACGTCTACGTGTCCGCCATCGAGGAACTACAAAACCGCCCCGATATCGCCTACGTCTCGCCCGACGATCTAAATCGCGCCGTCATTCAGATGGAATCCATCATGAATGAGTGGGCCGCTATCCGCACCTCTCTCCACACGGTCAAGGAGCAGGTGGAAATTGCCATGGAATGGGAGGAGCTCTGGAACTACGTGCTCGGCGATATCCAGGACGAGATGGACGAACTTTCCCGTCTCGTGTTTGAGATGGAGGAGCGCCGCCACAAGTCTTTGATGGCGTCTGCAAGCAGTGATGGTGTTGATTTTGGTGATTTGGAAACGATTGTGGAGGAGACACCGCCGACAAAGAAGGCGGCCGCTCAGAATCGCTTCAGCCTCCCCGCTTTTCCTCTCAGTCCCAACTCTCCGAGCGGTGCCGCCATGTCTTTGGATGACTCCAGCCTTCTCGCTCTGTTTGCTAGGATGCAGCCGTTGCGTGCCTCGCTGGACTTCCTACCCATGCGGCTTTCCGTTTTCCAGAACAGGGCCGATAGGTCCTTCCCCACTGCCTGTGAGGAACTCGAAATGCGGCGGACGGGCCTTGATGGCAGTTATAGGAAGCTCGAGAAGGACGCCGAATCCCTAAGAAAGGAGCTGGGTGAAGATCGCTGGGTGCTCGTCTTCCGAGGTGCGGGGCGCAAGGCCTACAAGATGTACGAATCCGTGGAGCGCTCCGTCTTTAAAGTGAGAGAGGCCGTCGAGGGTGGCCTCAACTTGACGAACCCAGCCTTGATGACCCAAAAGATTGAGAGCTACGAGGCCAAGAAGACGCATTACGGTCCCGCAATCGAACGCGTGTTGCTCATCATTGACAACGGCGTCAAGGACCGCCTCACTGTGAACGGCGAAATTCTCCGTTTACATCAAGAAATTCAGTCTAAATGGGATGGTCTCAAGGATCAGATGCGGGAGATGGACGTGGTGGTGGACGAGATTCAGTCCGGAAAGCGAGGGGGTCAACAGCTGCGTGATAGCATCTCCAGCATGCTTTCAAACGACCGGTCAACCATCGCAAGTGGCATGGAGACTCCCGGGAGCTCCCTCCATCGTCCGTTATAATGACGGCTCTCGGGTTGGACCCCTCGACCCCGTCCGCCAAGATCGCCAAGCACCGCTCTCCGTCCGCCATGGCAAGGCGCCGTCACTCCTCGCTGCCGACTCCTGCCCAAGGTCCCAAAGGCCAGCCTCGCCCGCCTTTCCGCTCTCGCTACGCCCTCTCACGTCACCACCCCTCCGCCTCCTCGGCCTGCTCGACCTGCGTCCACACTTGGCACCAGGCCGCCCTGGAACATCTCGTCAAATACATCCTCGGTCGATACCGGGCACAACTTCAAGCCCCTCAGCCTCACCACCCCCAGCCCATATGCCAAGACCACGCCAACCGCCGTGAGGTCCATCTCCTCCCTTACCCCGACATCCCTGTCCAAACTCCAAACTCTGCGAACCCCTATGGGCCGCTCCATGTCGGAGTCTCCCATGCCGCAGGAGACGCCTACGCGTGCCCTCCCTTCAAAGCTCTCCTTCCGCGAGCGCCTCACCTCGCCAGGCCCTTACTCTCAGCAGGCAATTGCTAAGACGCGCTTGATAAACCAAACGTCAGCTTCCTCTACCGAGTCCCGTCGAGCTTCTCTGCAGCCGCAACGACCCGTCGAGCAGACCCGCCCCGCCAGGCCTGCAAGCTCCTCGCCACAACCTCCTCTCGGAGGACAAGCTTGCTTCCCCAGCCCACTCTGAGAGAAGCGAGGAGCGTATCTGGCCGCAGCAGCCCCAAGCGCTAGCAGGTGCGCGGGCAGCCATGCAACGATCCACGTCTGAGATGAAGCCAAAAGATAACAAACCTCGATGGCGGTATTAAGGCGAGGTTTCTCCTCTTTCTCTCTTCCTCTTCTTATACACCTTATTTTGTTTTCCCTACTACGACCAGGTTCGTAACCAACAATTCCACGAAATTTACGGCAGGCATTTCTATGATTCCACCATTGTTTCTTCTTCTTTTTTTCACCTTCTTCACTACGGGTTTTGGGTTTACTAGTCGGAGTACAGCGGACTTTCCTGCAATCAGGGTGTATAGGTCCTTATCTCTCTCTCTCTCCTTTTCTTCCTCTCTTCTCTTCTATCGTGCCGCCTTACGTGTCATACTACCAAGTCGTACCGAGTAGGCGCAATCCCTCAGCTAGACTTGTTTTGTTTCAAGGCACATTATCAATATCTCTTTTTCGCTCCCGTTTACCCATATTTGGTGCCGGCTCGGATGGCCTCAACACCTACTCAACATCTTGATGTACTTATTAGATCGGTATACCATTACCATATACCCTTGTTTCTCTTGTTCGTTATTGAATCTGCTTCTTAGCCCTTGTCCCCTCTTGCGACTCCCAGATGGTCGGGTCTTGGCCGAATCTGCGCAAAGCTCGAAGGAATATCCATGTCAAATCAAGCGAATAAAAGCCACTTTTTTTTCCTCCCCGATAAGATACAATACGAGCCATGGGACCTCGTTCTTCGCTCTCTCTGATACTCCTTCCTGTGACCAACAGCGCGAAACACCCCCTCTCCACCGCCCATCTCAAGATAGGGTAAACGTGAATATTCAAGAAAGGAAAAGGTGATTCATTGCCATTAATAAACTCCCACAATGCTAAAAAGTATAAGTCGTTATGAAAATGCCAACGTGCGTGCGAATGCCAGGTATAGAATGCAAGACCCTTTTTGTTGCTCCCCCAGAGCCCCTTTCCCGCCCCGTGCAAAGGAGAGATGACCCTTTTGACTCCTTCATTCATTGTCCATGACAGCCAGTCTCTCTCTGGGCGCATGGAACTCCTCCCAGGCGCGCCGAGCGTACAGGCACAAGGACAAAGACATTATATGAAAAAGAAAAAAAGAAGAAGAAAAAAGAAGAAGACGAGGTGGGAAGAGAACAAAATGGCTTTGTTCCGTCCCGCCCGATGCCCCAACACCGATGCCTCTACCAATATTAGTATGAGCACGCGTTAGCCCGAGTGCCGTTGTCTCAAACCCATTTATAGCGGCATGAGCCCAATGGCAGACCCGCCTTGGCCTCCGCCAGATCCCCTGCTACCTCCCCGACCGCCGCGAGCGCCCTTTCCACTCCCAGAAAAGCCAGACCTCGACGAGGGGCCACCCCCGAGGCCTTGCGTCTGGATGTGCCGCTGGATCGCCTACCGCTGCCCCCTCGGCTTTTCCAACCCCCGCGGGCCGCCCTCCGCCCTCCAGAGGGTCGAGCGTCTTGGCCGGTTCCCAAAGGCTGGGCTGCCGGGGCGGGTGCCGATTGGCTTGCCTGTTGGAGGCGCTGATGCCACTGGGCAATGGCTGACGGGTCCGCGTTGGCCTGAGCACGTCCCGCGACGGGAGCCGTGAAGAATCTAGATTGCCGCTCATTCGAGGGGTCGGCTTCCATATCCATCGCGTCAGAATCGTCTTCGTCGCAGCTGACCAGGTCGACGATTTCGTGGTCCTCGCCAGCCAGTACATTTTCCATGCTGTCATCCCCACCCATGGCGCCCATCATTGTCGTGTACTCCCCGTAGAAATCGCGAATGAGCCTGAGGAACTTCTCGCCATACGTGTTGACGCGGCCTTGATCGATGCCATTGATGCGCTTCATCTCATCTAATGTAATGGTCCAATGTATCGCCATCTGCTGGAAATCCTTCTCGCCGAAAAGGGGCCTGCGTAGGCCGTTATTATTTCGTATCTCTTCCTCGCGATCCTTGGCGACAGAGACGAAGTTCCGGACCACCTCTTGGTGGATTTCAGGCAATGAGTTAAGGGATGTGTGGTCAAGGGGTGGCGCATCGGCACAGAGGCCCGTATTGGACTTGCGCTTCTTGGACAACGGCTCGAAATAGTCATCGTCATCAGAATCGACCACAAAATCGTCTCTCTGGTAACCATTCCGCGTGGTCGGCACTCCGTCCCTTTCTTCGTCCTGTCGGGATGAGGATGCCTTGGCCTTCTTCTTCCTCGACGCAGGTGCCACGGGAGAGGAAACGTCGGTCGAGTTAGCGAGCCTCGATGCCTCGCCCTTCTTCGCCCGCTTCTTCGGCTTAGCAGGAGGGGCTCCTTACTCCCCTACCCACTTGCACCGCAAGCAAAAGGCGGCGGCTACCGGTACGGAAGCTCTCTGCTCGGGGCCCAATCTAGAATGGCATACCGTTAGCGATCTACTTGTAGCGAATCAAAGGCAGAAGAAATGGGGGATGGGAACGGGAAAAAAGAATAAAGGCTCACCCTAAGATACTGAATGGCGAAGCCGGCTTTTGTTGATCAGATTCTCCTCGGTAAGGGCGCCTTCAACGCTGAGCCGGTCAATGATGCGTTCGATCTCATACTTCTTCAAGTGGGTGGCGGCGCCATGGCACTGGGGTGGTGGTGGGCGATCCTGTTGTCCATCGTCGTCATGGTGCTCGTCCTCGTCGTACCTGAGTTTCCGCTTTCCTAGGAGGATCTCGGCGCACTGATTCATAGTCAGTTTGCTATCGTGCTTGACGGCCTCTAACACAGCTTGCGCGATGTCGGTAAAGTCCCTCTGCTCAGAAACGGCGCCTGTCCGACAATTGTCGCAAGTCTTCCTGCACTCTGCCCGATCAAAAACTTCTCCAAAATACCTCAGTACCTCAACGCGACGGCAGTCAGATGGGTTGTCGCAAAAGGCGACCATGCGATTCAGCATCCCTTTTGCCTTTCCTTTTGGTCCCAGCCGCCCTCTCCGTCCATGATGAGCTTGCGCAGTACGCGGGCATCAGCGTGACTGAAGTACAGGTAGCAATCGGAGGGCTTGCCATCTCTTCCTGCTCTGCCCGTTTCCTGGTAGTAGCCCTCCAGACTCTTGGGGAGGCCGTGATGAATGACGAAGCGCACGTCTGGTTTGTCGATACCCATGCCAAAGGCAATCGTGGCCACAACAACACGGATACTATCCCGCTGCCATTGTCGCTGCGTGGCAGCCTTCTCCGCCGCTGGCACTGACGCGTGGTAATGGGCGGCCTGGACCCCAAAGCCACGGAGTTTCATGGCGACATCCTCGGCGTTTTTCCGAGAAATGGTATATACGATACCGCACTGATTGGGGTATTTGGTCTGTATCAGATCGGCGATGCTCTCCAGCGCGCTGGCGTTCCCCGTCTTTAACCGTACTTCATAATATAGATTTGGCCGGTTGAAGCTCTGGGTAAAGACCTGGGAATTCGACATGCCTAGATTATGCATCACGTCCATGATGACATTCTCCGTCGCCGTCGCCGTCAAGGCCATCACAGGCACACCGCGGAACTGTCTTCGCACGACGCCCAGCTCCTTGTAGTCAGGTCGAAAATCGTGACCCCATTGACTGACGCAATGGGCCTCATCAATAACGATGCGGGCCAGCTTTCCCTTGGAATACAGGCTCTCCATCCCATCCAAGAACCGTCTGTTCCTGTTGACCATCTCCGGGGTTACGTAGAGTAGCTCGATATAGTTCTCTGGGTTCTTCTCCCGGAACATCTTCATCACCATGTCTTTGTATTCCTTGGAAGCTTCACCGTTGTATGCGACCGCGTGGATGTGTAGCGACTTGAGATGATCAACTTGATCCTGCATCAAACTAATCAATGGCGAAACAACCACGGTGATGCCTCTCGTTCGTCCACTCTTGACTACAGCTGGAAGCTGATAGCAAAGGGATTTGCCGCCTCCGGTCGGCATGAGTATGAAGGCGTCGTCACCGGCTAGCGTCGCATTGATAGCCTCTAACTGATTATGACGGAAAGTCTCCATCCTAAACCGATCCTTGAGCATCTGTTTCACCTCTGGCGACCACGGGAACTTCATTTGCTCAGCCGGAAACGACGTTTTCGTTGCGTTGGAGGCAAGTCTTTTTCCGGAATCACGACTCTTGTGAGCGCTTTCATATTCCCAGACGTCTCATTTAGCGGTTTCCGCTGTGCTGGTTGGGGAGCCTGGCAGGTATCGACAAGCGCAAGAAGTTCGGGATCGTCGTCGCTGAGGAAATCCATATCGTCGGCCGGTAATCTCTCCGCAGCAAATGGAGGTGGCCGAGGACCGGCCAGGGCAAAAGGGCGTTGCTGGACAGGCGACTCGTCTATATCACTAAACATACCCTCGAACTCGTCGGGGTGAACGGCGGGGACCGCTTCTCGTGGAGGAGGGCGTTGGTGGTATTGTGGTACTTGCGGCGGGAGTTGGGTTTGGTGAACGACGTCTGACGATGGGATCTCGGGAGGTACTGCTTCCGCGGACTGCGCGGGCCCGAAACACCCGGCGGCACAGTGGCGGGAATAGCAGTAATGGGCTTCGGCGGCGCGGACCTTAGCTGGGCGAGTAAAGAGGATCTTCGGAGGCCGCATTAGCCAAGGCCTCGTTGAATCGGGTTTCCATCTCTTTGAGATCATCGCCAATCTGATCGAGCTTGTTTTCGTCTTCATCCGTCGGTAGCCCATCTCTGTATGATCGTGATATATGTTGCAATAATTCCTCTTTTGTTTGAACGCAAGCATGATGCTCGTTAATTCTTCGAAGGAGCCCTCGCATAGTATTTTGTCGGGGTAGCAGCTGGTCCTTTTCCAGCTTTATCTGAACCCTCTTTTCTCTAGGCCAAGAGTCTCGCAACGACCTTTCAAACATTTGCCGGTTCTCATCTATCTTCTCCTGCAGAATATCGAAATGATGTTGCAACGGCCAGGAGTCATGTATGAGGTTAGACAACCCACTCAGGTCAACTGAGTTCGCAAGAGACGTGCTATCCGCAGAAACATCGTTACCGCCCAAGTTGGTGGTGTCGGTGGGCCGAGCCACCCCCTTCCCTTTCGGTTCTACCTCAGAACGCTTCGGTGCTATGGGTGAAGTTTGGGGCACTACTGTCGCCATATCAACGTCAAAAGTGCAAGGTATCGTCCCAAACACGCCGGGTGGCGCCGGCTCCAAACCGCCGCTCGGAGGCGTTAGAAACTCGTCTTCCGAGTCTTCGATGATGGAAGTCCGGCGAGTCACAGGTTTCGGCGTCTGGGCCAAGGCACGTTGGATGACATCCGAGCCTAATACATTTGGCTGCAATACCACAGGCGGCAATTTTTGGGCGATTTCGGGGTGCTCGGGCGACCATTAGTTTGAGGGGCCGCTCGGCCACTGCCGCTTCCCGCCAGCTGTTGATCCAGACTTTTAAAAGGAGAGGGTGACCTGGTGACACGTGTAGTGCGGATGGGGGAGGGTGACTTAGCGACACGTGGAGGGCGGATGGGGGAGGGTGACCTCACAACGGAGGCCGGAATGGTCTTGATGGCGGTGGGGCTCACGGGGCGTCCCTGGAACGCAGTCCGGGGAGCCAGCACGGCGGGGGACAGGAGCCTAGAGGTAGTCGGTGGCGCTATAGGCGTGCTGACGAGATCGTGGAGGTCCGGGAAATCGTCATCATCATCGCTGATTGACGCCTTGCTGATCTCGTTGCTCCTTCGCTTCTTGCCTCTAGCCGCCGGCTCAGGGCGTACAGCAAAATCTTCCTCCAAAGTCGAACATTTGTTCCAAACTGCACCGAGTCTGAAGATATGCCGGCCTCGTCGGCGGTAATCTCTATCAAGTCAGAATCGGAGTCGGTGTCGATGGGCGGAAGATCGGGGGTAGGGAGACGGGCAGGCATGCGATCTCGGGCCTTCTTTGCCAGCGAGGACTGGCTCGTCTGTGATGAGTTGCTCGAGGAGCCAGCTGGTGGCATGTCAGTATACAGAAGACGGGCGGGTATAGTTTTGGGAGGGACCAACCCGTCTTGATCGATTGGCTATACGCCTGCTCAAAACGACCGGCCGCAGTGGTGGATACGGGGGTGGGGAGTTGGTGAGGTTGGTTGGCCACAAGGCTGCGTTTTTGGGCTTTTGGAGTTCTAGGAGACGCGCCATTTCGGCCTGTTCGTCGGACGAGCTCGGTTTGAATCTGGACACGTCGTGAACATCGGAACCGCGGGGCACGCTCGGGGGACGGTTCTCGGAGGGTCGATTCGACGGGCAAGTGACGAGGCCGGTTCTCCGGAGAGTTTCGCTCCCGGGGGTGTAGGCTCCAGCAGCTTCAGGCCCTCGTGTAGCTCTTCCGGTCTCGTGGTGTCAATATTTGCTTGGGCCGGCGCAGCTACTGCAGCGTTGTTCAATAACCATCGAAGCTGTTCATCCAGGTTATTGCGTGTCATTAAGACGGCAGGAACCGAGTTCCACGGAAGAATGCCAAAGCATTGAGTTCGTAGTTGGCCAAAAGAAACAAAATAGTCGGCCTTCGCGTCGGGGCAATTCGTTCCGGCTTAGAGGGGTAACGGCGCTCCGTACCTGGCGCGTTGGGGCGGCGTTTATTCGTTCACGGATGCTGTGATTCTCGAAGCAAGTTCTTGCCTTGACAAATCGCGTCTTGCAGCGCTGCGGTCGAGGCAGGCACACGTCTCAACGCGTTAGTCATCTGAACGAAATCACGTGGTATTAATTAATGTTGGCGCGGGCGCTCGTGGCCCAGGCTCCAGGCTAGATTGAGCTGACAGCGGGGTTACGCTGGTGTTATTATTGTCAACATGGAGCGCCCCTCCGCGTCTTCCTCTTCATTGATCAATCCATTGGATCCAACATCAATAGAGATATCTACCATTATTACCCAACATATCAAAGCTAGATCACCACTGATAGAGGGTTAGCCTGCACAACCTTTACTCGGTCTCCTAAGTAGTGAGAGGACGGCCAAACACGCCAGTACCCCACACACAGTGATCTTCTTGATAATGTAGGCAATCCAATGGATGTAACAAGTCATAGATGGCGCCCAGAGCCATGATCGGATGCATGGATTTCGTGCGACGCCAGGGATTTACGGCGCACAAGATCCCGATCAGCAAACCGGCCTTCGCGTGCCCCCTCCCAGTCTCCCATCACTACTCGCTCATGCACCCGTGAATTCGCATCGCCCCAAACTACTTCCTCGTACGAGAGTGGCTTACACCGTTCAATATCGAAAAGCCTGATGGCATCATGAGTATCTACTCGCCCGGCCACTCTTGTGCTCCGCATCACATCCGCCTATGAGCAACCTTGACTTTATGCAAGGGGCGCGAGGATCATAGACCGGCGCCAAGCTCTCATCGAATCCCCGCGGGCTATGTCCTGCGCAAAAGCACCCCGACCTTGGCAAAGCTCGCGCCCACCCCACTACAAAGGCGAGTTTATCGTCCCCAACCAAGCAGCTACGACTCAGGGCGACAACTCCCTCCGCCCTCGTGCAACACTCCTCCCTCATCAATATGAAAACTTCAACCTAGATAAAACGAATAGCAATTGAATAAAATCATAAAAGAATGAGAGTAAAGAGGCTCGAAACCACCGTGTAAGCGCCAGGGCCAAGCAAGGTTTCCGACCGGCAAAATACGGTTATCGGAGTACGAAGCGGCTCAAAGACAACCTCCGAAACCGCGTGGGTGTCTCCGATGGATGATCGGCCAATTCATCCGACCATTTGAGTTACCAGGCACGAAGCGGGTTGCGGTATCATGTTTGCCTGCAGTAGAGTACTACATGCTACGGGTAGGTAGTGGACAGTGGGCAGTCGTCGCACGACATCAACGAAGGTCACTTACACCCATTCCTTCAGCCAACGCCCACATACAGGAGAAAACAGAGGCCCCCAAAAACCCCAATTACCGGCGCAAGTCACCAGCACCAGGCACTCAATCCCACATTGATCAATTCGTCAAGCACATGAATAAATCAGGTCACCAAGTCATGGAGAAGCAATCAAGTAAGTGTAAAAGAAGAATCCCTTGATATTCAACATCTATCCGATCTTGACCACCAGGGTATTATGATGACCCTGAAAAAGGGGTATTAATATGTGAACACCTTTTCCCGAAGTACCTGAATTAAATGACCCGTCCCATGCCCGGTAGTATATCCCTTAACCGCACGAGGCTCGCTCGGTTAGCGTATTAGCGTCAAACACCCGAGATGACTCGGGATATTAGGCACCTAATTCCCCAGGTTTCAAAGACCAAAGGACTAGACCCCGAGCGCAGGAAGTCCATCCGCCTCGAAATCCAGACATGGTTTAAAACCAGGCAACCAGGTCCGTCGTCAGATCCGCTCGTACAGAGACCTGCACCAAGTAGCCGTTAGACCACTTAGAGGCCGAAAGCAGCGATGGCAAGGCCACCGAGGATGGCAACAGCACCGGCAGCGGAGCGGGTAGCACCGCTCTCGGGGACGACGCTCTCGGTGGGGACAGCAGTGGGCTTGCTCTCGTCCTCAACGGAGGTGGTGGTGACGATGGTGGTCTTAGGGGAGCGGCAGTGGTGGTAGAGTTGCCAGAGTTGGTAGGAGCGGCGGACTTGGAGGTGCTCGTCTTAGTACCGGAGGATAGGGGTCTCGGTGGAGTTTCCGCCGGAGCCGCCCTCGCTTCCAATGTGGAAGGGGAAAGAGTACTGGAAGACAGTCTCGTCCGAGTCGAGCTGGATCCTCAGACCGTAGATAGCATCGTCACCGAGGGTGGCGGGAACATTCCACTTGAAAGTACCAGCGGAGTTGACGACGCCAGCTAAACGGCATATTAGCAACGAGCACATCGGGAATAAGGCGGCCGGAACAAAGACTTACCAGCAACGGGCTCAGGGTCGGGGATGAGGGTCTTCTGAGAAGAGCCACCAAGGAGGATGATGCTGATAGTCTCGGCATCGTACTCGGCGGGGAAGGCTCCCAGACGATGGTGTAGGGCTTGCCGGGCTCGACGACCTCGAAGTTGCCAGGGGCGGAGATGACGTCGAAGTTGGCGACCTGGGCAACGACGGTGGAAACGAAGGCCATGAGGGCCGCGGCGCTGATGGTGAACTGCATCGTGATGGTGGTGTTTGTTGGGGAAAAGGCGACGCTGGCTGTTTGGAAAAGAGGAGCTCGAGTTGAATAACGAGTGACGAAGCGAAAAGGCTTGATGCGTTGAAGATGTTTGGAAAGGAGCGACGAATTGGCGAGGCCAAGTGAGTGGGCAAAAGAATGACTTTAAATGAGTGACAGGCTGAATGCAGCTTTGGGCAAGGAGTGACGGGAAGGGGAAGGAGAAAAAGGGAGAAAGAGGAATTCGGGCGAGGGCGTCGAGGAGAAAGGAGACAGGAGATGACGGGAAAAGGGTGTGCTGCCAGTCGCGTGGGAAGTGAATGTCAGTGTACTCGGTACCTGACCAAAAAAACAAGCAATTGGTGTGGGCGGCGGAGCGCCAGGAGAACCGGTTCAGGTCATTGGTTAGCGCATTTGATCCACTCGTGAGCAGGGGAGTGTGGAGACGAGACAAAGTATCGAGTACCGCGTGCTGCCACCGCGCATAGGCGACGGGACCAAGAGGACCCTCCAGAAACCATAGGTCTCCGAGGGCTGTCTCTCTCCCAGGCGCTCGTACCAGTACTTGGACGACTGTAGGTCTGACTCCTTCCAAGGCGGCAACGTCTCGAAGATGTAACCATGCTCCTGATGGAGGGCGCCTTGGTTGGGGCATGGATCGGGGCATGGATCAGTAAATTACCACAGTTTGGGAGTTAGCCATCTATCCCGCAGAGGCGATGTCAAGGTACAGAGGCCGCAGGGCTGAGCAAACAAGTTGGGCAAGTTCTGCTTCAGGGACTGTCACAGACAGAAAGAGCTAGCTGGATTGGCGACATGCCGAATACCCACGACGCCAACCAACCAACTGAACCTCATCAACGGATAGACCGAGGTGTTATTACTGTATCGCCAGCTCAGCCCACCTCAAAACCATGCTGAGAGTGCGTTACAGAGAGAGTGTGTGTCTGAGAGAGTGTGAGGGCGAGCTGTTGACTGCTTTAGAGATGAATGCGCGATCGCAGCCACCCGGACCCTCCTACATCGGGGAGCAAGCGTCCTCAGAGCACCCCGGAAAGGGGTTTTTTCTTTTCTTTTTTTTTTCCCCCTTCAAGCAAATATTCGTACGGGGAGGATTTGATCAAGGGATGGGATGGGAGAATTTGGCAGGAAGGAATACTGGGCTACGTTTCGTCTGGCAAAATTTAAGCAATTCTCGGAGAAGTGGCCAATGACATTCTCGTTACACACGTAAATTGACCATGTCCCAGAAACGACGACCCGTGCAGGGGTAGACAGGAGACCGCAGCCACCACTTTGTTCCGAGAATGTCATCGCAATGCCAAAGTATCGCGCAAGAGGGCGGTGCGGTGCCATCAGCACTTTTTCAACACCGAAGGCTGAAGGTGAGTTGTCCGCGTCGTCCACCACCCAGAGTCTGCCTCTCTCACACACTCCTTCTCTCCCACTCTCCTGCAGCGCGGAGTTCGGCCAATTATAAGTGGACCAGGAACTCGTTTCCATCGCGGTCTGGAGGGTTGTCAGCAACATGTTACCATAAGCCGAATAGGCTGCGCATTCAGCAAGACCCGTTTGAGGCCAAGCCAGAAAGGCCTAGCCGGAAAGAATCGATGCTCTTAGACCAAGGGATCCCTTAGACCAATGGCTTCAGCGGTCGTCGTCAGCAGCCCGATGGACATTGGCGGCTTAGTGCACTGGGAACCGGAGCTGAATATCAGCGTGGGCCGGGAAAAACGCGCCTCATCGATATTCTTTGTTGGCAAACCCAGACCCTTTTGAGGCCTATCCCTCGATTCAAGGCTTCGCCTCCTCACTCGAACGGGCAACCATCCATAATACGCTCTCTCTCTCTTTCCTTCTTCCCTCTTTTCCTCCTGACAAAAGGCGGTGTCTCAATCCCATCTCTGGCGCCTGAGCATTCCACTCGCCAATGTCAGCGACAGACTATCGATTCAAGGGGCAACAAGTCCAAAACAGTGGCAGTGGGGGCGGGTCACGGCAAAGTGACAGTGTGTTGATAATAATAGTTTCATAAATCATTTGGACATATTGGGTTGTTGGTCTATTCGCGCTCCATGCTCTTTTTCTTTTTTCCCCCTCGAAGGCGTCGTCCTTTTCTGTGCCTTTCGCAAAGTTGAAATTGTCGCAATTTCCCGTTTGGCTCCACGGGAAAAGGGTCCCTGGAACCGGCGCTGCGCCTCCCGCAGAAGTTGAGAAGGGACTTTAAAAATCAACGGAAGGATCCATGCATCCATTCCATTGCATTTCAATCTTCCCCTCTCTTCTCTCCACTCACGCGGTCCCGCAAGTAGCCTGACGAATCCGTTTGAGGGGGTTGCACCACTTTTGGCCGTGCTTGAATCTCTCCGATTAGGCCGATGGTGAAGAAGTGGTTATGTACGAAGTACTTCGTAGCTGTATTACACTCATCCTCGATGGAGCGGAGGGAGGACGAAGGAACCTGGAGGGCAGGGGAGTGGAGAATCTGTGTTGGTTCCTGGATCGAGAGTGGGTTTTTGAGGGGGCGCCCCCATTTCCATGCTCTATCTCACGGTCTCGCGGCGCGGCATGCCGGTTGACTCGCGCATCTGCCAATCCTACAAAGTTCTGACCTCTGCTTGACAAGCTCTCGCTCTCTTGTACAAAAACGGATGACCACAATGTCCTGGGTCCAAAGAATCCTTGGGGGTGTTTTTCTTCCAAGAGAATGGGATTGATCGATTATTAGATCAATCTCGTCGGGTGCCCGCAGGCCCGTTCCTTCATTCCAGGCCCATGCACACAAAAACCACCTCCAATCAACCAGCTGAGCCATTTGTATGGTGCGGTACAACCTGAAGTACATGTACCTTCAATAGCCAGGTACAAGTCTTAGTAGCGGCTTCCCTTGCTTCCCTCCTGGGCCACGGCAGACCAAGTTGCCCATTTCAGACAAGGCGGGCCAGTGCCCCAGGTCCAAGGCTCCCAAAACAGCAACATTCGAGAGCCCAGAAGCCCTATGCAAGACGAAGCAGGCGCCTTGGTTTCGCCAAGCTTTCCAAGACCATCCACTTCAGACGAATTGGTTCAACAACGATAAATCGGTGTAACCTCTATATTTGCAAAAATACAAGTAGCAATGGTAATAGTGTCCGAATCATTGAAATTGAACCCTTGGTCGCTTAGCTGACCATCCACCCATGCCATCGGAGCGTCAACAACCCTTCTCCAGCCCCAGGGGCGGTGTCTTTCGAGTGAGTGTCAAAGCATCATTGATCTGTGTAGATGTAAGCATTGATGCCGATGTGGCTGGGTTGGTGCTGATGCCCAGAGGGTTACAATGGGAGAATGGTGAGCAACGGTGGATTTGTTTTTCGGAACAAACACCCAATCGCCCTCTCTCAACAGCCACTTTGTGCCTCCTCAGCGGGCGATTGAGGGTTCTGAGAACAATTCATGCTCACCCACATCAATCACTGATGCGCAGCACTCGTAAATCCTAAACCGAGCCACACACTGACACAGGGTCGTGGGGTTTCCCTGTCCATTTTCCAGCACCAGCCACCCTTCCTACCCACCATCAAGAAGTGACTGCACATCAGAGACACAAAGTTGAGGGGGAGAGGTTCAGATCGCGTCACGAGCCTGCCCTTCATCGGTCCTCGAGCCTTTTCGGCCGTCGTTTCGGTGCCGGAGACACACACGTCACCCCGCGACAATGGCTGAGCACCCATCCAAAAGTAAGCACCAGCGTCTTCGGCCCGCAGCCAAGCAGAGCCAACGCCATCGAACCTTTACGATGATGATGACAATGAACTCTGCCACTTTTTTGGTCGCTTTTTGTTCCTGCGCCCCGCCGTTCGACTGCAAAACCAACGTTCCATCTTGCAATCACTTGGGGGTTGATTGAGGGGCAATAGTAGATCATCTATTGCTTCAAGACTTGAGTCACTGTTTCTCTTGCCCCAATCCATCTCACACCCATATGTCTTGGACTCTCACGTTGTTGACTCTCCCTCGTTATCCATCAAACTAGAATCAAAACGTCACTAGTGTCAGTCTATGTGTTCTCCCGACCCAATGCACTCGCGCCATCTCGAGCGTAGTCCCAAGTCCTCAACTCCACAGTCAACTTCATGTTTGGTCGATCGATATGTTAGTTAATTGTCCTCTAGTCTGATGTGCCCACCTCCTTGAGATTATGGCCTGGCGCCATATGGGCAGAAGCTTGCCGCCAGTTGGCAGGCGCCGCGATAGCGCCGGTACCAACATTGATCAATCAATTGATGAGCCAAGGGGAGCAATCAATGCCGTCATTCCAACAACTCGTGGTTGGTGTTTGCAACATCATTTTCCTAATAAAGGAAACCTTGCATGATCTTCAGATGAACTATTTTTTTCTTTTCCACCTCCGAAGCTCTGAAGTGGCAGGCGCTGGTAACAATATAGAGCACAGCCGGAGCTTGACTAAGGCGCCCAAGAGAGATCAAGAGAGATGCCGGCTTTGACCGGCGGGGTTGCCAAAACGGCCCGGTCAAGAACGATTCATGATAATACTTGTAAATGCATGATCAGCGGAGATTGATGACATCGAGGTTTGCTAACACCACAAATCATTTGCCCCTCTTCTCCTTGCTAGACGTAAACTTGCACCACCTTACATATCCACAGATGCACAACGAGCGCTATCTCTCTATCCCCATCCCTTCCACTAGTGTAGTTTCCCATAATCAAATTTCGTAGAGTGGAGGACCTTTTTTCCAAATCCCTCGCGCTTGCCCGATTGATCCATTCTATCAGCGGCCCTCCAATCTTCCCACGAAGCCAAGATAGCCCACCACAAACTAAATCCTCCGAGCGGACACAAGAGCCGCCACTCCCGAACAAGCGCCCACGCCGCGTCCTCCCACGGATCCGCATCGAATTTCCTTCCCCCTCCTCTCGCCCACCAGCCTTCCGCAAGCTAGAGCGCATACGCGGCCCTTTCCCTCCTGACTGACGTTTCTTGGCCCCTTGTCTTGTGAGAACTTGAATCGCCTTCAGCCCATTTCCCCTTCGTATCTTTTTGGTCCGAGACACGGATAATCCGTGCCTACGTCATCAGCATGTCCGCCAACGCCATCCTCTCCATCCACACATTTACCCCCACCACGGAAACTTGGTCGTCGGTCCTGGACCCCATCCGCCAAAACCCCGGCGTCAAGAGTATCTACTGGGGTAAGGCGCTCGAAGACCCTGAGAAGAACGTTGTCGTTACCCAATGGTCTTCGCGTGAGGCCCTTGACGCGTTTGCATCTTCTGATGCCCTTGCCGCCCTGGCTGGTGTGGCTGCTGGCGGTGCCGTGACCGCTGCTCATTTGTCGCTCGAAGGCACCCTGGAGACTGCCTTGGACGTCCCATGCACTGAATTCGTGACTGCCTATGGAGTAGAGCCGACGTTCATCGGCCGTTGTCGCGAGTTCATCACCAAGGTTGACGCCAGCCATCTGGAAGGCTATCACGGTTACGCGTTTGGCGAGGTGGACCAACACATCGCGAAGGACGCCAAGGGCCAGAAGGCACCTGCCGTCATCTTGATTGTCGGTTGGGATAGCAAGGAAGCTCATATTGAAGCCAAGGCCAAGCCCGGGCGTGAGTCTAGATCCATCTATGGCTAGAAACCTGTAAAAGAACAACCGCTAACTACAACACCCGTAATTTGGCAGCAATTGGAGAAAACATCCACCTTATTAGGACAGCCAGAGAAGATCTCGGCGTGGTGAGTATCATGCAGAACCTCTTGATTGAGACGGTAACCTATCTAACACTATCTAGATCCATGTCAACCTAGAGAAGCTATAATTCACCGAAGACGGGGCTTCGAGAGGGGAAACACAGGACTTCACAAGTTCGTTAACGGAATGATGCTCAATGTTGTGGTAAGCCAGGTTTGAGACTACAAGCAAACGTAGGAACATTGCAAATGAGACTAGGGTTCCTCAAGAAGGGAATTGACAACTGCAGTTGCGGGTTACACCATCATGTACCAAGGGTTCCCTTTAATATATACGTAGCACGGCCTGTTCTTTCAAGGGAGCGGAAAAAGAGGGCGAGGGAAGATATTGGACTCACCTCTCCCACCTCCTTCAACCCTATTTGCGACAAGCTAGCACATACAAAAATTGCTTGTCCTAACCCAGTATGTATTGCTGTGGTGGCCGTCTCCTTGCAGCCGGCTTAGATCTGTTTCTGTTGCGATTAGCGGGCGAAACCATATCTGATATGATGATTACATGTAGTTAGGTGAGGGCAAGTTCAAGATCAATGGGAGGAAGTTGAGTGGAAACCGTTGTGTGGAATGACGACCATGAAAACGGGTACGCGCCCACACCACAACGATAACGATTAGTTGCGCTGGAGCGAATGGGCATAACGGGGTGTGTCTCATCAAGGTAGTTAGGGGCCAGGGATAGGAATGGAACGGCCTTTGGATCGCAATCAGAAGGCAATGGTCATGGCTTCATGTAGATGGCGATGAGGACACAAGACGAGCGTGACAAGGAGGCAAGGGTCATGCAAGGGAGGAAAGTAAGAGGTAGGCAGCAGGACGATATGAAGGAAACGGACAGTGCACTATTAGAAATATACCTCGAGATTTAGGGCAAGGTAAGAAAAAGAAGAGAGAGAGAGAGAGAGAGAGAAAGGAGAAAGAGAGAAAGAAGAGGAGAAAAGACAAAGGAAACCAGCAGAAAGACCGCATTTGACTATCTCGAGAAACCGACCAACGAATCCCTTTTACCGTTTCTACGCCGTTTGATGTTAGTAGTTCCCCTCCCCTTCCCTAAAGGTTCGTCGAAAGGCAGATAACAAGTCATCAATACCCCGGGCAACCAGGTTTTCCTCTTTCTTGTTGGCCAGTTTGGCGTGTGCATGCGAACTACACGCAGAGTTGCGCGCATCTCGCACGGCATGGCGCACCGGGGACTAAAAATACTGAACGAGATAAGTGAAGCTAGAAGAGCCCGAAAGATCATCAAACAAAGAAAATTAAGAAATGGAACCCGAAGCCGCGGCCGTGCACCCCTGCCGCCAGTGAGGAAGCAGCATATTGTAATTCTTCTCCGAACACACCAGTTTTGCTTTGCTTTCGTTTTCTTCGCTTCGAGCAAGAATTGTCAGACATCGTGCGCGATTAAATTAAAACGGCCGCCTCTCGTCGGCATGCTTGTTGTGAGTTTCGCCTAGGCGGTTATAGAGCAGGTAGAGGGCGATGCGATTGCACTCTTCCGTTCCAGAGATCGTGACGAGACGCTCGTTGGTGTTGTCCTGGGGCTCGTTGATCTTGATGACACTGCCGCTCATCTGCCGGATCTCATTGATCTTAGATCCTCCCTTACCAATGATAGCACCAACCATATCATTGGGAATGTAGATCTGTTGGGTCAACGAGCCACCTGGCACGGCACCGTGCATGGGCTGACCCTGAGGCCCACCGGGGTAGGTGCGGCGGCGTGAGGAGCGGCGTGGAGCGGAACGTGCGGGGCCGCCGCACCATATGCGCCGGCTTGAGGTCCGCCGCCATAGTGGACAGGTACCGCAGGGTTGTGGTGGGTGGGGTGGGCAGGGTACTGCTGAGGATAGGGACCGGGAGCCATGTGATGCGCTCGGGCATCGTGGCGCCGAGGGTAGTTCTCACGGTTTCCATATCCACCACTCGCGGGCTGAGGGCAGTACGGCACGACCTGCATTCCACCTGGGACAGCGCCGGCCGGGCCACCACTCCTAGTAGCATAAGCAGATGCTGCTGGGCCACCAAAGCGCTCCTTCAGTTGCTCGAGAAGGGTGCTACCAACGTAGTATGTCGCAATGTGGACAGCATCCGCGACACCCATGACGACGAGGGAACGTTCGGATGAGAGAGGAAGGCATGAGTCGGAGGCGTTGAGGCGAGCTCCAGAAGCCTCTTGAATCTCTCGAATTCGTGCGCCACCCTTTCCAATGATGGAGCCGATGAGAATGTGTGGGATGAGAAGACGAAGCGGGTAAGTCTTGGAGGTCGATGAGGACGGCTCGTTAAGGTTCTCGTTGTTGAGTGTGCGGATAATCAAACCAAAGGCCTTGATAGTAAAGTTAGCGTCAAGTCATACCACTATCCCCTTGCTATAACATCCGCCATGACTTACCTTGGCAGCAGCATCCACAACACCGCTGACGGTCAGGATACGCTCGACCGCGCCCTTCTGGTAGTCGCTTACGGTGCACTTGGCACCCGACAGCTTTCGAATGTTTGAAACGTTCTCGCCGCCCTTTCCGATGATGGTGGCAGCTTCGGGGCTAGAGATGACGGCCCTGATGTGAATCCAGGCGGTCTCGTCATTGGCATTGGCAGGAACTCCGCTTGATGGACCCGGCCCAGTCAATGAGCCTGCGGTCTTGCCATCAGAAGAGTCACCGGCAGCAGCATCTACTTGATCTTCAGAGTTCACCCCATTGGTCCTTTCCGCAGGGTCTTGTTCGGGAGACGAGCTGCCATTCTGGTCGGGTTGAGGAGCAAGTTCGATCTCCTCGTCGTGCTTGACTACCTTGTCCAACGCAGGGCGCTTAGCATCGGGCTGATCCGTTGCGCGCGACGGCGACGAAGGCTCCTCGAGGGGCCGCTTGGCGGATTGGGTTGGTTGCGTGGGGAGGCTGACATGATGGACTTTGATATCGCGAGATCTCCAAGCCAAACTGAATGCTAACTGTTCACAAAAATGGACCGTCCAAGCGTTTACTTGATGGTTTAGTCGAGCGGAAGAAATGCTTCAACCAGATCTTTTCTGTGCTTGTATTCGGTATCTCTTTTAAGGGAAAAAAGTATGTACACCCAAGAAGTTGCCGCGAAGGGAGGGTGATGGCTGTGAAATGACGTGCCGAGAAGAGGGAGACACACAGGATCGGGAGGATCGGTGAAGTGGCTTGGTTGCTTTGGCTTCTACGGTGAACGGATGTCGAGAGGCTAGGGGCCCAGTCCTTCGTGATGCTCGCGCGTCGATGATTGTGAAGATAAATCCGGTCTCGGGAAAGATGAAGCGGAATGAACGCGGAAGTATTGTGGTAGGAAGTGATGGAAGGAAAAGCAGAGGTTGTGGGCGCGGAGTAAAAGCACGGCGCTACAGGTTGCCAAAGAGTCAAACCTTTTTGGGCTTTGCCACAGTTACCCGAATCTTGGGGTATTTTCAACCTTCCCTCAATATCGCCCTGAGTCAAAAAGTTGGATGAAAAGGTAGCTGGGTGAAAAAGTTGCCTGAATGTGGATAAAAGTCGACCGATAAATTTTTATAAAGGTCGGACAAGGGAGCGAATCGTTGTCGCAAGTTTTCTCCCAACCAGCGAAACCAATCGGAGAAAGGACGGAAACGAAATTTGGGCAAGAAATCGCAAAAGTGCAGGGGGAAGATGAAAGAAAACGAGGGAAATGATGGAAACGCGACTCCTCGATAGGTTGATCTGACAAGCAACGATGGATTGAAGGGGGCGATGGCGTCTCGGAAGAAGTTTGAAAACGAGGAGAGAGAAAGGGTTGAAACTTGTCCTTCGCGGATCACCCCCAAATATTAGGTCAAAGGGAGAGCTACCCTCGCACCTGTATGACTGGAAAAGGACACTGTGCGAACAAACAATCTTGAAACATTCCGTCCAAGCCACACACTTGTTTCCGAAGATTGGATGAACTGTATACAGTATATACACTGTTTGAGCTGACTAAATTTCATTCCGCCCTGCAATCGGCACGCAGCCTGGACCTGGAATCAAGCCTCAATCGACGTGCTCCAGCACTGAGGTAGCCCTGGGCACGCGGTACCTGATACGGAAGCACTGTTCTGGGAAGGAAACGCCCCGTTGTTGCCATCAATGAAGCGGAAGTATACTAGATCGGAATCAGGCTGGCCCCTTGACGACGATCTCGGTAAAGGCGCCGCCTCAGCATAGGATCCTTCCATCTGGGCGCCTTCGTTCGGTTATGCCTGCCCTCCTTGCCTGAGGAGAGGCAAAAGAGGCCCGTCCACCAGTGCCCCTGCCTTTTGAGGAGCTTAAATCCACGCATGGGAAAGGAACGACTGAGGCTGCGTTTTCCTGGGTGGCACTTGCCGGCAGTTGGGGATAAGCAATCTGTGAAAAAGACCTCATTGGCCAATTCGGCCAGCCACTTCAGGAAGAGGAGAATCGCGTCCACTCCACGACCTGTCGCGTCACCGCCTCCAGTGAAGCCCCCGCCATACCATCACCAAAGAAGAAGCCCCGCCTTCAACACCATGACCGCACCACCCACCGCCTCGCCCCCTGTATCTCCGCCGGCCAAGAGAGTAAAAACCGCTGACCTCGTAGACCGTGTTCTACCCGTCACCAGCGAAAAGCCCGACGCAAAAGCCAGTGCACCCACAATGGAGCAGATCCCGCCCCTTCTAATCAAGAAGCTCTCCGACAAGGCGCGGCTGCCTACGCGCGGATCGGCCCTTGCCGCTGGCTACGATCTTTACGCGTCGAAGGAGACTACTATTCCTGCAAGGGGAAAGCCCTTGTAGATACAGATATTAGCATGGCTGTCCCAGCCGGCACGTGTATGTTATCGCTCGCTGTCTGGGAGATCTGGCGCTTAACGCTTCACGATCGCCGCAGTCTTTTTCCTCCTTTGAGTGTACGTATGTAGTAGACACTGACGGTGTTTAAACCCACAGATGGCCGCATCGCACCAAGATCTGGTCTTGCGTCGAAGAATTTCATTGATACCGGCGCAGGCGTTATCGACGCCGATTACCGTGGCCAGGTAAAGGTTCTCCTCTTCAATCATAGCGAGGAAGATTTCCAGGTCAAGGAGGGTGACCGCATCGCTCAGCTTGTAATTGAGCGTATCTGGAACCCTGAAGTCGTCGAGGTTCAAGATCTCGAGGAAAGCGTCCGAGGCGCCGGTGGGTTTGGTAGCACCGGCTAGGCAGCCCTACCCGGTGGCTTCAGTTAATCAAAAAGGGAAAAAATGGACAAGGAAAGAGAATTTAAATACGGCAAGGGCCCACGAAGAACCCGGGTGATCTAAGCCCGGTCCCCAAAGTCACGGCAATACAAGAAAATGTTTATGATATTAGATATATGTCGAGTATCTTGAGGCCACGAAAATCTTGTGACACCTCTCTATATGTGATATCGTGTATAATTCCCCTGCTTATAAATCGGATACAGAAAACACTCCTTTGATACTTAGATATGTGTAGCTTTGAAACGTTGCGTAGGCTGCCGTAAGCAAGTCAGGTTCCTCACAAGTCGCAGTTCCGCAGCTTTAGACTTGGCTACGCGGGCCTGACTGGCGTCCGAGCCATCATTCTGGAGTTCAGAACTTGCTGCTATCGTTGACTTCATCCCTTCCGCAGTTTTTGACAGGACTTCATGCATACTGCCCAAAACCTTTTCAGCGGCCCTAGCAAGTGGAAGGTCAAGCGCATCAACTGAGTCATCGCTGACCCAGGAAGATACCCGGAGCAGATCAGGCGTATTGCAAACGGCCTCCCGCATCCTAACAACCGCCAGCGCCCCAAACATGTCTCCTGTGCCGCTGAAGTAGCAATCTATGGCGGGAAATTGGATCTTAAATAAGCGCGCCTTGCAGTCGGTCGTCATGGTTGAGCCGACGACGCAGAGACTAGTAGGTGTCGGGCCGCTGTTTTCAAGATTGACGGAGGTGATGATTATGTGGGGACGCCGAACTTGTCATGCATTGTGCGGATAGCCTGTTTCAACGTGTCCATGTCGTTAATTTTGACTTCGGAGAGTAGTCTTTTGTAAAAAAGAGTTAGCTTGTGCTTTGTCCACGGACAGACTTGTCTGGTGGGTTTGGCCCAAACATACTCAGCTTCAAATTGGTTGGGCAGGATTAGATCCGCGAACGGGATAAGGGAGCGGTAGGCCGGTACGACATCCTCGGCTACGTACAGCCTGCCATTATCTCCCATGACGGGGTCAAGAACCCAGAAGAAGGTTCCGGGCGCGGATTTCGTCTTGGCCTGAAGTTCCTGGGCGATGGCGCCTACGGCGTTGACGGCTGGGGCCCCAGGGATATACCCTGTTAACATCATATCAAACTCATCAAGATATGATTGCCTTAGTCCCGTGTAGAGATCGGTTATCTCTTCTGCCGATACGCGGGAGCCCTTCCATTGCCCGTACCCTGTGTGATTACCTAGGTTCGCCCTAGGTCAGCATCGCGATAGGCCTTGGGGGCGGGGTTTTCTCCAGACTTACTGAATTGAACGGTGTTCAATGCTGCGACATCGCAGCCGAGCGACTGGAGTACGAATACGGCAATCTTGTTACCAACATGCCTATGACTGTTAACCGGATGGACCACTTCCAAAGGCATAGAAGCAAGCAGATGCTGTTTATTAGGAAAGATAAACGAACCCAGAGACCACCTATGGGAAGGTTAGCGTTTAGTTCTGATTTCTCCTCCAACATAACCTTACATGGCTAGCAATAGCGAGGACACGGGTTTCTGGCACCGGAAACTCATCCATCATGAAGTTGAGGGTTTACTAAGTAAGTTAAAGGGATCAAGTCCAGGACCGTTGCGAAATCCTCCAGTGTCGGTCTCCCCAAGCCCCACCTCTAAGCAGCAGTTGGTGGGTGAGCCTTCCGAGGCTAAAACAAAAGAAACGAATGTTCAGTGGAAGGATCTCTATTACGGCGCAAGCGTTAACGACAGAAGAAACCATAACACGAAAGTCCTCCAGAACCCGGCCAAGACGGAGAGAGAGGGTTTTTGTTTTCACCTAATCAGACATCCGTGACAACCATCACAGTCATTCCAAGGGTGAGACTTGATAGAGTCATTGCTGGATCACAAGTACCCCACGCTAATCCTGAAGTGGGACACTGTCTCATCACTGAGCCTGCCACCTGGCAGAGGCCTACTTGATTCGACAACCAGCTGTATCAAGCGGCGTCAGATAAGAGGCTTCAATGCTAGACAGACACCACCCACATGTATCTCTACCCACATACAGCATAACAAATGAACCTCTTTCTTAAAGGAAAAATACTTGTAAAGAGGGTATTGTATTTTTCTCATCTCATCTCCACTTCTCATCAATGGCCATCATTATCTCCTGGTTTTATCTCACTATTCTATCCTTCAAATTCTACAGTGTGGTTGAGTGAAGGCCCCGGCATATTGTTCTTGGTCTCATTACGCGACTTCATCCTTTAGCTCTCCTCATCGCCAATCTGCAAGACTGTTAGCAAAACTGTGCTCCTATTAGACCGGGATCTCTGTCAACACATACCTTGGGTGCGAGATAGAAGCGGAGGTAACTGGTTCCGGAAAGATTATACTCGACTAGAAGGGGTACCTCGTTGGAGAGGCAGACCTTGACGTGAGGGGAGAGGGCAGAGGCCTTGCAGAAGTTGACGAGGTACTTGAGCGAGAAAGTGAGGGAGACGGGCTCGGTCAACTCGATGTTTACATTCAACTCGGGCTTGTCCATGTTTGTGTGGCTCCTAAGAGTGACGGATCCGTTGCCGATATCTCCGGCGCTCGAGAACTTGATCCCGTCCTTGCTAGCATCGAGCGTGACTAAAATGTAGAAGATTATTTTTAGCAAAAGGATAAGGAAGCCAATGCGGGAGAGGGGCACGATTTACCTGAATCGGACATGGCCATTAGGTCGGTGCAAATTCTCCTGAACTCGCTAGAGGGCATAGAGACGGTAGCGGCGTATTCGGTCTCAGGGATGCCCAGGTGCTCCTGGTCAATGTCCATGAGCTTCAAGTCATACTCGCTAATGCGATCGTTCTCGCTGCTCTCGAATACAAGGTTGAGGGCATCCGCGGCGTCATCGGCCTTGACGGTTAGGATGTCCTCGTTCTGAGCGGCGCGTAGAACCCTGGTCAGGGAGCTAAGGTTGACGCCAAGCGCGATATTCCGGTCACATCGATAAGGAGAGAAAGCCTCGGCCTTGAGCATCATGGAAACGAGGGCAACATGGCTGTTGTCCATAGCCTGGAGAGCGATTCCGGAGTCATTGCAATCGAAGTTGCAGTCCTGGACAAGATCTTTGATGGCATCAACGACCTTCTTCAGGACATTAGCCTGTTCCAATCGTGCCTCAAGCATGGCTGCAAGATTGCTTTAATGGTTAGTTTCTAGGGACGTCGGGGAAACCGCTGCTCCGCACTTGGAAGTGTGCGGTGAGGTTGAGCGAGGGGCCACATACTGTCTCGAAAAAGGAGGGGTTGAGCTGGCGAAGGTTTCGATGAAAGAAGATAGGAGGAGTAAGACAAAAAGGAGCTCACGGTAGGTGGATAGGTGTGGTGAAACGGTGGGAATGGAAAATAATTGAAGAGGAGGATGGAGGAGGAGGAAGAAGCGTGCACAAACGAACAAAGGCCTTTCTTTTCGGGGCAGCAGCGGCGGATGGCTGAAGGAGCGGGGGCGCAGAGACGCGAAGACGCGTCGATTCAATTAAACCCACAACGCGGGGCAGGCAGGGCTTCAGGTCTGGTGTGGCTGACTGCTTGCCCTGAGCGGCGAAAGCACTGACTAAGAAAAGAGGCTGGTTCAACATAGGTCGTCCCAAATTTTAAACTAACACTGTTCAGCGTGAATAATCTCCCTGTTCCCAAGCCAGAGTGTACGTGAAAAGCCATATATAATTGATGTGTGCTTGAGGTCATCATACTGCCATGAGTATCGGTTTGGAGAGACACGAGCGCTGATATTAACAGCGATCGACGGACTGGTCTACGGGGTGCCACGAGACGCATCTAATAATGTGGATTTGAGACCGTTCGCTGCCCTATCTTCTGTTTTTGTCAAGAATCCCCCACGCTGTGCTCCATGCGCGGGACATTCCGTTCCATCACTCCTTGACGACTCTGAACTCCCTCCACACCCGAGCCTTCTTTCCATCATGGTTCTTCCTCGAAAGAGGAAACGTACCTAGTCAAAGCTGCCGGCGGGGCCAGGCCAGAGGCAGCCGGGCCAATCTATCGTGCGACGACCCTGAAATGGTTTACAACAAGCGATTGGTCGCGGGCCTCCAGAGTCGCCGGATGGGCAAGGCTTTCCGACTACGAGACTTGCAAACAAGCTTTGGCACATTTGCATGCATGGGAATCAGGGATGATGGCCCAGCAAGAGTGGTGGATTTGACCAAAGAGTGGGCAAATGGACCAGGCTCATTGAGAGTGAAGGCTGATGCCTGGTGTATTGCCGACCGACCAGTCCGAAAGATGTGAAAGATTGCTACTTCAAGGTGCCTCAAATGACTGTGGCAGCCTCAAAGCTCTTTTCGCGAGCCAAGAGGTGAAGTCGCGATCGTGTTCGGGTTTGGTCAATGCAGGCGCCGATTACGTAGTGCGGGAACGGATACCCAGCGGAAACACAGAAGGGGGTGCCCCGCTTCGCATCAACAACCTCGCATCCGGAGCTGGCCTAAGAAAGGCCCAGGGTCCAATACAGATCTCGAGCGGTGTACCGGAGTCTTGTCAAAAGACCAGTCTTTGGTTAGAGCTCCTCATCTCATGATGGAACGATGAGCCAATGCGATGGCAGGCGATTGCAAGCAGCAGAGGCTAAGATCGAAAGATGCTTTCGGAAAGGTGGGTCTAGATACGAATACGAATGTGATCCTATTGGCTGTGTCCCCTGAGTTATTTCGAAGCCTGGAAGGACAATGCCCAGGAGTTCAAATGGTTCAATGCGAGCGTAAAATTTTCTTTGGGAGCTGGAGGTCAGTTATAGTGAACAGTACCCTGATTTTAGTGAATCAATTACTTGATGTACCCTCTAAATTAGAGCACCCCCAGCTGAAGATTCTTAGTTCGAGACCAACAAGCCCCTTTCCGAGATTTCTTAGATCCAGATGTACCTCGAACAATTGACAATGCTTGCAGGAGTAAGAAAGGTTTGAGGAGTGGCGCCAGATTTGACATTACACTACTCCAGTTAATTCTAGGCCCTCTATGTCTACGGTAGTTAAGGCGAAAACGAGAGCTTTTGACATCTGATTCGATTGATCCCACCCCCAAACACCGAATTGGGGAGCCCACTCATAATCCGGAGGAATAATATGCGAGGAAAATACAACCAGGGACCACGCAATGTACGAAGTACTTTTGAACTTTTGAACCGCTCCCCAAAACAAAACTTGGCAAGGCAAATTTAGACGATATTAAGAACTTCTCCCTCCCCCGATACTCAAGCCTTTTCTCCCCTATCCTCTGCCACTCCATTATTATTTCTTCCTCCCTCTCTCTCTTGCTTCATGACTTGTTGATAGGAACGCTCATCTTCCCCTTCGTCTCGACTGCCCACAACTTTTTTCTTGGTCACGATGGGCGTTTTCCAACAGGCCATTGAGCCTCTTCAGGAGCGCTTCCAGGAGCTGGGAACCGGCTCTCAAGTTGGTGTCAGCTTTGTCGCTTTCATTTTCCTTGCCGTTGTCCTCAATGTGTTGAAGCAACTATTCTTCAGCAATCCCAATGAGCCTCCCATGGTGTTCCATTTTTTCCCTTAATCGGAAGCACTGTGGAATATGGAATGGATCCTCCCAAGTTCTTCAAGAAGATGCGAGCCAAGGTAGGTGGACATGACATGAAAAAGCCCCCAACCGATTGCGACGCGCAATGATGCAAAAGGCCCAGAAAGAGGATTACCCTAAGCTACGAGTACTAACTCTCTCTGACACCCTCCTTTGTAGCATGGCGACGTTTACACCTTTGTCCTCCTCGGAAAGAAAATGACTGTCTGTCTCGGTACCAAGGGCAACGATTTCATCCTGAACGGCAAGCTGCGCGACGTGAACGCCGAGGAGATCTACACCGTCCTGACCACACCCGTTTTTGGCCGTGACGTCGTCTATGACTGTCCCAACGCGAAGCTCATGGAGCAGAAGAAGGTAAGCCATCGCGCACCCATTCAAGCGCCACCTGTAACCTCGTCTTTATTCGCATGCTAACAGTGGTTTGCCCTCAAATGATAGTTCATGAAGGGTTCCCTTACCACCGAGGCCTTCCGCAGCTACGTCCCCATCATTACGGAAGAGGTCAACAACTACTTCCGTACGACGTCTACGTACAAGGCCAAGTCGGGTACAATGAACGTCGCCAAGGCGATGGCCGAGGTCACCATCTTCACCGCTTCTCACAGTCTGCAGGGCAAGGAAATCCGAGATCAGTTCGACGAGTCCCTCGCCGACCTCTATCACGACCTCGACATGGGCTTCACTGCCATCAACTTCATTCTCCATTGGGCTCCTCTCCCTGGAACAAGAAGCGAGACCACGCCCAGCGCACCGTTGCCAGCATCTACATGAAGACCATCCAGAAACGCCGCGATGAGGGCCGAACTGACGGTCTCGATGTCATGAGCCGCCTGATGAACGCGACCTACAAGAATGGCATCAAAATTCCCGACCACGAGATTGCCCACATGATGATTGCCCTGCTCATGGCTGGTCAGCACTCGTCGTCGTCCACCAGCTCTTGGATCATGCTCCGCCTCGCCCAAAACCCTGAGATTATGGAAGAGCTCTACCAGGAGCAGGTTCGCGCTTTGGGCAAGGACCTGCCCCCTCTGCAGTACGAGGACCTCGCCAAGCTTCCCCTCAACCAGGCCATCATCAAGGAGACCCTCCGCCTGCACGCCCCTATCCACTCCATCATGAGGGCCGTCAAGAGCCCCATGCCCGTTCCCGGAAGCAAATGGGTCATTCCCACCAGCCACACCCTCCTCTCGGCCCCCGGTCTCTCTGCCTCGGATCCTCAGTTCTTCCCCAGCCCCGACGCCTGGGACCCTCACCGATGGGAGAAGGATTCTCCCAACGCGCCCACCATTGTCCGCCAGGAGGCCGAGGAGGACGACGAAAAGATTGATTACGGCTATGGCCTAGTCAGCAAGGGTGCCGGTTCTCCCTACCTCCCCTTTGGCGCCGGCAGGCATCGGTGCATTGGTGAACACTTTGCCAACGTTCAGCTGCAAACCCTTGTCGCCAACGTCGTCAGGACCTTCAAGTTCAAGAACGTCGATGGTGGCAAGACGATTGTTGGCACTGATTACCAGTCTCTCTTCTCGCGCCCCCTGGAGCCCTGCAACATCCACTGGGAGCGCCGCGATGAGGCGTAAAAGGAGGTCGATCCGAAAGAGAGAGAGAAGAACAAAGAACAAATCAAGTGTTTTGTTTTTCTTATAAACATTAATGAGCTGTTCAACAGCATGTACATATTCCAGACATGAATTGGGAAGTTGTGGACCGGGCCTGGTGTTGCCACAATATCCTTCCTCATCGCACTCCCAAGTATCCCTCGAAGTAGGATATGGAGACGCGCTTCTTTTCTTTTTCGAAATGATGGAAACCTGGATAGACCATACAGATGGGGTAGGGTTGTAATGCGGGGGTTGGATGTTTATTTTTCAAGACGATTCGGGACGCACGCAAAGCATCACATATAAACAACCCCCTCCCTGCCTTTAGAGAGAAAACGGTATGGGGGCGAGGGTGGCGAAAGGAGAAGATTAATGCGCTATAATAGTTTCTAATCAAAACACAAAGTACGCTTCATAACGATGGGCACGGCGGACAGGTCCTGGACAGAGAGTGTGTGGTAGGCAAGGAATGAAACCTGAAAAAAGTTACAATGGCACCAATGATTCGAGCAAGTAATGCATTTCCCTCAAAATCGTCGTAGCTTCCCACCGCTTCCGCATCACGTCTTTGCAGGGGCGGGAGGAGGCCCTCCGGTCGTAGCATCCCCGCCCTTTTCGGCATCGGCCGGGCTCGAGTCTTCCTTGGACGGGACTGGGGGCGCCTCTTGCGCCGGGTTCGCCTCCCCGCCCTGGGCCGGAGCAGAGTCAGTGGGCCTCTCAGCGCCATCGCCCGGCGAGCTGTCTAGCTCGGGATTCTGTTCCCGTGTGGCAGCGGGTGCCGCCTCGCCGCGAGCCTTGGCCCTCTCTTTCTCGACCCATGAAAGGAACAGGGAACGTCGCGGGCGACTTGGCCAGGCACGGCCTTGGCCTGTACCCAGAGGGGTAAGACGCCCTTTGCGTCGGAGACGGTAGCCATGATCCATTCGATCTCGCCCGAGTCGAGCTTCCTCACGCGCTCGACGCTCGTGTAAGCGCCGACGACGGGGCCCTTGTCCTTGGAAAGAACGGCCTCGGGCGCGCTGGCGAAGTCGGCGATGGCGATGGAGACGACGAGGAACTCGCGGTCGCCGGCGTCGTCGCCACCGGGGAGGAGGAGGAGGAGGATGAAGTCGCGGTCGCAGCAGAGGCCGTCATCTGCAGGACGGCGAAGACGCGGTTCTTGAGGGGAGCGCCAATGTTGTGCCTAGACTCGTGGACCTTGAGGGTGAAGTCGCGCCAGAGGGCGCCGCCCTCGTGGGCCTCGACGCCGGCGCAGTCCCACTCGAGCGGGGTGTGGAGGCTGCGGAGGTTGGGCATGTAGTCGACCTCGGCCTCGGCGTGGTTGGTCTTGATAGCGGCGGTGAACTCGGCCCAGGTGGCGGTGCCGGGGCGGGCGGCGTCCTCGTGCACGCTGCGGCGGCAGGCCCACGTCTCGGGGCGGAGCTTGTTGGCCTGCTCGTGGCTGTGGGCGAGCTGGCTGCGGGCCATGACGAGGGCGAGCTCGGTGACGGGGATGACGCGCTCGAGGACCTGGACGGGGGCGGCGGAGTCCGGGTAGGACTTGGCGCCCTTGGCCTTCCAGAGGGCGGTGTCGGCGGGGCACCGCCGGCGCGGGGAGATTGTGTCGAGGAAGGGGACGGCTTCCTGGAGGACGGCGATGAGGAAGGGGGCGAGGTCGTCTGAGGCGACGCCGGGCGGGGGTAGGTCGGTGATGGGGAGGCCCCAGAGGCGGATGAGGGGGCCGAGCTGGTGCATGGACATGATGGCGGGGAGATGTGGATGGATCAGGGTAGCTTGGCTCTTGTCCGTGGCCGGCTCTCTCTCTCTCCCTCTATATCTCTTCTAACCTTTTCTTTTTTTTCTCTTTTTAATGGAGAGCAGTACTCCGCGGTATCTATGAGTGTAGTAAGGGTGTGTGTTTGGCGGGGTGTTAGAGTGCTTGTGGGAGATGTGGTTGGCGATATGCCTCTATACTATGATGCTAGCTAGAGGTCGAGACGGGAAAAGATTAGATGAGATAAAAGCAAGATTGGAATCAAATTATAGATAGAATGGAAGAAGAGCCAGTATATAAAACCATGGGAGAGGGAAAAAAGGAAACAAGGAAAAAGGAAACAAGGTCGGCACAGATCGAGGAGGGGGCGTAAAGGATCAAAGCTGTTTTAATACGTATTCGGGATGTGGATGTGGTGTGGGTTGTATCATCGAAAGCTTGCCAACTCTACTTATATCAATCGGCGAGGACCGCATCATCCGCGGATATTATAGTCTTTGTGAGAAGCTCTATTAGATAGACTCGACCACAACTCTTCTTACCTCCTTCTACTGCATAGTATAGGCAATTTGCCAAAGAGAAGAAAAAAAAAAGATCAATGAGAAAGGCGCTCTTCAAAACGTCGATATTCTAACTCTACAAAATCGTAAGAATCCCTTATAACAAGCAAAGCTGGTTAGAGGCTTAGTGGTATGGAGGCTTGATCTAGCATCACCGAGAACTCCGAAAGCCCCTCAGGACCCCAGGTTCAAACATGACGGGGCATGCAGCTAGCTCAAGTTGGCAGACCACGCACGCAGTTTCAGTATGTGCGCACTGCCATCGGCGAGACGCATCTCCCCCTTCTTCACTTTGCGCTGGGACGAATCTGCTTGTGGGGAACTGGCCAAAAAGAGACGAAGGAAGAAAAAAGAAGAAAGAAAATGGAAAACGTCAAAGGGAAGCCGCCGTTTCACTGCGCACCCTTGCCCATTTCTCGTGCTTAAAGGAAGGGAAGGCCGATTCGTCGAGATGGAGTGTTGTGGTTGTCGATGGCCGCATGGCTTCAGTCTCCCCTGCGGCGATCATTCGTGTTTGTTTCCGAGTGTCAACGAGACGACAACGGCGGGGGCTACCGTAGATCAGATTGACCACGAATCGTTTCCAGCGCTCGACTCCACGACTTCAGCGGTCTGAACGCGCAACCCTTGCTTTAAGACGAAACAAAAGCACCCGAATTTCAGGGACTCCTGCCTCGAACTTGAGCCCGTCTTCTCGTTTATTATCGTTGCTTTTATTTACTATTTCAGCCATGGATGATTTCAAATTGGCAGAGTTTTGCCTTGAAGAGGGCAACTTTTGCCCCGGCCGTGAGCCTCTTATGTGAGAACATTGAAGTCATCCGTGCTCGACAATTTTATGAGATGCCCGTTCAGAACTGTCCAAACCATGGATCGATTGTGGCAAGCAAGGTGATTGCCCACGCCAAGTCAGAACATGCAACATTTTTTTCTTCTCGCAAGGATAGCCCTGGTGCACGTCGTCTACCTCTCTCCGCGAGCGACGACGACAAAATGGTCTTTTGATATCTAATTCAGAGTCTCTCAAGACTCTTTCTCTCCTCTTAGCCGTATTATATGTACTCCAAGATCAATCGTCAATCTCCTTGCCAAAGTCAATGAGCCGTAACCTCGTAGCGTCCTTGGGGTGAAACTGCGCAACCTTGGCCCTCACCAGGAACCGCGCCGCCGAAGACTCCTTTTCCAAAATCACGTACGACGCCGCAGCGTTGCCCTTGGCGTCCACGAGCTGGTTGAGCAAATCCTCCGTGAGCCTCTTCATTTCCATCCCGGCCGCGACCTTTTCGTCCCACTCGCCCGAGCCAGCCTGTCGCTGCTGCTCCCCGCCCGTCCCCCAGAGCTCGTCCAGCCGACGCTGCCGCTTGTCCTCGTTTTGCGCCGGCTTGACCTTTTGGGCCTCCCCGCGCGTCGAAGCCGCCCGCGAGGTCCATCTCGTCCACGTCCATCATGTCGCCCACCACGGGCCCGCCTAGCTCCTCCGCTGCCAGCAGGGGCGCCAGCTTGTCTTCCACAAACGTTTTGTACGCCTTGAACAGGCGCGTCGTCTCCTTGCTGTAGTACTGCTTCTCCTTGCGCAGCTCCTCGAGTCGCTGCCTCGCGATGTCCTCTGGCGCTACTGTCGTGCCGTGGACATCCTCGCTTCGCAGCGTCTCGAGCCTCTTCTCGAGCGCCGCCTCGAGCGCCTCCTGATCTTCCAAGTCCGCGCGGCTCTTGTCCAGCTCGCGCTGGGCGTCGGCGAGGTGGTCTGCTGCGACGCGAGGTATGCGCGCGACTCGATGATCGTCTGGTGCGTCTTTCGGAGCGCCAGCAACGCCGGGAGCACTGAATCGGGAAACGGGAGGAACGGGTCCGACTGCGCGAGTTCGTCAAAGGCCTGCTTCATGGTGCCCATGGTGGCCGCCGGGGACCCGATGATCTCTGGTCGGGGCTTGGTTTCTGCTCGGAGCTGGAAAGGCGATTAGTGTGCGTTGGTGGCTTGGCTTGCCGCGCGCGGTGATGGCAAAAGTAATGGTGTGTGTGTGTGTGTGGAGGGGGCTATGGTTTACCTTTTCTAGTTGCTCCTCATGCTCGCGCACCTGATTCTGCAACTCCTTGAGCGTGAAGTCTAGGTTCCGCTTGTACAGCTTTCCGCGACCATCGTCGCGCGATTCTTGCGCGCTCATGTTTCTGGGCGTAGAGCAAACTTGCGCTGACGCCGACTCAGAGAAGAAGGAGGGAGGGGGATTGGCTGGCGTGGGGTGCAATTGACTGGACCCCAAGACACGCGCCAGTTTTTTGTTCCTCTTCCTTGGGTCACGATCGCGTGTGTTACACGGAGGGCTGTGGCCGGGTGAAATATCAAGATAATGGCTTGGAGAGAGGGACAACGAAGCCCACTTTTCTTATTGAACAAAGGTTGGAGAAGGTCGTTAATAGTTCGTTGTTGGTGCAGGTCCATAGAGAGTGGTAGCTAGCATTGTTGCGTTCCTGGGTGCATGCACAGTGTGAGCTCGTGCGAGGCTGCACCTGCCTTCTCGTTTCCCTTTGCATTGGCCCCAGAATTTTTTTTCTCTTCCCTTTTGGCCTGACGAGCTATCAAAAGTCCATTCGCAACACCTCTCTCCCAACGACCCATCCCGTCGCCTTCTCGCCCCCTCATCAACAACGGCATCCTGCCTCCCCTCTCCTACTTTCCTCATAATTAGGGGCTCCCCCTCTTCTCTCATCATGATCTGCCGCCAATGCCTACGGACAGCCTCCGCCCTCGCCCGGCCCGCGCGCCCCTACCCTCGCGCGCCATCTCGACCTTCTCCGCCCGCTTCAACGCCGCCGCCGAAGCTGCCAGCCCTAAACTCTCCACCCCGACGACCGATCCGGGCGAGGACGCCGCCGCCAAGGCTCCCGCTGCCGAGCCCAAGTCTTCGTGCGCGCCCGGCACCGTGCTCAACGGCCTGAATTTCCTCAAGGGCAAGCAGGACCCCGTGGCCCTCGCGGACGAGCAATACCCCGAGTGGCTGTGGAAGTGTCTCGAGTACCCTGAAAAGCTCCAGTCCGCCGATGCTGGCGCGGCTGATGAATTTTGTGAGTCTCATCCCTGCGGCGCTTCCTACGAGCTTCCGTTCCTTTGTGCTTCAATCCCCGTTTCTACCCCTTCTCTTCTTTGCTTTTGGTTCGCTGCTTGTGTCGGGCGGGACCTTCCTGCAACCTCAGTCTTTGGTTTGCGTATATTTTTGTGTTCGTACTAATGCCCTCCTTTCCAGCGAAATCCAAGAAGCAGCGCCGAATCGCCGCCAAGAAGCAGCGTGTGCTCGAGGCCAAGATCCTCGCCTCCGGAGACGTCGAGGCGCTCGCTCCCAAGATTCCCCTCCAACACCAGACCGTCAACCTGCCCGACGGAGGAGACGGCTCCGTCTCAGCCGTCTTGGAGACTGCCGCCCGCCGCGAACAGCTGAAGAAGGCCATGAGGATGGAGCGCAAGGCCCAGATCAAGGAAGCCAACTACCTCAAGTCCATGTAATTGTCACTGGGCCAGGGCTTCTTTTTTGTTATCTGTGGTGGGAGGAGTATATATATGGGCCAAGGGGCCGGCCTGCGTGGCTGTGTGTTTTTAGAGCAACCTTTGTGTGTACGCTGAGGTGGGTGGTGTGGGTGGAATCACCAATTCGATGAGATGGGGGAACAAAACATTCCCCCTCTAGGGCTTTGAGGCCTTGTGTACATTACCAGCTAGAGTGTATTCATAAAACGAAGCAAAGAAGTCCTCTTGTTGATGGGATGCATCTGGTACGCTCCACGAAATTGCGAAAGAGGAGAATCGAGCATCGTGTGTGGATGGGTGCGTGTGTGCGATTATTCAATGTTATTTCATATCTCTCTACCTGACGTCAAGTCGCCATGCGATCGCAGGCGGGTATATATGCATGATTGACACGCCGTCCTCTTCCTTCCCCAACACTAATGGCCCTTTTTGATATTTTGTTTTGGCTCAGACATAAGTTCCTTGACCGTCCACAGCCCCTGACCCTGACTAGTCCTCTTCCTCTTCCTCCTCCTCTTCTTCTATACCAATCGAAGACATCTTGAGCTGGATCTCGCTCTTCAAATCGCGAATAGTCGCCTCTACACGCCGCGTAAGAATGACAGAGTTGGCCACGTGCGGTAACTTGAGACTCTCCTCCTTCTCCTTGAGCTGCGTCTGAAGATCGGCAATGATGGCGCGGACGCCCTTGACTTCGTCCATGCGCGTCTGCTCTTCCTCGTCCAGGTCGTCGTCGTCGTCATCGTCGTCGTCCTCGGCCGACTCCTCGCTCTGCTCCACCGTTTCGCGAATTTGCGCCGCGGGCGTCGTCGTATTGCCCGTCATCGGCGTGACCCCTCCATCTGTGTGGCCGGGCTGGCCGAGCCTGCCTCTTCAAAGGCCGCTTCTAGGTCGGCCTCGAGATCCGCGGCCGCTGTGGCATCAAATTCGTCGTGCTGGGGCTGGAAGTAGTCAACCTCCTCCTCCTCGCCCTCTGCGTCTTCTTCGTACTCAATCATCTCGCCCGGCGTCTTGGCCTGCCGGTCGTCGATGAGGTCCCACTTGGAGTTGCGGGACTCCCGGTCGAGGCGCAGCAACCGCTCCACCTCGGCCTCCTTGTCCTCAATCTCCTTGCGGCTGATGATTTTGGCAAAGCGTCGGTGCACGCAGTCGTGCATGGGCGGCGTCAAGCCGTGAGGCCACTTAAACCCGGGCTCGACGGCGGCGGGCAAGGGCACCGTTTTCGCCTCACTCTCCGAGGATACTGATTTGAACACGAGAAGCATCTGGCAGATGTCGCTGGATTTCAAAAAGCTTTTCCGGTCCCACGTCTTCATGCCTTCTGTGATGGTCGGCAGCTCCACTAGAACCGCCACATACAACTGTCCTTTGACTTTGAGGATCGCTCTCCTCGATTCATCGTCAAGCCATGTGATTTGAACATCGGCGCCACCCTCTCGTCGGGGGCCAAATTTGTTCTCTTCGATGGCTTGCCGGATATAGCTGCAGTGCTCCCCGGCATCATGCGCAAGACGATTTGCTCCTCCACCGTGGGGTCATCCTCTCGATCGCTCGCTTCCGAGTCGTAGCCCTCTCCGGGTGGTCGTACGGGTGGCCGTCCCTGAGCGCGGATGACGATGTTGGGTGCCGGCTTGCTCCCTCCCTTGCTCGCGACGAGTTTCACCACCCGCTTCTTGAGCTTCGGTTGCGTTTCTATCGTGATTGTATCGTCCCCACCCAACTCGTCATGCTCGCGTTTCTTCGCCGTAGGTTTCGTTTGCCGTCCAGCCTTTGTCTTGGCAGATGGTGTAGCGACCTTGGCCGAACGAGGCGTCTCTATGGGCGTCGCGGGCTGTGGGCCTTTGAAGACGATCTTGCGCGCCTGGCCACCGGGTGTTAATAGCGACGCTGTCGTCGCGGGAGCGGAGTCGTGTTGACGTCGGGGACTGTGGGGATTCGAGTATTCGAGATGCTGATCTTGAGCCTCGGGCGCTGAGGCTCCGGTTGTGACATGATGGGCGGAGGACCGCGGGCTCTCCGAGAGCCGCGAACACTAGGGCCTAGAGACGCGCTGCGCCTGTTTTGCGTCGGTTAGGCCACAGGGCTAAAGAAGAATGTGAGTCTGTCGTTTCCCTGGCGCGTTTGCGAAATGAGGCCTTTGATGAGAGAGGTGATGAGGCACTGAAGCACCAGCCGCTGAGGGGGGCAGCTCTACGGAAGAGAGAGATTGTTCGATTGTCGCGAGGGAAAAGAGCGTCGAGGTTGATTGATACGTGATTAATGGATGAAGGGGGCGCTGCTGTATCTAAAGGGGATTGAAAGTTGAACAGGGAATGGCGGATGAGGAGGAGAGCTTGATGCTGTCGAAATCACAAGCGAATGTAAATGACTTTCTCCACGAGAAGCAATGCTCCTCTCCGCTGCCTGACGAAAGCGCGCACTATGCGGCGTCAGTTCCACACTGTGCACGAAATAATACACACACGGAGAAACCTCGTTGCAGCCAGCAAACAACATTGATGAAGCTTATGCCATTGGACTAAGCACATTTGCCAGAGCAAGAATGTGAGAGTGGGATCAATAGAACACCGTCGTTATCATGATATCGCAGCTCGACACGGATTTTACACATGCGACTGGCAATCACCAAACACAGGAAGCTAGAACTTCTAAATTTTCATTTTCACATTTGCATATGATGGTATGCGCTTCTGTATCTCGTATTGTTACATGCCCCAAAAACCGCCCAAAGTTGCTCATCGGGACAACCTCGTCTCGTGACTGCCCGGCAACCCGCGAGGATATTGCTCGTCACAATGGTGAAAAGGGTAGTGAAGAGACGAACGGCACCGATTCCTCGTCGCACATGCACCACCTGCGTAAGCCCACACTCAGTTTTCGAGCACCTTGCCTCGCACCGCCTCGAGTAGAGTCCGTCTATTGGGGGTTGGACATCTCCTTCTCCTTGGCCTCGATGAAGTTTTGCTGTAGACCAAGGGTGCCCTTGACCTTCTTGTCCTTGAGGAGTTGTAGATATCGTTCTGCAGTGGGAGTGCCCAGCGTGTTAGCTTTGAAAGGGGAAAAGAAGGGCAAAGAGAGGGAGAGAGAACAAGGTGCCAGAAGAAGTGAAAAAAAGGCAGCTCGCTGGACCCATGGGGAAAATTATACCTCGTAGGTGACCGCACTTCTCGAGATGGTTTACACCTTCGCGCGTATAGCACTTGCCCAATTCCTCGCCAACGATCCTGATCATCATGGCTCCGACCCATTGCTCCCTGGTAATGGCGTCCTGGGCGGCCTTGAAGGCCTTGGAATCGTCGTAGTCGACACCGTCAAACGTGGGGGCACCTTGGGCTTCTGCGCCTGGAACATCTGGGACTCGGGGGTAGGCATCGTGACGGTACAGGGTCTGCGTTAGCCCGGGGAGGATTGGAGGACTGGCGGTTTCCAGGGAGGCGGGCGGGTCGAATTGTCGTGAAGGTGGATCGATGATTGATTGCTCACACTCGGCCTTGCGAGACTTCGTCTGGACGGTTGCATGAGATTGTTCAATCAGATTGCTGCTAATTCAAAGTCGAGTTGTTGTGGCCTGATTTTCATGGCGACAATTCTAGTGCACACACACGCACACACACACTCACACACATGCATACACAGTCCGACTCGCAGCACTTCACCAGCAGCCGGAAAATTCGAGGCCGGCTGGCCGATTGGGGAACGGGCTCAGGGATACTTTGTCCCCCTCCACTCAGAGGAGAGAGCACGAGGTACTAAGGGTACTTTGTGACATTGAAGGCTTGCAGCAGTGCTTTGTCACCCAAGTGGGTGGCTGGTCAATGCTCCACAAAGGCTGGTTTGTATACATCTCACCGCCCTGGCCGTGCCCCACTTTTCAACCTGCAGAAAACTTCTTGCCCGCCAAAAAATTTTTTTTTCTGTCTCAAGGGTACTTCAAGGGCATCCCCTCCTTCTCGAGCAAGACATTCCCTCCTCACACATCTTCACCTCTCCCTATCCCAACCTTTTCATCTGCGTTCTATTCATCGCGGATTACTCTCCCCTCTTACACGCATATACATACATTTGTGTGCTTTCCCTTTTCTTCTTCCCTACCACACAATAAAATGGGCAAGGTTAAGTCCTCCAAGGCCTCCAAGGCCGAGTCTACTCCCCTCAAGGCCGTCAAGGCTGGCGGCGTCACCAAGGCCTCGCAGACTCCCAAGGCTGTCTCCAAGGAGATTGCTAAGAAGGCTGCCAAGGCTCTTGATAGCAAGAAGAAGCGCAAGGAGGTGAAGCCCGCTTCCTCTGATGAGGATAGCGACTCTTCGTCTTCCTCTGACAGCTCCGACGCTGAGTCTGAGGAGGAGAAGGCCCCGCTAAGAAGGCCACCAAGGCCACCAACGGAAAGGCCGCCAACGGCAAGACCAACGGCAAGCCTGCCGCTAAGGAGGCCAGCTCTTCCGAGTCTGACTCCGACTCTGACTCTTCCGACTCTGACTCGGACGAGGAAATGACTACTCCTAAGAAGCCCGCCACCAACGGCAAGGCCAAGGCTGCCGCCAAGGAAGACTCGTCCGACTCTTCTGACTCTTCCGAGTCCGAGGCTGAGGCGAAGCCCACCAAGGCCAAGGCCAATGGTGCTAAGGCGGCTAAGGAGACCAAGGCTGCCAGCTCCGACTCCGACTCTGACTCCGACTCCTCTGAAGATGAGGAGATGGAAGATAAGGCTGCTGCCAAGGACGACGTAAGTACTCTTGATCACGCTTTGTTGAGGTTAAAATATAGTCTTCATCCCGCTAACTGCACTTATCCAGTCTTCTGATGACTCTGATAGCTCCGAGTCTGACTCGGAGGCTTCCGAAGCCCAAGGCCGAGGAAGCTCCCAAGAAGCGAAAGCTCGAAGAGGCTGAGGACTCCTCTGCCAAGAAGGCCAAGACTGACGGCGAGGCCGAGCAGCCCGCTGAGAACTCCACCATGTGGATTGGTCAGCTCAGCTGGAACATTGATGATGAGTGGTTGATGGAGGAATTCAAGCAGTGCGAGGGCCTCACCGGCGCTCGTGTTGTCACCGACAAGGAGACAGGCCGCAGCCGCGGCTTTGGCTTTGTCGACTTCTCTACCCCCAGGCTGCCAAGAGCGCGCTCGAGTCCATGCAGGGCAAGGAGATTGATGGCCGCGCCATCAAGCGACATTGCCCCCGCCCGCAACAACGACACCCCCGACCTAACCGTGCCCAGGACAGGGCCAAGAAGCACAACGATGTTGTCAGCCCGGAGAGCAGCACGCTCTTCGTTGGCAACATCCCCTTCGGCATCAGCCGAGACGAGGTCTGGGAGTTCTTTGCCGAGGGCATCGAAGTCAAGAACGTCAGGCTGCCCACCAACCCGTAAGTTATCTGCTTCCCACCTTCGTCCCCAGCCCCCTTTTCCACCGTACCTGCAAACGTGTGACATGACGAAGATGCTAACCATTTCTCATATGCAGTGAAACTGGTGAGCTCAAGGGCTTCGGATATGTCGAGTTCAACTCCGTCGATGATGCCAAGTCTGCTTTTGAGAGCAAGAACGGCGCCTACCTTGGACCCGGCCGTGCTGCCCGTGCCCTTCGTCTTGACTACGCCCAGGCGCGTGACAACGATGGTGGCAGTGGCGGTGGTCGTGGCGGTGGCCGTGGCGGCTTCGGTGGTGGCTTCGGTGGCCGCGGTGGTGGCCGTGGTGGAGGTCGTGGTGGTAACTTTGGTGGTCGTGGCGGCGGTGGACGCGGTGGATTCGGAGGTCGTGGTGGTGGTCGCGGCGGTGGCCGTGGCGGCTTTGGCGGTAACCGTATTGATGCCAATACCTCGTCGGAGAACAAGATCACCTTTGACGACTAAGCTGGTGCGCCTACCCCGTCGGAAAAGAGCTGCACTGCGTATCATCCCTGGGGGCTTTTCGCATACCCTGCTCGGGTTCCTGTGGGCAAACGACGGCTTCGGGGTTTATTGAAAACCATGGCCGGGAACACACGTGGGCTATTTTGTTGGAGAATCGTTGGTTTGGTTGTCTTGTTTCCCGTTCTTTCCAAACCAAGACCTCCCTCACACGGGGGTCTTTGTGGGCTTGTGGCAAAAACATGTTGGCTCGTGGCATCGACGGCGGTATCTGCTTTTTGATGGCTTTCACGCAGTGACATTGGTCTCGCGCGCATAACCAGACGGCATCTGAGGGCTTTTGTGGGCTTCTTGGGCATTCTGTGGGCATTCTGTGGGCAAACCCGTGGGCTTTGATGAATTGCAAACCGGAGGTTTTGAAGAAGGGCGGGCGGAGATTCTCCTCTCCCTCTCCTCCCTCTAACAAGAGCGGGGAAGGGAAGGGGGTTTCTTCGTTTTCGTCCCATTCGGACTTCTCTGAGGGCTCTTCCTAAAGACGAACAAACACAGACCATTTGCTGGCCGGCCTGGTGGCGGTGGCGGCGACCTGGCATCCGGTCGTCGCCTCGACACACACTCTCCCCTGGAACCAACACAGCCAATATCTCACTCTTTCTCTTTGGCTCATGTGAGTATCCTGCTTGCTTCCCTTCCCCTCCTCCCCCTTCCCCCTCTTCTCCCTTGCTGCTCCCATGCGAATGGCGACTAGGACAGATTATCCGCTTGTGTAGTATCTCTCTACCCCACCCTCTTCTTCACCCTTGTCTTCCTGTTCCATTATCCCGCATTTTCCCCGGTTCTTGTTTGGCGTTTAGGTAGGAAAAAGTTCGGCTTCCGTAAGATAGTATATATATATTGAACGTGCCTCTTAAAGCTTCGTATTCTTTCTCTCTCCTTCTTTATTGTTTTGTGTCCCGCGTGATATGATTGCCTTTTTTAAAAGAAAAAATCGAACATGTATACATGTTTTTATGTATCTCACGGAGGATACCTCTCACCTCGCGATCTGGTGCCAATGCCCTGCTCTTGGCCTTAATGCCGCCAGATCCCGGACCGACCTGGTGCAATGTATATTGAGTCAAATGGGAAATGGAAGGGACAAAATTGGAGCAATAATCTGGCGTGTTGAACACAGGTAAGGATAGCACTTAGGTTTAGGACGTGTCAACTAGATATGATGGAGGCCCTAGCATTAAGATTCACCATTCTCCCGAATAATCTTCCTTTCCCGAAACCGTGATTATCCTTCTACCGACGACGGACGTTTCTTTGCTAGTGTGTATTCCCGACAAGAAGATGACTGTGTGTGTACAAACCCCGAGCCAACGAAACGCCAAAACACCCCAGGTACAAGAGTTCTTGTATACGGAAGGGAAAGATAAAAGACGAAAAGAGGGAAACTGACATCAAGATCAACATGAAGAGGAAGAAGAAATCACGCCAGACTAAAACAACCCTCACCACAAGAGGACCCACTAGTCTGATTACGCAGCCAACTTGGCCTCCACCTCTGTGTCCCACCACGTCTTCCAGTCCAGGGTTTTGCGATTCAGCCGCGAGTCCTCGGCGGCGAAGACCATGGCGTGGCTCATCATGACGTCCTGGAGGGTGCAGCCGATGTAGTGCAATTGGGCGTCGTCGGCAAGCATGCGGCGGTTCTTGACAGCATCGACGGCGGCAATGAACTGGCCGGTTAGACCCAGGTCGCCGCCGCCGTGGCTGTCCTCGTCGAGCACGGGGGTGGTGGGTGGTGGTAAGACCGGTGTTGAAGTCTTCGATTGTGATGGTGTGGGAGTCGGCGTGGAGCTCGCCGTCGGTGCCGTAGATGGTGGTGTACCGCTGGCAGACCTTTTGGTGCTAGCGGCCATGTGCAGGGTGGCGACTTTGGCGTAGTTACGAGGCAGGCCAGCACCGGCGCGGTCGAGGATTGGGGCCGTGGTGGTGGTGGGGGTGGAAGGGTCGGAGGCGAGGTCGGGGCGGCAGGCTCATCGTCCCAAGTGATGGTAACAAACTGGTCGTCACAAACGTTGTTGTCGGACTCGAAGACGCAGCGGCCATACCACCTCCTGTCGGCTACCTCGTGGGCGGGGGTGTTGGCGTCGTAGTCCTCGGCGAGCTTTTCGAGGATGGCGGCCTCGCGCTCCTCCATGGTGGGTATGTCCTCGATTTCGGGGAGGACGACGTTGACGGGCCACTTTGTGTTGCCGGTGTGCACGCTCTTCTCACCAGGGCCGACGTAGATGCGCTTGGCCGAGTACTTGCAGCCGTCGTCAACAAGAGGGCAGCTCATGCAGTTCGTAGCGTCGCCCGCGGCACGGGTTTCCGGTTCTTTTTGTAGTAGTGGAGAGAGCCAGTAGAGGAAATGTTGGAGGAGATGGGGCTCGGCGGCGCCGGCCGGCGGGGACATGAGGAGCCACATGAGAAGATCGATATCGTGGCAGCTCTTGGCGAGGAGAGAAGGGGAGGAGATGGAGGCGTTGCGCCAGTTGCCGCGGACGTAGGAGTGGGCAAAGTGCCACCAGCCGACGGGTTCGGTGTGCTCGACGGAGCAGATGTCACCCACAACTCTGTCCTCGAGGAGGAGCTTGCGCAGGAGCATGTTGTGAGGGCTATAGCGCAGGACGTGGCCGATGGAGAAGATCCTTTTCCCATTGTCAAAGTCCTCGTCGACCCCACCGGTGCCGTTGGCTGATGTGGCCGGCTGCGATTTCGGCCGAAGGGCGCGGTACATGGCGATGCAATCATCAAGCTCGTGGCGAGAGGCTTCTCGCACATGACGTGGAGGTTCAACGGCGCTAGGGCGACGATGACATCTCGGTGGTCCTCGTCGAGTACACAGACGAAAGCAGTATCGATGCCAGGGGCACAGGCTCGCCGGCGGCCTCGCGCTTCCGGCGATCTGACTCCCAGGCGACGAATTCGTCCCAATGCGCAAACTGTTGGCCAGCGGCGGGAGGGGTGTGGGTGTGGATAAAGGACTTGGCGAAGAACTGGCGTTTATAAGGAACTGGCTCGGCCACGGCGGCAACAACGGCAGAGGTGCAAATCTGAATAGACTTGGCGTAGACCTTGCCGCGGGAGCCGCCACCGATGATGATGACGCGCGGTGGTGACATTGCGGGCGTCGTTTCTTTCTTCTTCTTATTTTCCCGCTTGCCGTTTGGACTGGGACACGGTTATGACCTAGGGAGGGAAAGAGTCTAAGATGCTGATGAGGAAAGGGAGACGAGTCGAGGAGGGGTTACGGTGGGAAACGGAGCAGATATACGAAAGCCCGATTGCAGAAGGGGAGGGTAAAGGGCCAGCCAAGGTCCGGGGTTACCCAATCTCTTGGAATTGTTCGTTAAGTTGACGGGCGTCTAAGTGGCTTTGAGGGCTCAATGTGGGGATAAGGATTGGTGACTCGGAACACGAGACCGAGAGGGTACCAAGAAGGTCTAAAATATCCCCGAATACGCTTCCTTCCGACTGGTCAAAGAAGGAGCAAGATGATCAGAGGACAGGGAGGAGTTCTAGAACAAACAGTTTGCGACAGGAACAATACAAACAATACAAATGTTGAAAGTGAAAAAGGCAAGTGCAAGAGCAAGTTAATCGAGGGGCAATGGGGCAGGTGCCAGGCTTAATCAAGGAAGGGGCGAATCACCGAGTAGGTATTATTCAGGACGCTAGTACCTGTGCCGTACCTGTAACCTCTTCACCTCTGCCGTGCCTGGCCAAGGTTCCACAACGTGCACCAAGCACCCGAGCACGTCCACAATAGAATAGGGTGGATCAAGGCAATGATCAACTAGGCGTTCTATCAATTGGATCCACACACGCACTTGACGGTGGATGAATCGAAGAAGGGATGGTGCATCTCTCTGCCATCCTTGACCAAATCTCCGCACGCAACACGCAGACCCAAGACGCACGCGCGCTTCCGTGCTGCACATGCACTAGCCGTGCCTAAGCCCGATATTCAACAGCCAGCTCGTTCTTCAAGGGCCTCGTATATTACGAAGTAGTTGGCTGCATTGGTGGGGTTGGACCAGACCGGCGGAGACGGCGGGGGTCAACAATGTCACTACATTGGTCAAATACTCAAGAACATTGAAGGGCAAGAGACTTGAGATCAATGACCGATTGGATTCTATTGATGATTTAGTCACCGCCTTGACCCTAGTATTAACCTTTCCCACCTGCACCTAGATACTCACACGGACACCGCACATCATAAGGGACAAACGCGAGGACGCAAAGACTGATAGTGTATTACCTGGCAAGCTCTTCACGAAAGGAACACTAGGCTCGCTAAACACTAGCCTGCACGCCTCGACGTGCTTTCGAACCATTTCACCTTTTGGTGCTCCCACTCTTTTTCTGGTTCCTTTCCCTTCAAGATATACCCAGCCATTCCCAAATTCCCCGTGCAGACCTTCCAAGCTCCGAGCCAAAAAAAACGCCCAGCACACAAGCCAAGTACAAGCAAAAACCCCAAGCTAACACCAGCCCACCCCTTCTGCACCCATGTCCGCCGCCCCCGTAGCTTCCACCATGCCTTCCGGCGGAGACGGCCTCCTGGTGTGGATAGACTGCGAGGTAAAAACGAAAAACAACTAACCCTCTCGTCTTCCTCCCCTGTCTTCCCTCCCCCACACCACACACACCCACCCCCACCCCCGCCGGGCCCTCGTCCCTCCGACTAACCGGAGACCCTCTCTCCCTCCCCTACCCATCAGATGACCGGCCTCGACCCCACCACCGACGAGATCCTCGAGATCCACTGCCAAATCACCTCCCCGACCCTCGAACCCCTCGACCCCGCCGGCTACACCGCCACCGTCCACGTCCCCGCCGCCCGCCTCGACCGCATGTCCGAGTGGTGCCGCACCACCCACGCCGTCACCGGCCTCACCCCGGCCGTCCTCGCCTCCGACACCACCCCCAACAGGCCGCCGCCGGCCTTCTCGCCTACGTCCGCCGCTTCGCCCCGGAACCCCGCTCCGCCCTCCTCGCCGGCAACACCGTCCACATGGACAAGATGTTCCTCATGCAGGAACCCTACCGGCCCGTCATCGACCACCTGCACTACCGCATCCTCGATGTCAGCGCCATCAAGGAGGCTGCGAAGCGCTGGTGTCCCGCCGACGTCGTGGCTGGCGTGCCCGCCAAAAGGGTGGCCATCGGGCCAAGGATGACATCCTGGAGAGCATCGAGGAGGCCCGGTATTACATGGAGCGTGTGTTTGGCCCGGCAAGCAAAGAGCCATGACCACAGGTGATGTTTAACTTGTAGTGAGAAGACGGATTAAAGACAAAAGTTTCGCCTTTGCCGGCGTCTACCGAGTTTTCCAAGACAGAATCGAGATAAGAATAAATTAAAATTTATAGATTGTACATATAGTTCTCGAAATACAGAAAATTCTTAGAGAAAACGCCCGCGTTGTTTCTTCCGTAACCAAACCCGATTTACAAAAATTCAAAATGTCCCAACTTTACTTGCTCTTTCAGCTGTTTCTCGCCTGCGACAAGCGTGTGCGCGCCCCCGACTACCTTGTTATTTTTCACGGAGCGCGACCAAGATCTTTATTGCACGTATTTAAGCCTTCTCGTCATGTACGCTGAAATGAGCGTCGTCAAGGCCCCAATGAAAAGGCACACGGCGATGGGGTTGGGCCCTTCTAGCGTAGGCTCCTTGTCGTTGCTTTCCACCGAGTCTGCGCTCTTTTGGGTTCCAAGATGGAGAAGACGATGCCCGACATGACGGCGCCGAGGAACTGCGGGATGGTGGTGTAGATGTTGAGGATGCCAAAGTAGATACCGGATAACTCTCCCGAGGCCGAACTCGGCGGCGCGGATGCCGACGACGACGCCGAGGAGCGGGAGCTGGTGTGCGAGGGGTTCCGCGAGGCCTCATCGCCTCCCGGCGGTAGTAGAGGCGAGAGCGCGGGCCTCTGGGAGTGCACGGGTGACAAGGCCCCATGGGGAGATGCTGCGTGAGGCCCGGACACGGGTTGGTACGTGGTTGGGAGCGTGTCCGACTCGCCGCTGAGACGGTTCACTTCGATGCCAAGAAAAGTTGGCGGTGCCCATTGCGTCATGGCCCAAGGACTATTCCACCCGGGTTAGCTTGGGAGATTAAGAAAGGAAAAAGGAAGCAAGGGAGAGGGAGAACGCCATGAATGGGTTTACTCACAGGCCGCACGACGCCACGAGGACAGTGGCAAACTTGTAGCTCGTCGCAAACGGTGCCAGAGACATGGAAAGCGAGAATCCAAGGTGGCCGAGGATCCAAGCCGTCAGGAGATCCGGCTTGATGGCCTCGATGCGGTTGAGAAACGAGGCGATGGCTCTGGGCGGTCGGTGGGTGAAGTCCGAGTCGTCGGGCGAGCCGACGAACAGCGGCAAAAGGAAAGAGCCGGCAAAGGTGATGAGAGAGTAGATGACGAGGGCCGAGCTGCCGATCCTGCCAATCTCGCTGAGCGGGTCCCGGGTCTTTCGCTCTTCGGGGGTGAGGTCGTAGCGGAAGTACGTTTCGCCAACCCAGGTTGTGCCGTAAAAGTTGAATGGGAACCAACCTAAGTACAGACGGTGTTAGAAACGTTGCTCCATCTGCGTTTTCTTTGTTTTCTTTTTCCCCCATCTCTCCCCGTGGTAGCTACACCGGAATAGACGAGCTGCCTGAAGAAAGAAAGCCTCACTCGAGATAGGGAGACAAAGATTCTGAATTGAGATAGGACATCATCACTTACCAATCCACGACCAAAAGTGCGCCCAGCAGATTGCCCTCACTCTCGGAGGTAGGTGCAGGAGGGTGGACCAAATGGTCCGAATCGCCGCAGCGACGCTGCCGTCAGCCTCTCCCTTGTCCTTGCCCCCCGCGCGACGAGGACCTTTTCGGTAACGGACCAGCAGGTTACGGCGCAGGTGGCAAGCACGGCAAATATGGAGATGAGGGCGAGCTGCTTGAACTGGGAGCCGCCAAACGTGGTGCCCAAGGTCGTCACGAGGTCCACTGACCCGATTCCGTAGCTTAGCAGGTGGCCAAATGCCGCGAGCCTGCTATCTGCTTGTGTGTCAGCCATGCGGTCTGAAGACAGGGTGGATGGGGGACGGGGTACGGAAAGGAGGAGGGATAGGTGGGAGATTGCGATTAGGGCGGCGGTACATACACCATGCGGCTCCGGCCTGCTGCTTGTGGATTGGAAGAATGTCGACGACAAGACTCCTCGAACAGGACATGGCTGAGAGCATAAAGATTAGCAAGTTGAACGTTGTATGGATGAGTGAAACGGGCTCTAGGTCCCGGGGCGACACGAGATGGAGGGCAGAAAAGAAAAAAGGAAGCGAAGGATAGAGGGTGCACGCACATGCGTTGATTGCAAAGTCAATGACCCAGATGGAGTAGATGGCCAGCCATATCGTCAAGCGACTCGAAAATTCCGACTCGGGCAGGAAGAAGCCCACAATCTCCTTGGTGAAGCCCAGCAAAAACAGATGGAGGGCGGTGATGACAGAGCCAACGACCATGAGGGGCCGGCGTCGGCCCCACTTCGAGGTTGATTGATCCGCGATGGTGCCCACAATGGGCTGGACGATGAGGCCGGATATGGGGCCCGCTATCCAGACGAGGGAGGTGGTGCTCTTGCTGAGGCCGAGGTTGAGGAGATACGGGGTACAGTCTGCGGGGAGGGGAGAGAGGGTGTTACACGTTAGCTTGGGTGGCACAACGGGAGCATGGCACGACACGTCGCGCGGTCGGCGGGCATAAACGTACAAGTCATCTCAAATCCCCAAGTAAACCTATAGTCGCAAAGCCGGGAGGGCGCGTTAGTTTTGAACGATCAACGATAACGAGGGCAGGTCTGATTCCAACGAAGGGAGGCCCTCTCTCCGGGCTTAAAGCACGTACGTGATGCCAATGGCGGAGAAGCAGAGCAGTACCATCTTCACCAGCTCACTGCTGCCCTTGACGGACGGGTGTCCCCTCCACTTCGACATGGTGGCAAAGTTGGCCGATCCAGGGCTGGCTCTGTAGGTGCCTTTGTCTTTTGTCTGATATCGACAATCGTGCTTCTTGCTGAAGCTCGCGGTTCTTGTTGCGGTCGTAGAGATAGTTGTGCGCAGACGTGCTTTTCTATTTCTTTTCTTCTTTTTCGAACAACCGCGATATGTCGGCCCCCTGCTGTCGAGGGGTGGCAAGTGTTATGTGCTCGAGCTCGCCGTCGACATGGGTTCAACCGTGTTTGGGAGGTGGTTGCAGTTGTGATGGTAATGGGTGGTTGTCTGGCCCCTCAACGACTCGAAACCTGCCCCTCGGTCGATTTGTTCCGGATCGGAGACTTCAATGTTAGATACGTGCAGAGGAGAAAGCAATCGTGCTGGCTCTTATTTTCTTTTTTTTGCGTCGTTGTCGTCGTTCTTTTCTCTTTCTCGTTAGTTCGTGCTGGTGCTGGTGGGGAGGATGAAGATGGGAAGCTTTGGGGAGTGCGTCAGTTTGTCAGTTTGTCAGTTTGGGGTTCATAAACTGGCCTGAAGCTATGATGCATTCGCTTCGGGCTTGAGGTATCTATGACATGGAGTAAAGCAGGTACAAGTGACAAGTACCAAGTATCCACTACGGCCCGGGGTCGCGCGGGAAGGACTGCAGGGATCCAATGGATGGGTCAATTGATTCAATGTTCATTCCAATGCTGGCTCAATCAGCACCAAAGGAGACGCAAAAAGAGAAAAAAAGGCATCAGATAAAACAGCAGGACAGCTGTCCTACACCAGAAACCAAAACCTGCGAAAGATCCACTGCGGAATTATGCTGTGTTTTATGACAGTTTTATCATCAACTGGAGAGCTGCGCTTCCCTTCCCTCACTGCTGTAGTCTACTTGATGTGATCCATGTGCCCAGCTTCTAGTGTATGTGGAAACATGCACGTTTTCCGTGGTCTAATAGTTTATATATCTGTGTGAGAAGATTGATCAATGATTTCTCTCTCTCTAGCTTTCCCCGCATCAGTTCGATCCATTCGTCCCCGTGGGGCTGTCTCTAGTGCACACTCAAACACTTTAGTAGAGCCGGCTACCAGCCCTCGCCTCGTCGCCTTTGTTGGATTTTGCCCCCGACGTAATCGATCACGTTTCCTCCAAAGAAGTCCAGGCTGCCTTTCTCATTCGTGCATTCATGGCAGCTTCGTGACCACCCAGCTACAATGGATCAATCCGTATTATCCGCACTAGTTAGCCCTCTTCTTGCCTCCATTGTGTTGGGTGAGATAATTCCAAGACTCTTGAGATTAACATCGATCCTGGTCTCTCTCTCACATGCCCTCGAAGACAAAGGGTACTGGCTACTTGTACTTTTAGCAGCTTTTTAGCAGAGTGTGCCCCCGAAACTTCACCCCGAAATAGTCTCTTGGACTCTAATGCATGTCATGCTGGTTTGTTGCCGGCCGTTCGTTTGTCTATCATCAATGTTTCACCCTAGTATTTTTACACCCTCTGTTTTTCTCTTTCCCTTCGCCATCATGTGGGCCTTGCCAAAGCCTCAACGAGTTGCATCGCTCATGTATACATCTATGCAAACACGGAATAAAGCCACGGGTGAAATTCTTGTTATTGGATATGGTAGACTATTGCACAAGGGGCCTTTCCCGGTCCAGCGCACACGCAGCCCCGTGTCGCGCGCCGTAAGAAAAAGGGGTATAGTAAGGTAAGAGAAAAAGGTTGGGAGGTAGAAGGCGGAGAAGAAGAAAAAAGGGGGAGGCGAAGAATAAGAAGCAAAGGCAAACCAAATATCGAAAAAGGTCGGGAAAGAAGGAGGGGGAGGAGGAGGAGGAGGAGGAGGAGGAAGAAGAGGAAGAAGAGGAAGAAGAAGCAAGCTACAAACAAACGCCTCTGTCCTGTCTTTGAACAAGTCCTATCCACCTGTGCGTTGCAGCCAGTCCCTTGCCCAAAGAAAAGAAAAACACAAACAGTCCCTGCATGCAATAATATTCCGTGTTAATTCGATACAATATTCCAGGCAACACCCGTGGGGGTTCCTCAAATGATGAAGAGCGGTTGTAGGTCGGATGGAAGCCATTAAGACTTTTTGTTTCAATAAAAAAAAAGGGAAAGGATGGAGGAAGAGAGGCTGGGGTGGTTGAAGAGAAGTCGGGCATCAGAGTTAAATAAGGGGCGTATATAAGAATAAGGTGACGAGGAGGAGAAAGGGAGCGGGGGACAGAGCGCTCGTGTGTTGGCGTGTGCGAGGTTGGTTTGTGCGTGTGCGTGTGCGTGTGCGTATGTGTATGAAGCGAAGTAAAGTCTAGAGGTGATTAAGAAAGAGCGCCGTGCGCTGCATCAAAAGTGGCCGTGATCAATGCCCGGCCGCGCCCCAGCCATGTTCCAAGACTTTGCCTACCGCATGGCTTGTCGACATTGGCAGGGTAGTTCGTCATGGTCGCTTGGAGGCTAGCTACCTCGTGATTCCCGAGTGTGGCTCCCAAACTGCTGATGTGCGGTTTGACGGCCTTCTAAGAGTCGGCGAGTTTGGCAAAGTGCTTCGACCAGATCCATCCAACTCGCTCTCGGGGTCATCTTGGTTCTTGGCAAGCCATAGCTCGCCCTTTTCAGCTATAACATCGAAGATCTATCATCCACGTAACAAACGATCGGTTAGTCAACTAGGTACGAGGGATTGGAGAACAAGGTGCTACAAGAGATACAAGCAAAAGGAGCTGCTTACCTCTCCGGCCTGGTATACGAGATACGGGTATCCGGCCTCGTGTTTTGTTGTCTCAATGTTAAACTCGAAAAGTGATGCTGCGAGCCAGAGAATGTTGTATCCACCCGACGTTGGGACTCGTTCCCTTGACGACGCCCGGGATGATCTCCGACTATCTTCTGCATCATCCGGTAGTGGCAACGCGGAGTGGAATAGCCCCGAGAATCGCCGCGGTCCATCCGGTCCTGGGTACGTCACATTGTATGACGTCGAGTTGGAGTCCCTCACGTTTGCATTGCTCGAGTCTGAGCTCTGTCGCGGCGGTGCTGATGAATCGAAGCTCCGCCCCGTGCTCGGCCGTGCCACTGGGGCGGCTACATGTGGACGTGAACTCGCGTGCGCATCATTGGTGATGGGTGAGGCACCCCCGCCGCGGTAGCCGTTGATGCCTGTATAGTAATCCCGATAGTAGTGGTGGGGGCTGGGTATGGCCGTGCTTGTGGGCGAGAACGTGAAGCTGGAATTGCTGCTCCCTGCAAACTCGGGCGTCGGGAGGCTTGGAGGGCCGTCGCCATTGACTGATGGCCCCCTGCCGCGGATCGATAAATCGGATGGTCGCGGTCGATTCTTTGATAGGCTATCGTCTGTGCTCGTTCTCTTGGACTGCGATATCCTCGGCTTGGACGACGGGTTGAGGATACCGATTGCCGAGACCGAGTCCAGAGCAAACTGGTAGTCGCGCTGGAAAGCCGAGACGATGCCCTCGACCTCGGGCATCTGATCGCTATTTTCTAGCACAACCTTGACCTTGTCTTTCCACATCTTGTACCACTCAGCCTGGAGGTTCACCAGGTTAGCGAGGCAGATGTTGCCAACTTTGACCGTGAGTTCCGACAGCTTTGGGAGCTCCTTTCTGAGTGTGTCGTTAAGAGCCTCGTACTGCTCAACTAGCTCCTTGAGCTTTGAATCTACCGTCTTGCCGCTCCTCTTGAGCTGCTCGGCTCGCTCGAAATCGAGGCGCCTCTTCGCACGCTTCTTCATCGCTAGCGACGGGTTGCCGTACGCTTTAATCACTTTTTCAAACGGTTCAATCACACTTTTCCTGACCCGCGAGAGCTATGTTTTTTAATATGGTTAGCGGAAAGACAGAGAGAAAATGCGAACAAGGGGAAGGCGCAAGGCGTAGGGGGAAGGTGTCACGACTTACATGTTGCTCTAGTGTAACTTTCTCAATGTCTCTCATGGACACGTTAAACTGGACCCATTTACTCTCCACTTCGGGGAACGGGCTCGCTTGGAGCCTCATGACAAGCTCAATCGAGGAAAGGTACTGAAGGAACTCGTGCACGTACGCCGTCACCTGACGTGTGTAGAACTCGACGTCGCGAAGGACGACCTGGAGCCGGAGATAGTCATCACCGAACCGCTCCCGTAGCTTGACGTAGACGGTATCTTCCTCGGCCCGGTTATTCGACGTCTGCAGCTTATCGACACGCTTGCCAAATGCCCTGGCCAGGCCCGCCTTCACGTCAGACTCCTTTCGTTTCCGGCCGACAATCTGTCCTACGAGCTCAAAGTTCTTCTTTGTCTTGTTGATCTCAATAATGGCCGTCTCCAAAGCGTCTTTCGCAGCCAGAAGCGGGGCACGGTCGGGGTGGTCTTCGGGCGTGTGCTGGAGGAGGGTGATGATGAGGTTCGGGTATTTGGTGATTCGCTGCATCGGCTTGATGAGGAGCGAATCAAGTCCCAGGCCGCCGTCAAGTCCTTGGCCACCTCGTTGCACTCGTTGAGCCAAACCTTGACGGTGCGGTCTTGCTGAATTTGAATGAGTCTCTTGGCCGCTTGGTCGCTGTTTCGGAGAAAGCCTTCGTGTGCCGTTTTCATGATGTCAATGTTGGATTTAAAGACTGGCCCGAGCCCGGTCAGCCGGTCTTTTTCCTCATCCGGCTCGCTCTTCATCGAATGGCTATCCACAGAATTGGTCGTAAGTTCCGACGCTCTCGAATCCTCCCTAGGTGGCGGTGATTTCCTGCCAGCAAGCTGATACACGGGCGCCACCGCCTCCTTGAGCTGGCCTAAGAAGGCTGTATGGAAGGCGATGATTTCATCCGTGTTGCGGAATATCAGCTTCACTGTCTTGTCGTCCAATTTAGGACAGGCCTCGGCGGTGCCCTTGTAAATTTCTTCCACAATGTTCATATCGCGGACAAACACAGCTTCCGTATCCAAAAGTTCCTTGATAACATTCCGTCGCTGGATCAAACGCTGCCTTTCCTTGCTAGGTAGACCGTTCTTCTCTACGCTCTCAGCTACGCTCGCCCGGTCTGTTACGCTCGTGTGCTGCGATATTTCCGAAACGCTGGGCGGAATCTGGTTGACGGATGCGCTGGTAGAAGTCAACGTGAAATCCTCGCTTTCACGATTAGAATCGACCAGGGTACTGCTGCCCGGTAGCTCGTAAAAGTGGGTTGGAGGCGTCTCGTGCAACTCATCGAGGGCGGGGACCGGAGGAGGTTCGTGGGCGGGGAGGGGGACGGCCGGGTCCGCATACTGCTCTTCTCGCTCCTCTGGATGCTGGGCGAGGTATGGTATCTCGAATCCCTCGCCGGTGTCAAGCTCGGGCAATTGATGGCTCACGGCATAGGTTCGCATATCGTCGTCATGGCTGCCCATTGGCGCGAGCCGAGCGCTTTCCGCCGGTTGAGAAACTTCCTCGCCGGCTAGAGGGGAACCGGGAAACATGGCAACATGTTTAGGCAACGGCGATGGATCCAGTCGGCTCTTCGACAAGCGTGGGGCTGCAGCGTCTGATGGCTCACTGCTATCGATGGAGAAATCGGTCCAAGTTGAGTGCTGGCTCGATCGATTGCCGGCCATGAGCATGGAAGGAACTCCTAGCATTTGGGTTGAATCGTGGGTGGATCGGATACCAAGACCGCCAACGCCCATCTCGCCTCGGTTTTCGTCCGAATGGGAGGCGTCAAAGGATTCGCAGGTCGAGGCGCGATTGGACAAGGTCGCGTCTTGTAGGTACGGCTGTGGGGAGTAATAGGCCTCCTGTTGGTCGCCATCCTCCGGGGCATCGGCGGAGCATACATCGTCTGTTAGGGAATCCTCGCCGCCGTGATTGATGTTGCGAAGAACGTCGTTTTCGTCCAAGTTGAGACTGTAACCTCTCGTATCGTAATCATAAGAGGGGAAGGGGGCGTGGCTATGTTGAGAGCCGGTGAATTGGGACATGTCGGACCCGCGTCTCAGCATACGCACCCGGGCTTCGTACGAGTCTGGGCCATATGCGGCACTTTCGTAATCTTCTTTGAAGGCCCCTGGGACCGACGGTTGTTCAAAATCGTCGTTGGGGGCCACATCCGCTGGCGGGAGTGTCGGAGTATTCAAGATGTCTAAGCCGATTTCAACCACCATCTGCTCAGGGCCTTCTACTGTCCCAAACTGTTCTTCTTCATCCTCGAAAGGGTATTGGTATTCGGTCCTCGCGAGTGTCGGAAGGTTGGCCTCGTACGCCATGGGAGGAATATCCACGGCCAAGTCTATGGTCTGATGGAAGTCATCTGCTAGGGGCGCGGTCTGAGAAACCAGCTGCACCTCAAGGCCCGGTTGCGGTTCAATATCAAACTCCGTCATATCCGAGGTCGTTGATACCGCCGAAGGTGGGGGATTTCATCAGACGCAAGAGGAGGGCTCAGGGTAGGGAAGCTCCCAGGTATGCCCAAGGTGGGGGAGTCAACAGCTCCGTCCTGGAGGGTTCCATCAGGAACGAGGACGGTTTGCGTGTGTTCAGGCTCGGCTGGCTTGGCCGACGTCTCGGGGAGGATCTCTAGGGAAGGCAGATCATCAGAGGCCACCTCGAACATAATGGTTGGTTGGTCGGAAGGCGTCGGCGTCGGCTCGGTGTCGGGTGCCACATCCTCCGTCTCTTGGTCCGCTTGAACCTTTGCGGCTCGCTTAGCATCTTGAATCCTGGATTGTCGAATGGATTTTCGGTAGGCCAACTTGACGTGCTCCCTTCGCTGCTCAAAATCGATGTTACCAACCGATACCTTTCTTCTCCTGCTGCTCTTTTCCTCAGTACTCGAAGAAGGCGACTTCCAGTGTTGCTTTGTCGGCGACTTGGGGGTGCGGTCCGAATTTTTAGCCTGAGCTCGCAGTTGTGGCGACCGAAACCGGCTGCCTGGGCCTTGAGCTACGGAGGGGGCGAGAGCTTAGGAGGTGGGGTGGATATTATCGCATTCAGCCTCGAGCTACCACCCGTCGTGTTGGCCGGGGTGGCGATATTTCGAGGCGGGTGCTTTCGGTTACCACGGGACTCCGTCGGGGTCCTGGAGCGGTTGCCCGTGGGCGTTCCACTCCTCGAATGTTTTTCGTCGTGGTGCGAACGACGGAAACTAGGTGAGGATGGCCAGAGCCGGACTGGCTGAGATCGCTCGAGATGCTGTTAAACCTCCGGCTCGAGCTAGGTCGCTTGACTTGGGGGAAGTTGGCCGGCGGCGGGGCCCGGGGAGGAAGGCGGCGCAGCCCCAGCGTAGCTACCATCGTGTAGATTGGGGTGTAGTGTGGCGGATGATCGTGTCGAGAGCTCGCTAGCACGGCGAGCAGATTCGGGTCGATACCAGTCTGTTGGCGAATCCGGAACGCCGTCCCCCATATCGGAAAAAGTCCGCCGCCGTGAATCGGAATCGGTGTCCGATGGGGCCCGCGGAAGGGCATTTTCGATGCCGTATCCTACAGCCAGGGTGTCTCGCTGATCCGGAAGGATCTCGCCAAATAGTATAGGCTGGGAAGCGCGAGAAGGGTTCCGCGAGTGCGAGACAGCGGAGGATGACGAGGATGCTGGGGCGCGCTCGCGGGAGGACTGCGTCGTAGATCTTGTGCCTGTGGATTTGGAAGAAGTGCTCGACTTGGGTTTGTTAACGCGATTGGCGAATGATTGCCCGTTGTTGTTTTGAGATGACTTGGGCCTGCTCGATCGGGTGGGGTCGGTGATTGACGACTGGTTTCGCGAACTGCTGGACCTGGAGGACGCCGTAGAGGAAGACTGACCGGCGGCGGTGTTGGTGGTGGAGGGCCCACCGGTTGGGGTCGTCGCTCTGCTCCTAGACGAGTAAGTAGGACGGTGAACCAGCGAGGAACGGGCTGGCGGGCGTGGGATCATGGAGGCAGAGCCGCCCTGATCAAACTTTTTCCGGAGATCCTTGACACTTGGCTGGCCAGCTGAACCGGCCTTGGAAGGGTTGGTAGAGGAACGATCGTCCCCAAGAGGAGCAGAGACGGAACGCAAGTTTTGACGGAGGGGAGTTCGCGAGCTGCTGGCACCGGAGGGGAGTCGTGAGGAGGAATGAGCGGCGGTCGAGGGGGACGAGGTGTCCTGGCCTCGCGATGGGGCGGTGGTGGCCATTGGGAGATCGGAGTCGAGTTCGTGGGCAACTAGTGCACCAGTATTCGTGTCCTGATAACTACGGTAGAAATCATGTGGATCTATCGGGATCGCGGCTCGATCATTGGCGGCGACTGCGCTCAGATTGGCATCGGTGTACCTGCGGCCCGGCGAGGAGGCAGAGGTTCGGGCAGGTTGGGCAGTATTGAGACGGGCGTCGGCTGGGGGAGGATGGGGTGGAAAAGTCGGATCGGCGTAAGGCGGGTGATGGTGAGGGTCGAGGGAAGAGGCCAGGTCAGCGGGCTGGAGGCGCTGGGTGGGAAAGTCGGAGTAGAGGTGCTGTTGGTGGTACGGCTGGTGCTGGAATGGCTGTTGGAGATGAGATGACGGGCGATGCTGGGAGAGGGGATCGTCGATGGCCGAGGACCCTAATCGGTAGTCCTCGTCTCGGATTTCAGCCTCCATTGTGACCCTGGCACCCGTTAGGCAGGCTTGCGGGATGGGGGCACTAGGAGGTGAAGGACCATGCAAGCGGCGGGGGCTCGTTGAGACGTGGGATCATTGATGAGTTGGCCTTGGGATGTGAGTGGATGGGCATAAGTGGACGAGGTTTCTGGGCAGAGCGGGCAACACTGGCAAATGGAGAGCAAGGCCGCAGCCTATCAATTTCGGGGCTCTCACACACTGGTTGGTGTTTCTTGTCTCGCAACGCCACACAAGCTAAGAATCGCACGAATTGGAGGGACGCGAGAGACAGGGCGACGGGGGTTGAAGGAAGGAAACAAGGTACGAAGGGGATACTTTGTCCACTAGTCCACACTCGCACGTGCGGATGGGGCAAAGGTACACGAAGCCATGTACACGACCAACGGACTTCTTCCTCTCTGCTACACTAATCCGCCAGGCGAGACCTTTTTCTCTTCCAGTCCTCTTCAATTGAAGTTGTTTTTTTCTTCTTCTTTTCAGGACATTTCTTTTGGGTTTATTCTTCCTCTCCACTTGGGGCAGCAGTCGGTAATAATAATAACAGTCAAGTACATGCAATGCAGGCGATCAACTGACGATTAGTTTCTGCTCGACCACCGGTTCGGAGGGGTTGCCCTCTTTCTTTTTACAATGGGATCAATCCATCTTCATCATTGATTGATTCCCCGTAGGCCAGCCCACACAGGGACGGAGGCACTAGGGCGAGGTACCTTTCTATGGATAGTGGATGGTGGATGGATGGACTGGACCATCAAGGACGAGAGGGAGGGACTCAACCGTTTTCGTTTAGCCCTCAAGCAAACCCAAGTCGCAAATCGCTGACTGGCTTTAATAAGGGCCAGCATCTCGGTACACCAGCCAAGCCGGCCAGTACAAGGATTTCCAACAACTCGACCCCATTCCGACTGATGAAGGGAAACAGGCTAGACCCATCCAGCACCGGATCCTCCGCACACGTCGCACCACGGCAAGGGGATGCGCTAAAAGACCCAGCCCAGGGTTGCATCCGGCGAAGATCTCAAAATACGACTACAGAGCTGGCCGACGGCACACTAGCGAATTCAACTAATGAATGAATGTCTCTATTCCTGTTGGCAAGGAGAGCCCAACCAGGCTTGCTTATCCATGGAAGGCTCGATGCCAATGTCAACATAATCGTGGATCTATGGATCAATGGATGGATGTGTTGATGCGGCCAATACCACCCCCTATAGTCACCATGAAAATAAAAGTAGCTACAAAGGGGTAGTTAAAAGGAGAGAGGGAGAGAACGCACCCGATTGACCAATGCAAACGGCTGCCCAAATACGATTTCGAGGTTTCGATCCTGAGGGCGGTGCGGGCCAGGAGCCCCATCCAAGATCCAGAGGCCAAGGATCCGGATGAGTTTGGTCGGGTCCTCAAGGAACATTGAAAGTCTGAATCAGTGGGGGCCCCTGTTCGAGTGGGGACGAACCAAACGCAGCTTGCGCTGGCCCAACCTCGAAACGCCGTCACCTCCGCATCAACAGATAGACCGTCTCCAAGCTGAACACAGTACATATATGGTCTAATAGCAGATTGATCCTTGAAATGGCACGAAACGTATGACTGGCGAGAGACGACACTACACATATGTATGATTGACGCATTCAGAAATACAGGAACCAAGGTATCTGCTACGCTCGAGCTGGGACGAATCCCATGCCTCATGACTGATCCGGCACGACAATTGATGGATGCATTCCGAGATGTAGTGTACTGATAGGATGGCGGAGCTCCTCGCTCGGCTCGCAATTTAAAAACCTTTGTCGAGTCTTTCTGCCCGCCCGCAAAAGGGGCCAACGTGGGCACCATCTTGATGCACGCTTCGAGGGAGGAAATTGTCGGTGCTACATGTCTTGTAAGGATCTTCTCGGCTGGCTAGCCATTGATAGCGGCGCTTGGTGTGGCGGCCGAAAAACGAGGGCAGGCTTGAGGCTTATCAGGGGAGTGGCACGGGGCGGAAGGCGGGTCCCTAATGTGAAGAGAGGAAAGAGAAAGAGAGGAGAGATGAGATACGAGAGACTATTCAAACAATAACAATAATAAGAGAGCGTGGTGAGGTGCTAGCTTGGCTTGCAACAGTGTTTCACCTCTTGTCTGGGTTCGGCAGGTCAAGAAATCGTCATCCGTCTAAAAGCGACTACTCTGGGGGCTGGGCTTGCTTCACTCCCTTCTCTACTTGGTTGTTCATAGCTTGAAGATTGAAGAGGCCCAGACTGCTTTCCTTTCTTTTTGACCACTTGCACTCGCTCGAGGGCCGCCTCTTTCCCAGTCTAGTTTTTTTTTTTTTTTTTTTGCTCCTCCTCTTCGTTTTGACTGTATCACCTTTTCCCCTTGAAATCCCCGCAAAGGGAAAAGCATAGTATACAAGGCTCTGCGGCAAGGGAGAAAACCGGATGAGTGGGCACTTGTCTCATATACCCATAACCAGGGCGGATGGTATGAAGCCACGCAGGTGTACGGCGCCCAACCGGGAGATGCACATGGAGGAATAAATGTAAATTAATTACATAGTCCCCTGAATTCTTGCCCGCTTGCAGGTCAATGGAAACCCACGATACGCGGAATAATGTTGGAACAAGAAAGAGGCCTGGACATTGGTGTAGAGTAAAATCGAAAAACTTGAACGCCCGAGGTGGGCGGAGATCTGTGGCTCATCACTCCATCCAGTCCAATCTCCATTGATTGAAGTTGCAGAGAGCCAACGGACTCCATTCATCCACCACAGTGATACACGACATATTACATGTACTTGGCAGGGGCCCACCAAAGAATCTCGGGATTTTACGCACTTGAGGGCCAGGACCAGCAGTGAGCCCTTTCAACTTCAAAATCTTCGTGATGTTAGTCGTCAGCTCCCATCACACCTCTCCATTGGCCCAGTTGATATGTGTTGTAGTTCGTTTGCGACTCGGCCCATGGTTCGGACAATCAGGGTTCCTAGACGCACGTAACATCCGTAATAACAGTTGGTTGATATCAATGATTGCATGTGGTTGATGGTTCGGCCTGCTCGAGTTCCTTGGGTTCCAGAAGCGCCCCTGCCACCCCCATTTCTCTTTTCCCCGTTATCGACAATCGAAACTCAGAAACCGAGATCCCTTGATTGGTATCAGTGCCGTCTTAGGCAATAGGTGAGGTGAAGACCCTCTTTTTCTTCCTTCTTCTTCTTTTCTTGTTCTCATCCCAATCTCTCCGCTCTTCTTCAACCCCTCTTTAGAACATGCCAACTGGTATGGATTATCCTCCGGATTCGGAAAGATGAATCTGACAGATGCTCCTTGCTCCTGGCTGGGTCCATCAGGTACAAGCCTGGAGGCCATGCGTCCTTGCAGCCAATTACCGGACACGCGATGTTCTGTTGAGGGGATCTCATCTCGGGATGGCGGGGGCTGACCCGGCCGCCCACCATACTTTGGTCTTGTCTTTTTTTCTTCTTTTTCTTCTTTTTTTCCGGCTCTGATAGTCTATTTCGAAGAGGTGCTTCAGAAAATCCTACAAGACCTATGATTCTCCAGAGCTTACAAGCCCAAGAACACCACGAATTGCTCCCACGAGAGAGGGAAAATGGGAAAAAGAGGGGTGAGAGTCTGCGCAAAATGGAATGGACATGAACCAGTGGGATGAGGTGGAGATCTTGCATCACCAAGCAAGCAGTTCAGAACTGACGCAATAATGGATTGCATAGATGTCTTGAAAAGGCAACTGTTCCCGTCGTTTCTCTTGGGATTTCAAATGTGTGCGTTGTCCATGTCGGCGGCACGACGCTGGGAGGCAAACACCCCTGTCAACAGCGATGCACCCAGGACGAAATAGATCGATTCCATTCCGCTCACCTCCCTTGCTGCCAACTGAAAACTGCGTGTTGCGCGGCAAACCGTCCCTCTGATCCCCCGCCCTCTTCTGTGCCCATTAGAAGATTGGGAAATAGGAAGCGAACGTTGAGGCGATTCCCCCGAGAGTTGCTTATGTTTGACACGTAGATCTTGGATCCATCTAGGCTCCACCCAGTCAGTATGTACGGACTAAGAGGTAAGGGCAGTAGTGTTACGGCTGATTTCTTTCTCGTGGCTTTCTCTCGTTTTCCCCTCTTTCTCTCCCCCTCTCTCTCCCTCCAAGAGACTCGAGATCCAACCGTGCTTACTCGGGGATGGCTGCAGATCTTTAGCCCAAAGGTGATCACCGCGCATGGATTTTGGCGCTTGTCCGACACCAACACTGAAACTGGCGGCATGGACTGTGGCTGGGGTTGGATTAAGCTTCGCCTCTAGAACACTGCGTTCTCCAAGATCGTCCAGGGGGACCACAGGGGAGCTCCAGGGCCAGTGGCTGCAGAGTTGGGAATTGCTGATCTAATCAACGTCCGTCGAACCTTGCTGTTGATGGATGCGTATCGAACGGAGCTATTGATCAATGGGCACTTGTAGATGGATCCATAGATCCATCCGAGATCCACCAGATCACATCATGTCACCGATCAATTGACCGATGGAGATGTAGCTGAAAGTTAATACGAAGAGGTTAATACAGAGATCCATCAATCCATGGTTGTTCCATTTCTAGGAACTAGCTCGACGGATCAGTTGGAAATTTTGGAAGCATATCCCAACTCGTCCAGTCCAAACCCCCACTGACGTTTTACCAACAGTTGGTCAACCAATTGCGGCAGGGCCCATCGTTTTTTCTCGAGACCCTGAAAAGCCACCAGAAGCAACGCTGAGCACTGAAGCTCGTGTACCCACCCCAAATTTAAGGTGACGGAACACAGAGGACCAGAACGCGACTTGGCGCGACGACCCTCAAATCGAGACATCAGATTGACCAATCTTGTCCGCTCCAGCCGCCATCGTTGCTGGCGTCACTGACGCCCAGTACCAATTCTATCACCAGTTGGCCATATTTTACCCTGGCTTTACCTAGCCGATCTTCAGAAATTCGGGCCGTGGACCTTGGCCTCCGTCGAGCTCGTCTCACATGCACCGTTGCTAGGATAAAGATGCTCCACCTATGGTCCCTCAACCGATGACGGCCATATTTGCAACAAAAAACTGAAATCTGTCTCACGCGACCGAATCCAATGCTCATTCGAAACCCAGGCAACTGCAATCCCTCCTACAGTAACCATGTCGGGTCGGGAACACCTCAAGCGGCGCCGTCATGAGCCACCACACGCCGGCGCGGAGCAAAAGCGAGTCTGTACGAGCAGACCATCGCCTCCGGATACGGGCCCTCCAAGCCGGGCACTTCTGAATCTGTACTACCAACGCGTCACCACTCTACGAGAGTACCTGTTGTCGAGACTCCCGGCAACTTCACGCGCGCGAAAGAAGAAGATCTCGCGCCTGGGCACGACCACTGCTGTGCTCAGCGAGCGTGAGACCAGAGTATACCACCTGCTCGATACGACCCTCGTAGGATTATCAGATAAGCCGTATGATCAGTCGGAAGATCGATGGCGGGAGTGGGTCACCTATTCCCAAAAGCATGATGGCTCTCACGTCTCCTTGACCGGCGATCCCGCCTTTTCCCAATCCGAGGTTTGGCAAACCCTTCCCTGGTGCAAGCGTCGGAGCATCTCTCTGATCTGCAAACAATGTGTACGGTGAACTGATTCCCCTTTTGAAAACCGTGTAGATTGTTGATTTCACCATCTGGCTTCTGTTCTCTCGGTCTAACAAAGCCAACGGTAGACCTAGGCATATCCTTTGTGACGGCTTTCGGAAAACCACCGGCCTCAACACCGGGAGGCAGACGGGCCGTGCGGGAGAGAGACCGTCCATTCCGGGACTCTTATCAGTCTTTCCAAACCATCATGTTGAGGCTCTTAAAAGACCGCCATGGCCTCACTTGTTGGCTCTATTGGGCCAAGCTGGAGAGAGAATCATGATTGATCTGCTCGTAGACTGTGCCATCTTCCAGAGCGTCAACGCTGGACTGAACAACATGTGGCAGCTGAGTGGTGAGTATTTCTGTCCATAGAGATCCTAGCTCCAACCTCAGTGCTCCTCTCCTACTGGGTACATGTTCTTACCTTGCCTTTCAAAAAGGGACCCCGCTCTCCGAATTAGATCCATTGCACCTAGATGCTGCACCCCCTCTCGCCCAGGCTAGTGGGAGCTGCCCCCCAAGTGTCCTCCGGTGAGATCATTGGGAGAGATCAACTTTGTCAGAAGTCGTATCTTTTATGCGAGGGCCGGCATGAGTGCAAAGGGCAACGTCCACACTGGCTTTCGCCATATTCGTATGTTCTTTTTCTTTCTTTTCTTTTCCCTTCTTTCCCTTTGCACTCCTAGCCGTCGTTGATTTTTACGCCTGGAATATTAATGGGAAGAGGGAAAGATATTGACGAAACCCATAGATATCCTCAACCGTGCTCCCTACCATGCCAAAGGGGACAACGCCAAGGATGGGCCCGGAACCGAGAGCCAACCTAGTCGAGGGTCTGATGAGAGCACCCTCCGGGTCATGGCGTACATGTTTCCCCGACAGTTTGGCCTTCATAACGTGTTCACCTTCACGTTGACCGGACCAAGACCGGTCAGAAATTTCAGGATTACACCCTGCGAGAAGACGAAATCAATACCACTTTTCATCATGTAGATCAAGAGGGGAACTCTTCCGTACGGATCCGGCTACCCAAGCGACTTCGCGGCCGTCCCAAAGAACTTGTGCAGCGCCTTCAAATCCTTCACACTCGTTGCTCCTATAACCAGCTCCTCGATTACTACTGTCCAAGGCCTGCGGTCGGCCCGGGACAGCGCGGGGCGAAACAAACAGGAACGGACTTGAGGCTGACTGCGGGTCCCGCCGCTTCGGTAACCGGCGATGGAACAACCGAGGACCGCCAAGCTCGAAGCCTCGCCGACGGTGTGAGACGAGCTCAAGACAAGAGAGGGAACGGTGGCAAGGGCGAGCCCACGACGCCGTTGACCCCCTTGACCTAGGAGAAGACTCGATTGTGGACCTCGCCACTCCCCGTCTCAGGTATCGGCCTTTTGCCAAAGAGTCTTGTGCAAAATCATCCCCAACGAGGTCTGGGGCGTGGGTTCTGTCCAAAAGCACAACAAAGAGCTGGTAATGGAGAACGTGGACCGCTTCGTCCGCCTTCGCAGATTTGAAAACATGTCGCTTCACGACATATATCAGGGCATGAAGGTAAGAGAATCGTCGACCCGCTCTCCATCTCTCTCTCTCTCTCTATTTAGTGACTTCATGAGCGCTAACGCTTGCTCCCGATAACCCCCACCTCTAGCTAACCGACGTCGAGTGGCTCGCACCGCCCCACCTTCGAGAATACAAGATGTCCCCCACTGACAAGCTAAAGAGGACGGAGATTTTCCTAGAGTTCCTGTACTACGTCTTTGACTCGCTGCTGATACCTCTGATCCGATCAAACTTCTACGTTACTGATTCAGGTAAACACAAGAACCGTCTCTTTTACTTCAGACACGATGTCTGGAGGCGCATCGCCGAGCCCGCCATGGTCGCCCTCAGGGCAGACCTCTTTGAGGAAATCAAGGCGGCCGATGCTCGGAGCCTGCTCGATCAGCGAGCACTGGGCACTAGCCAGCTAAGGCTCCTCCCCAAGGACGCTGCCCTGCGCCCCATCATGAACCTGCGGCGAAGGGAGTTCCACAAGGGTCGACAAGTGTTGCTACCCAGCATCAACTCGATCCTCGCCCCCGTCCACGGCATGTTTACCCTAGAAAAGGACCGGGACCCTTCGCGGCTCGGCTCCTCCCTCTTTCCGTGGCCGAGCTATACTCGCGCCTCAAGGCCTTTGCGGAGAATGCGCGAGGCGGTCCGGTCAAAAGGTTTTACCTGGCCAAGGTCGACGTCCGCGCCGCGTTCGACACGATGCCCCAGGACGCCGTCGTTGAGCTCATGAAAACGATACCTTCCGATGACAGGTACGTCATCTCCAAGTACGTCGAGATCAAACCCGGAGACTCGGTGCCGGACACATGCGGTACCGCCCTCTCCAAGCCGGCCAAGCGCTGGCAGTCCCTCGCGGCCACCGCCAGCGACGAGACGCGCTTCGCCAGCCACCTAGAATCCAAGCTAGCCACGGGCAAGAAGAACACAATCTTCGTCAGCAACTCGATGAAGCGCGTCTACAACACCGGCGCCCTCGCCACCCTCCTCACCGACCACGTGCGCAGCAACATTGTCAAGATTGGCAAAAGTACTACCGCCAGAAGCGCGGCGTGCCCCAGGGCTCCGTCCTCTCGACCGCCTTTTGCAACTACTTTTACGCCGACCTGGAACGCCGCCACCTCGCCTTCCTCGCCGACGACCCCGGCGGGTCCCTCCTCTTGCGCCTCATCGACGACTTCCTCCTCATCACCACCGACCGCTCCAAGGCCGAGCGCTTCATGGCCGTCATGCACGCCGGCCTCCCCGACTACGGCGTCACCGTCAACCCAGCCAAAAGCCTCGTCAACTTTGCCCTCGAAATCGACTCCGTCCCCGTGCCCCGCTGGTGCCCCTCGTCCCCCTCCTCCCCGCCACCGGCTTCCCTACTGCGGCACCCTCATCCACCCATCCACCCTCTCCATCTCCCGGCACCGCCCCGCGGGCCCTCCCCGCCCTCCTCTCCGACGCCCTCACCGTCGAGGCCTCCCGCCGCCCCGGCCACAACTTTGAGCGCAAAACCCTCAACGCCTTTCGTATCCAGTCCCACATGATGTTCTTCGACACCGCACACAACCCCGCCTCCCTCTCGCGCGCCAACCTCGCTGCCGCCATGGCCGAGACTGCCCGCAAGGCCTGCGCCTACATCCGCTGCCTTCCCCGTGATAGGAGGCCCCGCGAGGATGTCTTTGTCCGCACCATCGGCCGGCTCGTCGAGGTTGCCCATGCCCTCCTTACATCCAGGACCAGAAAGGCCCGGTTTCCTGGCTATGAGTGCTCCCTATCCAAGATGCAGGTCCGTATTGCCGCCCTCGGCGCTTTTAGCGAGGTCGTCAAAGTTAAGCAGCCGGGGTATAAAGGCGTCATTGACTGGGCCGAGCAACAGATGAAGGCGCTTGAATCGGGCAAGTCGCCCAAGCACAGATCACAGGTTGTCTCCTAGCGGCAAGCGTAACAAATCATAAAGTTGGTGGCTTGGGCCAGGCGATAGCTTAGATTCTAGAATGTATTGTATTGGGGATGAAGAAAGAAATACGTGTAACACTAGTGGTAGTCTATGCGGTTCGTCTATCGTCTAAACTTCCTACACAAGGAAATAGAGGAAAAAGGAAAAAGAAAAAAAGACAGGATATCACAACGCACAACTCATTGGCATGCTCCTTCCCTTGGACATGTTAGTGGCGGTGCACACACTTCCTCCATCTTATGCGCCTAGGGCAAGACCTGTCTGCCACCAGTGCTTTCCCGAGTGCCATGTGAGGAGGTAGTCATGCCACCTCCACCATGACTCGCCGTCGGCGCCGAGCCCGAGACCCTTGAACAGGGAAATTGGTACAGGTTCGAAGAGCCAAAGGCCTGCGGTGCCAAAATCGTAGGCGAGGGGCCAGCACGTGGCCCAGAGCCACAGTACCGTGAACAAGAGGTTACCGCATTGCCGCACGGCCTTGGGGAGCCGCGTTAGCACCGGAGCAAGCCGAACGCAAGCGGCTTGCTGAACATAGATGCCAAGAGCCGAAAAGGCAAAAAAGAGAGGAGCATGGTACAGTTTCGTGGGCGCAAAGGTGGTATAAGAGCCGCAGGCGTGCAACAAGCCAGAGTTGAGAAAGGCTGATAAGACCTTGAGTATGTTCGTCAACTCGGCTCGGGCCGGCAGATGGCCTTCCGCCACCAACCAAGAGACAGGGGCGGTAAAAGGCATGCGAAATGTCTGATGCCACCATCCACCCCAGAAACCGGCAAGGCCCCGGTCTAGGACGGGGGTGAAGGAACCAAAGACGGATGGATGTTGCCAGGCCTCCCTTCGAATGGGGTAAAAGTAGCCTCCGATGAAATATTGAAGGATGTCGAGATAGCTCAATACAAGAAGAACAACGCGCCAAACTGAAATTAGCACCAAGAGGTTTCGGAGAAAGTCAACGAGGAGGTTCGGGAGAGCTTGAAGAACGTGAGGCAGGGGCAAGGTGTTCGGGCCAACAACGAAGAAGGGGTCCAGGGGCATGTATGTGCTCATAGCGTCGAGCAGGATGTACGATGTAGCAAAGAGTTTGAGGTTGTCGTATAGATATTCCTTGGCCGTATCATGGCGAGTATAGCCCGCCTGGGCCGTCTTGGGGATATCCTCGAGCTTCACTCTCTCGTAGGGCTCCTGGAACCTCGGCCGTGGGGGTGAGGAACAGTAGCGATGGCCCAACTCCATCCTGAGGCAAGGTCGAGTTAGCAGCAGTTAATGGTTAAACTAGATAGAGGAGCAAGATATAAGGAAAAGTAAAGTGAAAGAAACAAAAAACCCCGGAAGAGGGCGGGCAGAGCGAGGAGCTAGGAAGCACAAGCATACCTTCGCCTCGAAAGGTAGTCAAAAGATCAGTAGCCCAGTTGAAGCGGTACCGGAACGGGGCGTTTATCGGATAAGGCTCCCAGTAATAAGTGTATCCCTTCTCCGCTTGCACGACACTGACGTTTGGACGAGAACTGTAAGCCGAACCATTCTCCCCGCGCTCGGCCAATGGCTTACAGTGAGCCCCGTTGACGCCGGACACATGAGCCCCGCCGTCCTTTTCTCCCTTCTTCTTCATGGCCTCGGACTCGACCTTGACGATGCGCGCAGCATCGAACTGGGGGCGAGTCCATACCAACATAGTGAGGCTGTTCATGATCCCCCAATAGCCGTAAAGCCCCGAGCCGTAGGCAATGGCGGGATTGGAGCCAGAAGTACGGATAATCAGCTGAAGATTAAAAGATACAGAGAGGGCTGCGACAGCGAATCGAGCGTGATATAGCCACGGGCGATTGGTGTGAGGAAGGGCGAGGTACAAGGCAGGTATGATGAAAGTGCCCAGGAGGCAATACGGCACTATCAAGGGTTGGGTGGTGCCTTTTTCGACTGCATTTCTGAACGAAGCTGAATGCGCCGATTGCACCGCCCTCCCGAGATTAACGATAGGGCGGGAGGCATTAGAGGTGGTGAAGATATCAAAGCCATAGCTAGCCATGACTGCACCTGTGCTTGGTGCGCCGCGAGCGCTCGCTGTGGAGGATACGAGTCCGAGAAGGGGCCCGCTCTTAAGAGGAGGAAAAGGGGGATGCGCCAAAAGCCTAAGAAAGACGGGAATAGGGTATCCCTGGACTACTCAAAGGCTCGCTCGCCCTCCCATCGCAGATGCCCAATAACGATATCGCGGTGGCGGTCAAGGTGGGAGAGCAAACAAGAAAAATGCTTTTTTCTTCTTCACGGGTGGGATGACGAGGGAGTTGTTGGGGATGGCAAGAACAAGGATGTGGCTAGGAGAAGAAAAGAAATACTATTGAATGCGGGTTTAATGGGCGTTGACATAGCCGTTGACGAGAGCATAAAGTGGGCGCGTCCCTTAAGTCACGATGAAGAAAGGTTTCTCAAAGAATAATACCATCACGCAGAGAGGAAAGTGCGTGTGCAGCCCTGGATATCAGCAGGCAGTGGCAGGGGGAGACAGGGGAGACGGAGGAGACGTCACAGCCTATCATGGCTTGCGCTGTCTCGAAAATCCGACCAGCAGACAAGGATATGGAGCTGAGCGGGAAAGAGAGAGAAAGGAAAAAGGAAAGAGGCTCCCGAGATCGCCACGAGTGCAATATTCATGCAATGTACCAAGATACTGTCCACTGTCCTTATATCGGTAATCCGTTGTCCTTTTTTGCTTTCTTTTTCTTGTAGGCAAGCAAGCAAGGTAGGTTTGGATTGGCGATATGAAGCAGTCAGCGCCCTTGTGGATGAAATGAAGCTGACACTACCGAGGTACGAAGTATTAGCTTCTCTGATGATTGGAAGCCACTTTCTCACCCTCCCACGGTGCAGCTACGCTCCTAGAAAGCAGGAGGAACATTGACGCGAAAGAACTGGGTAGGAGAGTGAAATGCGCTGCCCGTCGGAGTACGCCTTGTTATGCATAGGTTTAGGAAAGGAAGGAGCGTGGGGTGAGCTTCTTGTCCTCGACAGTCGCTGGCTGAAAGCTAAAATATTGGAGCAAAGTCGTCGAATGGCGATCCACAATGACAGCGGAAACCTTCGCTCCCAAGGTCCTTAGCACTCACTAATCACTTCAGCTATGCGTACATTGATTTGCCACTAATACCTCCGGCTGCACGTTTGCCCTTGAACCACGAGAGTTCCTTGGCCTCAGTGGACTCCTGTCCAAGCTAGCTGAAACCCTCGAATACAAAGATGACCAACCTAGTTGATGGTTGAGGCACACGCCCTGGTCAAGATCGTTAGAATAGAATATCGAATCCAGCTGCCGTCGCCTCACCTCGGCCCGAGAGCTAGGGAGATGAAGTTGAAGGATGAACGAGTTGGGGAACTGAGCCCAAAGGATCCAAGATGCATCGAGGTGGAGGAAGGGGTGGCCACCACGCTGTATTGAACTTGGCACCCGCCGGCAACGTCGCCGCTCGCCCATCCCACGAGCACGAGTGTGCGCGATTCACAAGGACTACGATGTGGATTTCTGACACGGTTCTCGAAGATCTCGACCCTACAATTCTAGCGGCGCCCCAAAGTCTTGCGCCTGCATATCGTTTCCGTCTTCCCCACTCACACAGGTTGGCAGGCCGTCCCCATTCCACGAGGGCGGCGCTCGCAGAGCCAGTCCCAGTGCCTGCCATCATGGTCGATCGATCGGTGAATGGCTTGCTCCGCATGTCGGATACGCGGCAACTGCAGTGGATTGGCAGCCGAGATCTTGCATCTCCTTCGCTCCCGCCACGATCAACCTTAGACTAGGTGCCCCATACCATTCGCCACCCACCCGCCAGGCCACAGGCCAGAGGTTGGCCTTGTTGGCGAGTGTGGTGCTAGGGTTGTAGGGTTCTGGCGATGCCCACATGTGACGCGTGAGTTGACGCAAGCCGGGCCACCAGACTTTATGGATTGAAGACGGGCTGGTCAATTCAGCCCCAGCGCCGCCACTGGAGGGGTCCTCCACCACCAAAGCTAGCCCCGTCCAATCCTGGGTTCCTCTTCATACAGCCCGCATCCATCACTCCCAACAATGTACACTAGAGCGAGCGCAACAACAGCTGTGTTGCCCACGACATGGCCTCGCCCTTCCCCCGGTCAGTCTTACCCATTCGCCTGCACGAGGTAATATTGCTCGGGCATGACCCCATGTGTGCATGTGTTTATGGGTTTGTGTGTTATTTTGGGGTTTGAGTGCGGCTAGCATAGTTCACCGCCGTCCACCAACGACAAGGCGCGGATTGCATCGTGGGAGGATACGGGATTTCGCGATCGAGCCCCAACGGCTGCTGCAAGCCTCTGCGCCGGATTTAACCTAGCCTCACCGCACGACCTGCCAGAACGTACAGTGAGACACCCTACGCAATCCACCTCCGTCGCTGAGGTTGGCCTGCTTGGTTAAAAGGGCAAAAGGGCTAGCCGAGTAGCCCAGCGACCTGGGGCATCCAGAAGTACAGATGGTAGTAATACAGCCACAGCAAAAGGGCCCTAGCTCTCCATCTGGTCGTCTGCGATCAACGCAATGCTTTTACAAACCTAGCCCATCCCACCCCCTCTTCCTCCAGTCTCCACCGAGAGACTATTATTATTTAGATTCCTTTCGACGGTTTTGCATTGAACTCCCCATTCTTTCTCCAGTTCATCTCAGCCCAACGACTATCTCTAGTTTTGTAGCTCCCTCTCGTCGAGGCGCTTCCTCCGTTTTCTTCTTTGCGCTTTTTTTGTCGGATCCTTTTCGCTTGAGTGATTCTTCTCTCTCACTTTCCTGCTACTGAGGATTTCTCTATATTCTCGATTCTCTCCACTCCCCGAGGATTTCTACAACATACTGGTCAGCAACTCGGCGCAAAGACACCCAGTCATCTGAGCTGCTCCACGTGGATTCTCAAGCGCACACCGTCCTTGACCTTGGACGACTTGTTATTTTATTTGTTCGCCTCGGCCTTTCATTCGGTTACCAGAAACGAATTTAAAAAAACACAATAGTGGTTTAGAGCGCAACCCACGTAACCGGCTGCGCGCAAGTTGTTGTCCCGCCACTCACCGACAAAAAGTCCCTGGAAGCCCTTTCCCAGGTAGAAGAAGCATTGAAAAGGCGCGGAACGCGGAATTGAACGTCCAACATCATGTCGGCTGCCGAGTATTACAACGTCGGGCCAGACTATCACCGGCAACAGCCGCAACAGCAGTATCAGTCTCCTCCCCCACAAATCTATGCTCAGCCTCAGTACCCTCAGGCTGTAAGTTTTTGTCGTAAAAGGCTCCGTGTCTCCTTGCATCTGTCTCTCTATATGCGACCCTGTCTTCTCATGTGGTCAGGCTGACACCCTTCTCACACAGTCTCATGGACCACCCCCTCAGGTCTACTACCCTCCTCAGCAGCCTATGCAGATCCCCGCCCAGCCCCAACATCCGCCGAAGAAATCGTCGGGCGGCGGTGGTAACTGCTTGACTGCCTGTCTCGCTGCTATTTGCTGTTGCTGCGTAGTAGACGAGGCCTGTGAGTGTTGGTAAGTCACGAAACGAGTACATCCTCAACGTTCATCCATCATCTTGATCACTGACAGAAGCTCTACTCTCTAGCGCTGAGTGTTGCGAGTGTTGTTTCGAAGTCTGTTAAACCATTTGCTGCCGTATATGCTCATGCGGACGTTCGTTCTGACGTCCTTGACGATTTCTCTCTCTTCTCTCGTTCTTTTCAAGGGTTATGCTTTCAAACACATCTTATTACAGCAGAGGCGTTCTTATCTCGGTCTACTAAGGTCTCATGTTTGTTGTTTGCCTTGCACCTATATGTCTCCCAGGCCGGCTGATTTCTCATCTTGTTTCCGCTTGCTATCTACGCTATGAATCGTCTTTCATTTTCTTCGTCAACGGTTATGACCCCCACCCCCACCACCAAAACCCTCTTTTCTCCAGTGAGGAGCCATGGCTTTAAGATGTATATAATAGCATGAACTACCGGGGCTGTCGAACTGGCATGCTAGCTTTTTTCTTTCTCTCTTGCCTAAACCACGCGACGAACCACATCTTGGGTCGAGGGCTTCTCGCTCCCCTTCCTTTTTCAAACCCTCAGTCCCAGCCGTATCGTCGACATGGCCCTTAACGTGGGCTCTTGACCAAGATCAATCACTTTGATGCATAAAGTGGCTAGTTCGCCTGAGCCCTGCGTCCGTCAGCCTCCCGCGTCTCGCAGAGGACGACACGGTCTAGTAACTCCCGGGACGACTTCCGAATACTTCGGTCCAGGCTAGGACAAGGCAGTTAGCGCCCCTTCCCAACGCAGCGCCGTGGAGAGTGTCACCGCAAGGCTCGAGGGTTCCGGGATCCGTGTGGGCCAAGGCCGGTAGCTGCCAGAAAGAGGTGGTCTCCGAACAGCCGAAACCGAAACCATGCTCTCCCAGCGCAGAGTCTTTGGGTGCACACACCAAGGTTAGATATGTTCTCCCTGCTTCGCTGGACTGTACCATTTCCGACTCGAGCTCGAGCTCGTGAAGGAGCAGTAATATCCTTTTGGCGGGGCTGTGGAATAGAGAGGAGGGAAAAAGATTGCCTGAATCGAAACCTTTTTTCAAAAGCAGATTACATCCACCTCACCACCTAGTACCATTTAATCATCGATGGCAGGGAACCGCGAAGCATATGCTGCGCTCATTTTTTTCTGAGTGATATATTTTGACCATAATCGGTAAACAAGCATGCAACCAGTTGCCTCTACCTTGACTCTTTACTCGACATGTCCGTTTCCTCCTCGTCATTTCGTTCCTTCTTTTCATCCATTGTCCTCTCTGGACGTGCTCGACGTTTCCTCAAGACTCCTCACCTCCCCCTTTTTCTTTCTGTTGATACGAGAATTCAACCTCCCCTAAGGATCCTTTGCATACCTTCCAAGGCTTTACTGGTTCAATTCGACGTAGTTGGCTGGGAACAAACCAGAGTCACCGTTGAAATGGCCAAACCACCAGTCCTCGTCAGGGAATTCTAGATCAGTGATAATGTCGCCCTCACCAAAGGATAATTCTAAAAAGAAACGTTTGGTTGTTAGTTTCAAAAGGAAATCAATATCGAGGCAAAGGGGGTATTGAAAAGAAAACTCCAAAAAACTCTGCAAGGGTCCTTACCATTATCCTCTGCAGCTTCGTAGTCGAATGAGGCAGTAGCCGTAGGACCCGCCGAGGGAGCAGAGGGCTGCACGGCTGCGGCGCGGCAGCTGGAACTGGGTTAGGGGCAGGAACGGCCGCAGGCTCGGGAATCTCTTGGGCGACCATGGCATCCTCATCACCACCCTCTACCAGCTTGACGTAATTGCTAGGGAACAGACCGCGGTCGCCCTGGCTGTTGGTACCGAGCCACCAGTCGTCGTCCACCATGTCAATGTCGACAACGTACTCGTCTTCACGCAGATCGACCTCGTTATCCTCGGCCTTTTCATAGTCATAAACGACGATGGCCCTGTGCCCGGAGCCGCTGCGCTCCTCCTCTTCCTCGACCTCTTCCTCTTGCTCGTTTTCATAAGAGTGGGCGACGGCAGCAGCCGCAGCACCTGCACCCACGCCGGCGGCAACGCCGGCGGCAATGGCGGGTGCCCTATAGTTGTCCCTTTCTCGTACGGGAGACGGCTGCCTGGGTGGCTCCTCTTCCCTGGGTCGGGTGGGCAATGATCGTGGCGGTGAGGGTTCGCGAGCTGGGGGCGGCGAAGGGCTGCGGGGAACGGGCACGGCTACGCGTGGAGGAGAGGGCGAACGCTCCGGCTCAGGCTCGTCGTACTCTTCCTCATCCGCCGGGGAGGGCGAGATGGGAGTCCAGGAAGGGCAAAGGCACCAGGGGTCGAGTCGAGCTCGGGAGAGGCGGGGAGGAGCGTCGGCAACCGCCCTATGCGCCGAGGGTGCTTGGGCGCTAATGGGTTGAGTATCCTTGAACCGGTCCCTGAGAGCGGAAATGCCGCCTCCCGAAGTTGGCTCGTCGTCGTCTTGGCGGTGTCCGCCGCTTTGCTCACTTTCGCCGGTCTTCTGCGCTGCGACGTCCCGTCCGAGGCTAGCTGTTTGAACGGGCGCCCACGATTTTCCAGTATACCCACTCTTCCATTCGTTTCCGCCGCTCTTCTGGGCGTTGATGGGCGAGGCCAAGGGCGGGGTCACGGTGCTTGGAGTACCGAGTCCACCCCCTTGCCCTTCTTCTCGGCCCAGATCTGCGCTGGGGTCTTGCCACCTTGATCGGCAAAAGTACGACTGGCAGCGCCGATAACCGGAGGGGCCGGGGCTGCAGCCTTATAGAGTCCCGAGCCGCCAGGGGCAGGGGGCTTGGTTCCGGTAAAGGAAGATGCCGCGGAGCCAAATTTGTTGCTGACCTTGGGCTTGGGCAAGCTGGTGAGGCGCTCGGGTTGCTGCGGCTGCGAAAAAGCCGCACTACGCTCGGAGAGGCTCTTGGCCACCGGCTGCTCTGGTTCCTCCTTTGCAGGGGCGCCTTGCGCGCGAGCGCGGATGGCTGCGATATCAACCTTGCCCACTGGCTCATACGCGCCCTTTACCGGGGTAGGTCGAAGGTCGTCTTGATTTTTGGCGGCGGCGCGGATGGCAGCAATATCAACCTTGCCGATGGGTTGGTATGCGCCCCGGACTACGTCGGGAGAGCTGGAGTTTGTTGGGGCACCGTACCCCGAGGATCCCGAGGGTTGTTGCGTGAGCTCCGCCATGTTTACCTTGGTGGGCTTATACGCCGACTCGACCTTCTCGCCGAGTTCGCGTGAGTTGGGAGCATCGGCGCCCCAGCCGTCCTCGTCCACGTTGTCGTCTTTCCTGTTGCGCGCAGCGACCAGGGGGTTGATTCGTCCGGCGCTAGAGTTCGTTGGGGTAAAGACGGGCTTGTTCGCGGGGGGGGTGGGCGGGCGGCGGGCGCAGGCGCAGCGGAGCCGGCAGAGTACTTGGCTCCGGAAGCATCTGCGACCTTTGGATAATGTTCTCGGGGACGATATCGCTATCTGACCGCGCTGTGATCTGGACATGGTAGCCATGAAGTATCTTGGAAACGGCAGCAAGGTGACTGGTGAAGTAACCCTTGGTGCGCTCGGGAACACCGCCGCCGCACCACGCGATGAGGACATTCTTAGGTAACCCACTGTTGGGGTCTTTTACCTTGAGAAATGCGAATTGTATACGGCCTTCGTTGAAATCCTCGACAAGGTCGGCAAGCTCGCCATCTAGAAGAAGCACATGCCGATGGTCAGAAACTGTCTGATGAAAGGCCGGTCTCGGTCTAGGGGGTTTCTTCTTCTTTTTAGGTGGGGGACAAAACAGCGAAAGGAGAAAAATAAGGTTAAAAGGGGGAAGGGGAATTACCTCCAGTGCCCTCGACCTTGAGGATGCTTTCTTTGGCGCCTGTCGCCTGGAAGGCATTTTGAAGGGGGCTTGAACGGAAAAGAGGGCCCAATGAGCTTGGGTGGGCGAGCCCGATGGGAGGGTAGCGTTGACGACAGCCTGATAGCTGCTCTTAATCGAAGGCCCATTCGTAGAGAGGTTGAGAGATGCCATCTTGAATGGTGTGGTTAAAGAGTCAATGGTGGGAGATGTGGAAAGGTGAAGCCTGGAAGAGCTCCTGAGGAAGGGCCGGGCAAAGGTGGAGAGGCTTCAAATGGAAGTGGGTGTGGATTTCCAGGCGAGCAAGGGTGGGGAACAATCCAGTTCCAATGTCGGTACCTTGCTTGAGGACCCTGGGCACAGCGTTTCGAGCAATTCGAGGAATCGACGAGGGGGAGGACGAAGGCGGAAAGGAGGGGGAGGGCCGAAAGAGACGAAACGGTAAATCTCGAAATACTGGGAGAATATTACTCAATCCAGCAAGGAACAAAACTCCGGGTGCTGTTGGACGAAGGAGGCTGCGAGAGCTTTTGCTGACCTTGTGCTCGAACGGATTTGAGGTTTCGCTTGGTGACGACACAGGGTTGAGGCTGTGCTTGCTTAGCAAGGTTGGAGCCAATGATGCTGGCCGGCTTTACCCACCCCGCCAGCTGCTGGCCTCGAACACACCACGAGGAGTTGAGGAGGGAAACTGGCATTAAGGATCAAATGGGTCAGGAATACGCGGGATGTGCCAGGCACTGTGCACTTGCGCACGAGGCAGCAGCTTTGAGCACCGGAGCACTTCAATGTTGAGTCTTGGGTCCAAGTTCAGGGCTCTTTAGCTGGTGGGGAGTCCACACCCGAAGCTTATTGACGCACTGTAGAGCTAGCGGAGGCCAGCCATTGATTTTGGCAACACCCAATGAATCCATATTGTCTTTGATCAATGATGCATGATGTCGCGCATTCTAGCACACGACTTGGCCCAAATCATCAGATATATACTGTATTGTGTACTGTATCGTGACATGCTCAATGATACTGCTACTCTACTTCTTTGACCGTAGGCGTGCATTTGCACAACACCTCTTCTTTTCTTCATGATCGTCAATTCAACCTGCGGGGAGGGAGGAGGCGGGAGAACCCTCGGAGCGGTTCCAGGAGAAAATCCGGGGTTTATTCCTTAAGATCCGCGAATCGAAAGGGCACGGTATCTTAGCAGCTCATATAAATCGATATATCAATTGATCTTCTTCACCCTTCTCATATGCTACATTTACTCTTGGGGGCTTTGTTCCAACGTCGTATTTGATATTAATTCTTCAAGCCGTCGATCCAAGAAGGCAGCTCGTGGGACGAGACTGTGGGAGGGATTCGCCAGTTACCACGTGCCGCTAAAGGTGCTAAGACAGGCTCAAGGGCTTCCCTGTTGCTCCCGAAGTTTGCCCACCATCTCGACTCTTGAGAACCACTGCCCATTGTCGACAATATCATGAATGGTTCTTCGCCAGCCTGACACGGGAGTTGGTGTCGCAAACTTCCATTTCAAGCAAGCTACAGATGGTTCCCCATGTACGCATCCGTGCGGAAGGCAATCCTGAAAATGTGTGGCATATCTCATTAGCTATCACGAGGTGTGAGCTTGGGACGCCGAAAAACAGGACCCCCTTGCCCTTTTATCATGAGGCCCCGGCCAGCCCTGACCCTGATTTCCGGCTCCCGTAGACCACTTGAAACCCCGACTTATGTTGTGTGCGTCTGTGGTATTTCCTCAGAATAAAAAAACAAACCGGTGCGCCTCCATATCCCTTACTTCTAACGTGCAACCTTCACAACTCCCCTACCCCTCCCCTCCCCTTCCCCTTCCCTCTTCTTGACTCGAGGCACAGCTCGGAACGTGGTGTCTCGTTCCCTCTCGCGGCTAAAAATGACAGACTATCAACATAGATGGCGCCCTGTGAGCAGCCACTATCTCGAATGCCTCTGCGCGCCGGCCCATGGGGTGAGTGTCCAGCCCAAACCAAGCGATTAACCGGGGATAATACGGCATCGAATAGAACCGTTTACTCAGCCATGGCGACGTCACCACCGCCCACACTGTAGGGTTTGAGGAAGTCGGCATCGTTTGCGATTTCTTCTTTGACGATATCCAAGCCACCAACAAGCTCCCCGTTGATCCAGAGCTGGGGGAAGGTGGGCCAGTCGGCAAACTCCTTGAGACCCTGGCGAACTTCGTCGTCTGCGAGAATGTTGAAGAAGCCGTACTTGACCGAGTTCTCACGGAGGATAGCGACCAATTGACGCGAAAAGCCGCAACGGGGCTCGCTTGGGGTGCCTTTCATAAAGAGCATGACGGGGGCTGCCTTGACGAGGTCCGACAACCGATTGAAGAGCTCTTCCTTGGCCTTCGCAGGATCCTGCGAAACCTCCTCCCCTTCGGCGGAAGTGGGGGCAACATTATCGGTAGCAGAAACCCCATTCACGGCACTGGTCGACGGCGCCGCCTCGCCATCGGCAGCTTTTCCGGCATGAGTCTGGATAGCGGTTCGAACTTTGGCGGCGCTCGTTCCACTCACTGTCTCGAGGACTTGCCCGTCCCGCGATATGACGATGTACGGAACGACGTTGACCTCGTACTCCTCTGAGATGTCTTCGAGTTCTTCGGCGTTCACGGAGGCCCAGAGCGTCGTTGGGGGTTCGTGGCAGGGTATTCTGCGGCGAGGGTCTGGACGACGGTGGCCATCTGGGCGCACGGGGCCGCCCATGGAGCGTGGAAATATATTATATGTAGAGCAGAAGAGGGTAGGCTAGCGATGTGCTTCTGCCAGTCGGCGACGCTGAGGATTTCTGTGAGCGTCGACATTATGATGGCGTTTTCGTAGGAGTGTTTGAGAGGTATTTATGCCGGGTCTATCGTAGTCGTTGGAAGCGGGGAGTGTTGGCCCGTTCGCAACTCTCAACTCGTTGAATAAAAAAAAGGTGTCGATGTCGAAACCCCTTCGATCCTTCGATTGGAAAAGATGCCTGCGGGTAGCCCTTTGGAGATGAGAGCGCTCCGGTATTTTGGTGTCTCCGTTGTTGTTTGCAATTCTATAATTCCCGCCTCGAAATTTTAGAACCAGTAGTTGCACACGAGTGTTACCGGAGAAGAAAAACTTTCGAGTTGAGAGTTGGTCATGGAGGGGCAATCCGTGTAAACCTTGGCCTTCAGAGGAACCCGACCCCGCCAAAAAGAAAAAGAAAAAAAAAGAAAAAGGCCGATTGATAACCACATCGCGCCATCGAGTTACAACCCAGGCTTATTAATCTTGAAGGGTCCGGTTCTCCTTGGACCAGCTGGACAAGGGTGGATCCCAACCTGGCTTGGTCAATGATTTGTCTGGTCCTCGCCTCAAACACTGCCGGTGTTCCCCTCGCTGGCCCGGGACACATTCTTGCAGATTTGAGGCGAGGGTTCTAACAGTGAAGTCAGCGCTGCGCTGACGCTATCCACGCCTTTGGGTAAATTTACTGCCCTTGGATACCTATCGCCGAAAAGGGTGGATGGAGACGGTGCTCTTACTTGAACCTGCATCCACCTCATGAATCTCACGGTGAATAAAGCATTCACAAACGAGGCGCATGTATTTATCTCAAGAAACCAACAAGGCTAATCTCGCATGTCCTCGATGATTCAATTCTCGTACTTATACGCACGCCAATATATCTCATATGAGGTGGATGTCTTTACCTTTCTATCCCCGCTGTTGAGGGGATTTCGATGGGCGGCATCCATCTCGTTGTGGCGCACTTTCGGTAAGAATCCGAGAGGCTCAAATCCCTGGCAGTGAATGGATGAGGTCTGGTGGTATTTATTAGTCTCCGTCTCATGCGGGCTTGTTTGTTGCTCGCTTCAATCTTAAAGACTTGCGAAGCTTTGCTGCTGCCTAAATTCTTTGGCGGCCACGCCGTCCCAGGAGGGGCGGAAGCACCCTGGTCCTTTGGTCCGCCCTAGTGACGTCGAGCATTCAAAGCGCATCAGCGATAGTGATATGAGAGGTCAACGGTACAAGTATTGATCAGTACTCGACCTCCCAAGACCATCGACCGGTCTGGCTTGTGTTCTTTGGATTCTTCAATCGCTTTTAGTAGGCCTCAGTCATGTATTTTTCTTTTAAAACCTGCTAATCGGTTATGGACATCGAGGTACTTGTCTTGTAGTCCATGATAATGGATGCGTAGAGGCCATCGATTTCCAAAATTGAGTGTGTATTCGGGGTCATTTATTGGGCAATTGTTCGCTGGATGGATTAATAATTACAAGGTGTCTCCATCATGATATTCTTCATCCATTGCTCCTCCCTGTCTAGTTCTCTACTTGTAGTTAGAGTTTGGGCCCAGTGCCCTCAAGCTCTCAACGTGGTCGCCAAGCGCCAGGCTTGTGTATCCTCCATTGTACCAGGTCCATTGTGGATGGTGGATGCATTGATTCTATCCACATGGAAGATGAATGTAACCAACGGAGTCCTCGAGATGCTCCGCCCGCAGATAGGTGAATCGACCTACTTGTAGTCCCCTCCCGCCGATCAGCATTGGGCCATTTTTGACGGATCAATCAGTGGATCAAATCCTCCGCCGCCCACTTACCCTTGATTCGATCAATGTACAAGGAATCCGGGCAGTCTCCCAATGGCTAAGCGGCCGCCGACAAAACCCCCAGGGCCTGCTCGAACCCCATCAAATTATTAACCTTGCAACTTAGTCGCGAAGCCTTCAATGAACGGCTCCCCTTTCTTTCCTTTTTCCACAATCCACGAATAGTCAACATCGCCGATATCCCACGGTCCAACCCCAAGTGCCCCTCAATCGCCCACTTCGAGCACTTATCCCCAGCTTGTCACTGCCCAACCTCGCACCCTTTTGACTACGGTATCGAGCCAAGCAGGCGACGGCCAAAAGCAACGAGAAGCGAAAAAGAAAGAGAAAAAATCCGGGAAAAAATCCCTGCCCTGAACCGCCCCTCTCACCTTTTCCGCGAGGCGTTTGGGAATGTTTGCGAGTAGATACCTCAGCAGGCATTCCCGCTCTCTCATCCTACTAGTATAGGAGGCGAGCATAGAGCGCGCCATCAGGCCATTCTTCTTCAATCCCTCTCTCCCCCTCTGGTCACCTTCCTCTGGTCACCTCCCTCTGGAAGCCATTAGCGTCACCCTGTTTGAGAACCTTGACCAGCAGCCATGACTCCCACTCCTCCCTCCACCACGCCGTCTTCTGGCGGTGCGCATTCGCCAAACGACCAGTTTCGCGTCGTGCGCAAGAGAAATCGCATACCAGTTAGCTGTCAGATGTGCCGGTCCAAGAAGTGCGTCTCTCCCCCTCCTCCTAACCCCCGATGCTGGCAACGGGTTAACAGTGGTTTTATAGGCTGTAAGACCTATCTTGTGTTCGCAACCTCACCTCACCACACCCCTCCCCCACCCTCCCCTCTCCCGGGTTCCGCGCTCCTCCTCCACAAATTCCCCCTATCCTCCCTCCCCCGCCCCTCCTCTATATGCTCGCCGCCACAGCGCCTGGCGTATCTAACCTCTCTACATCTCTCTAGGAAATGCGACCGGCTTCACCCCTGCAGCAACTGCGTAAAGCGGGATGGTACCTCGACGGTGACGTGCCATTACGCTGCAACAGCGCCGCGAAAGAAGGCTTCAGCCCCTACCCCTGCTGGCCCTGGCGACATGCAGAACCGAATCGATCGCCTCGAGAATCTCGTGCTGTCACTTATGCACGGAGGCGCCAATATCGAAGTCCCGCTTCGCGCACCCAGTCCGTGAGCCAGCAAAGCCAAGATTCGATACCGATCACGAAGCGATCGGCGACGGGAAGCTCAACCGCGGTCTCGACTCATACAGACCTGGGCGACGATGGTAGCGACGTAGATGACGGTCTTGCCAGCTCACTCGGCGTTCTCAAGGTCGACTCTGAGATGGGCAAGTCCATGTACCTGGGCCATGAGCACTGGCACTCTTTGCTCGCCGACATCGCCGAAGTCAAAAACTACTTTGTCACGCATAAGAAGGAATTAGAAAAGAGCTTCAAGCAAGTCATCAACTCGAGGCCTGCGCACGCCCTTGAGGGACCTGTGCTTCTTCTCGGCACATTGCGCGCCCCTGAAGTCGAGCTGCGCGCCGAGCTCCCTGGCAAGACTGCCATCCTAACCCTGTGCGAGCGTTTCTTCTGCTCTGCGGACGGCTGGGTCTCCATCATTCACCGCCCGACGTTTCTGCGGCAGCTCCAAGCCCATTGGCAAGATCCTTCCCAGACGCCCTTGATGTGGATCGGCCTCCTCTACTCGATCCTGTGCCATGCTGCGCTCAGCTACCACAAGGCTGGAGATGAGCCTGCAGATATGAAGGGCCGCTCCTGGATATTGCCGCGGAGTATCGGCTGCGGGCATCACAATGTCTAGTGACTGCCGACTATACGAAAGCAGTTGAGTACTCTGTCGAGACGTTGATGCTCTATATCTTTGGGGAATATAGCTCGAGGTGGGACATGGATATGGCCCTCTGGCTCGTTCTATCATTGGTGACTAGGATTGCGCTCCGGATGGGCTATCACCGTGACGGAAAGTGGTTCAAGTCCCTCACTCCATATCAAGCGGTACTGTTCTTTCCCTTCAAGCCCTCTTAAAAAAAAAAAAAAAGATGAAAGCCTTGAAATAGCGTACTAACTCGGCGACGCTATAGGAGATGAGAAGAAGAGTCTGGGCCACGGTCCGAATGGCCGATGTTGTGTTTTCACATCACATGTCCCTTCCTCGAATGATCAACGACATGGACTGCGATACCGAGCTACCCCGCAATCTTAGAGATGAGGACTTTGGGCCAGAGTCCAGTGAGCTGCCTCCGCCTCGACCGGCCGTTGAACGTACGAATGTGGATTATCTCATCGCCAAGGCGACACTTTGCATCGAGTTTGGCAAGATCCTGCGCGCAACCACGAATGTGGGCCACCAACTCACATACGAAGAAGTCTTGCAGTTCGACAACGAGCTCCGGGCCGTTCGCGCACAGTTTCCGTCTCATCTCAAGATTTTGCCATTGTACGACGCCATGGAACCGCCTCACAGATATATCCTACGTTTCCATCTCGACTTGCTGTATCAAAAGGTCCTATGTGTCCTTCACCGAAACTTTATCCCACGAGGGCGACAGAATCCGCGGTACGCGCACTCGCGCCGAACGGCCATCGAATCCTCACTTGCCATGCTACACCACTTGGAGACGCTTCATCGCGAGACGCTGGTAGGCGGTCGTTTAGAAGAGATGAAGTGGCACGTTACGACGCTGGCCCTCAAGGACTTCAATTACCCAGCCGCTCTCCTTGCCGTCGAGCTACGGTATTCGAGTCGGGAGCCCCATGATAGCCCCAGCTCGCCCTTCACTCCTACCGGCTACCCCTGCAGTCCCGAACAGCAGCGCGAGATGCTCAGGGTTTTAGAGGTCACCAGGGACATCTGGCAAGGCATGTCTCACTCGTCGGTGGACGCTTACAAGGCCGCGGCCGTTCTGAAGATCCTGATCGAGAGCGCGAAGCAGGCTCGCCGTGAAGAGACGGGCCGGTCCGTGACACCGGGAGCCCCGAGCACGTCCCGCCTTACCAGCTTAGGCTCGTTTGACTCGCCCGACATGAGACCGGAGCAGTCGGCTGCGCTAGGCTTAGGCATGCTCGCCGGATCCATCTCTCCCTCGTCCCCGCCCCCGCCCAGCTTTGGAAACCAAAGCAAGTTGCCCCCATCTCGCAAATGGATCTGCCCATGTCGGCGGGGGTTGCGGACTCCAGTATGCCGCCGGAGCTCCAGTTCGACACGTTTGGCGTCAACCGGCCGTCTTCCCCGCCGCTTTCCATGTTTCCTCAGCTTGGAGTGACTGGCGCGGAAGTGCCCGGAGAAGTTGACTGGGTAAGTTGATTCACGGTCGTACGGGGACTGTGGTTCAAGACGCAGTTCCTTCATTCTTAACCGAGGCCCTACCGTAACTAACACGCACCGTCTTCTCCTTTAGGATGCCTTCGAGAACTATACGCAGCAAATGATATGGTCCGTCGACCCAGCCTTCCACATCTTTGGGACGAGCGAAGAGGCAGCCCAGCAGGGGAATAATCCCAACAACGAGGCACCGCGATATACCAGATAAACCCTTAGCATCCATTCAATTTAAAATGGGCATCGGCGAGGTTTTTCTTGGTTTTGTTCTGCAGAGAAGTGTCACGTCTTCTTTTTCTGCTTGCCCTCTCCTTCGTTTGTAGCCATCGTACGGCTTGGCGTAATATAGTTTCAAGGGGGAAAAGGGCGGCACTTGCTTAGAATTATATCCAGGTGAGGAGAGGTTTAGCAAGCGTTCGGGGCTATGGGCCTAGGATATGGGAGTACGATTCTAGGCCATGTGGGGGCGGTGCTTGGGTGGGTTCATTGTATCAGCAGGGTTTTTGATGATGTATGCGATGGATTGGACCGGAGGGCGAAATGGGTTTATGCACGCCATCGACGAGGACTCCGTGAAACGACCCCCTTTTTTTCTGTTTCCTTGTTTTTCTTTACTCAAATCTCTTTTGGCAGGACACTCTCCCATCAACAAAGGCGGGCGTATATGTACGTATATATGGATAGATATATAAAATCTCGAAGGGTCTTTAGTATTTCGGGCCCCGAGTGGAATGAACGACATCAGACGCATATGCGAGAGCTTTTCACGCGGAATCCCAGCAAGAAAGGGAAAAAAACCCCCGGAAGAAGAAGAAAAAAACAGCATCACAACACTACTCGGCTATTCGCAAAATGCTGGGGGCCGGGGAGGCCAAGGAACATGATAAGAAGATGCGGCAAGGGACAAATGTTAGATAAGAAGTGAGAAAAGCTCAAAGGCTGATGCTAAACTACCTCTGCGCCCCCACTCTCACGATCCGGCACTAGCGGCGCTTGGTATCAAAGACGGGAAGAAGAGGGAGAGGACGAGAGAAAAAAACGACGGGGAAAAAGGTCGCATGGGAGCGAAATCGTAGAAGCTGTGCACAGGGGAGAGGGCGAAACATAAAAGGGAGGAGTAAAGGAGGCGAGGGTATAAGGGAAATGGGGAGTTGGCCGCCACGGTCTTGCCAGTTTGCATGTCCAACCATTTCTCAAGAAACGAGGATCCTCGCTCCTCTCTCATTCCCGCTTATCGTTTTCGCTCTCCGACACCTTTTCCCACTCGTCTTCCGTGCTCACACTCGAGTGCATCCCGGGACCAAAACCTCGAGCGGCGACAGACGCTGCCGTTTCCCTCTTCCTCATCTCGCCGACGTTCTCGAGGACCTGGGCGCTGCGGGTTTCCGCTGAGGGGACGGTGGCCTCAGCCGCCGCCGCCGTTGTCGGCGTCGTAGTAGTAGCCGTTGTCGCTTTTAGCGCAGCGGGAGGGGCCGTCATGCTGGTCTCGACTTCGGTCTCGCTATCGCTCTGGCCGTCGTCGTCGTCGTCGCCGGAAGAGCCGCCGGCGGCATCGTCGCGGGCGGCCTCTGCCTCGGCCTTGCGCTTCTCACGCTCTTCGCGCTCCTGGTGGATTCTGAGTTCGGTGGCGAACCAGTTGATGGACCACCAGAGGCCGCCGCACAAAACGGACAGGGCGACGAAGTGCATGCTGTTGGTGGTGACGAGGAGGACGGCGAGGAGGATCTGGAGGGCGGCAAAGGTGCCGTTGGCGGCCTTGAGGAGAGTTGGGGTGGGTCCAGCGACGAAGATGGACTCCCAGAGATCTTCTAGAAAGGAAGTCATGGTGGCTAAGGAGTGGGCGCGTAGCGCGGACCCGGAGCTTTTTTTTTTTTTTGGTGTGGGGTGGGAGGAGGGAGGGGGAGAGGACTCTGCTCGCGCGAGTGGCGGAGGCGTCGGGAGACAAGCTGTGTCTTTGGCGGAACCTTGGCAAAAGATGTACGTGAAGCGATCTGCACTTCTTGTTGGCGCGGAATGGAAGGGCGGTTTGAGAAACGCGCGGGCGCGGGTGTGAGCTGTAGCGAAAGTGGACGAATGGCAGAGGAAAGCGCGTGAAAGTGGGAAAGCTCGGCGAGGGGTTGGGAAGATTAGGGAGAGCTTCAGCTGGCAATGAGGGGCGGTAGAGTATGTAGGTTAGAGATGGCGGTGTCTATGGAAATCAATACCGCGTTGGTCTCGTTGGCGTGCTGCTAGGGGGTAAGAGGCGGTTGCTGGTTCTGAAATTAATTTGATCGAGATGTTAGCTTGAGCTTTGAAATTATTACATAGACCAAGGCAAATTGTCTGGATCGATTGCATATAATGGGCCTGATGCATTGATCAGCGATTTTTGGGCGGTGACGTGACCAAACGACCAACGGCGGGCGGGCGCATCGCTTTATAAGGCCCTGCAAGTGGGCACCAATGGCGGTTTTCTTTGCACCATGGATTTTTTTGAAGGTTTCGAGGCCCACGCCCAACCTCAATCGCAGCACTGTCGTTTCGCAGCACACATGCCAGCCTGGCATTCTCGATTGATTGATACCTGGCGCTCCTACCCCCACCGGGTCCTTGCCCAGGGCGTTCTTCAGGCTCACCATCCAACCTCGAGCGCAAGGAAAACATTACGAGGGCAAAAAGGACAGATCGGCGAAATGGGAGAAGGACAACTTACACAATATCTCTCGAGGATGTTGTAAAGCGAAGACGCGGCGGGCAGGGAGAAAGGCCAAGCTGTTCACTTCGCTCCGCCAGGGCTCGGAAGGTGCTAGGCAACACGGCGGCAAAGAATTTATCACTTGCGTTGATGCAAGGGCCGTGGAACCTCGAAGCTTGGACTCGGGTTGGGGGGTTTCGATCAGGCAGACAGATAGCAACGAGCCGGGCTTGATGAGAGGCGGGGCGAGGAGCGCGATTGGGCTAAAAACCATTGTTAGTCGTTTCGCGTATTGGGCAGTGCTTCTCAGTCACTCGTGGCGCGAGGGCCGACCAGCTTAGCTCCTGGTATTTTTACACTGAGGGAATGTGAACCCCTTCAGAATAGACTGTTGTTCTTTCCCGATCTGTTTTTACCTACCGATGATATAGAGGCCTTGAGAATGGAGGGGGAAAACCGTGGCAGAGTACCGAGAGGTGATGGCTGTGAAATAGCGCGGGGAAAGTATGGCAAGAACTCAGAGAAGAACACTTGCGAGCTGAACTGGGACGGAGCTGGGTTGTCTCGGGATGTCTTCACCTCAAGTATATGAGTGTGCGCCAGGCCTCATTCGGTTTGCGGGGATTTCACGCAAACCACGGATGGCGAGTGAACAGGCGGTGACCGGTTTTAGTTTTATATCTCGTCCTTTGTCCCCTTGGTTCTTGGGCTTGCATGGTCTTATTGTTAATATCGTTTATTGTTTTCCCCTCGGTACTTGGGCTTGCACGAAGTTGTATCGTGGTCGTCCAGCCGAGTCTGGGGAGGGTGGAAATTCAGGCGGCGGGCGGTCACTGGCCCCGCCACGCGACCAACCCTGCTGCATTCATCAAGTGGCTGTTTGGTCCCAACGTCACGTCCAAGGAAGGGACTGGGGATTCATTGTTCAAGTAGTATAGTGCCGGCCGGTTGTTGATGTTTTCTTCGGGTAGTTCGAGGGCTCTTTTCTTTTTGTTTTTGCCTTGCCTATGTTTTTAATGGATAGATCTGCCCATAGAATGATTCATCCCCCTTCTCCCTCCCTTTCCCCGTGTCTCCCTCTTCGAATTCCCCTGCATCCAGTACCTCGTAGCACCGTTCTGAGGAATCTCACAGACCTCTGCGGATGTGATGTACAGTGAGTGATATCCGCTGGCTCGTGAGGGGTTGCAGACTGGCAAACTAGCGAATGTACCTATCCATCCTTATCCAACCCCTCCTCGCACGGGAGAGTAAAGAATAGAAATAGCTATGATGCGAGGTCGGCTGGCCTGGGTGCGGTCAAGCATCGAGTGTACATTGGGTCGTCTTTCCAGCACGTTGATATATGGCAGATTGAGGGGTAGCGAGCACCGGACACGACAGTGATGATCTGCGAGCATCAACCGTGTGTCCACTTCGGCCTGCATTCCTGGCCGTCCCTCGTCTTTCCTCCCCCGCCCCCGCCCCCGCCTTCACGGACCAGCCAACTTTCCATATCGATACCTCAACTTTGAAGTGTCTCGCCCGTCGTCTGGCTGGCTTTCGAGCTGTCAGTGATGCGGTTCCCGGCTTGCCCCTCTCCCCAACGGCTCCCAGCTCCCAGCTCCCCAGCTTCCGGCTCGGCGCACCAGCATCACTCAAATTAGCACCAGCACGTCAACACTGCGGCATTGGCTCTTTTGATCAATGCCTAACGTGAAAGTGGATTTTATTACATTGCATATACCGTGCCTCCCCAGCCATGCAAAGAGGACCCCCATGAACTCGCGGCGACGAGCGGGGGTGGGGAGAGCGCGGCCTGCTGTCGGGATTATTCATCTGCCCTTTTTTTTCCCCTTCCTTTAGGAGGTGTTTAAACTCGAGATCGAGGTCTTCGGTATTATGGGCGACATGGCCCCTACAGGCCCTTGGTGCGCTTCGACTTGGAGCCGGGCTGAGCGCTCAACATTTAATGTTGGCTGCAAGTTGTCCGTCACGGGTCTCGCTGACTCGAGGACAACATCAGGTGCTAGTCCCCATCAAGCAGTTCCCAAGGCGGATGAAGAGTCTTGGAGGTCGCGAAGAGCCCAGGTGCCTCGTCTATTACATCATCGCTGACCCAACGAAAGAATGAGCCGACCTCTTGCTCCTATAATGTGGTCATCTTTTTTTTTTCCCTATTTTCCTTGCGAACACCATCACCCGGTGTCAGCCTTGATTTTCTGCTTCTTCTGCTGCAAATGACCTCCCCCAAATTCCCCTTCTCCCTCTGCCTTGTCCACCCCATATTTTGGCAATTTGGGGGCGGGGCGAAGGGAGAGGGAAGGGCAGGCATTTTATCCGTACATCGCCCACTTCCACCACTCACGAAAGGTCGGTAATGGCCAAGAGCATGAGTCGTCAACATGGATTCCCCTCCTACCCCCGCCCCCTCCGAGAACGTTATTATTGACCATAGGCCGGTCGAACGAACTTCTTCCTCGGGAAGCGCGGCGAACGGTTCCTGCTAAGTGGGGGCAACAAACTCGAAAGCCAGCAAAGGATGGCCTGGCCTAGACCTAGCATAGACCCAGCCCAAACCGGCAACTGGGCTCTGTCAAGCGCTCTTGATGTTCGACTGGCCATCGCAATTGATCCGCTCATCAGCACTGGCGTCTAGCATCTCTTATTTCTTCGCGGTCTCTTATGACCCTACCTCGGTATTCGTACAAGTAATGTGACCGTTGCCTTGGGATTCATCGTGTTATTGCCAGTGCTTTTTTTTTTTTTTTATCTCTCTCAAGCTATGGGTTCTCGGCTATCCATTTCTCTCGCCCTAGCAGGGGTTTTGCGATGACATCGAAACGTCCTCTCGAAGTCGCATACCTTCGAGTCCCTATGTAGATGCCGATGCAGATCCAACCCCCGGTACATGTAGCGTGTTAAGTGGAATATCGTTTGCAGGGAATCGCACCGAGGGGAGGTGGGAACTGGGAGAAAGATATGGAAGAGGGGCGCCGATAAAATTAGCCTTCTATTGCACTGTAAGTCGCAACCGTTTGGGGCCTACGAGAGAACTAAAGAGACGCAAGAGTAAGGAAGAGAAGAATCCATGGGAGCCAAGTCGGAGAAGGCGAACGATCAAGAGCATCAAATCATGAGGAGGGGCAAAGTCAATGAGAGCATTCGACCCTTCCTCTTATAAGTCATCACGGCTAAACTACTTGGTGCCGCGGGCAAGATGGAGAGTGTGCACATGGTTTGCCAGTTAGTTCACAACCTCCAAATTAGCGTCATCGCCCATCTTCCTGCCGTCCCTTAAGCCACCAAGTCCGGTGCCTCCACGGCTTATCATCGAAGCCAAGGAGCTCGAAGTCGAAGACAGTGAGGCTGACGACACGGCCACAGAGCGAACATTGAAGCAAGAGGAGGATGAGACACTGCCAGGCCAGGGCCAATTGAATTTGATTACCCAAGTGGAGATTAGACACGCCCAAAACGGGCTCCGTTTCTCAGCACTGATGTCGTTTCCCATCTTGATGCGACCTGATTGGCCTGATTGGCCTGACCTGCTTGGACCCCACCACCACCCTAACTTCCTTCAATTGATCTGGCCAGCCTCGGGTGACTGCATGACCCTCGCAGGCAGCGAAAGCACGTAGTCACTCTCAGTGACCAACGGCAAACCCCATCCACCATCGTCTTATCCCGATTGCCCTCTCTCAGACCGCACTCCCCGGCCGGTGCCCCATCCATTGATCTCTCATCACCACGCCGCTAGCGGAACCGTTGCGTCCCTCCTGCCCTTCCCGACCGTCCGTCGTCGACCATCACAAGCCGGGCTGCCCAATCCCACCGCCCTCCGCTCCGGGGCAACGTCCACCACTCTTACTCCGCCCCACCCTCAACGCCGCAGCCTCCCCTTCCCCCACCGCCCCCTACTTCAGCCTTGCCGCTAACCGCCCGCCGACTATGCCCTCGTTTCTCTCAGCATGACCAAACCGCCACTCGACATGGCGTCCGCCGATGTCCCCAACGATGCGAATTCCTCTGCGACGGCCTCTGACCCCCAGCTACAAAGCTCCCACGTGCTGTCCGAAGAGAGCCCGTCTCCCAACCCTGCTCAACCCCCCTCCCCTGTCCAGCCGCCCCGAGACCGCCCCGAAGCAGGTTGCGGAAAAGCTACTCAAGGGCAAAGAAGTCGTCGGCAAAGCCTTGGCCGAGCGCAGCGGCCAGCTCACCTTGCTTGAGCTACCCGTCGATATCCTCCGTCTTGTTGTTCACGAGGTACGAAATCTATGGGCCCAAGTTGTCTCAACCACCCCCGGTTCCCGTGTCAATACATGCCAGTGTCCCTCCTCAAATATCCCCGTAGGCTTTGCCGCCTCTTGGTCCCTTATTCGCGCCTTCTCCCCAATCGCGGGAAGCCAGTTTTCGTTAATTGCTAACCGTCATGGGTTCTGTTTGTCTTGAACCCCCGGCCTTGGCTTTAGATAACCCACACGAATGACCTCACATCGCTAGCTCTGACAAACTCCACTCTATATAGCTTAGCCGTGCCCCAGATTTACTCCAGATTCGATATAGTATGGCCCGATTCCGATGCCGTAGCCGCCGAATCGAAGAGCGTTGACGCTCTCACCTACGGCCTCTCTACTCTATGTCTCGGAAGCTCCTTTGCCCGCCGTGCCCATCTGCGGCGCCCGACTCCTCGGCCCCCGTGGAGGTTGTGCGCCAGCTTCGGCAGAATACCTATGCTGAGTATACTCGAAAATTCTCCCTCGGGAATGGGCCTTCCGAGTGGGTCGCAGAGTACTTGATTTCCAAAGAAAGCGGTAAAATGCTGGGTACTCTTGTTGCCCTTGCCATTGAAAAGATGATCAATTTGGAAACTTTTGTTTGGGACATGCCTACCGGCGTGCTGTCTGATATCTTCCTCGCGCTAGGATCTCATCAAGACAAATCACCCAGCGGCGAGTGTAAGCTCGAAAAGGTCTGGGTGCGGTGGCACGATAGCTATCGCGACACCACAATCGCCGACTATGTTGAACCGGCCCAGACCGTGATTCCACCGTCAGCCACCTTGACTCCCATCGGCATTCTCCTCCCCTCGAGCGCGGAAGAGTCGCCGCGCCCCTCTACTACCATAGGTTATGGCGACTGTCGGTTGGAGTACCCGACCTTCAGTGTCCTGCCCCCTTTGAGAAGCCTCACAGTCCTTGAGATCGACCAGCTCGCCTACCTCGAGGAGATGTCAACCCTAATTGAGCGGTCTAGGTCCCGACTTCAGGAGCTTCGCGTTGGTATCAACTCTCACGTCGTCCAGCTCGACTTTGTGAAGGCTTGGGATGGGTCCGACCTGCGACAGGTAGACCACGACGCCCACTGGTTTGGGGCGAGCATGCTTGGAGAACGTCGCTTGGGCGGTGTGCTCGGCGTCTTATTTGGGAGGATTTACGATATTCGTCGCACCAGCCCCTCCAAAGCCGACGTACATGACGAACCATCAACGACACAAAATGCCTCTCAGGCGGAGGTGGCTGCTGTCTCGTACGTCGAAGTCACACGCCCGTGGGCCCGGAATAATGTGCTGACATCGGCCGGCAGCATCGTGCCCACTCGAGACAACGGACGCTCCATCTCCCCGGACCGATGCCGCCAGCCCGACGTCCCTCCACGACAGTCGCCAGCCGACTCCGCTGGAACGCAATTCGGCGAAAGCGCGTTCCGCAAGTTTGAAGGGAAACTCAGGCTACGAACTCTCGAGCTCGAGCGTGTCCCCTCTCGATGCAGGTATGCACCAAAGCTCTTGACTGGACGACCTTGACAACCTTGACCCTTCTCGATTGCCCGTACCACGAAAGCCTGTGGAAGGTCCTGAAGCGCCAGTTTGCGCCTACGTCAGGCCCGACAAGCCCGACCGCTTCTACCACGAGCAAGCCAGGTCAGACGAGCGCCCTCCACTATTCCCTCGCCTTGAAGCACATCCACACAGATCAAGCTTCTACGGCCTTGATCAGTTTTATAAAGGAAACCTTGGCTCCAAACTCCCTCGAGGTGTTTTTCCTCCATGACCGCCGCCAATCACCAGCCCCAAGTGTCCCCGTGGACCAAATTTTCAAGTCGGTCATTGTCAGGCATCGTAGCAGTCTCCGCAAGCTGCTTCTCGACAGCTCCGAGAAGCGAGGCCGGAATAACACGGGCCTAAGCCCCTTGCGCTGGCGTGCCTGGGCCCCGACATCCGACATGGTCCTCTACATGACGAGCGGGAAGATGTCAAAATTGACAGAGCTTTCTATTGCGTTATACTATCGTGACTGGGTGAGTTCTAACCCTCTTCCCTTGTCCTTTTATTTTACCCTTCCGTCTTCTTGGAATGACCCTCGCACTCCGTTGGGTTGGGATCAAGGTAGGCTAACGATGAGGGTTTTCTCTCTCCCTATTCTACATCTCCAGCACACCTTCCTCCAGAGACTGCCAAACATTCCTCAACTAAGGTCTCTGAACATACCCAACATGGCCCCTCCCGATAGAGAAGGTCATAACTCGGAGGTAAAAGAGTTGGCTCTCCAAATCGTGGACATTGTAACGCTCCGGCCCGAAATCGAGCTCTGCTACGTCGGCCTCTGCTCCAAGTGCTTCGAGATCTACGAAGCCGAGCCTCGTTCAAGAGCTCGGAGAGCTAGACGTGGTTCAGCCAGCTCATCAGTGAGCCACACCCAAGGTAGTGACATATCCTCGTCCAGCAGCGACGACGACGACACAGCGAGCCAGGCCTCGGTCCATACAGCGGAGGAAACCGACATTGGTAACATGGTTGTCGCTAACCTGGTCAGTGATGAGACGGAGTCCGAGACCTCTGCAATCGAAGATTCGGATGTGGAGTCACTCAAAGATTTCGATCTCATGCTACCCAAGTGCGAGTACCGAGCAAGGGAAATATTGTTCTTTGACGAGGTTGCCATCTTTAAAGCGCGACATGCCAAGCTTTAGATTGAAAGCAGGCTATCTCGTCTCATTATTCGTTTTCCTTTTATTTTTTCCACGTTTTGTTTTTCCTTTCTTCTATCGTTCCACCTCAGCTATATGAGTACAGCGTTCGGCATACAGGTCAAATAGGAGTAAACTATGGATGATGGGATATACGGCGAAGGGTACACACGGTTTACTGGGACATGAAATACTCTCATCTTGCAAACTACTGGTGCCCAAAGGGCCTTTGATACCACCTTTCTTTCATCTTCCGGCTTCTCGAGTGATCACTCCAACTTCCTGTCGTTGTCCCTCTCGCCTCCCCTTTTGAATTTATCGGGGGTTCCCTGTCCTTTGGCCCTTGGGCCCCATGAAATCGCGCAAAGCATCATGCCTACCCGTCTCATCTTCGTCCACAGTAGTATTGGCTTCTCGTTAGGTTCCCTAGCCTCTTTCTACCCTTTTCCCTGGCTCTCTTCTCCTTGGTGCTTTTACGGGGGTTGTAGGTGGAATTTGTGATATCGTCGCCTTACCTTGAGGACATAGAGACGACAGGGTCAGCATCGCATGTCTTCCCCCTTTTTTCCCTCTTTCCCTTTTCCTCCTTCCCCGTTCTTTTTTGTTAGTTTTTAGTTTTCATCTTCCTCCCTCTGCTCACATCCCATCTCCTCCTGTAATGTCAAGTACATTCATACTAAAATGTCTTGGCCCGTAGAGTCTAGCAATTATTAATCTCTAATCTCTCCTCCGGTGATGCCGATCCATGCTCCGTCGCGAGAAGCCCACGCGGCCTACGAGACTCACGGACCTCGAACGGCAGCTTCTTTCCTCACTTGTTCGTTTGACAAATTACGAAGTCTGGAGCTTGGGGCTTGGGCTGGTTTGGCCTGGCTGCCCTTTTTTTTTTTTTTTTCGTTCTTGCCCAAAAGCCCGCGAATCGCGAACGGGGTTGAATTAGGCCGACCCCGTCATTCTCAAGCCCATTTTGCTCGGCAGTTACGGTTTTACGGGCCAGACAACTTCCCCCGCCTCTTTCCCACCCCCAAGAGGCAGCATGCTCCGGAGAAGCAAGCGTTGGTCTCTATACGCCGCTAGACGGACTAGTGCAAACGCCTTCTGAGAAAGCGTTCTCGCCGATGATCTCATAGCTCAGCCGGGCTAAAATAAAGGCGAAAGAAGAAGGAAAAGAAAAAGGCGTCAGCCACCACTTTCGTTGTTCTGCTCACCCTCACTAGTGGGGAAATGGGTAGTGGGAACCTGGATAAGCTGGCTCCAGTCCGCAAAAAGCACGACTTTTGACTTCCCTGCAATTGGCCTGACGCCAAGTGCGTATCCTCTAATAGCAAGTTCCACGCCCCCTCCCATTTTTTCCCTTGGAGGCTGGCCAGGCCACCAAACTAGTAAGCGCCCTAGCGCCATAATGTACTCTGAGGTGGGCGAGGGGGGAAACTATTCTGTGGGAAACCCTGATGATCCTTCCTCTTGTCTCCAAAGCCACAATGAGCGCCAGGCCCTACGCCTCCCAAAACAGGCTCTACTCCGCCCCTCCGTCGCCATTTTCAGCGGGGTGGGAAGTAGAAGACCGGGGCACTAGTCTGCCTCGCTAAATTTGGTGGGGAAGGTGAAGGAGCTGCTCAAACTGTCGCGCCTCATTCGGCTCCGGGCCGAACATCTTGATATTGATGCTTCTCCGTCCATCAAAGTCTCGGCTGCTTTCTTTTCTTGCATCGACAAGAAAATAAAACCAGCGACGATGGTGTTTAGAAGCGCCGACGATGCCGAGTCCACGGAGTAGCCCCTCCAGAGCTCGGGTCCCGCTCTCCCCCACTCATTTTTAGCATTTCCCACCAACATTCCAGCCCGCTCGAGCGTTTGCAAGCCCCGGGAGCCGAAAACCAAGGGACTGGCGCAAGGCTTGTACGTGATGATATCTGGTAGGCTGGCTGAACCCAAGCGTGGCAGAAAGCTGTGGGTTTCCTACCCCTCTTCTATCACTTCTCTGGGGCCCGGGGCCCGAGGCCGCATAATTTCGCGGCCATCGTTGTGTCTTCCCACATGCGTATTGGATTGGTAGATAGATCCATTGCCTTTCAGTCCTCTGAGAGCTGAGCTTACACCCGCCGGGGAACATTCTGGGTCGCAAGGCCAGGCCACACCACACCCCGTGAAAACCGCTTGTACGGTATCCCAGAAGCCATCAAGGATGCCTTGGCGGGTAGCTACCTCCAAGGTGGCCTACAACAAATGGCCGTTTCGTGCATGTCGACGTGCGGCACAGGGGGTTTTTCCCAAGTGGGCGCTTGGGGTCGAGAAGGCCACGGCCACCCGCCCCCGCGACCAAGCCCGACTCGCTGGGAAGAGATAGTGGTGGGCATCTTCATTTCCGTCTCCTTCTATTCCTGCTTTTTCAAACCTCCACCATGGCGAGGCGGTGGGAAAACGGGCGAATAAGCTCTCTCTTGGCGGGAGCCTTTGATGCTCGATGCTCGGAAGGATCAGGGCAGCCATACGCATCTCAGAGAGGTGCCAACAGACTCATGCATGGATTGGCAGGAGGGGAAAGGGGGGCGGAGCTGGCGCGAGATGGAGCCAATATCCAACGGGGTTGGATCACGGTAAAATGCTCAACATCGCCAATCGTAGTCGGGAATCCATGCATGGCTGTGATGGCGACGCTTGTCGGTCTTGCATCAACAGGAAAAGAAAGTCATACACACACACCCGCACGATTCCCGGTAGCTTTTATCAGCTTCATAGCCATTATGCGCACATCGTCTCCATCGCGTCGGTGGAAGGACCGAGTGATGTGGCCAAACTCCCAGAGTGGCTCTGGTAGCCGAATCGGTTACGCTAGCTCTCCTTTGCCCCAAACATAGATGAGGATTGAGGCTGGAGAGCCGGGAGCGAACCCCAATCTATCCTGTCACGTCCTTGGGATAAGAATCCTAAATAACGATCATCGACTAGTGGCAAGAAGGATAGGCCTAGAATAGCACACAAGGGAGGAGGAGGTGGTTTTTGTTCCGTTCAAAAAAGAACACCAACTGACTGCGCATTTCGATGCAGGATTTACAGGTAAGATATAGGGTAGACTTTGCATATACGTGTTAATTTTAGAGAGGTCGACTGTATAGGGAAGGTATGAAGGGAAACCGGCAAACATTACAACTCGTCTTAGCTACGTGTACTGTCAACACGCCCAAAGATGTTTCCTTTATCTCCGAAGATGCTTGCGTGGTCAATACGTGTAGGGTCACTTACAAGGTGGGAAAGGACAAGAAGATATTAGATAGATGCCACTACGGAGATTACGGAGATGATGTCGGAAAGACATATACAATGAGCCAAGGCTAAAAGGAAAAGGGAGCTAAGATGGTCAACGCTTGGAAGTTGTGGTCGTCCGCGGACTGATATCCTCTGCCTGGTCTTCAGCCTTATTCTTCTTCTTTTTTTCCCTTTTTTCAGCTTCCAAGTTGAAAACTACGCCGCCACGTCTCTTGCGAACAAACACACATTATTTCTTTTTCCCTCCCGGAAAGTGCGGAGCCGAGAGACTAGCGGGTCTATTGCTTTAAGACTCCAGTTGTCTCCACACGGAGCTTCGGGCTATCGGCAGCACTGAAGAAGAACTTGTGCCACATTCTAGACCGACAGTCATCGGTTGATCCCTTTATCACGACCCCTCCCCTTTGGACAATAACGGCAAGAGGAACAAGAAGAGGGGAGGAAAAGGGTCCACCTTGTAGGGGAAATTCTCTCATTACGCCCGTAACCCCTAGGGTTATAAACCTTGATGAGGAAGAGAGCGACGAGCCCCAAGAATCGTGTTGAGTTGGCAGATCCGAAAAGATCCACCGGAAGCCTCGAGATCAATTGAAGTCATTGTCGCCTTGGACGGGAGCAGATGTGGGCGTGTAACCCCCACTTTCGGCGTCTAATTGAACCAATCGACGATCGTGATGGGTTGGAAGGGAGGGGCAGATGCCCAATCAGTCGGTGCTTCACGACAGGGGGCCTGGCGGGCATCAAAATTTCTTGGTCCTGGCCCAATGGGCTCGCGTGGAGCCTCATGTCGGTCAGAAACTCTGGTTCGCCTGGGAAGGGAAGGGGGAAGCTCCTCACAATTGCGTGTGGCATCATGGAGGGAATGGGGATTGCACTACACTACACTAGAAAAGAGCCACATTCGAGAGGGGCCTATTACCATTAGGGAAAATCGAGAAGGAGAAGAAGAAGAAAAAAAGTGGAGGATCTACGCCTGTTCGAAGTTTGCAGCCGGCAAAGAAGCCGGGCTTAACCCTGCAGAGCCTCGAGCTCCCAACTGTCGGTCGGAGCGGGCGAATGATGATTAGGGGCTTTCGGAGGAGATGAACTGTTTGGGAAATTGCAGTCCTCAGACCGACCGCCTCTCTGCGTTTGGCGCGTTCCGTCATGTCATCCATGGCAAGGGTACTTGATCCCGGGCTGGTCGATCCTGAATTCGAAATGGCTGGTCCAGGTCAAGGCCAAACAAAGGGTGCGCTCGTGGCCTGCAGACCACAGCCGTGTCTCTTGACTTTGAGCATCCATAATTTTGAGTGATGTGATGGGAGCGGAAGACAAGAGAACATCGAGGCCAGGCCATGGTCATTGATGGATGGATCCATGTTTCTCTGACGAATTCTTTTGTCAGAACGACCCAATGGAACGCGTTTCCGCCATCGCCCGCCCGCCCCATCTTTGCTTTTTGTTTTCTTTTTCTTTTTTTTTTTGTTTTGTTTCTCTTTTTCTTTTCTTCTTTTTCTTTCTTTTTCACGGGAGGGGTTCCACCATGGAGTGGAGGTTCGAAAGACGTCAATCCCTCACCTTTCGCTGTGCCACCGGCCCGCTCAGCTCAGTCCCCCTGGGCATACATAGCCCTGAACAAGGACAAGAATAGAGGGCAGGGCGGTGCGACCCGAGAGCCAGCGTTCTCTGGGTTCGACGACCCCAAACGACAAGTGATCGCGGCTGATTGAACCAGATTGGGAATTTCTCCGTTG